ATCCTCGGATCTTGAACCTCCAGAGGACGATGGCACACTCATATTCCTCACTATTGTGGTCTCGTCCCTGCGAACCACCGCCCGGGCCTCCTCACGAGTACGGGCGTGTGACGTGCTCCTGGCGTTTGCGGAGCGACTGACAGACGAGGCCAAGCTTGACCGCGTCCTGCCGTATCTCATGACCTTGTTGTCCAAAGAGAATGAAAAGGACATTGTCATGATCAGCGCGATACGTGCAATCACGCAGCTTCTACAGCTGGTACGGACGGTCACGCCAATCAACTCTCACGTGGTGGTGGAATACGTCCTCCCTCGAATGGAGATTGCGCTGGGCTCAAAGTCTCGCAAGGCAAGCCCTCTTGTTAGAGCGACATATGCTGCGTGCGTGGGTAGTCTGGCTTCAACTGCGCAACGTTTCCTGGAAATGGCCTCGAGTCTGCGGGCGGATGGGTCTATGCCCATTGCGGATCCCGAGGTCGAGCCCGGAGCAGACGCCGAGGCCAACTTTGAGAATGTTTTTGATAACGCGGGGCGACAGCTCTTTGAAGTCCTCGAGGGCCACACGAAACAGCTCGTGGAAGACCCGGATGTCAACGTACGCCGTGCGTTCTTGGCCTCTGTGCCCGAGCTGTGCATGTTTTTCCAGGATCACTCCAACGACATTCTGCTGACGCATTTAAACACGTACCTCAATGACCGCGACTGGCAGCTAAAGTGTGCGTTCTTCGACACCATTGTGGGCATCGCCGTGTTCATTGGTGGGCCAAGTCTGGAGGAGTTCATGTTACCGCTCATGGTGCAGGCCCTGGCTGACACGGAAGAACATGTCGTGCAGTCGGCTTTGCATTCTCTCGCGCAGCTCGCTAGTCTCGGATTGCTGTCGAGGGGTACATTGTGGGATCTCGCTGACCTGGTCGGACGCTTCACAATGCACCCCAACTTATGGATCAGGGAGGCGGCGGCCGAGTTTGTGTCCATGTCCGCTTGCCATCTCGACGCGGCTGACAAGATATGCATCTTGTCTCCACTTGTACAGCCTTACTTCAGGATACCAGGCATATCTGATTTCGACGAGCTCACAATCCTTGATACCTTGAAACGGCCCTTGTCCCGACCAGTCTATGACCAAGCTTTGGCGTGGGCGACCAAAGCTGAAAAGGGGCTGTTCTGGAAGGCGCTGCAGTCAGCGCGACCATCTGGGGCGGGCGCCCTGGGCAACATGGTTGCAAAATCGTCCAAGGACCTGACAGAGGGCTCGATCAGCAAGATGGCCCACAATGAGGAGGACGACCACTGGCTGGGTAGGATGCGCCAACTCGGCCTGAAGCAGGAGGATGAGCTCAAACTCACGGCCCTACGCGAGTACATCTGGCGCCTTAGCCGCATGAAGAGTCGCGACGCGAGCACAGGAGAATCTTCACCGGCTTCAGGGCTTATTCCACTGCAAAAGTTGGGGGTCACGCCGCAAACAATCTTCTTTAACGAGGAGCCATTGCACTTCCCCGACAAAGCGCCCGACTTGACTCCGTCGGGACCATATACGATTGCCGATGCGTTGCTGGATGCCTCGATGACGATTGACGATTCTGTCGGAAAGAGGAGACGCGCTGCGCTGAACATGCATAAGAATCGCGTGCACAGCGTAGGTCCACGCGCAAACTCGCAACGTTTTGCGTCGCCCGCTGCCCACGGTCGGGCCAGCTCGATGGACACTCGTGCCTTGGGACATCAGCGCACCGCATCGTCCGAGTCCGTCGACGGCCCGTACTCGGTGAGGAGAGCCATACGCCAGTCCTCGAGTGCCTTGAACCTGCTTGACAGGAAGGATGGCAACAAGTCGGTCCCCGAAACCGGGACGACGGACACCACCGCCTTTGGAGAGATGGAAGGCCCCTTTGTGCAAGAGGGAGAACCCGTCACGCCGGCAGCCAATGCCAGCGGCGCCCTGCGGACGGAGAAGAATAAGTCGTCCAAGCATAGCTATGAAGGAAACGACCCTAATATCCAGAAGATGCTGGACAACATGTACATGGAGGTCTTCCCCCGCGACGTGAAGGACTTTGGGGCTACCGTGACCCCCATCTCGAGGGACAGATCTAACACGATCATGTCCCAAGGCAAGCGGGAGGGATGGCGCCCCCAGGGGAAGCTCGTGGCTACTTTTGGAGAGCACAAGGGGCCAATCATGCGTGTTGTGCCATCTCCCGACCACGTCTTCTTCATCACTGGCAGTCACGACGGGACGGTCAAGGTATGGGACACGGCGCGACTGGAGCGTAATATTACACATCGATCTCGCCAGACACACACACAGGGGACCGAAGGGACGAAGATCACAGCACTCACATTTGTCGAAAACACGCACTGCTTTGTGAGCTGTGCTGGTGACGGCAGCGTCAGCGTCGTTCGCGTCGACACGGTGACAAACGCTGGGATCGTTCGATACGGCAAGCTCCGGGTGTTGCGTGAGTACCAGCTGCCCGATGGCGAGTGGGCAGTCTGGGCGGAGCACTTTCGACATGAGCAGGTCTCTGTGCTGTTGATTGCGACCAACCGTTCGCGTATTCTGGGTGTGGACCTCCGCACCATGAGCCTCATGTATGTGCTGGAGAATCCTGTGCGCCATGGCACGCCGACCTGTCTTTGCGTTGACAAGAAGCGCAACTGGGTATGTGTCGGAACATCGCATGGCGTCGTCGACGTCTGGGACCTCCGATTCCGCATACGACTCAAGGGATGGGGCGTGCCGGGCCAAGGGTGCATCTACCGCATGAGTCTGCACCCCACCAAAGGTAGGGGCAAGTGGGTGTGTATAGCGGGAGGCACCCTCCAGGGAGAGGTCACGGTGTGGGATCTCGAACGAGCGACGTGTCGAGAGATTTACCGGACAGCCAGCGCCAAAGAAGGGCCCAAGTCGTACGAAGCCTGGGACGTGGACGATGACAAGGGGGGCATGCTTGGTCGCTTTGGCACAAACCTCGAGAGCAGCGAGGCGGCCAACGCGGACCGAGGGATGCGCACCATGCTTGTGGGTTGCGATCCGCCGGAGGGCAGGGAGATACGCCATGCCTTTATGATCACAGGGGGCTCGGACAAGCGTCTTCGGTTCTGGGACATTCCACGGCCTGATCACTCGACCATCTACAGTGGTCTGCAAACGGACGATGCAAAGCCGACGTACACCACGAGCAACCCGGTGACGGGGCTGACAATCAACACGGAGCGCTTCCCGAGGCCGACGCAACCTGCGGCGACCAAGGGTAAGCCATCCTCTACATCGGGGGGAAGCGGGAGGCCTGCGCGGCATACGGTGATCTCGCAGCACCAGCAGCAGCTGCTGCAGTCGCATCTCGATGGTATCATGGATGTGGCTTTGTTAGAGCATCCTTATACCATGAGCGTGTCGGTAGACAGGTCCGGCGTTGTTTTCATCTTCCAGTAGGTAGACTAGACTGGGTTGCCTGCCTGCCTGGCGTTTTGGTGTTTGGTCAAAGGGGACCATGCAAGGTTTAGACAATCATACAACGATGGACTTTGACGTAGAGTGAGATACTAGTTCACACTGAATAATTGAGATCTGTTGCATTAAAGTTGCGGTGCCAGACTTCCAGTGCCAGACTTCCAGTGCCTTCCTTGGTCGTACGTCCTGATAATCTCCACTTTAATTATGGCTCGGTCACCCTCGTGCTTCAACTTCGCAGGCTCCAAAACTTCAGTCTGACCACTACGTATCACTTCAACCGCGACAATTCCTCTTGCACCACGCCGCCCACCCAGAAGAAGAGACAGCGCACATTGAACATTCAGCAGACGCCCCACACGAACCAGGTAAACCCGTCACGATGAGGCTCACCGCGGAGCTCATCCGCGACTCCCTCTCCTACCTCAACCCACTCAAGGAGCGAGAGCTCGATCTCCGAGGTGCGTTTCCGAAAAGAGCAGATTGCTACACTTGAAGAGAGCTAGAGTTGATCCCATCCTTTTTCTTGCGCATAAAGGCCACCGAATCCCCGCCATTGAGAACCTCGGCGTCGCAGGTGTAAGTGTCCCTTCCCATTAGACACGGTCCGGCCCTCGGGGGGTGGAAACGCGAGCTAATCCTGAGCAGCCGCACGATGCGATCGACCTGACTGATAACGACATCCAAGTTCTCGGCAACTTCCCGCTCTCGCCACGTATCACGACGCTGCTTCTCGCGCGCAACCGAGTCGCCGCGATTCAGCCTACGCTTGCGACCTCGACGCCCAACTTGACGAACCTGGTGCTGTCCTCGAACGCGGTTGCGGAGCTGGCCGACCTTGATCCGCTGGGAAGGCTGGGCCGGTTGACGCACCTGGTGCTCGAAGACAACCCCGTGACGAAGAAGGAGGTGAGTGGGCCACAAGAAGGATCCATGATCGTCTGACTGACGGATCTCGGCAGAACTACCGCTACTGGGTCGTCTGGCGATGTCCCGCCGTTCGCTTCCTGGACTACACAAAGGTGAAGGAGGCAGAGCGCGAGAGGGGGCGAGAGCTGTTCGGTACAGATGAGGAGCCCACAGCGCTTGCGCAGCAGGTACGTCTGAACAGAGAAAAGAAGGCATTGTTCAATGCGTGTGTGTGCTGACGGATCGTGCACCAGATTATGGGCCAAAAGTCCAAGGGCGCGGCTTTGGCGGCCAGTGGCTCTGCACAGGCGCCATCCAGATTATCGAGGATAAAGCTCACAGACGACGAGAAGAAGCGGCTGCGAGAGAGGATCAAGAATGCGACAAGCTTGCAGGAGATCAATGCGCTGGAGAAGGAACTGAACGAAGGCAGGCTACCTTCGGGGCTCCAGGGAGATCCGATGGAGGAGTAGAGTGGCCATGGTCATCTGGGGGGTTGAGAACTTTGCGTGCATATGGTCTAGGTGAACCATGGGGAATACCAAAATGATTTTGTTGGCGTTCAAACAACTTGCTTCGTCTTTGTGCTGGGTACATGATGGGCATCCGCTGATATTACCACCGAGTCGTGCTAGCCTGACATGTGGACATCCCCGTCGTGCCCTCTCTGTCCATTTGCTTGCCTCATCTCCAGCTCTAGCTGCTGGCTCGGGTCTTCCTCCGACACCAGAGCCGCCACGGACGCGGGGTGGGTCGGTGTCGCGTTCACCGCCGCCGCCGCCCTGGGGCTCGTGAGCATGCCAAACGTCGAGTCTCCGTTCACGATAGACGTGGTGGTGCTGCCGTTGGTAGCGGTACGTGGGCGTTCCATGGACGGTTCATCGCCCCCTCCTGCTGCGTTGACTGTTTTGAGGCGCGACTGTGTCTCTGCGGAGTGGGCCTTGATGTTCCTGTACGGGACGGTCTTGGGCACCACGTCCTCGAGGAACTCTAGCCTCTCCTGGCGGGCCACGGCGTTGGCTGTCATTCGGAGGAGTCAGCTGCGCGCTGCGTACTGCGTGCCGGCAATCTACATACCGACGTCTTTGTACTGAATGTTGCGGCGGGGCTTGGGGTCAATCTTAACTTGGTGATGCGCCTCCTCTGACAGGTGTTGTATGAACATCTCCTGTGCTCGTGTTAAATTTGGTTCGCTGTGTAAGTGGGTAGAGGGCGTGTGTGTGAAAACCTACTGCGGCCATGGTTATGACAAATGCGGCGTTGTTTGAGCAGATGGAAATATCCTGGTCCTGCGCAATGATCCTCTTGATTCGCGATACTGTGCGTTATTAGCAGTGTCTTGAACGTCTTAGGGTCCAGTGCGGACGTACAAGGTAGCTGGGCCTGGCCTGTCGGCTCCTTCTTGGGAGGGATGGCTGTGGTGTTGTAAGGCATGCTGGTTCGCTTCCAGAAGATGATGTGGTATGTTGTCCTCGGGTCTGACGTGGTCAGAGTTCTTATGAGATGAGGTAGCCAAGCTGTATCCTTCTTGCTCAGGCGAGAGTTCGTCCCTGAAGTGCTCCTGAGCTTGTCGTATGCAGAAAGCCAAGGATGCTCCAAGTCCGAGTGTTGTCTTTGGTCCAAGTCGATATTTGAAATTGAGTTTACTGACAGCACCGAACAATGAAGTCTATTCGGCAATCGCAATCCAGTTGAGGTCAATGAAGTTGGAATGATACTGAGAGAGACGCGCCGCGCAAGGTACCTTAGGTAGTGCTGGGATCCCCTGCAACCACTAAACGCGGTCGCCCGCAAGTGTGGCTCATGCACGGTTGGCGCACAAGCCACACTCCCGACAGCTCAACAACCAGACCTACATGTACAGCCCGCCAGCTACCTTTACCATCGTCATCCTGATCGCGCCGACCGTCCGAACGATTTGCTCGAGTCAGATTCGCATGCCATCAATGCTGGAGATCTTGCGACCATGATCTGCAGGCCAGAATTATGAATACCCAGACTCCAAACGACCTGCGGAGCCCTCAACTTCTTCGACGACCGTCCCTGAGCTCCAGGCTCTCCTTCGCAGTATCCCATGCCGAGCAAGGCGAGTCGGTTGTCGATGCGCCGCCAGCCGAGGCGCAGATTGAGGATGAAATTGCCGAAATCAAACGATATGAGGTATGCTCCGCGCAATGGCAACAAGGGCTGCTCTTCGAACAAGCCAAGCTAACCTCGCCAGGACTTTTCCACAATAGGTACGCCGATATCACGCTTCGCTATTCGATTGATGGACGATCGCAGGACTGACGATGAATGCAGACTGGGTCCAGGACTCGGCGCGCGAACAAGCGAGGCGCATAGCACGAAGGCGACGGACCGAAGGCGTATACAACCATGGCAAGCCTGGCTGGAGGTATCGCCTGTGGGAGGCCTACGAATCGGCGCAGGGGTGGATAGTCGTTACCCTTGTCGGGATTGCGATTGGTTTCAACGCGGCTCTCCTGAGTATCGTCACCGAATGGCTCTCCGACATCAAGACGGGCCACTGTAGCACGGGGTTCTACCTCAACGAGAGCTTCTGCTGCTGGGGCGAGGACAGCGGTCAGTTCGCTCGACTCTGGATGCCGTACTCACGGACTGACGAGTATAGGCTGCGATGAGTGGAAGTATTGGACGGGCTTGGAGCCCTTTGACTATTTCATCTACATCATATTTGCCGTACGCATCCCCTGGATACACCCCCCTCTGAAGGCTGGCTGACAGATCAGACCCTTTTCGCACTGGTGGCGGCAACACTCGTCAAATTCTACGCGCCCTACGCGGCGGGCTCGGGCATCTCAGAAATCAAATGCATCATCGCCGGGTTCGTCATGAAAGGGTTCCTCGGCTTCTGGACCCTCATCATCAAATCCATCGCCTTGCCTCTGACCATCGCATCAGGCCTGTCGGTCGGCAAGGAGGGTCCGAGTGTACACTACGCCGTGTGCACGGGCAATGTCATCTCGAGGCTCTTCGACAAGTACAGGCGCAATGCGTCCAAGACCCGCGAGATCCTCAGTGCAAGCGCTGCGGCCGGCGTGGCCGTCGCTTTCGGCAGTCCGATTGGTGGTGTCCTGTTCTCTCTGGAAGAAATGTCCAACTACTTCCCGCTCAAGACCTTGTGGCGAAGCTACTTTTGCGCCCTTGTCGCCACGGCCGTGCTGGCTGCGATGAACCCCTTTCGGACGGGCCAGTTGGTCATGTTTCAGGTCTCGTATGATCGCGAGTGGCATTTCTTCGAAGTCGTCTTCTACATCATCTTGGGTATCTTTGGGGGCGTCTACGGTGCGTTCGTCATGAAGTGGAATTTGCGGGTGCAATCCTTCCGCAAGAAGTACTTGACAAAGTATGCGATCGTTGAAGCTACGTTGCTAGCTGTTGCGACGGCCATACTCGCGTACCCCAATGCCTTTCTCCGTATCGACATGACGGAGAGCATGGAGATCCTCTTCCTCGAGTGTGAAGGAGGCGAGGATTATAATCAACTGTGCGAACGTGAGCACAGATGGGGCAACGTGGTGTCGCTCATCACGGCCACACTTTTGCGCACCTTTCTGGTCATCATCTCGTATGGCTGCAAGGTGCCTGCAGGTATCTTCGTGCCGTCCATGGCGATTGGGGCCTCGTTTGGGCGCACTGTGGGCATCATCGTGCAAGCTCTGCAGGAGGCCAATCCAGGAAGCGGCTTCTTTGCAGCTTGTAAGCCTGATGAACCCTGCATCACGCCTGGCACGTATGCGTTCCTGGGCGCTGCGGCTGCGCTGAGTGGCATGATGCACATCACCGTTTCTGTGGTGGTTATCATGTTTGAGCTGACAGGCGCGCTGACATACATCTTGCCCACTATGATTGTTGTCGGTGTGACGAAGATTGTTGGTGAAATGTTTGGAAAAGGAGGCATCGCCGACCGCATGATCTGGTTTAGCGGCATGCCCTTCTTGGACAACAAGGAAGAGCACAACTTTGGTGTTCCCGTTTCCAAAGTCATGCAGACTTCGATCGTCTCGATACCAGTTACCGGACTTTGTCTCAACGAGGTGGAGCAGTTGCTGGCTGACGGCAAGTATCAGGGCTTTCCCATTGTCGAAGACAAGGACAGCAAGATCCTGGTGGGATACATTGGCAGCACGGAGCTGCGGTATGCGATTGATCGTGTCCGTCGTGAACGGCATCCCGGCTCGACGGCCAAGTGCATCTTTGCCCCTCCCCCGACAGCCCATTCCCAGACATCCATGCATCCGACGGTCATGGTGAGCACGGACTCTGGAGCTTCCACATCGCTTGATTTCAGTCGATACGTTGACGCCACGCCGGTCACGGCACACCCTCGCCTGCCCCTAGAGACAGTCATGGAGCTCTTCCGGAAGATTGGCCCTCGCGTCATCCTCATTGAATACCATGGCAAGCTTACGGGGCTTGTTACTGTGAAGGACTGTCTCAAGTATCAGTTCAAGGTGGAGGCTGCCGAGAACCCCCGGGATGACCACCGCATCAACGAGGGTCAAGAGCAGTTGTGGAACCTCATGCGCCGCACGAGCAATTGGGTCTCGATCAAGGTGTCGAGGCTCACGGGAGGCAGGATACGACTTCACGAGCAGTCCGACCGACCATCCTCGCGGCCGGCACTTCAACGAGGAGGGTCGATCTTGGAGGGCACGGAAGATAGCGTCGATGCAGGTGTCGAATTAGAGAGCCGAAGGTGACACCACGGAAATCTACTATTGGATAAGCAAGGTCGAAAGCGTTCGGTGTCGTTGTCTCAAATGTCCATGTGCTGCTATCCAATCCTATCTATCTCGTTTCATCATGCAGATCCCCTAGATCAATAACATCCTCATCTCTAGTCTCCCTTTCTTCCTCTCTGCTCAACCCTCTGGGCTCAACATCCTCTGACTGCGCAGCGGCCGCGTACCCAGCATCATCCTCGCCCGCACCCTCCTTGCTCTCATCCTTCCTCCCAATGATCACGTTCCCAATCACCAAGAATGCAGCCCCAGCCCACCACATGAGGGGCAGCTGCTCGCTAAAGATGATGGCTCCCATGAACGCCGTGAGCATAAAGTTGGCCGAGGTGTTCATGATGGAGACCTGGGTTGTTGAAGTCCCCTTGGCCAACGCCGTGGTGAACAGCGACCACATCTGCCGATGTCAGTACATGTAAAAGTGATTTCGAGTCTGGGGAAGATCCCACAATGCCATTAAAAATGAGATTCAGTCCAAAGAAGGTCCCGCGTACAATATACTCCATGACGGTCTCCCAGTCAGACAGGCCTAGCGCATTGGCAATGCTGTTTGACAGCGACGTCGTGAGGGATGTCGTAGTCCTGGGTTCATCATCAGAGACGGTTCTACAATACACCTACTTCTACTTACAGCTTTGCAAAGACGCCGTTGAACGCTGCACACGCGCCGCTGGCGACAGCAAAGAAGATCCACTGCGTACGCACACTCCATGAGCCGGCGCCCCCGACGCGTAGACCTTGTGTGCCGGACATGACTCTTGCCTTGGTATCCGAGGTATGAGCAGCCTGTGTCGTCTGGTACTGTGGTGGCGGCTTCTTTCTGAGGCGTGCCATGGTGGATTTGTGTGAGCTGCTAGGGGATCGTTGAGGGAGGTTGCTGCCGGTGACGGGAACTAGTGGATCTACAAAGCGTGGCTGAGGCGCGTCTGGGGTTCTCCAGATTTGAGTACGGATTATCACAATTCAAGAATGGCGCCACGCTTCATGTGTTTGGTGCGAATTCAATCGATCTTTTAATCATATGACCTTTCTCACGTTGCATAACCTCTCATCCCCAAACGCCGAATCCCCGTCCAAAGTCAATGAGCTCCCGTGAACTCCGCCCAAATGCAGCATTCTCCGACCGTGTATGAAATATGATACCCCAGCAAGTCGACCGAGCTGGCTGATGCAGCCAACGAACTACTATGTCTCTCCGGGCTTCTTTGCGTTGCAGCTGACAATCTTGATCTTGTCCGCCGTGACGGGTGGGTGACCGTGGTCCATCTTGAAGGTGACGTTCTTGATCAAAAATGTCCAGACCTCGTCGCAGAATCGGTAGGTATCCAGGCTTCCCTGCTCGCCGTCAGTATCTCGCCAGCTTCGTCCACATGCAGCGTAGCAAAAGCGCACCTTGAACGACAAGCGGTTCTTAACGTTCTTCTGCAGCACCTCGGCAATGGCCTGGTCGAAGGACGCGAGGATCTTCATAGCCAGTTGCGGTGGGATCAGAGGTTCGGGCTGGTTCGTCTCCGGGTTCACATGGGCGATCAGGTCGTCGAGGGTATCAGTCAGGGCCAGACCGATGCTACGAAAAAGAGACAAGTTTAGTCACGGGGGGTTGCCTTTGGGCTTGGGGACAGGCCACAGTACCTGCTTCCTCGGTACAGCTCGTAGAAAGCCTGGTTGTTGGCCGCCATGACGTCCGCTAATTGCTGGCGCAATGTCTTGTATTCTCGTAATGATGCGCTGCAGTGTCGCGATCGGCCTTGTGCGATGCGGTTCGACAGGCAGTGTGCGTTGCCTGGTTTTAGTTGACGGGGCCGCTGATGGAGTTGGGTATCTCAAGGGTCCAGGCAGTCGGAGGGGCTGTATAAGATTACTAATCTGTGGCTTGACTGTCATGTGACGTCGTCGTCCGCTCCCGAGCGTGGCTTGCGTGCCAGTGGCTTTTGCTGCGGCCTACAACGCAACGTGCGCCTGTTTGACGTCGCGCCCCAGCTTAGCCAGACAAGCCAGCTCCGAATTGAAGCTCGAAGCAGCTGCCCTCCCCAACATCCCATCCCTACGCAGCCCACCATAAACCAACGCGGTCCTTTCGAAGCGTTCGCCCGACATGAGCCTCATTACCTACGGCGCCGGTGGCCTCGGCTCCTTCCTCCTCGTAGTGGGACTCTGTACGTGTTCCCCTTGTCGAAGGAGGGATGACGGTGATGATGCTTGGATGCGGTTTACTGATGGATTCATCTAGACATGCTCTTCACTGGCAGTGGTGAAGCTTTCAACGTTGGCGCATTCATCGAATCGGTCTCGCCTTATGCCTGGGCCTCGACAGGTGTCGCCCTTGCCATTGCCCTGTCCGTCGTAGGCGCCGCATGGTTAGTGATACTACTTGTCGCTGTAATACCGCAACATATCTAACCAGATTATTAGGGGCATCTTCATTACCGGCTCCTCGATCCTCGGTGGCGGCGTCAAGGCTCCCCGCATCCGAACAAAGAACTTGATCTCCATTATCTTCTGCGAAGTCGTTGCCATCTACGGCGTCATCATGGCTATTGTCTTCTCCGCCAAGATCGACTCTGTTTCTGGCCCGGAGCTTTACTCCGCCGACTCATACTACACTGGCTTTGCGCTCTTCTGGGCTGGTATCACCGTTGGCATGTGCAACTTGGTCTGTGGTGTGGCCGTGGGTATCAATGGGTCCGGCGCGGCGCTGGCGGATGCTGCCGACCCTTCACTGTATGTGCCTCATCCATGCTTGTGGGGTGTCTTGCTGACGTTGATAGATTCGTGCGCATCCTGGTTATTGAGATTTTCAGCTCCGTCTTGGGTCTGTTCGGCCTGATTGTCGGGCTGCTCGTTTCCAGCAAGGCCCCCGAATTTGGAAAGAGCGAATAAATGTCGACTTGTGTCTTCAGTGGGACAGAGACGAGGACACGAACCTACGCAAACCATGAAGCGCCCTGGATTTGCGAGCCAGACAAGGGCACGCCATTATCATCTGCATCGCGCCAAAAAGAAATGACTACATTTGGGCCGGCGTTTGGAAGATCTGACTAGGGAGAAAGACTGCTTACTCATGAGCTGTACCATTAGTAGTTCTTGAAAGTCGGAACTGCCGATTTTGTACATCAGGGTGGGATTTTACCGCAGCTGAATATATAAGTACTGGAGTATCGCATCGAAATTGTACACTTACCCTGCTAGATACGTGAGATTTTGCTCGCTCACTTCTACCTGCCCACATCCACCCTCACAGCGTTCATCATAAGGGCATCGACTTTTGTTCCCTTTTCAAGCTTGCCCTTTCCAGCTGGCATGCAGATGAGAGCGTTGGCGCTCCGCAGACTACCAACCTTGGAGCTTCTCTGACCACCAGTGCTGCTGCCGATCAACAATCCATTCTGTCCCACACTGACCACTGCGCGATGATACTCGGGCCGCGGATCCATTGCAAAGTCGTGCCCGAGCACAACAGGGACCTTGGGCAACCCGACTGGCGAGACGCCAGACTGCTTGTGTAGCGACGGCAGAACGAACAGGTGGAAGGTCACCAACGCCGACGCTGGGTTGCCAGGCAATGAGAAGATGACTTTTGACAACCGGTCACCGGCATTGTTCTTGACGGGTATTGTAGCAAAGGTGGTCGGTTTGCCTGGCTTCATGGCAACACGGCCAAAGTGGATGGTCCCTCCTAACGAGCGCTCAATGGTTGGCTTCAAAAGATCCAGTTCGCCCATGGATACACCGCCCGTGGTAATGAGGACGTCGGCGCTTCGTAGACCCTCGCGCAGAGTCTCCTCAAGCGAGCCAGGCTTGTCTTTGGCAATGCCCAGGTCAACCGTTCGGAAACCCCATGCCTGGGCAGCGGAGATGAGCGTGATGCGATTGGTGTCGCGGACCTCCCCGAGACGAAGAGCACTGGGCCTGTCGTAATCGACAATCTCGTCACCCGTAGACAAGATGCCAATCGTAGGTCGACGGTAAATTTTGACGGACGAAACGCCGACAGCAGCCAGGAGACCGATTTCGCCCCCTACGCCCGAGAGCTGCTCCCCTTTTTTGAGGATGACGCTGCCTTGGGTGATGTCGCTGCCCACCTCGCGAATGTTCTCACCCTCTTTAACACCCTCCACCTTGATCTCTACGTCTTTCTCCTCCTTGCCATCTTCCGTCATGCTGTCGAGGGTTGTATCCTCAACCATGATCACTGATGTGGCGCCGGGTGGCAATGGTGCTCCAGTGGTAATCCGAGCAATCTCACCCTCCTTCAGCTGTCCGATCTCTCCCGGCGCAGCGTGCGACACGGCCGTGACAGGGTATGCGCCTTTGAAGATGCCATCTTTGGGCACCACAACAGCGTATCCGTCCACGATACTTGCGCGGAAAGCAGGCACATTTTCCCGGGCTAGAACGGCCTCTGCCAAGACGCAGCCAACGATCGTCTCGTCAACATTTACCTCCACTATCTCAGGCTCTGGAGTAGCTTCAGATATCTTGGCCAGCGCCTCTCCCACGGATATCATGGGGTATGGTGACTCGCGATGGCGGCGAGTTGGGCCCAAACTTGGGTCGTTGGACAGCGATGTCGAGCCAGGCTTGGTATGACGGACCAGACCGCCATGACCGTGGCCATGAGTGTGTCCGTGTTCGTGGCCATGTCCATGGTGGTGATGGTGGTGGCCATGGGTATGCTCTCCTGCCGAGATTCCGGCTTCCTTCTCCAACTTCTTAACTCCTCCTGAGTGCAGTTTACGCGAGTCAACGCCCGCAGCTTGCTGACAGGCGTGGGGCAGGGTCTTGATGATAGCCTCGAGGTTCTCCTTCGCACCTTTGGGTGAGCCAGGAAGAGTGACGATGATGGTTTTGTTTCGGACGCCAGCCTTCGGTCTGGACATCATCGCGACTGGTGGGATTAGCTGTAGCATTGGAGCATCGTAGATAGAGGACTTACATGGCGTGACGGATAGCGAGGCGGAAATCATGGCATGCACCAGCCCTGGAGCTTCCTTCTGTAGCAGATGATCTACGGCCTATCGGATGTCAGGAACGATTCCGTATATTCTCGTTGCCTACACCAGGGTTAGCTTACCTCAGGCGTAGCATCTGCGATCGCGAATCCGGTTCCTCCGGTGGTGATAATGAGATTGGGGCAGTCATGCCCATCAGTCCAAGTTTTGATTTGACGCTGAATCTCCAACGCATTATCAGACACGATTTGTGTGTCCTTGACCTCCCACTTTCCTGCGCCTTGATCATCAAAGACACCTTCAAGGACCCCAGCCGAGGCGTCTGTCGAGGGGTCCTTTGCAGCTGTCGTAGAGACGATGAGAATTGCTGCTTTGAGGGGCTGCGCCATGTTATGTTTAATTTTGCAATGAATTCTCTTTCGTTTGAGTTAGTCGAAATGGCGCCAAAAGAAAGAGCTGCCTCGCGAGATACATCAGCAAGCTCAGATGTAGCTGGCCATGACGGTACCGGGTTGGCCCCACCCTGCAGTTACGTTAGTGACAGTATTTCCGCTTCGGCTCAGAGTTTCACCTGAAATCTTTCACGTTGATGACACGCGACAAATCCTCGGTCCATTGACAGATTTGACGGTCCAAAATGGTACGCATCAAGGAGCGCTATCTCCTGGTCAACATATTGTATCCCAATGATTCGACCCAACTGCCGAAACCAGGTCTTCCAAGCCATGTCCAGCTACACCAGCCTACAACAGACAGCATGACCCCAGGTTCACTGCTCAGAGGCATCAAGAAGGAGGTTGAAATTCTATACGGGGATTATGGTGCAGGCATGCTCAACGGGCTACAGAGTGAGTAGTAACGAATCACCTTGCGCGTGCCATTCAAAACTCTGACCATCTGCAGTCAAGTATCTTTCCCTGGCAACGTCCACCTTTATCATCAAATGCTCTCGCGCCATGTGCTCAATGTTGTGGTCAGCCTTGACTTTTATGGGCCGCGTCCCTAACAAGGACGGCACAGGGAAGCATTGCATATTCCGCGTGGTGCGCGTCAGCGGTACAATTCGCAAAGTCGAGGAAGAAGCCATTCGCCAAAGCAGGGCTCTCATCGTCGCAGCCAAGCAGGAAGCCAGTGAAGCACAAGGCTCGATATCCGGCATCACGCGACACACCGCTGGCACGCAATCATCGGCACAGAGTCACCTTGCAATGGTTGATGACTCTGACGAGTCAATGGACGACGCAGATGGTTGAGAAACGGGGTATCATTCATTTCTTGCGCGTCACGTTGATGCCACTATCCGGAGGCACTGACATATCACCAAAGTCCGGATCAAACGCGCTCCCAGAGGCCGGCGCCGCTGGCTGAGACGGCTGAAGATCCATGGCCTGCTGCTGTCGCAGCTTCTCCTGTTCTTCCTCGATTTCACGCTCTTCCTGATCATACGCCTCCTTGTTGTCGATCCAGCGCTCTTGGATGTCGACACCACCCATCAATGAGGCCTCATTCCGCATTGACACGGCCCAGATCGTGTCATTTGCGCCCTCGGCACTACCAAAGACATATCCACCAGCACGATCAATCACCCTAAGAATGTGCATCATGCTCTTTTTGTTTTCGATCGCCAGGACTTCGTATCGCACGAGACCATAGCTTTCGATCATGCCGGCGATAGCCTCGTTCAGTTTGCCGAATTTGTCGCTTCGCAGAGCTGGTGACTCGGCTTCGAGAAATGGCGTGAGGTATGTGAGATCGTCCACATCGGTGTAGTACTCCAAGTTGAAGGGCAGCTCGTCGTAAGCGTGGACCTTGTCGATCTTGGAGAGAATGTTGACGTGCGGCATGTCCATCTGGATCATGGCGCGGAGGGAGAGGAGGACGTTGGAGACGTAGAGCGACGGCTGCGTCAGGCAGAAGGAGTCGGAGAGGTGGACGCAGACGAACTGAAGGTGTCAGCGAGAGGTCCTAGTCTAGTTTCTCGGGGGTGGCATACCCGAAAGTCTGACTTCTTTTGCAGCCTGTTAAAGATGTTTCGCAATGAGTTGTGGTGCGTGTAAAGCTCGACTTGTCCGGGACAGTCAAAGAGGATGTAGTCATCCTTGTACTCCTTCAAGCCTTCCTCCAACCATTCGAAGTTGTTCTCAAGCTCTTCTAGGGCATACAAGATGCCCCCATTCGGTCCAAGTCGATCTTCCTTCATGATATCCTCTAGCTTCACGAGAGATCGAATGTCGAGGGCGGCAGGATAGCTTGTCTGGTCGTTGGCCGGGTCCAGGTTCACGACGGCGCATGCGCGCCCGATGGCGCCCATGAATTGGTGCACTAGATTGTCAGGCGTTGAAACTTCATCGCTTCGTGTTGCTTACTGCCATCGCAATAGGTACTTTTGCCAGCACCGGGGCTGCCAAGGACGAGCTGCGCGAAGGGCATCTCTGGGGATGTGATTCAGCTCAAATGTGCATTCTTGACTCTTCAGACATTTGAATGGCGGAGCAAGATTGATGTCTGATACACTCTCGGTCGATCAACGTCGTGAGTTAGCATGGTGGATGCGACAAGGTTGTCTCGTGCCCCGCCATCATCTTCTGGAAGCTCCGTCCCGGCTTAGGCTCAGACTGTCAGCGGTCGCGCGGTGGGGCATCATCTGCCGGCACACCGGCCAAACCTCGGCCGAGCCAATGTGCCTCAGGATCAAAACCCCCGTGGAAATCACAAGCTTCCCTTTCGGCAAAACTCCTCACCACCTGCCTGCACTTGCGTCAACAGGACGAAAGGGAATCTCCCCCACGAGCTTTCCTCTATCGCTCTTTCCCTTCACCATGCAGCGTGACAAGTCGCAGCACCAGCAGCCATGGCATCTGCCTTGTCGTCAAATGCTGCTGAGCTGGCCTCGATGAGCTCGGAGCCAAGCTCAGTCATGAGCGCTTTGAACGTGACAGCAGTCGATATAACCACCCAAGAGCCCTCAGGCTGGTTGGGTCTCTTTGGGCGGCTCATCATCGCCGTCCTCAACATGGTGTCTACCATTATTTATTGGACGTTGCGGATTGCAACCATCAATGTCCCCAGCATCCTTTTCACGCTGTTCTCCACCAGCTGGACCGTCACGATGAATGCGACAACCTTGATGCTGATCATGGCTGGCGTCGTCTCCGCTGTCAGCTGGGTCGTTCGCTACAGGATCCTCAACATGTACTCCCGGCTTCCGCCTGAGCCCCAACGCAAAGAACCCGAGATCGACCTCTTCCCCGACACACATGACGAGGGTGCCAAATCTGGTCTTTCGAGCTACTTGGACGAGTTTCTCAGCGCCATCAAGATCTTTGGCTACCTGGAGCGACCTGTTTTCCACGAGCTCACGCGGAGCATGCAAACCCGCAAGCTCATCGCTGGAGAGACCATCAATCTAGAGGAGGAAAAGGGATTCTGCATTGTTGTCGACGGACTAGTTGAGATCTTTGTCAAGTCAAGCCTGCACCCTCGGTCCACTGGTACTTCCAGCGATAGCTTCGACGACGAGGATGCTCATCCGGGTCAGCAACGCTACCAGCGCCTGACCGAAGTCCGCAATGGCGCTCCCATGTCGTCGCTGTTCTCCATCATGTCGCTGTTCACAGAAGATGTCAAGCTACAGCACACTGATGAATCCACTCATGTTCCTGAGGGGTCTGCTCATCCTCACGCCGCCTACGGAGCAGACGCCTCTGCCTCGATGCCAACCACCCCTCACTTGCGAACGACCATGGCCCACGCCGTTCCGTCTGTCGTTGAGGAGCACTCCGCTCAGGCACACGCCAAGGGCTTCAGCACTTCCCGCATCCCGCACATGTCGCTCGACGGTCAGGACTCCAGTTCAAGGAGGCCAGCTTTGTCACACAGAGCTACTTCAGGATCAGCACACCCCGACATCATCGCCAGGGCAACCGTCGATACCACAATCGCCATCATCCCAGCGAGTGCTTTCCGTAGGCTGATCAAGGTCTATCCCAAGGCGACGGCCCACATTGTTCACGTCATTTTGTCACGGTTTCAACGTGTCACTCTCGCGCATGCATTTGACTATCTTGGGCTTACCGGCGAGGTCTTGCAGACAGAGAAGAATGTCATCAAATACACAACTTGCCAGCTGCCGAACATCCTACGCGGGGAGGCTCTGACCCGGTTGAAAGAGAAGTTCAGTCGCGAGCGCGAGAAGGTGCAGGATGAGCAAGGCTCCAAGGGGATTGCCCTGCACAATCCATCTTTGACTCGTCGTAGGAGGTCGAGCACAAGCTTGCGCAAAGAGGCAGCATTGCATTTAGCTGCCAAAAGACAACCATCTATGCCGTTGACCACCCGGCCTCGGGCGCACAGCCCGGGACCCGGCGACCTCCTGTCCGGCATTCAGCACGCTCGAGGCTCGCACCGCTCGTCGAATTCAGAGGTCCGCAATGGCTTTCCCTTTGACTTGCCGCAAAAAGACGATGTCAGTCCGCTAGCCCAGCGGTCGTACAATCCTTTTGATTCTCGAGGACAGAGTCGGGTGCCCTTGGACCCCCGGGAGACGGCTGACGAGGACAACTTGTTCCGCACGTCCATACTTGAATGCATGCTTAAGGGGCTCGGCCTCGACGGCGGCGGCAGCGCGTCTCGTGAGCCCGACTCCGTGGAAGGATCTCCGCGGTTGGTCGGCCTGGATCCCAGGCGGGGAAGAGCTTTCTATACCAGTAACAGCAATGCATTTGGCTCCATAGGGCCTTTTGATAGTTCTGGCGATGGTGACAGCGAGTCGGTGACCTCGAGTGGCCTCACGGTGAGCGCTTCGCCGAGTGCTCAGGCCCTTTCCCAGGAGCTCATGAACGATGTGGAGATTGTCTACTTCCCCAAGGGATCCGTCCTTGTCGACCAGGGCGAGCGAGCTCCCGGACTCTACTATGTAGTGGACGGATTTCTGGACATTGGCACGACGAACACAAACGACCCTCACAATCTCTTTGCGTCGTCATCCAGTGGGCCCCCCAGTGGCACGCCTTCCACGCCTGATCTAGCCATGGGAGACATGTTCCCGGCGCTCGCTCAATCTGAGACGATCCGAGAGAAGAGAGAGGCGGAGAATTTTGGAGACGCCCGACGACGCAGTATCACGCTGGTGAAGCCAGGCGGTCTCGCTGGCTACATCGGAGGCGTGTCGTCATATCGATCCTTCATCGACGTGGTTGCGAAGACGGATGTTTATGTTGGTTTCTTGCCGAGAGCGGCTCTGGAGCGCATTGTCGATCGGTATCCCATCATTTTATTGACAATGGCGAAACGACTAACGCACATCCTCCCACGTCTCATCCTCCACATTGACTTTGCTCTGGAATGGGTACAAGTCAATGCTGGCCAGGTCATCTTTCATGATGCTGATGAGAGCGACGCCATCTACATTGTGCTCAACGGACGACTTCGCTTGGTCGAGGATAAGAAGGATGGTGGCATGGTCGTACGGGCTGAATATGGGCAGGGTGAGAGCGTGGGCGAGCTTGAAGTGCTCACCGAGACAGCTCGGGCCGGCACGCTACACGCCATTCGGGACACTGAGCTTGTCAAGTTCCCACGCACGCTGTTCAACAGCCTGGCACAGGAGCATCCCAACATCACAATCAAGATCTCCAAGATCATCGCTTCACGGATGAGAGCGGCCGTTGATGATCCGCTGAATCACCAGGGCAAAGAAGGGGGCTCGGCTGCTGTGGCAAGCCAGCGAAAGTCGACAATGAACTTGCGCACCGTCGCCATCCTGCCTGTGACTACCGGCGTTCCGGTTGTTGAGTTTGGCAACCGTTTGATGAATGCCTTGACTCAGGTCGGCCCACCAAATGGCGCCACTTCCTTGAACCAAGCCGGCATCCTCAAGCACCTGGGCAAACACGCGTTCAACAAGATGGGCAAGCTCAGGCTTGCTCAATACTTGGCTGATCTTGAGGAGAAGTACGGCTTGGTCGTCTATGTCGCAGGTAAGACTTTTTCTGGACCTTGTAATTCTTTGTCTTGTGATGAACAAACCCTATGTCCAAAGGCAAAGCCGCTGATGGTACATGTTAACTCTAATTTTTTCCTGATCATATCATACACACGCTTGTTTCTTGAAGTGTTTGCTGTTCCTGCCGCTGACCAAGCACCAGATACCAGCGTCAACTCGCCTTGGACACAAACATGCATTGCCCAGGCTGACAGCATCTTGCTGGTGGGTCTTGCAGAAGGGTCCCCTGCCATTGGAGAGTACGAGCGGTTCATGCTTGGCATGAAGTCGACAGCCAGGAAGACCCTCGTCTTGCTCCATGCGGAACGCTACTCCCCGCCCGGCCTCACGAGGTCATGGCTGCGCAACCGAGTGTGGATCAACGGCGGGCACTTTCACATCCAAATGGCCTTCCGCATGAATGAGCTACCTGTCCACCCGCCATCGAAGAAACTCGGCCAGGCCTTGAAGGCGAGGGTGCAGGTGCTCCAGGCCGAGATACAAAAGTACACGTCTCGCAAGGTGCACCACACGGCGTATTACTCACCCGACATGCCGTTCAAGAGCGACTTCCACCGACTTGCGCGAAGACTCTGCGGCAAGTCAATTGGCCTTGTGCTGGGTGGTGGAGGTGCCCGAGGCATCAGCCAGATTGGCATCATCCGTGCACTCGAAGAAGCTGGAATCCCCATTGACATTGTGGGAGGCACATCGATTGGGTCGTTTGTTGGAGCATTGTACGCGCGACACGCTGACGTTGTGCCCATGTTTGGCTTCGCCAAGAAATTTGCCGGACGCATGGCCAGTCTCTGGCGCTTTGCTCTCGATCTGACATACCCGTCTGCCTCGTACACCACGGGTCACGAGTTCAATCGAGGCATCTTCAAGGCTTTCGGGGATACGCAGATTGAGGACTTTTGGCTCGAGTATTATTGCAACACCACCAACATCAGCAAGAGTCGGGTCGAGTTTCACACAAGCGGATACGCCTGGCGATACATCCGCGCGTCCATGTCGTTGGCTGGTCTACTGCCGCCACTGTGCGATGAAGGCAGCATGCTTCTTGACGGCGGGTACGTGGACAATCTGACTGTGTCCCATATGAAGGCACTGGGCATAGACATCATTTTTGCCGTGGATGTTGGTGCAATCGACGACGACACGCCCCAGACGTACGGGGATTCATTGTCTGGGATGTGGGCATTTTTCAACCGATGGAATCCGTTTTCGACGCACCCCAACCCGCCGACCCTGGCAGAGATTCAAGGCCGACTAGCCTACGTGTCTAGCGTCGATGCCCTGGAACGGGCCAAGACGATGCCCGGCTGCATCTACATGCGCCCCCCGATTGACGACTACGGGACGCTGGAGTTTGGCAAGTTTGACGAGATCTATCGCGTGGGCCACAAGTATGGCGAGGATTTCCTGCAGACGATGCGCGAGAACAACGCGTTGCCGATGATGGAGGAGACGGAGGCCAAGCAAGCATTGCGACGGACGACAGCGCCCCGACGAGCGAGCATTTGAAGCGACTATTGCTGCTGGCTGCATACCTAGATAGCATAGACCAGAGAGATAGGGACAAAATGCCAGCGTATTGCAAAACAAGAGTTGGCTGGCGAACTGTGGGAAGCGTGAATGGCTGGCCGTCAACAGGATCAGAGTCCAAACCCTTGCATTTCCGCGACAGATCGATCGCAGCCATGACGACGTCTGTTATGCCGACGCGGTGACATCATTCACCATAAGCGGTGAAGAGCAGCATCGTCGACCCAATGACGAATTTGCTGTGGCTGCCCATGTGGACGAGGCGTTATGCATGTTGACGATGGCTGCATGACGGGCTGGGAGATAAAGCTCCTTAATTAGCGGCAGGCCCATTTGCGGCCCTTGGCACTGTCGTACTGACTGACTTACACCCAAGTGGCTATTGTTTGTGATCTTCCAGGCTATTCGTATCTACAATCTCTCGTGTACACACATCCACAGAGAGAAGCCCCAACATGTCAGCCTACGACTACCACAACTACTACGAGCCTCGCTCTCGTCACCCTCCTCCTTATCCTCCTTCCAGCCGCCGCCGCTCCTATTCTCCCCCCGGCTCCTCCCACCGCAGCAGCCAACCTCGTCGTCGCTCCACGGCACCGAGGTCACGACCAACACCCTACCACGAGAAGCAGCACGAGGACTGCGAGGGGAGCAAATGCAAGGCCATTGAGAAGGAATATGGCGGGTTCGGATGGACAGAAGGCATCGCGCTAGCGGCCATGGCGGGCCTGGCCTTGTTCAACTATGACAAAGCGTATGAGAAGCATAAGGAGAAGAGCGAGCGGGAGGACCGGGAGGCGGAGAGGCGTAGGGAGAGGGAGGAGAAGAGACGCAAGGGGGGTGCCCGACGAAGCAGTAGCAGCAGGAGGGATGATGAGGACTTTTATAAGGAAGAGTCGCGGAGGGGCAGTTACGAAAGGAGGCGGTATGAGGAGGAGGAGGATGACTATGAGAGAGAGCGTGACGGACGGGGGAGCAGTCGACGGGGTCACTGAGCTGAGCATGGATTTGTACAATAGCAGGCATGCGTGCCTTCAGGATGACAAGACATGACGAGTATACGAGTAACGATGACAGGATGATTTGGTTCGGTTCATATGCACGTTAGCTATTTATTTTATCTTTTTTTCACACGTCACGTCCGTTCAGTCAGCCTTGATGGCGCCGTATATCCTCCGCACAAAGGCATACGCGCTCAGGAAGCCCACGGTCCCCGTGAGCAGGCCGTACATGCAGCAGGCCAGACCGCTGTAGGCAAAGAAGAGCATGCCGCTGACAAACCCTGTAATGTGCAGTTTGAAGAGGTAGTACCACACGCAGTACGCAAACACCCAGATGGAGCTGCCGCCACCGACGATGAAGCTGTGCCACCACCAGCTGTGGTCCTCGGCGCACAGCCGGGCGTAAACGGAGACGACGGTGACCTCGGCAATAGTGACGGTGAGCAGAACACAGACGACGGCGAGGAAGCCAAAGACGTAGTAGTAGCCCGACTTGTCCTGCCAGAGGGACTGGAAGACGTAGAGCAGCTCGATGAAGAGGACGGCAAAGGGGATGAGGCCGTACAGCAGGCCGGACAGGACGGGGTGCATGAGCCAGGACTGGAGGGGGATCGGGCGCGGGACGGCCGTCGTCTTGGTCGGGTGCTCCCAAGTGGGCGCCTTGTGATAGCCGTGGTGCGAGCCGGCGTAGACGAGGGGCACCTGCACGCAGAGCCAGAGGGCCATGATGGCGAGCAGGGTGCTGAAGGGCATGGCGGTGCTGGAGGCCTGGGCCCAGACGAAGAGGTTGAGCACAAAGACGGCGCAGAAGGCGATGCCGGGGACCAGCAGCGCGGTGACGAGCGCGTTGCGGCGGTGGCCCCGGCCCTCGAAGCTCTTGAAGAGACGGGCGGAGAAGTAGCCGGAGAAGAGGCCGGCGAAGATGAAGAGGCCGACGCCGACGCTGATAAAGCCGCCACGGAAGCTAGGGTTCAGCACCCCAAAAGTGCTCAGCGTGATGAGGCCCATGGCCATGACGAAGAGCTGCACGCCCGAGCCGACGAGGGGCGCCAGCAGGCCACCCCAGGCGGGTGTGCGGAAGACGTCGGCGTGGAGCAGCTTCCAGCCTGTAATGTCCTCCAGCGCCTCCTCGTCCGACAGGTCCATGTCGTCGTCGTCGCCGCCGTGCGGCTGCTCCAGTAATCCGGTCGACGGGGGCCTGATCTTCTTCAACCGGATCTTGCCATCCTCCGCCACGGCGTCCTTGTACGTCCTAATGTCTGACCTGATGGTCTTGGCGAGGATGATCATGACGACGCCAGTCAGCAGGCCGCATATGATCAGCGAGTTCACAATGGCCAGCCAGTGAATGTGCGAGCCCTCATCCTGGTTGACAAAGTACAGGTCCCAGCGGTGCGCCCACTCAATGGTCTCGTCCTCGCGGAAGTAGACGGAGTACGTGTAGGGGATGGACATGACGGGCTCGTCGTCGTGAGCGCTGGCCGTCTTGTTGGGGGTCAGCTCGAGCCCGGACTTGACATTCTGTACGTCAGCCGGGCAGCCGTGCTCGTTGCGGGGCGCGTCGTAGCCGACGCTCTTGGGGTAGACCTCGAAGCCGACGACAACCTTTTCGCCGCGGTCGCCGGCGCGACCCAGTGCGCGACGGTAGCGGATGACAATGGTGTGGTGGTTGTTGAGAAAGTACTGGACCCGGCGGGCCGGCGTGGCGGCCGAGTTCACCTCGAGGTCGTAGCCGAGCTTGAAGCCGGCGGCGTAGTATTTCTTGGTCTTGTCGACGGTGACGAAGCTCGTGGCGCCGGGAAGGTTGTCGACGATCCACTCGGCGACGTAGCCCTCCTCGATCATCTCCTGGGCGCGTATGAGCTCCTTGAGGGTGATGTCCCGGGTGCAGAGCGTCGCGCAGGGCGTGTCGTGCAGCATCGCGAGCTGCAGGTCCGAGGCCATGATGCGGTCGCCCCGAAGGACCTCGCCCAGGTTCAGGGGCACGCTCTCGCCCGAGAGCAGACCGCCCGCACCGCCGGCTCGGTGGGCGCCGGTGGGCGGGCAGACAAAAGGGAGGTCGAAGTAGGCGTACTGGAGCTGGGTATTGTCCGAGTAGACCTTGTTCACCATGAGCGGCATGGGCTCGTCTCTCAGGTAGGACGTGACAGAGTAGCCGGGGATGTAGAAAGCGGATACGGCCGGGGCGAGGAGGAGGAGAATGCCCAGGGCATTCTGGAGAAGAGTCGCTGCCATTGTTGCGTTGTCGCGGATCGTGGTGGCTGGCCCTCGGTGGGGAGGTTTGCTGCTGGGAGCTTTTTGTGAAGCGACCGCGCGGCGACGTAACGCCCTATGGAAGGCTCGCTGTCAAAACGAGATGAGCTCGTCGATTCGAAGGGGCGTCAGCAGCGAGTTGTGCGCATTGGATGCGGCGAGAGCACTCGCATGGTGGCCGTTGGAGTCGCGAAAGTAGGCACTCCAGCCTTCATTCAGGCCAAGATGAAGCCAATGAATGACGTGGTTCCGCTTTCCTCAGGGGATCGAGTGGCGCTAGCCCGAACGGGAAGTAGACTGGGGTGTGCCTTGCTCGCGCCTGCCTCCACATCACGATCCGGACAAACGTCTCCTGAATGGCAGGAGCGATCTGGGCAACTTCATTCATCACTTTTACCATGTCACTGTGTATCGTATCTCCACCGACAGATTCGGGGTTTCAAGGTGATGCTAATGATAATTATAAGGACAATGATAATAATAACAATAATAAAGACAAGTGTATCTGTCTATGTCTGTGTACGTGTCTATCTACAACGCAGTTCAATGAAAGTCGCTTGGTCCCGATGACCTGGTATCATGTGTACGAAAGAAAAGAGAAGCAAATAAATCCTTCCGTCTAGAATCCAACACGCCAAAAGGGCCAAGAGTAAAGAAATACCCAAACAATGCTCATAAAACATTCATAACAATCCCTCAAGAACGCCATGCAAACGTGAACAAGAAGTGTGGCCTCGTCCAGCCAAGAGACGAGCAATCAAAACAACCGCCAGAAGGAACAAAATAATCCATTGAAACACATTAGACGCGTCAAATCAAGCCACTGCCACTGACCGCGTGGCCTCCTGGTACCCAGGCAGCACGCTCATCTGCGGTGGATGGGCGGCCTGCATGAGGCGCGGGGTGAGGTAATCCTCGGCCTCCTCGCGCTGGGCCTGCTCCATGGCGGCGTCGAACGAGGGCAGCTCCTCAAAGGTCTCTGGGTCGTAGAGGGTCTCGACGCCGAGCTGGATGGGCACGTGGAGGGTCATGGTGGTGTTGGAGGGCCCGACGGAGAGGACAAGCTGCAGGGCGTAGGTGCGGGACATGATGCAGCTGTGAAAGGTGGGCAGGAACATGCGCTTATTGGAGATGGGAATCTCGACGGGCAGTTTGAGGGTGGCGCGATGGCGGACGGCCGGGGCGACGGACTTTGCCTTTTTGTTGCCGCTACTGTGGTCCTTGCTGCCGCGACGGCTGTTGCGCCCGCGTGGCGCAACCTCGGGCTCCTCGTCGGTCATCTCGGCGGGGCTGCCGGCCGTCTCGTAGCCCGAGTCGCGGCGGACCATGGGGGCGGGGCGCTGGATCCAGTTGATCTTGTCCGGGCGGGTGTGGAAGAGGCCAGTGGTGGCCGAGTAGGTGAGGACCTGGTGGTGGGTATACATGGTCTTGGGCCCGAGGTTGGGGAGGGTATCGGAGCTGGCGCTGCCGAAGAAGGTGGTGGAGAGGAGCTTGCCCTGGACCGAGTTGATCTTGGGGGGCGTCGCGTCGGACGAGGCGGGCGCGAACTCGAGGTTGACGGTGGCGGTGGTGCCGCTGGCGCCGAAGCCGTCACCGTGAAGCATGGCGGCGCTGGGTTGGGCAGACGAGGCCGTGAGGTCGCCGGCCTTGGCGCCGAGCAGGTTCTTGCGGAAGGTCTTAGTCTTGGACAGGCAGTAGCGCTCGTCGACCTTGGTGATGTCGAGCGGGGGCTCCTCTGGGGTGGCGGGGAGGACCTTGAGGATCTTCTTGCCCTCGACGAGGGACTTGGAGCTGTCGGGAGCGGTTCTGGCACCGATGACCTTGGCGCGGACGGCGTACTCAATGTGCGTCATGTCGGGGGCCTGATCATCGCCGTCCCAGTAACCGACGGTCGGGGGCATGCGCAGGTGATGGTCCTGAACAGCGGGCGCAGCGGAGGCGTGCTTGCATGTGCCCATGGTGAGCTGGTGCGGGACGACAAAGTGGAAGGGAATGGTGTAGGTCTCGCCAGCCTTGCAGATGCGTGGGGAGGGCATGTCGTCGTCCGGGATGGGCATGCGCAGCTTCATAAAGGTGCGGACTGCGTTTGTCGTGTACGACTGGACAAAGTCGAGGCGGGTGGCGGCGGTGCCGGTGAAGACAATGTCAATGTTGTCAAAGGGGGTGTCCTTCTGGCAGTGGATGACTGCGTTGCCCCGGACGGTCGAGCCTGATGTGTAGATGCGCGAGGTGAAGTGCTGCTCCATCTTGATCTCGACCTGGACGGGCTTGTTGCCGGCCGTGGCCGCCTTGGTCTTGGGCCTGCCAGGGCCGCGAGAGTCTGACATGCTGAGAGTGAGGGAGAGGGAGAGTGTAGACTGCTTGCTTGCTCGCTCGCTCGCTCAACTCAGTGTGAGGAGATGGTGAGGTCTTCTTGTAGGATTCGCTACAAGTGCGAGGCGGAAAGTCCAACCAATGACGGACGCTCGAGCGTCGGAAATTGGTATTAGTGAGCAGGAAAAGAGTATCCCAATTCCCGAAGACACTGCGCCCTATTGTCGTTGCGACCCAATAACAGACCAGTGTCCTTTTGTCTGTCCTTGCTCCTGTGCTGTGCTGATAAATCGATGCGCGTCAAGCGCAAGGCGTAAGACGTCTGTGTGTTGTGTGTGTGAGATGGAATATGGTGGGGGCTTTTGGCTGGGATGGGAGGATGGATAGTGGATGGATGGGAGGATGCAGGTGTTGAAATGCTATTAGTGTTATTAAGTGTAGTATAGTCCGACCCAATGTACCCAGGCAGTGTAAATGACGAACAGATGCCCAAAGCTTCAAGGGGAAGACTGAGAGAGGGAGGGCGATTTGCTTTATACCTTGTGTTGATATGCCGTGGACGCCGCTTTTGAAGCCGACGACGGGCTGCTGCTAGGCAGCCCCCCAGGGGTTTAAAGGAGCACTTGTTCGTTCCTAGGGGGTTGCCCCAGCACGCCGTCTCCCGGCACCCCCTGTGGCCTTCCCAATCGGGGCACCGTTCAGCATGTCCCGCCTCTAGTTTCGCTGACCCTGCTGTTGGTGATGCACCAGATGCACAAAGGCCAAATACCAGCGGTGATTCGATCACGATGTACGCGCTCGTGGTGGGAGAACTAACGGATCACAACGTCCGGATCTGCCTATTCACGACGAAGGCATCATGAATTCGCCACGAATTCCGATGCAAGCAAGACAAGCGTATGCGCTCCCAGTCTTTGCGCCGGACCTTGTTGAATGGTCCTGCTCGTATGCCGTTAGTCACCCTGACACCATCAGCTGCCCTCCCGAGTCCCGACGACACGCCGACACCACAAGGTATCATTAGGGCCGTATCTAATTAAGGTATCCGGTGGAAGCTTCCACACGACGACAGGAGAGCCCCCAACTCGGCCGTTCGCCGGCCTCGGAGGCTGGAGCAGCGTCGCGCGACATGACAGCTCGCGCATCCATGGCGATCTGGATTCTGGACCCTGCATCGTCGTCCACACATTACCTAACCCCATCGTCTCACATCTTGGTGATTCCTCCGTCTCACCTCTGCGCTGCACCGCGAAAGAGGGTCAGGAACAGTCTCGACCTGACGTATCCACGACATCATTTCATCCTGACCGCTCCGCGGGGTCTGTTCCCCAGCGCCCTGACTCTTGTCGTCTGGCCGTCCGCAGGCTAAGTACACGTAATATCGCGAGACATGCCATTCTCTTGCTGGAATGGGAATTCGGCGCCGCGATCCCCATAGCTATTTTGCCCGGGCCTCCTCACGCCTCCTCGCGCTAAGGCAAGGACCATGCGAGGACATTAGACGGACGTGACTGTCTATCCTTTTTGCGCGCGAGCTTCCAGAAGCTTGCCCATCGGGTCCCGAATGCTTAAATGCGTCTGGGCGGACAGTACCTACTGCAGGCCAGCCGCACCGCAGTGGTCTGTGGGGAATGCTTCGTCCTCTCTCGTTGGACCGTCCCGACGGGCAGCCTCGCACGCCAAGAACGTCGCGTCGATCAGGAGGCTTCAGCCCATGTTCCAGTGCCTGCGTTGCCGGACATCGTCAACTGCCTCATTTTTGAATTGCCTCTGCTCTCTCTGGCCTTGTCTTCGCGTTACAGTCCCTCGCTAGCTACCTCGACGAGGCCGCGATCCATCGTGCCTCGCATGTCTGTCTGTCTGACTGCCTAAACCTCCCTCCCTCCACAGACGCCACCACCTCCGACACCGTCCCCAGCTGACTCTGGCGCCTACACCCCTCCCGTATTGAAAATTCTCTTGCCATCGTGACCGTGAGTGAGCCTTCTCCTCCCTCCTTCTTTCTTCCAGAGGGTTTTTTCTCGTCAATATTTTTCCCTGGCTCGAGCCTCCAAGGTCCACTCATGCACGTCGTGCGCGCCGATCGCTGCTTCAGGACTAGCGCCTACCTTGTGCGCCAGGCACGCGTCCTCATTGGCGATGGCGTGCGCTTCGGAGGGTTCCTTGCTCCTCCCATCGGCATCGCGTGCTTGGAGTCTTGGGACGACGGCCTGCATGCTGCTTTTGCTCGGCAGTCCAGACACGGACCACCGATGGGTTTCGCCAGGAATATCGTGATGAGCTTCATGCTTCTTTCCTCTGATGCCTTGTGAATGAGGTTGACATGACTGGGACACGTAGGGTATGCCTCTGCCTACACGCACGTTCCAGGCAACGGAACATGACCGAGCGTAGCTACAGTCTTTTTCTGCGCAGCTGCGGTCTCTACAAAGCGTGGTGAGTTGGATTGACGCCAATTTGACCGCACAGCGCCAGATGGCAGTCTGATCAAGCTGTGACTCTGCGAATGAGTGCATCCAAGCCACCATGAAGTCATCACCAGTCAGTCACCGACGGACAGAAGCTCCGAAGACGTGGATCTGGCAGGCTCTTTCGCGTTTCCGATCCCACTTCGATCTCATTGTGGGGACAATCCTCTTACCCTACACGTCACCCTTTCTCCAGTGTGACGATATGCCGCGCCCGCCGGGAGTTCACATGGGGGTATGTTTACTACGTATGTCGACTGCTGTCAGTATCTCAGTGTTTGAAATTGTTTGCAGTAGGAATGTGCCTCACCACGGTGCCATCCAGCGATGGTCACCTATCTAGACCGAGGCTAAAGTCGGAGTAAAACCAGACTCAAAATCATACCTGTACATACCATGGGGAACCATTTCCCTCAATGCGCTTCACAGTACCGTATCTTTCATGGCCAACATATCTCCTGTCCATGTTGTTGCATTCACTATCATAGAACACTCAACCATGTCTCGTGAGAACCGTGCTTCCACCACCTACGACATGCGTATATTTGCTTGCACATCAGTCTAAACCTCTATATCACACCCTCCTCGCCATCAAATCTCCATCAGCCTATACAGCCCCAACAACACCACGCTTCAGACACATCACGCCAGCCCTTTTTGTAAGCCCCCCTAGTCGTGCCATGAGATGTACAGCATGATACCCGCGCCCAGCGCCACGGCCGCAAACTGCACCAGCGTCTTCCGCAGCTCCTCGCCCTTGTTCCGGCCCGTCTCGAGCAGCTCCGGGATGACAGCCACCGTGCCGACATAGAGAAACGTGCCCGCCGTAAAGGGCAGCAGCATGTCCCCCCACGTCAGGCTCGTGCCCCAGAGGCCCGCGGTGCGCGGCATGCCCTCGCCCCCATCATCCGCCCCGGCGCCGCCCATCTCCTGCACCGCGATGCCGATGAGCGTGCCGAGCAGGGCGCCAATGGCCGTGATGAACTGGGATCCCATGGCCGCGCGCTTGGAGAAGCCCGACTGCACGAGGAGCGCAAAGTCGCCCACCTCGTGCGGGATCTCGTGGAAGAAGACGGCCACGGTCGTCGTCGCGCCAATAGTGGGGCTGGCGTAGAAGCTGGCCGACATGGCGAGGCCGTCGGTGATGTTGTGCGTAAAGTCGGCGCTGTCCGTGTTAGCCAATTCGTGATGCTTTTCTTTTTCCTTTCTTTTTCTTTTTCTTTTCATGGCCCGCACGTACATGAGGTTCAGGTAGCCGCCCAGTTTCACGCTGGGGTTGACCTCCTTGGAGACCGCGTTGGCCTTTTTGCCATTGCCCTTGCCCTTGCCGCCCTTCTTCCTGTTCTTGACCTCGCCGTCCGCCTTGTCCAATGCCGAGCTCGTGCCCTCGACGTGCTCGTGTGCGTGACCGTGAGAGTGGTCGTGGGCCGCGCCCCCGGTGGCGATGCGCAGGCCCTTGTCCATGGCCACAAAGACCATGAAGCCCACAAGGATGCCGAGACCGAGGAGCAGGTTGCGGTTCGGCTCGACGAGCACGAGCCGGATGCGCTCCTGCTCGTCCTCACCGAGAAAAATCTCGGGCAGCAGGTGGAAGAGCGTGTCACCCAGCAAGCCGCCGACGGCAAAGGCCACCATGACGCTCAGGCTGGACGGGTCAATGTTGGTCGGGCACAGAGCGAGGAGGAAGTTGGGCGGGCCCGAGATGTACAGCGTCGCCAGGAGGGCGTTGACGGCCGGCGAGCCTGGGAAGAGGACGGCAAAGAGCTTCTCTGTCACGGAGCTCGGGGCGGCGGCGTGATGCGCCGCCTTGGCCGCGTTGAGGTCCTGCACAATGGCGCACGACTGGAGCTGCTCGTCGAGCTGGTCGAGGGAGAGGGCGTCGGCGAGGGCGTGCTTGGTCTCGGATTGGGGGGCGGCGAGGATGAGGCCTGCGCAGAGCGCCAGGAGGGCTAGCGAGCGTGTCGGCGCCATGATGGGTGGGATATGGCGAATGGGGGAGTTGAGATGAGGTACTTGGAGCAGACAAACAAGAATGCATCCCTTGTCCAGGGGAGTCGAGCTGTCGCGTGTCTTTAACGTGGGGCGCGGGAACACAGTGCCGATCTAAGAAATGGGGGTGCATTGTCACGGTGTATATGTTTCATCACACGGTACGGAATCATGTATTCCAGATTTAATTATTAGTCCATTATCTTGATCTACCCGTGTTGTTTCGTAAAGAACGTATATCATCAACGTGGTATCCAACACTAGCAATATATTCACAACAATACATCTGTCCCGTCACATCATTTATAGAGCAACGGCACCAACGAGCATGGCCACAGCCGCCGCGCCCAGCGAGTTCATCTTGGCACCAGCACCGGCGCCAGGTACGGGCGTGGGAGGGGCGCCACCGTCCTCCGAGGTGGTCTGGGGCTGCTCAGGCTGCTCAGGCTGCCCAGGCTGCTCAGGCTGCTCGGGAGTGGGCTGAGGCTGCTCGGGCTGTTCGACCTGCTCAGAGCTGGACACAGGGTACCCAGGCCCAGGGACGACAACGCCGCCCGAGGTGGTGGCGTGGGTCGGGTTGTCCGTGGGGATAGGGTAGGAAACGGGCGTGGTGGGCAGCGTCTCATGGGTTGTTGGGTTGTCCGTGGGGATGGGGTCGACAATAGCCGTAGTGGGCAGCATCTCCTGAGCGCCATCCGTGCTGGTGGCGCTGGCGCTGGCGCTGGCGCTGGCCGTAGCCGTGGAATCCTCGGTCGACGACTGGGCCACAGACGAGGATGAGCTGGTGGAGTCGTTGCCGGCGTCATCGCAGGACATGTCAAACAGGGGCGTATCGCTCAGCTGGCTGCCCACGACGCCAAAGCTGGGGTTGGGCGTGGTGGGAGCGGCGTCCTGGAGAATGTACCACCAGATGTTTGTGTTGCCAAACAGTGGGCAGCCGACCTCCTTGTAAAAGGTCTCGGCGTTCTCGACGGACGCGACGGCCTCACCAAAGTCGTCGCCGCTGACGGGCCAGCCGGTCTCGGTGACCCAGACGGGCTTGCCACCGGCCGCCGCCTGTGTCTGTTCCAGGGCGGAGCGGAAGAGGGCGGCGCCGTTCTCGATGCCGTTGGGCTTGGTGTCCTCGAAGTAGGCGTAGGCGTCCATGCCGACAAAGTCAACGGCGTCGATCACGGGCTGGTTGGTGCCGTTGACGTACGCGGTCCAGGTGTCGACGTGGCCGACGGGAACGTCGGCCAGGCAGGAGCCCTGGATCGCGTCCCGCGTGCGCTGGATGTAGTCGACGAGGGTGTCGGGGCCGGCGCCGGGGTTCTCGTCATTGGCGATGCCCGTGGGCGAGATGCGGTAAAGGTCCTCGCTGCCGACGGAGATGCCCGCCACCAGACCGTCGAGCTGGTCGCAGTACTGGTCAATTGTGTTCTGGAGGGCCGCAATCTCACTGCCAAAGGCGTCGTCGCCCGCTGACGCCCACAGACCAAAGAGGAGGGACGTTTGCGTCTTGATGGCGGCGGGGATGGCGCTGATGGGCTGGTTGGCCGTGTTGCCTTGCTGTAGGTCGCGTGTGAGCAAGTGAACATATGAACCAGCGCTGGCAGGAGGTCAGGAACGTACAATCATGGTGAACAGGCGCGCGCTGGTAAAGCCGCCATTGGTGCCCTCGAGGTTCTGCGCCGTGGTGAAGGCAGCCTCAAAGTCCGACTCCTGCTTCAGCGAGCCATCGGTAAAGGTGGCGCCATAGTTGAAGCCCTGGTAGGCAGCGGCGGACGAGACGGCCGCCGCGAGGGAGAGAATGCTGCTCTTGGAAGGCATCGCGAGAGAGATGGTGGATGTTTGTGGTATGTTGATATACAGAAACGATGGAAGTCAAGCCCAAACGAATGAAAGCCAGACTGGTTTTGCAGGGGGAAGAGGAGGAGAACGAAGGCAGGTAGAGCAGCATATGGAGAACAAGTACTTGTACTGTTGATTCCTGCCGGTCCTACTTACCTTGCGGTACGTACAGTAGTCCACATGAGTAGTGCTGTATGATGGATGGATGGGTGGATGGGCGGACTGACGGCCCAACCAGGCATCATACTCGAGTCTCGGTATAGCAGGTGGCCCACGGTACGTGCCCGATCTGGATGGCTGCCCAGAAGGCCATGGCTCGGGTCGTCAATGGAAGCTTCCTGATCACCACACCTGTACGTGCTCGGGTCCACAGACGTGGAGGCTCCGTGTCCCCAAGACCAATCACGCTGGCAAGGCCACGCGGAGGTAGCCGGCCAGGCCTGGTCGAGATCGAGCTTCCTGTGAGGTGAGAGGTTTTCACCAATCGCGGTGGCGTGCCTTGCTTTCCGATGGCTTTCTTAGGCGGCTGTTTTGCTTTGCTTTGTCCTGTCCTGTCCTGTCCTGTCCGCAGGCAGCCCTTTCGAGCGGGACGGACATGGCGCTGCCCTGGCCATCACGCATCCGCACGAGCACGAGAACCTCCATCGCGGAGGCCAGCTTAGGCCTTCGGCTTGCAGCGCATAAGGTAACATCATGATGACGACCCCCTCACCCATGCCCGGAAATACGAGGCTTCCAAGCCTGTATGCAGTTGCTGCGTGTCGTCATGCATGCGCCAGCCGGATAAACCCCTGTCACCCCCGATCGCGCCAAGACACCCCCGGGAAAACGAAAGCGGTCGAATTGACATAGCCTCGAAACCCTCAGCAATGGTAGTAACTATCGCAGTGCGCGATATCGGATTGTGCTCTGGAATGGGATTGCACGCGGCTTGCCCCAGAGAATGAGAAAATTCTGCAGGATCGTCGTCGGAATCGGAGGCGCACCGTCTAAACTCTAAACGCCCAGTCTTGGAATAGCCACAGCCCTCAACTATTTAGACTACCTTATGTGGTAGATGAGTATGTCGTCCCTTGCAGAACAGCGAGGCAGTGGGTGCGTTTGGCTTGCATGTGGCGGCTGGCTGTCGAGCCACGTCGCGCCCTGTTTCCTTGCGCTGCTGGCGGTCAATGCGTGACTAACTCAGATACAGATACACGAATCGTATTCACTGATGGCTTGTTATCGTACGCCTGAGCGGCTGGATTATTGCTTCGTTGCCCAGTAATGTTCGGAACCGAATAGCACAGCGGCTTGTCATATGTGCAGGGTAGGCAGTATGTGTAGCAGGCGCCGGCAGCAACATCGCCAGTGACAAAGTCCTGAGCAATGTGATGTGCCCCTGCCCCTAGTCGCCACTCGGTGACGTTTCCCCCATAGCTAGCACATGTCCAGCTGCCAGATCACCTTGTCAACATTACAGCCACTGACAAGACCCTGATCACGCGGTACACTCATGTGTGATCGACCCAGGAAGCTGACGGAGCACGGTATGTCAAGCTGAGCCATCACGATAACGCCATGGCCGCATGTAACACAATACATGCTTGTAGCCCGGGCAATGCATCCACAGTAGCATGTAGATGGTCTCATGCAGACAGCCGTAGTCTTCCGGCATCAAGCCCCGAGAGCGACAGAGAGACGCAAGCGCAATAAACAGCTGCCATTGTTACAGAAAGTGGTATCATTACTCATCACGTCCTCATCCTCACTCAGTCCTGCCCCTGACAAGTCCGCGCAGCCCTGTCGACCTCTTGTCCTTTTTCCGGCTGCCGCTCGCCGATCCCTCCTCGGCCTTGCCCTCTTTGCGTATCCGATTTTGGACGCCTCCTGCGAATCAGTCAGAACACGCACACACACAAGTAATAGCACATATTCTCTCGCTGGGAAAACTCACCTCGTCCAAAGTACCTTTGATCCGGGCTCGTGGGCGTCGGCAGCACCTCTATACCCCCGGGCGTCGCTGGTCGCTGCCCTTGGCCGGCTGCCGACGTCGGGGCAGACTCTTTCCTAAGCGGCGGCGTCATGTTATACGACGTGGCGTCGGGAATTGCTGCATCTGACAAGGCCCTTGCTGGCTGGGCTACCTTGCCCGGAGCAGCGCGGGGCGGATAGTCACCGCTCGGCATGGGATGGCTCGATGCCTCCATCCTGATCTGCTCCGGCGTGGCGCCCGACTGCATGTCGAACAGGGCCGACTGCAGCGCCGTGTACTTGCGCATCAACCCGTCGTACTGCTTCTGCATCTCCGCCTGCTTGGCGCGGCTGCCTGCCATGAGCGTCTCCAGCTCCATTTTCTGGCCTGATCGTGGACGTCGCTCCCGTTGCGCTGAGCTCAACTGCGCGTGGAGTTCCCTGACCTGCGCCTCAAACAGCTTCCTCGCACGCTGGAGCTCAAACTCCTCCGCGGCCAACCGTCTGCTGAGTGACTCAGCGCGGGCTTCTGCCGCGGCCGAGGCCTCCATCTGCTGCAGCCGCTCCTGTTCTTGGGCCTGGGCCTCCCGCTCCGCAATCGTCAGGCGCTCGACCTCGGCCTCGAGACGGTCCGTCTCGGACGCCTGCAGCTCGGCTGACTGCATATTTTGCTTCCAGTTGAGCTCCTTGACCTCCCCGATGCAGACCAGCTTGCGCAGCTTCTCGCATTCCCCCTGCGTGTCCTTGAGCTCCCTCTTGACCCGCTCCAGTTCCTCATTTGTCTGGTTGGATTTGTCGCGGAGCGTCTTGAGCTTGGCAGACAGGTCCGCCTCCCACTTCTTGGCCATGGCCCGGCTCTTCTCCGACTCCTTGCGTACCTGCATCTCTGCTTTTTTGGCTTCCTCGAAGCGGTTCTTGAGGTTGCGGTTCATGATGATCAGGTTCTGCGTCTCCGCTTCCGTTGCCGCCTCCGACACTTGGCGCCGCCTGAGCTCACCGACATGGGCAATGTGCTGTTGCTTCTGGTAGCGCTCAAAGCTGAGGTCGTTCTGGAGCATGAGATTCTGCCTCTGTAGATGTGCCAGCTGGGAGTTTACGCTGCCGACGGCGTTGGCAGCACTGAAGAACGTCGTATTGAGAGGCTCCGTCGGCGGCTTCTCCTGTCCTGATTCGTGGTGACTGGCAGGGGCAGACGGCTCACTCTCCGCAGTCGACTGGCGCATGCCCGACTTGATGGCCTTGTTTGACTGGATTAAGTCTTGCAACTGAGTGTGCGATGTGGACTGTGTCAAAGATTGGTTGTCCACGCTCAGGCCGCTCCTCCTCCCTTCCGCTTCGTCTCTCGACGTCAGGCTAGTCTGCGAGTCCACCCTCGACAAGCTTCGATGGCTCAGGGTAGAGAGCGCCCTCTTGGGGAGGGCATCATGCGCAGGAGGGCTATCGAGGATAGCAGAGTCGCGTGCATTCTTCTGGCGTTCCATGGCCATGGATGGTAGTTGCCCTTCAAGTGTCATCGTATGGTCTGGTCCGAAGCCGGCCGTGTCAGTGGAGATGTAGAGGGCCATGCATTCGGTGACAACCTGAGCAGCCTCGCTCTTGATCCAGCGGCCCAAATCTGTCTTTTCCGACTCAACTGTCAGCGTATAGAAGTTGGGGTGCAATAAGTGGCACTGGCGGAATCGCTCTGACTGATCCCGGAGCTCAGTCGCTTGGATCCCAAACTCCTCCGCATTCACAATATTCGCATGGCGCAGATATCTAGTCGGCTTGCGAATGTAGTCCATGAGGTTGAGAGGGTATAGCCCGTACAGAACCGTATAATAGTTCGCCAGGTGAGCAATAGAAGTGTCATCCACGTCGAGGACCCGGCTGCAAACGTCCCATTCGGCCTCTGTCTCGGGGTTGTGAATGACCAGCTCAGGGCCCTCCGCCGATCCTCCTTTCCAGAACAGCAGGCGAGCGTAGATGTTGAACAGAACAGGTAGAAACGGCACGAGAGCACTCGGCATATGCGGCAGTAGCATGGTGAGCGCTGTCAACGCAGACGAGATGACGGCCGTGGAGGTGTCCTGCTGCAGACAACTGAGGAGGTGGCCAAAGAGTTGACAGTCAAGCATCTGGTGGAGATGCGGCGGTCTGTTCTGAACAAAGTCGCATAGAAAGCGCAGAGCAGCTTGGCGGTGCTTTGCCTGGACCAAGAAACTATCCAGCGATGCGAAGAACTGCAGAGGCCGTCTCTTGCCAAACGCAATCAGCGCTTCGCGGAACATGCGCTCGTTGTACTCCATGTTTGGTATACCCTCGACAACACCGGGGTAGAATCTCTCCATCCAGCTGGAGAATAGTGTGTGAACGATGGGGTTGATCGAGGTACCTTCTCCTACATCCTCTTGGTAGTCGTCGGCCAGCGCAACGAGGTCCATCAGTCCGGCGACGGTCTCGTCCACCACGTTGCGATCGTGCGTGACCCTCTGCGTCAGGATTCCCTGTAGTGTGTCCATCCAGAGAAGCAGTCGCTCGGGAGTCTGGATCATGGGCAGCAGGCGCCTGAGAATGGCGATCCATGCGCCCGAGGCGTCCAGATTCCCGCTGACATGCTTTTCGAAGATGGACAGCAGTTCCTCCTGCAGGCGGTCGGCGGCGGATTCTTCGTACTTTGGGTGTCGTCGCAAGTATGCCGCAATCGTCTCGATGAGTTCTTCCGGTAGAGGGAGCGTAGGCTCGGTGATGTAGGCGTTGATGGCCTTTGAGAGCTCCTTCAATGATCTGTACATCGTCAGCAGCTAGTCTAGCACGCCAGCGGGGACGGCGGGATGGGCGTACGTTTGTGAAGCCATGCTAAGTCTCAGGTGAGGGCTTTGCGGCGCCTCAGGCTTTCGAGTCAGCGCACCGGCGAGGATGGAAGCTCCTCGGAAGCAGCTCGTAGCTCATGGGACGGGATCTGCGACGACTTGGACTTGGGGATTGTGATATGACGATGGAGGTGTGGAACGTCCGCTGCAGGCGCGTTGCGGCGGAGAATGCAGTGGGATTTCGGGCGGACCCGCAATTGTTAGCGGTGGAGGCAGGCCTCCAGCGCTTGGGCGGGTGTTCATTAACAGTCTTCTTTTTTTCCATCTAACAGGACATAAATTACTCAGTACGTATTCGAATATTGAGCTAATTTCACGTGCAGATCAGAAGGCATTCACTTGGGTGATTCAACCTCTAGGTTTCTCTTGCATCTTAGCAGAAGACAGACCCTCAGCCATGGACAGCCTCATAGGGGTTCTCACCACACTCAAAGGCGGCTCCGATGCATTTCTACTTTGGCACGTCTAAGGTATCTATCACCTGGGCAAAAATTGGCGGCCTTCTATTGTCTGCTTCGCACCGGCACCTTCACAGATGGGGGCGGTTCGACTTTTCAACATCTCGCAGTCTTGGTAGGTGATACCAGGCCGATTCTTGTTCGTTCTTTGGTTCACTGGCACACTCCAGACCAGAGGGAGTGCCTCACAGTCATCGTGAGCACCTAACCTGGCATTTCCTGAGCGCAGACGTGACAGCATCCATGGTCTCAACCAAAGATGACACTCTCCTTGTTCCTCATGCATTTTTGAAGTCAAGACCAGAGCCATTGTCAGTTCGGGGCCGGCCTCTGTATTATGGTCACGTGTCGATCGCCTGCACAGTCAAACTCAAAACCCCACCAGGCCCCAGTAAGTGCTTGCTAGCCCCGACCTTCCGTCACAGTGCCTTCACCCCGCAATCGAGGCCTGGAGGGCCCTAGGGGCTAGAGCGCATGACCCCGCGAAATCAGCGGCTTTCAGTGGGTCACGGAAGCGTCGCAGCTGCAACCGGCTGCAGCTCACCCAAGCTTGCAAGGAATTGGACCCAGCAGGGGACCTGTCGTATACTTCAAGTGAGGTGTGAGGTGACCTGCGATGCCATGTTGCCTGATGGTATCTATCGACCATAGATCAGCGCAATTGCCCGCTCCACAGCCTCAACGATGAGGGGCTTCACCGGCTGGAACTGACTCTCTCTCCACGTCTGTCTCTCCTCTCCCACTGTGCTTGGAGTCCAATGCCGTCGCGTGATCCCCTCCCATTGAGTCAATCCACCCCTCCACTGAGGTGACGGCAGCTTGAAGCTCCCACCAGTAGCTCCAGCCCTTCACGTTCGGCAGGCTCGTGGCTGGCATACCATCCCGTCAATTGCTATTTACCCCTCTCCATCCCCTCTCACTTCTTCCTCTCCCTCTCCTTCTTTCTTCTTCCCAGCACAGCTCCAAGCTTGAAACCACACACAACACTCCACAAATACTTACAATACCGGCAAGATGTCTGCATCAAAGACCTCGGCGGTGGCCGACGAGCCCATTGAGGTGCTCTTTGCGCTCCACCCAAAGTTCGACCTGCTCGACTTTGCCGGCCCCGCCGAGGTGTTCACCACTGCTCTGCACGACTGGAAGGACGAGTGTGAGTCTTCTCATGGGTGATTGCTTTGTACTGTGCGCCAATTGACCCCCCCGTCAGCCTCCAAGGCCTTCGACATCACCCTGGCCGGTGCAGAGGACAAGGTCCTCTCCGAGCAGGGCGTCATCATCGGCTCCCAGATCTCGTTCAAGGAAGCACACAAGCGTCTCGAGGACTTTGACGTCCTCGTCATCTTGGGCGGCAACTCGGCCGAGATTCTGAAGACGGAGGAGCAGCCTGCCGGCCTGATCTGCGACTTCTCCGAGCTGCAGAAGAAGGACCCCGGACGCGAGCGCACCATCCTCTCCGTCTGCACCGGTGCCCTGTTTCTCGCCAAAGAAGGTATCCTGTCCGGCCTGTCGGCCACGACTCACCCCGACTACTTCACTACCTTCGAGAATCTGTGCAGTGACGCCGCGACCCGCAACCTCCAGGAGCGCACCGACGTTGTCGAGGACGCCCGCTACGTCGTCAACAATCTCCGCTTCGATCTCGGCGAGGAAGACGACAACCCCTACATTCGCCGCAAGTCTGACGCCGGTCGTCGACCCTCCAACGCTCGGTAGGATAGAATGTGCTGTAATTCTGTAAGGACTGAGCTAACTAATCATAGCAAGGGCAGCATGTCCTGGAAGGGCTCCAACACGCGCCGCGAGTCGATCACCCGCCGCGCTGCCATGCGCCTTGGAGGTCTGCGTGTGATCACGGCTGGAGGCAACAGCGCTGGCGTGGATGCAGCCTTGTATCTCGTCAGCGCCTTGGTAGATGATGAGTGTGCGACGGAGGTGGCCAGGATCATGCAATGGACCTGGAACAAGGGCGTTGTCGTCGACGGTCTCGACGTCTAATTAAATTTGCCCGGCCGACGAGGGCCAGTGTATCTTATGTGAGGCCCATGGGTAGACCGACAGCGGCCCATGGAGCGCCCATGTGTTTGCTTTAGTCATGATGTGTAACGAACAACGCAACGGATGATTTGTTTGCTTTATTTGACTTGGCGTAGGAATGTCTGGTAACGAGTCGATACTTGGGTCTTCGCGCGTCGTTGGTGCGTGAGCACGTGACGTGAGAGGCGGCTCAGTCGTTGGCGACCGCGAGCCATTGACTTCTACTAGACTTCTATCAGCCACCTGAGAGTGTATATCGTGCCCTTGCTGGAGGTCTGAAATAAATCTGATGACCAACAATGACCAGAGGGCCGCAGGAAACAATGTGCAAGGCATCTGAGAACAAAGAAATCCTCGCTGCCGCCCTTGGAGGGTAGTGACATTAATACAACGGAGCAGGCCCACGCCGCGCTCACCTTAGCTGCTCCGCTATTCTGACCACCACCGGCCGATGGTGGCGTCACCCTGCAGTTGCACTTCTGCTGAATTTCCACTCGCAGACAATGATCCAATTCAATCAAACCTGAGCAACAACAACCAACATCCACCATTTTCTCTCCTCCACGCGTCGCCCTTAGAAGCCACTACTCTTACCGCAACCCATCACTGAGGGCTACTCGTCCCTATTGCAGCATATTTCGGCCATTTGATCAAAGACCTCACTCAAGTCTGCTGCCACTAAACAGCGCCACGCGCGCCACGCGACTTGAACGACCATGGCGACCAATTGGTCCTCCCTCAAGGTGGTTGACCTCAAAGCCGAACTCAAGAAGCGCGATCTACCTCAGCATGGATTAAAAGCCGAACTCATCGCCCGTCTGGAGGAAGCAGAGCAGACTGCTGATGTGCCGCCTCACGAAGACGACGTGGGGCATGAGGAAGAGAATGCTGCGGACAGCACCAATGACCTCGAGAAGCGTCAAAACGACGATGAGCACATGAAGAAGGGCGCTCAGGCATCTGCCGACGGTCAGAAGGATGTCGACCCGTCTACGGAACCTGCGCAGGCTGAACAGATTGTTGGATCGACCGAGCAAACAGATCAAGAGCCTCCGGCCACCACGACCGATGCACCCGAGCCGGCCAAGGAGGTCGAACAAGACAACTCGACTCCTGCACCTGTCGAGCCCATGAATGCGACAACAACTGAAGAGCCCCAGGATGCGAACGCGACCCATGCTGAGCAGACTGCCCCCAATGGAGAACAGCCAGAATCGCCAAAGCGCGAGCCAGCCCACGAGGACAGCATGGCTGTCGACGCGGCGGAAGTCTCACCGCAGCCCAAGGAAGCTTCGCCTATGCCCGAACCTATCCCTCCATCAGAAGACACTGAGGACCCTGTCGCTGCCGACGCCAACCAGAAGCGGAAGCGTCGGTCCGCGAGCCCATTGCCCAGTGAAGAGTCCATGGCCAAGCGCGCCCGTGTCGCCGAAGACTCCCGCAGCGAGGATGCTGCGCCCTCCGTCAGCATTGCTTTCCGCCCAGACGAAGACGCAACCATGGGCGATGCCAACGACTACGAGCAAGATCTTCCCGAACAGAGTGTCGCTCCATCGATCCACCACGCGACACCTGCTCTCTACATCTCGAATCTCATGCGACCGCTACGCCCGGATGATGTCCAGGCTCACATTGTCGACCTCGCTACACCGCGCGGCCACTCGCTGTCAAACGATATTATCACTACCTTCCATCTCGACCAGATCCGCACGCACGCCTTTGTCGTCCTGACGTCCACGGCTGCCGCGTCGCGCGTCCGCACACTGCTACACGACAAGGTTTGGCCTCGAGAGAGCAACAGAAAAGCACTCTTTGTAGACTTTATCCCCGAAGACCGCGTCAAGGAATGGATCGATACAGAAGCCCAGTCGCGACGAGGCACGAGGTGGGAGGTCATATACTCCTCCGACCCGGAGCCAGAGGCAACCCTCGCTCAGAGCACGGACACATCCTCCCGTCCCACGGGTTCATTCTCCAATGCCATTCCCACCGGGCCACGAGGCGACTCTATCAACAACATCCCCGTCGGTCCGCGCGGTGCACCGACTGGTCCGAGAGCCAAGCGCTCTGGACCAGGCCCGTTCCCTCCCAATGGACCGGGTCCCCATCCTTCTGGCGGTAACAGGACACGAGCGTTCCCACCAGTCTCGTTCGCACCAGTGGCCGACGAACTCGCGCAGCGACGAATCGACAACATTCGTGGATTCTACACGGACCGTCGTGGACCGTATGGCAAGGAGCTGAATCGCTACTCGTTTGAGGACGGCGACAGGTTCGTCGACCGGGGCACCGAGGTGTTTGTTGCCATCAGGCCGCCTCACAGGGACAAGCCTAGGGGAGGTGGTCGCGGTCGGGGCGGTGGTCGTGGTGGTGGGGGCGGTGGGAGATTCGACGACCGAAGGTTTGATCGCAGATTTGACGATCGCAGGTTCGACGATGGTAGACGATTCGACGATCGGAGGTTTGGGCGGGACCGCTTTGCGGGTGGCGGCAGAGGAGGTGGTCGTTCATGGGGTGATCGTTACATGCCCGATCGAAGGTGAGGCTGCATGCGATGGAGTCGTGCGACGTGGTGCCACATAGCAAAAGGGGTCTAGGACGTAACATAATAATGAGCCTATCATGAGACATGGACGTCAGATTCAACGAGGACGAGAACTAGATTTCCATTCAAAATCAAGTTGGCAAGTGATTTACTGTGTGTCCCAAAACATTCCAACTCCTCTTGGCCAACCCTGCGCCCCGATTGCGTCCTTCCCAATTCAATCCTTAAGCTCGGCTGACGAGAGGCGAAGGCTCGACACCAACACGCTCCTTGCTGAGCAGGTCCAGGATGAACTGCGTGGGACGGTTGTCCTTATACACCTTCTGGCTCTCCTTGGCGAGCTGGACGTTCTTCAGATACTTCTCGAACAGGTAGGAGCTGTCCTCGGGTCCGCCCTTGGCCTCGGGGTGGAACTGGGTCGAGAAGATGGGGCGGGTCTTGTGCATCATGCCCTCGTTGCTGCCATCGTTCAGGTTGACAAAGTACTCCTTGAATTCACTAGGGAGAGTGCTTGCGTCAATGGCGTAGCCGTGGTTCTGGCTGGTGATGTGGCACTGGCCGGTGGTGAGGTCGAGGGCGGGGATGTTGTGGGCACGGTTGCCGTACTTGAGCTTGATGGTGCGAGCGCCGACGGCCAGGGCGAGGAGCTGGTGACCAAGGCAGATGCCCATGATGGGGATCGAGGACGTCTCCATCAGGCGAGCTAGATTGTAGACTGTGTCTTGGCAGTGGGTCGGGTCACCGGGTCCGTTGGAGATGAAGACACCGTCGTAGTGCTGGGCGACCTTGTGGATGGGGTAGTCGTAGGGGAAGACTGTGACAGAGGCGCCACGGCGGACCAGGCTGCGCAGGATGTTCTCCTTCACGCCGCAGTCGATCAGAGCGACGTGGTAGGCGGCGCCGGGGGACTCAACCACAAAGGGAGCCTTGGTGCTGACGCGCTTGACCAGGTTGATCTGGCCGGGGTCAATGAAGCCCTCGTCCTCGTCCGCATCGTACTCGTCACCAATGGTGATCCTGGCAAGAGAAGAGCCCTGCTCTCGGAGGTAGGTGACGATCTCGCGGGTGTCGACGCCCGAGATGGCCGGCACACCCTCACGAGCACACCACTGCGACAAGCTCTCGACGGCGGTCCAGTGGCTGTAGCGGAGCGACACGTCCGCAACAACCACACCAGCGCACTGGATGTGAGGGGATTCGAAGTGTCGGAGGAGGTTCCACTGGTCACGCTCCTTGCTGGGCACACCGTAGTTGCCAATGAGCGGCTGGGTGAAGACCAGGATCTGACCTCGGTAGGAAGGGTCGGTCATGGACTCGGGGTATCCGACGAGCGAAGTCGTGAAGACGGCTTCGCCAGAGATGTTTTTGTTGGCGCCAAAGGCTGTGCCAGTGAAAACTGGTCCGTTCTGCACGGGAAAGCGTCAGCAAGTGCGTCAAACCCACCGACGGTGTATACATCAACTTACGCGAACGGAGAAAGTAGCGGGCAGCTGAGCAGCAGACTCGGCAGCACGGGGGGTGAAGGGCATATCGCGGCCCTTGCTGCCGGCATTGGGGGCCTCGGTGGCCATGGCGCGGGTCTGGCGGCCATTGCGAGCGGTGACAGTCTGGCGAGCAGCAGCAGCCGTCTTGATACCCGAGACACCGAGAGCGGCGACGGTCCTGGTGTTGCTAGCCAAAGAGCCAGAGGCGTGGTGGACGGCCTCCTTGGCGGCGTTGTTGGCCAGTCGGGAAAACATCTTGAATGTGGTTGGTAGTTGGGTGGGTGTGAATGGGGGAAGGTCGAGAAGGTAGGTAGATCAGACGGTAGCTGGCTTCCCTAAGATGACAAAGACCTCCAGAGATGGTCTATGGCAGCTTCTGTTAGTACATGAAGGCATCAGAGATCTCTATACTTGACTGACCGCCCCCATCATCCGGTGCAGGATGGTGGCGGTGAGTCAAGTTTGGGTGAGGGTCCCACGAACCTGACAGATAATCCTGCGCGCGCGCGTTAGTGACATGCGCCAACTGACACCGTGAAGGCAACCAGAATAGAGCAAAAGCAAGACTGCAAACAGGTCCCAAGTCCAATGGCTCATGAAGGGGGCCGAGGAGAGAGATGAGGTTATTGGCGATGGTGGGGTGCGCTGGGAGCGAGCTTCGGGGATGAGGACGCAGGATAAAGGAAGTGTCGTCTTTCTTACCTGAGAAGTGAAGACTGACGGGCGCCCGTTCATAAGGGCGGATTCAATGGAAAATGAGACAAGACGAAGATTGGCCAGGGCCGTAGATCGATAGGAAGAAGCTCAGGCTAATAATGAGTTGCTGGGGCAGTTTGGAGGAGAAGGTTGAGTCGAGGAAAAGAGGCTCGAGGGAAAAAGGCGATTTTGTGATGAGGCCAGCGATAAAAGGAAAAGAGCCACTCACTGTGCTGCTTGCCCGTCACCAAAATCTAGTAAGACTAAAAAGGCCTTGCCGTGATTGGCTGCCATCATTTCTTGACATCGCAGGGCGCCGTGACCGCTGATAGACAGTGGGGACCATGACACGCTGTCTAACCTTAACCCTTTTGGGCCACCAAAAAGCGCCGATATCGTTGGGCCTGATTAAGATGCGTAGATAAGGCCGTGGAAGGCCACGATAGATCAGCACTCACACGGCGACGCATTATTACTGTATCCATATTGCTATTCCTCAGGAATACAGATCATCAAGATCCCAGCATGAACGCCACTAGCTCTACTGGTTACATGACCGCGAGTTCATCTCATACAACACCGACGTTACAGCCTAGCCACTTAGCTGATGAAGCAGAGGCAGCCAAGACCTAGGTAGAAAACAAAGAGAGGGTAGATGGCGATGCCGACGCGGTTCTTGACGACGCCGCTGCCGCCCAGAATGCTCACACCGGCGGCCAGAGACCAGCCGATGAGCACAATGTAGACAGGTATCCTTGCGATCCAATGCAGCCCCAAAGCCGACATGAGCGCGGCGAGGACGAGGGGGAACAGCGTATAGCCGATGATGCAGACGCTCTGCGCAAAGGAGCTGTGTATATCGTTAGCAAAACATGTATCAGCAGTTCCTCGCGATACGCACATGTTTCCGCCCAAGAGCTTGATCTGCAAGGTGACAATGGCCTCTCCCAGCCAAATCATGGCAAACACGCCACTGAATACCTCATCCCTCTGCTCATGGTGCGGCATGCTCAGCAGCAGGCTCAGCAGCAAGCAGAAGATGAGCGGACCCCAAAGATCCCAGTCGCGCAGGCCGGGCGTCATGTTGCTCTGCAGGAGGGCCTCTGGGTCCATTACCCGGCTCGCCAGACCAGTGAGTTCCTCGCGCGTGCCGGTGATACCCGCGCCTCGTATGTTGGAGTATGCGCCGCGCAGGCCGCCGTCCGAGTCGAACATGGTGCCGCCGAGGAGGTATTTGGGGTAGAGCACCTCGCGCAGCTTGGCCCAGACGGCCAGCAGGTCGCGACGAAGAGTCTCCCATACCGTTTCGTCAATGGTGTTCTGCGACGCGCTGCGGTCTTCGCCGGGGATGCGGGAGGTTAAGTAGCCCTCGTTCAAGGGACGCGACGAAGAGCCGGACCCAATGTTGCCCGCCAGTGGCTGGCGGGATGGTTGCTGACCGAGGGGATCGTCAAAGTCGTTCAGGTCAGCTGGGGACAAGTCAGTGCCTCGGTCTGCAACGCTCATCTGCCCATTCACATACCGTCGTCAGGATCAATCAAGTCGTCGTCTTCCAGACTAGGATTATGGTAGGCATCCCTTGCGCTTGAGGCAGACATCGCGACGGGCAGGATGTGTTGCGATCGAGATGTGTATTCGAATTTGCTGCGGCCGAAAGTTGATGTCGAGGAGAGGCAGGAAAGTTGTTGCGCTCCGTGGTCGACAGTGTAGGTCAATGGGGATGATCAGAGAGCTGACGCTATTGTCGTCGCGGTCTTTCCACGTTTCCAGAATTCAGAAAGAGGTCCAAGCTCCTGCCACCAGCTTCAGGGGCCTGGGACGAGCAGTACTGTGCGTGGTGCTATTTAACACTGTGGCCAGCACTGCTCACATATCCCGCCCACTGCCCAAGCAGCTAGCTATCGCTCACATCAATACTAGACCAATACAAAATAATTGAGTGGTGTGGTATATTAAAGCTCCTATGCAATCAGGAGAGAGATGGGATTGTAGAACCAACCCACGTGTGCGCAAGACTGCAGTCAAACTCTGTATTGGGCCAGTTGTGACCATCACTCAATGTATTACCCTGGACAATCCAGACAAACCTGCTCCGCTGAAATTTGAGTATCGATTCCGTACTCCTACCGATCACGATCAGGCCAGTCGTCAGTACCAGTACGATAGGTGTAATCACCCATACTATCCAGCGTGGTATTGCTCGTCCACCAGCCACTGTTGCTCGGCGTTGACAAGCTACCCATGGAAGTACGAGCGCGTAAGCCATGGCGACGCGAGGATTCCCCCGACATGTTCGACGAGCTAGACGTTCCAGAAGACGGCTGGCTAACTCGTTGCGGTCTCGTTCTTCGCACGCGACAGTCTATGCAGTCGCAGGCCACATTGGGCCGAGTCGTGGTCGCCGTGGTCGTCGAGCCGCAGTGCGGGCATGTGGGCGGCGTCGCGCTCCCATTGCACCTGTTACATGTTTGCCGATTGCGGTTGTTGCGCCTATCGCGTCCCATGGCCCTCCTGCGCAAGGCCCTGCGTCGGAATCCTTCGGCTGACAGCTCTCGCTGTCCATCCTGCCAGGTGCTGGGGACCGCTTCGCCACGAGGATTGCCGTGCGCATAGTCGGCAAGGTTCTCGTTGATGCCAACCACGGCCCATGCAAAGACAGCCGACTCACGGATGGTTTGGAGGGTGTTCTCGGGGACTGGCGACGGTGGACGAACCGCTCGGTAGCCGTAAGTGCGCGCTGCATGACTTCGTGCGCGGGTTTCGTGGATCGATTCAGGCGCATGGCTGGCTTGAGCGGGCTGATGAGCCCATGGGGCAGCAAACTGTCCCCGGCTGAGGGTCTGACGATAGGGAGAGCGACGGTCCTCTGGAACGGGCCTTGCACGCCGCAGGATCACCACTAGACCGTCTGACGTGCAGGAGACAACAGCCTCCAGCTCAACAGAACGATACGGGCGCTGGCCTCGTCGTGGCCCCGCCGTCGATTGCGATTCTTGTGACGCCACAGGCTCATCGTACGACTGGCCCGGTTCGGACGGGAGCAGTGGGATCTCCGACAGCCTTTGCAAAGGCGGCTCCGATTCCGAGCGCTTGATCCGGACCTCGCCGTCTTGTTCCCCTTGATCCATCGGAGATCGAGAAAGAGACCGTCGACGGCTCTCTCGAGCTGAGGAGTAGAGAGTACTTGGCGGTCCTGTGCTGAGACGACCCTCGGCAGCAGCTTGCGAATTGTCTTCCGAATCCGAGGTCAGTCGAACGCCCCCGGGGCTGTCCTGCGAGTCAGACTCGCTTCGTTGCACCATGGACTCGTCTTCCGTGTCGCCGTCCGTCTCGCTGTCGACATTCTCCGCAGGCCGTGGGTCCCGAGACCAGAAACGCAGGTAGGCGATGGAGTCATTAGCTTTGGCGCGTTCCAGACATTGGAAGGCCTCCTCGACGCAAGCCTCATCTATACAATCGTATAAGCTTTGGTTCTGCAGATCAGGGGCGGGAATTCCCAGGATGGAAGCGACCGCGTCTGTCGAGAACATGACTCGCAGCGATCGGGTGAATCGGTTGACGATGAGGGCCGCTCTGGGTTCGTGAACGGGGGCCGGCATCTCGAATTTGTACGAGAGATGCTCCAGCATGTAGTAGCGAGGGTCCATGGACGAGCAGGCGAACAGTCGGCGGATGTGGGGAGCCTCCAAGGCACGTCCTGCGGGTGTGAGTAAGCGATGGTCAAGGTTAGGGTACCCATGCTAGACTTACGCTCGCTCCGTTCACTCCGTTGGTAGATGCTGGTGCAGGCCACCAGCACGTCGTGGACGATGGTGAAGCAGCACTCGCAGTTGATCCATTGGCCGTCGATGCCCATGATGCTGAGGTAGTTCAGAGCGGCTGCCTTGTCGAGCCTGATATCCCGGGCGTATATTTTGCGTGCCATCTGCACCTCTTCGGGATGGAAGAATTCGAAGCATGACCTGCCGACAACCTGTTGAGCATGGTAGCCGAGTATGTCCGTGACAGAGTCAGAGATGAACAGGATGTTGGCACCCTCTCCGAGGTCTATGCTGGTTAGACTCGCTGCTAGACTGGAAACCAAACTTGGAGTCTTACCGTGTATACTGATAAAGGTCTGATCCATGGTGAAAGATGGCAGCCCAATGGACGATGGTGATGATTAGGTTTTTCTTTTCTCTCAAGGCCAAAATTGAACGATGATGTGCTAGCCCCTAAAAGAGCCTTAAGGAGTATGTACTCTAGCAACGAATCGTTCGAGCCGTTCTCAGCGACTCATCTCAACCTGGTATGATGTACCTCGAGACAGCGTCGGTACTAGGGTCTGTTGCTCCGCGAGCTTGACAGCAACAAGTCTGGTGTAAAACGTCGTGAGAAGTGTCCGGTGGGGTTGAAGCACCTGTCGATCGTCTCAATACTGGTTCACCAGGAGTCGAATTTGTTCGTGAAGCAGGTCGTCGTTCAACAAGTTCCACTGTTCGAAAAGAACCAGGTGTCAGAGAGTTGTAAGTCGCGGCAAGGTGCAGCAGTATCAGCAGCGTTGTGCGCCCGGAGCGGTGGACGAACGTCCTTGGCCCCTTTCTCCTCTGAGGGTCACCTCGGGCTTATTAAGTGGTGCAGACCAAGTGTCTCTGGGGATCGGACGTGGCGAATCTATCTCAATCGAGGCAGTCTCTCTGAGGGCGTCCTGTCGGTAGTGATGCACAAGTAAAGGCTCACGAGGAGGACTTTATTTCTTCGGACTCGAGCTTCTTGCTAGTTCGCAGTAGTCTTGAACTACAGTGTGTAGCAGGGTGGCACGGTGTGGGACAGGTCTGGTGGGTTGATGACTTCACGCAAGGTATCCTCGCTCTGCAGATCTGCCGTGGATTATTGGGTCGTGACGAGGAGTCGAGGACTGTGGTTGGACCTTTGTCTCGGATAAGAACTCTTGTAGCTCGGGAGTGCAAGCAAGTAAAGGTTTGGGTCCAGGATCTGGGTCTAGGGTCCAGTAATAGAGAAGCCTGGGATGTGGTGTGATTTTGTTCTGGAGCGATCTGACGACTTGGGGTTGGGTATGTACTAGACTAGCTACTCGTGCCGCGCCCCACCACCTCGTTAGGTGACGAGGTGGTGGGGCGCGGCACGAGTAGTGTCTGCGCGCTCTCTCGTGCGAATGCCGGCCGCCGCACCCTTGTCCGCCTCTGCAGCTTCAGCCGAAGCGAAAGCAGGATGGATCATGATGCAGCACATCCTGCGCGTACTAAATGTACTGTATGGAGCACCCGGGGTGGAACGCGAGCTATGAGGCCGACAGTAAAACCGGATCCAACTACAGCGAATGAACAGTATTTGTATACTCACACAGTATGGCACGCCCTGGCATATGTACCTACATACATTGATTTACTGGACCCCATCAGGCATGAGCCAGCTCTGCAGCAGGCTTCTGCATGTAATGTGTTGCCAATGTGTACATGTACGTACGCACTATGTGTACACAGCACTGTACGCCATCTGCGATCGCGGGCATATATCCGTTCAAGCTCAGCTTGTTCTCTCGACACCGGACTCGATGGCAAGTAGGTAGTAGGAGGTCCAGCCCTCAAGGAACTAGTTGGTTGGTTGCGATCATATGCTCGGGGGACGCTCTGCAATCGTTAAGGCTTTGATTACGTGTACTGTGGCTATCCTTTTTCCGAGGCTGGCAAAATGTGCGTCTGGCGTTGAACGAAACGAGGACTGGACTTTATCAAGCGCCTTACAGCCGTAGACTAACGCACTTTACTCCGTACTACCCTAGCTGGTAATGTAGGTACCTACCAATTCCAATACCGGCACTGCATTTATCCCAGGGTTCCTAGCGCAAGTCATCCGGATGTAAGCCAACCGAGACGCCACGCTTGTTCGAGCCCCACCCTCCTCATCCGTCGTGGCGCTACAGTCTACTCCGTACTGTACTGATGTTGAAGCCCTCAGAACACGCACACAGTCACGAGTTATTATATGTACTTAATGAAATGATGAGCACACAGCCGCCTCCAGTTCAGATAGCACGAGCCGTGCAGCCTGCAAGGTGCCCGCGTCTCAGGCGGGCCAGGGACCATGCGTCCTTCCAAATGCAGGATGCTGATCATATTCTCACTCGACGTCAGCACTGCTCGCGCGCAGCCGGGGAAACTGATCCATGCAGCGCACGATTCCCGCCAGCAATAACTCGCGAGCCCCCAGTCTGTGAATGTCCACCGTTGGACTATATACGTCATTGAACACGAGCATTTGTTTGACGTTTTGCTCGCGTTCTGCTAGTCAATTAGCTGGTGCTGGCGTTGATTCAACACGTGTCAGCGCACAGGAGACCTGAACAGCTGCAGCAGACTGGGACTTGTGAAGAGCAGTTGCTGGTGTCACTGACAAAGGTCTGGTAAAGATGACTTCATGCGGATTTCGCTAGGCACCACCCCATGAGCACCGGGGGGAGTCGCGCGCTTTACGCTTAGGCGTTTGGTCCTTGATGCGGAGAAGCCTGGACCCTGGGCGCGGATCCTGAGACTGACTGGATGGCTGAAAGCTGAAAGCTGATTACCCATACCTCACGGAGGTAATAATGGTGGTTATCGGTACTGATTACAGCGCCTCAGGTACCTTGCTTATCAAACCAACAAGAGTCGTACAAATAGTCCGCTCCACTGCGTTCACTGTTGTTGATACCAGCCCTTAATTACTGTTTGTTTGAGGCAATCGTCATTGTACGTACAGTCGACAACAAATCACAGGCCGAGACCTCATGATAAGGTAGGAGATCATGGAGATGTGAGGCGTGGATCTGGCCCTGGCCTAGAGGCTAGCCCTGGCTTGATGCAACAAGTCACATGCACAGTGTCCCGCGCAAAACCAGACACCGTACGCAATTTGCCCATGAACTGTGCAGTGTGCCACCTTGTCAAGGTGCCTTACCTAAAGTACGCCAATGAAGCTCCCCATTTTTCGATCAGACCTTGACAGAGCTGGACCCGAGGATGCCACTTCGACGACCGCCAGAATGGGGTTCTCACGAAGCGTACGAGCTGCCCAAGCTCTCCTCGAGTTGCATGTCGAGATTCGAGGATGACTGCAAATCGATCCCAGCACCAGCCGATTCACAGGAGCCGCCCGAAGTGCCCGGTGAGACGAGAACCCTTTATGAGCGGTAGCGACAACCAATTGCTAAAGTTCAGTCAAAGAGGCTCTGGCTGTCAGATTCTGCCCATACCAGCCACTCGACGCGCCAGTGTTCGCAGTCATCACCAAGAAGCACGTGGGTCGCCGCTACGTTTAGACTGTCAACAACTCCAATAACAGGTCGTCCGCATAGATCGTCGTATACCAACTTCCAGCAGGTCAAGAATCGGGCGACGGCGAGGTCCTCACAATCCTTCGCGATGCCGACGTAAGCCACAGCAGAGCCGTGACATGACTAGCTGCCGCAGCGTTAACCCAGACAAGCCAGGCGCTCTCTTATACACATGCACATGGATTCAAGATCGACGCACAGGCGTACCTTACCTGTGCGTGGCAGGTGAAGACGCGTTGATAAAGGTCTACGATATCAATAAAGGGCAGATACACAGGACACTGTGCGGTCACGGGGGCGTAAGAACATGATTGCCAGTGACCTGCAATTCTGCTCTGACGTATAGACAGGGAATCAACGACCTCAACACCTGTCCAGACAACTCGGAGCTGATTCTATCTGCCTCTACAGATACTACGGTGCGAGTTTGGAGTTTCGACCCCATTCACAACGAGCAACCGTGTCTCTTCATCTTGGGGGGAGAGGGACACAAGTCTGATGTGGAATCTGCGGTGAGCACTCTTCAGATCTAGAATTGAGAGAACATCTTTGCTGAACGCAGACGTGATCAGGCCTGGCACAGCAAGGGCCGCTACATAGTATCCGGCGGTATAGATTCTTGTGTGAACCTGGTGAGTAAGCATCGACGACGCCAGACAACAAGGTCTCACCATTCTACCGCAGTGGCTGGTCCCCGAGCTGCCTACCGCACCCGTGGATAGTCCTGCCCAGGTCATCTGGCCTCACTTCTCCACGGTTGCGCTGCACAGCGCCATCGTAGACTGGCAAGTCATTCGGCTCCTTTGACAGAGCGAACGAGATGGGCTGACAACTATAGCGTTGCGTTCTTCGGGGACTACATTCTGTCCAAGGGAAATCAGGACAACGTGATCATCATGTGGGAAATCATGGGCTTCTCCTCCGAGGACGAGCCCGATACCGACATTGCTCCCTTACCAGCCATCCACAGACCAGGCAACAAGGACCCCTCACAGCTCACTCGGTCCGCCTTTGTGCCGCGCGTCACGCCCGAGTGTCCCACGCAGTTTGAGAAGCGCATGCAGTTCTCGACGCCCAAAGTGAACGAGTTCTTCTACACATTCTTCGAGCTCCACGACCAGCCGGACCAGCACCCGATCCTGACCTTTGCCAACCCGGCCGGCAGCGTGTACTTTTGGAGTCTGCAACGCATCGTGGAGTACGACCGCATCTCAACTCTGATGCGTAAGAGCAAGAAGAGGAAAGAGGCAAAGTACCTGCCACGATGGCTACGACCTGACACAGGCAACCCGGCCACCGATACAGAGGTCTCGTACAACTATGATGAGTTTAGAGAAGCTTGGGATGACAAGTACACCATGGTGGATGGCCAGCATGCCCTCGAGCCGCATGTGACCATCAATGTCCCCAGGTCGAGGTCAGGGAACAATAAGTTGGAACCAGACTTCTTCGGAAGGCAGATCTCATGGAGTCCCAACGGGGAGTGGTGTGTCGTGTCAGGGTCTTTGAATCGTGTTCTGATGTTGCGGCGCTGGCATACCCCTCAGCAGGAGTCGAGCACCACGAGTAGTTAGTCTAGCCGCATGGCCTGGGCACATAGCGTCGGGGGATGGGGTTGAATTGCTATGACCAGGCCATTGTATGTTTAATGGTCTTGAATTCCAAGGCTCAAAGTTTTCCTATTGTTATCACAAATGACGCCTGTGAACACCCTGTTCGACTTGAGCCCGAAGCAACTCCCAGATGTGTGAAAATACAGTCGTAACGCCACTCCTGTCCAACTGACTCTACCTCTTGTCTTTTGGTATTTTGCGTATGCTGAATGTTCTCTAAAACGTGCAAAAATGAAATGCCTGGTTGGTTACTCGGTCAAAGGGGCCTTTCCGACCTCCTCGGCGGCACCAGTGGCATGGAAGCCGTCCAGGGTCACGGTGACAGCACCGGCTTGCACGAGCTACACAGAAGTCAGTCAGGGGAAGCTCTTTGTTTGGGCATTCTCTCATTGGAAACTTACTGCGCGGGACAGATCGTCAATCAAGTCGTCGGCATCCTCAATGCCCACGCACAACCGGATAATGTCCTCGGGCATTTGCCGCTCCGCCCGGGTCTTGGAGTCAATGCTCGCGTGGCTCATCTGGCAGGGCATGCTGATCAGACTGTTGACACAGCCAAAGCTGACACTGATACCCCAGAGCCGAGCGGCCTCGACGATTCTCGCCGACACGGCGGGGTCGCCCGTCTCAAACGACAGGACGGCGCCGGCGCCGCGAGCCATGGACCAGTGCAGATCGTACTGGGGGTGGGACTTGAGACCGGGGTACCGCACGCGGAAGCCGTGCGACTCGAGGAACTCGGCAATGGCCTGGGCGTTGGCTTGCTGCTTCTCCATGCGGATCGCCAGCGTCTTGACGCCGCGCATCAGCAGAAAGCAGTCGTTGGGGGTCAGGCCGCAGCCTGTGGAGTTGATCATGAAGAAGAGCTTGTTGCCAAGCTCTGTGTCGTTGACCGCGAGGACACCGGCCATAATGTCGTGGTGGCCGGAGAGATACTTGGTGCCCGACTCGTAGACAACGTCGGCGCCAATGTCGAGAGGGTTCAAGAGCATGGGCGACAGCATCGTGTTGTCGACGACGACGATGGCTTTGGGATTGGCCTCGTGAGCGGCCCTCGCAATGGTCTGGATATCGACAATCTTGATGAGGGGGTTCGTCGGGGTCTCGAGCAGTACCATGGCCGTCTTTTCGGTGATGTGTGACCGGACGCCTTCGGCATCGGTGGTGTCAACGTGCTTGACGACGATGCCCATGTTGGTGGCGAGGTATGTGAGGAGACGGTGGGTGCCGCCGTAGAGGTCATCTCCCGTGATCACCTCGTCGCCAGGACGGAGCAGCCTCGAGACGACGTCGAGCGCGCCCATGCCTGAACCAACGGCCAGCGCCCGGTTGGCATTCATGATCTTGGCCAGGTGTCGCTCCAGGTGCGTCCGTGTGGGGTTACCGGAGCGTGTGTAGTCGTACTCGGACTGGCCGCCCTGGGCTGTGGATTGTTTGAAGGTGGCGGACTGGTAGATGGGCACGCTCGATGCGCCATACTGGTCCTTGCTCTCTGTGTACACCAACTCGGTCGCCAATGCGTATCTCCGCCGCCCGTTGCGAGGGCTGGAGGGGGCGGGCGAGGGAGGCAGGTCGTGGCCGTCGAGATCGACTCGCTTCAGCGGGTTGCTGGGCTTGCTGGTCGAGCTGCTGCCATTGCCGTTGGTTGGAGGGGTCGACATGGCTCTGGAGGGGTGGTGGGATGGGGATGAAGCAGCAGTTCCTGGGATCCAGTGGCTGCGATGGGCAATTGTTGATTCTGGGTGGGAGTCGAGATGGAAGAATTGGAATGGAAGGGGAGGGAGATAGTGTGACCGCCTCAACCAAAAAGGTAGATTAGCAGCCAGCGACGGCCCCAAACCTGGGGAAATCCGACCTCTGTCCGAAGGTCGGAGTCATGCTTGCTCATGGCGGCCGTCGGATGATGTGATCTGGCACAGTAGCCTTTGTCTATATGCACGATATGACCGCACTGTGCAGCATGGGACCGACTCCAGGTATGACATGTAAGGAAGGTACCGTACGCATCGTCAAACTGACTACCCTTGATCCGAGACAAGCATTAGTACCTCTATTATGTATGTAATACTCAGTCTGCCTGCTCTATAGGCAGCTCCTCCACATCCTCGTACTCGTCGCTCTCTGGCTGCTTGGTTGCAGTACCTTGCGCCACACCGCCCTGCCCTCTCCTCCCGAGGAAATCGTCGTTCCTGATGCCGCGGAACTGGCTGGGATCCGGGGGAGGCATGGATTGTCCCTTGGTGCGATGCGCCTTGAGATACTCGCGCACGGGCGCCATGGCCGCATCCCGACACACCTCCTTGAGATCGCTGCCCGACATGCCTGCCGTCACCTTGGCCACGTAGTCAATGTCAAAGTTGTCCGGGTCCATCTTGGAGTCGCGCAGAACGAGCTGGAGGATCTTGCGCCTTTGCTCGCGGCCAGGCAGTGGCACGGGGAACTTCTTTGGCATGCGGCGCAGGATCGCCTCGTCGATATCGTTGATGCGATTCGTTGCGCCGAGCACACAGATCTGCGCAGGCTTTCCAGCAGAGTCCGATGAAGTCAGCCCATCCCACAGTGTCATAAACCTGCATGTCGTCAGCATCTGCCCGCACATCTGTTGCGAGGGACCGCATACTCTGCCTTGACCATGCCGCTGGCCTCATGCTCGCCACTCCTGCGAGTGCCCAGGAGCGCGTCGATCTCGTCGATAAAGATGATAGCGGGCTGCATCTTGCGGGCCAACGAGAAGACGGCGCGCACAATCTTGTTCGAGTCACCATACCACTTCTCCGTCATAGTTGAAATGTGAAGGTTGATAAAGGCGGCACCGCTCTCGTGCGCAAGTGCCTTTGCCAACATTGTCTTGCCACATCCCGGAGGGCCGAACAGAAGAACGCCCGAGGGCGCCGAGAGTAGCGATCCGGCATGTGCATATAGGTGTGGCATGGTCAGCGGGTAGATCACGGCCTCCCTGATCTCTTCGATGATCGCATCGAGTCCACCAATATCTGCGCCACCATCAGCTGCTTGCACTTGCCTCGGAGAATCTCCAGCTCACCATCAAACCCCACTGGAATGTCCTCTGGCGCCACCATCTCGAGCGCGACTAGGTTCTCATACTCGTTCAGCTGGATTTCCTGCATGCGACCTGTGCCGCTGCTGTCGTCCCCGTTCTCCTCGTAGCGCTGCCGCCGATTCAGGCGCTCGAGATGCGCTTTGGCTTGATTCCTCGTTCGGTCTTGCTTCTCCTTTTCTGGGTCGATCAAATTGCTGAGTAACGGGTTCATGAACGTCTTGAAGACATAGAGGCCGGCGCCCATCTAATATCGTCGCGTCAGGAACTTTGTTACAGCCATGCGACCACATCCACTTACCAGCCCCGCGAAGAGCAAGACATCCAGGGCCGTATCACCCAGCTTCCGTCGGTCGCTCATGGTGGGTGGTTTTACACTGTCGGTTTCTAAATCGTATGGCGGATGCGGTGGAGGGTCTATAATTCGTCTATCGCTGTTGAGTTGAGCCGTGGCAGTCGAGAAGCATGGGAAAAAAGGTAGCAGATAAACTCAATAGTACAGATGTAAAAAAGAAATAGAACACGAATGAAAGCTTGATTGTCAGATGCTGGACGTTGGCCAAAAGGTTCGCCGAGGATGGGCAGCGAAGCGCGGCCCAATTTTATGCACTGCTAATGCGACATGCATTAAACAGGCACAACTTGCTGATGTTGACATTCTGCCGGGTTGGGAACCTGGGCTTCACGTTGCGACGTGGACCACAACGACCGACACCTCTTGAAGCTCCAAAAAGACTTTTGCTGCAGCGAACCCGGCGCGCTTGATTTATTGTCAATACATTGCAATTGGCGTGTATCTCACCGAATATTGTGTCCGACAGTAGAGTTCCGCCAACACCGAGTCGCGATCTAGATGCCCCCACGCGCGAAAGCAGCCACTGGGCTCTCCAGTCTGGTAGAATCAGGGTCCGAGCCTGACTTTGATAGCTTTGACGCGCCCAAATCCAATACAGCGCGTGCGACAAGTCAAAATGCTACCAGAGGAAGACCGCGAGGGCGGCCGCCTGCAATCGCCAACAGAGTGATCAAGCCCGTACAGAGAGGGGGCAAACAACCAGCCCGGCGCGCAGATAAAGGGACAGCTACGCGAGGGGCACGGACGACAGGAAGACGCGCCAGACCTACGAACACCTCGCCGCCACCACAGCCTGAACCTGAACCTGAGCCAGGGCGTGAACCAGAGGCAGAAGTTGTTGAGCCCGTTCCCGTAGTGGCCAAGCCGCGACGAGGGAGGCCTAAATCCTTGAACAAGACAACTGCAGTTGAGGAAAGGAATGCACCAAACCCACCGGCTCCAAAGGCTGGTCGAGGTCGACCGGCGAGGACGAAACCTCCGCCAGTGGACCCAGTGTCAGTGGAACTCCCAGCAGAGGCTATGGAATTCGACGGTGCAGAGGCAGAGGAGGTTCCTGTCGAGGACATTGAACAGGAAGCTGCGGCAGAAGAGCAACATGGCATGGAAGAAATAGCCGAAGACTATCCAATGGATGCCAACTTGCGCAGGCAACTGGGGGATATTACAGAGAAGTACAGCAGCCTGGAAGCAAGACACAACGAGCTGCGAGATGTGGGCATTAAAGAAGCAGAGCGCAGCTACGCGCGCCTTAAAAAGCTGGCTGCGGAGAATACTGCGACCGCGGACAAGCTCATTGCTGAGCTCAAGGCGGAGCTGGCGGCGCAGACCGCGTTGGCCAAGAAAGCTGAGGCTGCAGAGGCTAAGATTCCTGCGCTCCAAACCAAGGTCGCTGAGCTTTCTACCAGCCTGACAGATGCGAGGTCTGAAATCAAGACCCTCAATACCAAGTTGACGGCGGCGCGGAACACAGAGGCCAACATCAAAGCACCGGGCAGTGCACTGAAGCCCAACGCGGCGGGCAACAGGGGCGTCTCCTCCGAGGTGGTGCAGGCCGCCCAGGCTAAAGAAGACCTATATGGTGATCTGACAGGCCTGATCATCCGGGGCATGAAGCATGTGGACGATGAAGAGGTGTTCGACTGCCTCCAGACAGGACGCAACGGCAGTAAGTTCTCGTCGAAGCAGAGTACAAGGAGGAACGACTAACATTACACAGCACTGCACTTTAAATTGGCTCTCAGCTCGCCAGATGCGGCGGACAATTACGACGACGTGCAGTACACATATCTTCCGCAGCTCAACCCCGATCGTGACAGCGAGCTCATGGCCGTGCTGCCTGATTTCCTCGTGGAGGAGATTACGTTTCCGCGCCCGCATGCGTCCAAGTTCTACACGCGCGTCATCAAGTCTTTGACAGAGCGTGTCGAATGAGTTACAGGTGCAAGTTGAGGGCTGATGGATCTATTTGCTGTAGTAGGCCTTGGTTTGGCGTGATACCCCGAGCGCGACTGGCGTTTGAATATATGGTGATAACACTAAAGGTACTTACTTACCTTATGACCGCACGATTCCTCCCATACACCCCAACTTCCATGTGAATCAAGACTCCTGGTTATTAGTAAATAATAAGCGCAACAAGGTTGTCCGCAGCTCATCAAGGTGCCATCTTTAATTCCCAGGATCGGGGTTCGACGCCCAAATTCCGTGGCCTACGATCCCTGTAGGGGTCTACGGGAACGCGGCGTCATGCCCGCCGTGGATTAGCGGTGCTGATTGGCGGGACTGCAGGCTCGGGGCCCAAAGAAATGGTGGCCTGTCGCGTTCAACCCACCCCTTGAGCATCATCGTGAAGCCAGAGGCTCATCCACATTACCTAACTGACCAAGCTGAGGTCAAGTAAGGGAACCCCGTTTCCTTTTACTCTCCCTTTCCCCGTACAACACCGACATCGACTTATAAGCAGGTGCATCGGCCGATTGATCACTACGAGACTGACGGATGACTGCCCCGACGCGGTCGACACTCGCTTGAAACTATTTGTACTATGCTCGAACAGCGACCTCATCAAATCCGACCGAATCCCCTCATTTCGTGAGCTTCAAGCTCTCAAACCGTCGCCATGAAGACCTTCTCTCGCTTCGGGTTTTTGGCCACGGCCATGGTGTTTCACCTCGTCTATATCATGTCCATCTTTGACATCTACTTTGTCAGCCCCATCGTCTCAGGCATGCGCCTCTTCAGTGTGCCACGAGAGGCCGAGCAGCGTGCGCCCGCGGATCGCCTTGTTCTGTTTGTTGGTATGTGCTCTGTCCTTGAACGAAGGTTGCCATTGACCATTTCTGCCAGGTGATGGACTTCGAGCCGACAAGGCCTTCCAATCCTTCCCCGAGCCGTACCCCAAGACCGATGCGGACCTTGAGCCGCGACCTCTCGCACCGTTCATTCGAAACCAGGTGCTGGAGAAAGCCACATTTGGAGTCTCCCACACGCGCGTGCCGACCGAATCTCGCCCTGGACATGTCGCCCTCATCGCAGGACTGTACGAGGATGTATCAGCTGTGGCGACCGGGTGGAAGATGAACCCCGTCAACTTTGACAGCGTGTTCAATCGAAGCAGGCACACGTGGAGCTGGGGGAGTCCTGATATTCTTCCCATGTTCGAGCATGGTGCTGTCCCGGGACGGGTTGACACGGACATGTATGGCGCAGAGATGGAGGATTTCTCCCACGACGGCTTCGATTTGGACTACTGGGTATTCGACCACGTCAAAGACTTCTTCAAGGAGGCCGGGACCAATCCTGAACTGAACAAGGCTGTGCGTGAGGACAAGGTGGTATTCTTCCTCCACTTACTGGGTATCGACACCACCGGTCATACATTCAGGCCCTACTCGCCCGAGTACCTGTACAACATCAAAGTGGTGGACCAGGGGATCAAGGAGGTCACCGAGTTGATCGACAAGTTCTATGGCGATGACCGGACCGCATACGTCTTCACAGCCGATCACGGCATGAGTGATTGGGGCAGCCACGGTGACGGACACCCGGACAACACGCGCACACCCCTCGTCGTGTGGGGTTCTGGCGTCAACGGGCCCGAGCTGCACCCAGGAACATTGGCGCCGGGCCATACCGAATTCTCGGCGGAGTGGGGGTTGGACCACGTGCGCAGACACGATGTCGCCCAAGCCGACATTGCTGCTCTCATGGCATACCTGATCGGCACCGAGTTTCCCGCCAACTCGGTGGGGCAGCTCCCCCTGTCCTACCTGAAGGCAGACAACAAGGCCAAGGCCGAGGCCTCGCTCGTCAATGCGCAGGGGATTTTAGAGATGTACCGCGTCAAGGAGGAAAAGAAGGCAGCCACGGAAATGCGCTTCAAGCCGTTCGAGGCGCTGAGCACAGAGGGCTCGACGCCCGCGTCGCGCCTGGCCTCCATCCGCGCTCTCATCGACGCGGGCAAGGTGGAGGAGGCGGTGGAGGAGACTGACGCGCTCATGTCCCTCGCTCTCGACGGTCTGCGCTACTACCAAACATACGACTGGCTCTTCCTTCGCACGGTTGTCACCCTTGGGTATCTTGGCTGGATGGCGTATGCGCTGACCGCTGTCGTTGATACCTTTGTCGTCAAGGAGCACATCCCCACATCCAGGAAAGCGGGCCACCTCAGTTTCTTCTCCGCGTTGCTGGTCGCTTTCTATGCCTACTTTTATGTCTCGGCCGCGCCGTGGACCTATTACGTTTACGTCTTCTACCCTATCATGTTCTGGGAAGAGGTGTTTGCCAAGCGAGAGTCCCTTGTGCAGGGCGGCAGAGTTCTCTTTTCGCATGTGCAGGGGATTGGCGCTGTCATGACGTTGATTGCGAACATTGTCTTCTATGTGGCCGTCATCGAGTCCCTGGCTCTTGGCTACATACATCGCGAAGTCTTCACCGGTCTTTTCGTCCTCGGGTCCCTCTGGCCTGTCGCGTACGGCCTCTCGTTCCTCAGATCCCACCTGTTCTTGAGCTTCGGCTGGGCATTGTCCTGCCTCGTCATGAGCGTCTTTACCCTCTTGCCGGCGCAAAAGGTGGAAGATGTCACACTTATGTGAGTTGTACCCTTGGACCAGTCTACGTGAGACACCTACTGACAACCTCTGATAGTGTCGCTGGAGGTGTGCTAATGGCCCTCATTGGCTTGCTGTACCTCGTATTCCAGGACTTTGTCCTCAAGGACTTCTCGTCAGCGAACAGGAGATCCCAAGCGAACTCTGATCTGGCGGTTGGCAGGGTCTTGGTTGGCGCGCAAGTTGGCCTCATCATCTTGTCCATCATTGTGACACGCTCGAGTGCCCTGTCGATCCAGTCCAAGAATGGTCTCCCAGCTGGCAACCAGATTGTGGGGTGGATCGTATTCAGTAAGTCAAGGAGAGACATTCATGCCACAAATCCAACTGACCATCCCCAGTCGTGTCTTTCCTGATGCCGTTCGCGTACCGGCTCGACAAGACGACTCACTACATGCACCGACTGATCGTCATTTTCCTGACCTGCGCGCCCACCTTTGTCATTCTTGCCATCTCGTACGAGGGGCTCTTTTACGTGGCATTCAGCATGCTGCTCCTGGCTTGGGTCAGGCTCGAGACAAACGCGCAGAACTTTGTCGCTGCCCGAGCACCTCAGGATGGCCAGGCCAAGGAGGAAGAGAAAGTGGGCGCCACTGTCCTGCGGGCGCTCACGCTGTCAGACGCCCGTGTCGTGCTCTTTTTTATGGTTCTCCTCCAGTCCGCCTTCTTCAGCACGGGCAACGTCGCCTCGGTCTCCTCCTTCAGCCTGGAGAGTGTCGCTCGCCTGATTCCGATCTTCGACCCGTTCTCGCAAGGCGCCCTGCTCATCGTCAAGTTGATGATCCCGTTCGTCCTTATCTCAGCCAACCTCGGCGTGCTGAACAAGCGCCTGGGCGTGGCCCCATCCGCGCTGTTCATTCTGACGATGGGGTTGTGTGATATCCTCACCCTGTACTTCTTTTGGGTCGTTAAGGACGAGGGCTCCTGGTTGGAGATTGGATCGACCATCAGCCACTTTGTCATTGCCAGCCTGCTGTGCGTCTTTGTGGCGGCACTCGAGGGCGTGAGCGCGCTGTTCATCTCGGGGATGGAGGTGGAGGAGGCACTGGCTGGCGTACCGTCCATGACGGGTGAGAATGGCGAGGAGACCAAGCCGAGAGTATCAGCCAATAGCAAAAGTGTGAAAAGGAGCTGAGGCACGGGTTTCATTACACAAGGATAGGCGCGAACGCCTCGGGACGTGTAAAAGTATAGAGTAGGCGTTTGGTACGGCAGGCTGTCAGAGACGCCACCCGAGGAAATAGTACACGACTTTTGCATAGCCATCAACCATTCCCTTCGTTTCCTCCAAGCAAGGGCAGAATGTCCGGTCGAGCTGGAATGTCCGGTCGAGATCTGCCTCGCTAAACCCGTGCGTCTCGAGACTCGTGGCCTTGTTGTTCAGCTCAGGTCTGACGGTGTTTGTCGGTGTTTGTCGGTGCAAATGTGGCATTCCCAGACTCAAAAGTGGCAAAATGACGGGTAAGAAATCCTTTGAAATACCATACCAACGCTCTGAACTATTTGAATTTTTGGTTTGTTTTTGTGAGCCCCTTTTTTATTTGGGGCGCCTTGTGTGGCGATGGGTAGATAGGGGCTAAATTTTGAAACGCAGCCTCCTTGTTCTTTCGAGCCAGCAAAGAGACCCCATAAATGATGTCCAAACCATTCGGGTGTCAGTCGATCAGAGAAGCTGGCTTTCTACAATGTCGGCCTTTTAGATGATGGTCGAAGGGCTATGACGTTGTTCTTGTGGGTCGAGCGGGTTCCCCGATGTTCAACAGGGTGTTATTGGGACTGATACTTCCTTCCTCTAGTACCGACCAGATCACGGCACAGCTGGGCTCAAAGACTAACACATTCGAGCCGTCATTCTATGGATACGACAACAAGGAGACGTTGGCGTTTGGCAGGGCCGACGTCCACGTCAGTAGTAGGTTCGTCGACGAGAAGCCTTCAGTGGAAGACATCAAGAAGACCTTATTGGAATGTGCGTCCGCAGTGCAACACTTCGACTAGACCATACAGCTGTGCGTTGAGGTGAGCTTCGTGGCCGCACTAGAAGATTTCCTATCGACCCTGGGCGTGGACGTCGTCCTTGATCATATGGGCCACGGACCGCATACTTTATTTGAAGGATTGGAAATACTGTCGTGGACGACCCGTCTGGTTGATCTGCTCGAGGGGCAGGACGACAAGAGAATGAAGTTGTTCCGCGACAACGCCGCAAGGCTGTGGAACAGCACTTGACAAAGCAGTACGATTAAAGCAGCACTTTGGGCTTTCTTGGTAGGGTAGGGCCGGCAAGATGCGGAACGGTCCAGGTCTTGATGCAGGGCGAGATGGGGTACAGCCCAGTCCAGCGCGAGCAAGACACCCCGCAAAGTAGCAAGCAGATGTTGCATATGAAGTCTTGGCGAGGAGGGTGGCGCAGCGACGATGATGGTGAGAATGGGCCTTGTAGACAGGACTGAGGAGAGTCGGAGACCTCCATTTCCCTGTGATTCACCCCACTTCTAGTCCGTAGATTCGGTATGTTTCACGTGTCAAACGACTAGTGTTACCCATGTGTAAAGAACAGAATGGAGAGAGAGAGAAATATCCGATTACACACTGCGTATCTTTTTGGTTCTCATCAATTATCGTAGTCTCAAGTACTCAACTCAAGCTCTTAACGCATGTCCGGGGTCAGATCTCGAAAACTTTAAAGCTGCTTGGAATCGCAGGGGACGGAGTCACGGGGGCGGGGCGCTGGCGGACCTGGAGTCTGGACGCCTGCCAGTGCCAGTGTTGTGATTAGTGGCTCCTGCCAGGCTGCGGCCTGCCACCCACCCACAAAGAATTGGACCTCAGGTGAGGAAAGTGCCTCCTAACTTAGTGCGGCTGCCACCTGTTGGTGGACGGACGGCTGGCTAATTGGGTTGACGATCTACCTCATCAACTTCTACTGCACGCACATGCTCGATAAATTATCGGAGCATCAGGCAAGTAGGCTGCAAGCACGCGACAAGGTACTACGGAACGTCAACGCACGCCTCTGCCTCAAGACGTAACCTATAACCCGGGGGATCTGCCCAGCAAGAGCCACATCATCCATCATCCTCTGATGCAGCCAGCAGACCGGCCTCAAACTCGCCGTCTTTTCAATTCCGTGCCAGGACTGGAGTCCGCCGTCGCCGCTGCTTCCGACATTCCCTTTGCCTTCCCTTACCGTATTCTAATCAACAAGTGTCATTAGCTCAGTCCAGGCCCGACTCTAATACTGCCGGTCGCCCACCTGTCGACCCCAAGGCTCAACTCCGACGCACCCACCGACTGTCCGTCCTTGACCTGCTGCTGAGCCGAGGCACGCGCACATGATGGATCACAACATGACGCCTGGCGACAACCCAGGGGGCCAGCAGGAGCAACAGTTCCAGCCTCTCCCCAAGCAACAGACGAGATCACCAGATGTCGCTTCCCAGGATTCGGGCGCCTCGAAGGCCGCGGCGCCCACGCCCAACAATGCGCAATCCAATGCTGCTGGCAGCATGAGTTTCCGGAGGTGCGTCTTGTGAATCATGTGAACGCCGCGCGCGTCCAGTCGCCCATAGTGTACTAACCTGCTGGCAGGCAGCGAGCCTCAAGAGCGTGCGAGGTGAGTTGCAAACTGAAATGATTCTTCTTTTGGGATGTGTTTCGACAACTGTCATCGTCCTGGGGTGGCATGCTCCTTCCATTTGACCTGCTCGGTCGCCCCATCCAAGCTCCATCCACAGCCGAGGCATCTTGGTCGCAACCACTCACGACGCCGCCAAAGGCCCCTTTGCCCGCCAACGGACCTGCACAATCATGAGATAAGCTTTTGCTAACATATCTGACTTCCTAATTAGACATGTCACGCTCGCAAGGTAAGTCGATCCCCAGCATTGCCGCTGCAATGTGCCCCCTCATGACAGCTGAGTTGGTAATTGACCCCGCCTCCTCCAGGTTCGATGTGATGCCGCCAGCCTCGGTGTGCCGTGCACAAACTGCGTCGCCTTCCAGATCGAATGTCGCATCCCTACCCCAAAGCGCAAGAAGACACAGAATGGAAGCGTACAGGCGGGGAGAGACTCGGACAGGTATGTCTTACTGCACATCACCACAACTGGACTTTGGCACCACCTGGTGACCTGGGGCTGACACACACATGATCTACAGCGACCGAGGGGACGAACGCGAAGATCGACCACAGTATGCCGAGTCGACAGCCGCCGCTGGGTTCCCTGCGCAGGGCCCTGTGGGCTCTCACACCAATCAAGGCACGCCCCTGACAACGCAGACCGAGGCGCAGGCCAAGAAGGACGAGGTCGACAGCAACACCTACCTCAACCTAGTCATGAAACCGAAATTCACACGAGCGCCGATCACAGAAGCCGGCAGGGTTGCCTTCTTGGGGGAGTCGTCAAACTTGACGCTGCTGGTTCACGATCGTCAAGGCGCGGCTGACGTTGTGCACTACCCCCTGCCTGAAAACGTGAGAGGCTCAAGGGCACGGCTGACGGAGCTGGACAATGTCGAGATCGAGATACTTCATCAACGAGGAGCCTTCCTGCTGCCGCCCCGCGAGCTTTGCGACGAACTCATCGCGGCTTACTTCAAGTGGGTGCACCCCATTGTGCCTGTCATCAACCGGACTCGCTTCATGAGGAGGTATCGCGATCCGAAGAACCCGCCTTCTCTCTTGCTGCTGCAAGCTGTGCTTCTTGCCGGCTCCCGCGTCTGCAACAATGCCCAGCTCATGGACACGAATGGGTCGACGAACCCGGCAGCCCTGACCTTCTACAAGCGCGCCAAAGCCCTGTACGACGCTAACTACGAAGATGACCGCGTCACCATCGTCCAGGCGGTCCTGCTCATGGGCTGGTATTGGGAAGGTCCAGAGGACGTCACTAAGAATGTCTTCTACTGGAGCCGTGTGGCGACAATTGTTGCGCAAGGGTCTGGCATGCATCGATCAGTCGAACAGTCGCAACTCAGCCGGTCGGACAAGCGCCTCTGGAAGAGGATATGGTGGACGCTGTTCACCCGAGATCGATCCGTGGCCGTTGCGCTTGGTCGACCTGTCGGCATCAACCTCGATGATTCCGACGTGGAGATGCTGACGGAGGAGGATTTTATCGAGGACGATGCCGAAGGAGGCGGGGAGTATCCCCTCGACCCGGTACACGTCCAATTCTTCCTACAATACGTCAAGCTGTGCGAGATCATGGGGCTCGTTCTTTCGCAACAGTATTCTGTGGCCTCCAAGGGGCGGCAGCGGAACGCCATTGACCTTACCCACAGCGACATGGCCCTGGCCGACTGGCTCCAGAACTGCCCAAAGATTGTGTACTGGGAAGTACCGCGTCATCATTTCTGGTCAGCCCTCTTGCATTCAAATTACTATACCACACTGTGTCTACTGCACAGGGCACACATGCCACCGAATGGGGCAAAGAACCTTGCCGAAGAGTCGCCCTACCCTTCGCGCAACATTGCCTTCCAGGCTGCCGGTATGATCACATCCATCATAGAGAACCTGAGTGTCCATGGCGAGCTGCGCTATTGTCCGGCTTTCATTGTGTACAGCTTGTTCTCGGCCCTCATCATGCACGTCTATCAGATGAGGTCACCAGTACCGTCGATCCAGCACGTCACGCAGGACCGCTTACGGACGTGTCTTGCCGCTATGAAGGAGGTTTCCAAGGTGTGGCTCGTCGCAAAGATGGTGTACACCCTGTTCGAGGCCATTCTCGGGAACAAGGGCCTTGAGGAGAGGCTACAGAAGGCGGGGGTGAAACGCCATCGGAAGATGCAGAGTCTCTCGGATCCCCGAACATACGACGGGGGCAAACGCAAGTACGACGACATGGCCATCGACTTCACGCCGAATGCGCCCACGCCTCAAGAATCATATGAGCGATCGCGACCGCCGACGCCGAGTCAGAGGGCTGAAGGCTTCACGCCCGCGCAGCCGTCCATGATGACCTCGCCTCCGCGAGCAGCACCTTCAGATACATGGATGGGGGGCACGGGCTCCAGGTCGCAGACGAGACCTGGGACTCCGTTCAACCCCTCCTTCTCCGTGCCGGCTACACCTCCCGATCTATATCTCGTGACGAGAAACTCACCGAATCTGTCGCAATCTTTGCTAGAGAACTTCCAGCCCGATCAACTCTTCCCCGATAGCTCGGCCATGCCCGCATTCCCCAGCATGTCGCCCTCACAGACGCACCAAAGCATAGATCAAAGCCTCATGAATTCGATGCCGACCCCGACCATGCCATCAGCCCAACCGCAGCAGACGCAGCAGCAAGGTCAGCAGCAAGCGTCTCAGCAGGGTCAGGGAGGTAACTTCCAGCAAAGAAAGCAGGGCGGTAACAACAGCAACAACAACAACAACAACAACAACAACAACAACAACGGCATGTTGAATCCGAACCAGTTCACATTTGGCGGCGGGCAGTCGCACATGTGGCAGCCCAACTTTGACGGCATGCTCCAGGATGGGCAGAGTCCGGACAGCTGGAGCACGGGGTCGGCCCCTGGTCAGCCGGCGCCAACGACGCTCAACGTCGAGGACTGGTAAGAGCCTTGAGAGTGGTTCCTTGGAAGGATCTTGATGCTAACTCTGTACAGGTTTCAATTCTTCGGGATCAATGGGGACGTAAGTAACATCAACTTTGATGTGCCCCTGACTTGAGCGCTATCAACAGCGCAAGTTTCGCAACAATGGCAGCGCGACAAGCTCCTCGGCTGGATCGCACTTCATCCCCTTCACATTAAAGAAGCATTTGGATGCTGATGTGGGTTGTGGATAAGGAGAGCATAATACAAAATAGTCAGGGGCTGGAGCATTCAAGTGGTCTGCGGCGGGATGGCATGAGTGCGGACCAGCTCAAGTGGCTGTAGAAGTATCTACGTGGTATGGCAACCATATGAAACCATTGCTCATGTTCTGTTGCTCCGTGCCGAGAGTAAATGAGTGTTCTGCTTGCCCTGCCCACCCAACAGGCAACGATAAGGGTGTAGGGTACGTAGGTAAACAGCCAAGGCGAAAATGTGTTCGATCGAGGCAACCGGCAATCGACCTTCTACACATGTGGAACAAAAAACTTGCTTCTGCAATTGCTTGTGATTGGCAACCAGGGCTGACGAAGCCGTCGACATCCTCCGTAAGCAAGGCTGTCTGCCTGGTCTGTTGTCCACGTTGCACTAGAGGCGCAGTCCACCCTCTCCATCACCAGCGCCACAGCGAATGCGATTCTCTGCCTTGTCATCCTTTCAGCTGTCCAGGGATTCGAATAAGCTCAGATCCAAGAAACCAGTTTTCAGCCTTGCATGGAGGGGTGTAGAATCGAGGACGACAGCAGTCAGTGGATGGATGGATGGGTTGTCTTGCCCAGGGCGGATTGGGGTACCCTGCATCGACCGCGAGAGGATCGAAGGTTTATTGCCTGCCAGCTAGTGAGAGTTTAGCGAAATCTATGTACTTGGCTGCGTATTCTGCAGTAAAAAGCACAAGTGCTGTCATTGCATGTCGGATTAGAGACGTTCCAGTTCGTGGTTTATGAAGTGATACGTGGGTAAGCACACGAGCATGTCAATGGAACTCGACGGCGTGCACTATGTGCCGGCGTGGGACAGTGTCTGAAGCCCGCGGCACCTCCTTATCAGTCATGAAAGCTCACGCTGATCATGTACCTGAGCCGACAGTCTGTGCGGGGGAGAATCCGCCGCCGCACATCAGCCCTACGTCCCAGAGGAAGCACGCACAGAGTACCCCCGTGCTAGTTTAGCACCGACTACGTAACTAGCACGCACGCAAGCACGCACAGGCACCACGAGTACGACGAGACCCGCGGTGGAGAGAATCTTCTGGCAGGCACTCGCTGGTGCCGCGCTTGATGGCAGACGCTACGAACGGGCAGGATTGGGTGGCTTTGGGGTGGATGCGGGTTGCGACTTGCAGCAGCACGGAATGCTTGCATCTGTACGGAGGGCGTAGTGCGCGCGAGCTGCAACGGATAACGCGCCGATTCGCATCCGCGGTTGAGATGGAAGGCTACTTGTGTATTGTGCTTGCTGTACCGGTACTCGCGAGAGGCAAGCTGGGAGGAGATGAGGACAGTCTGGTGATGACTCCAAGGGTGCCATTTCATCAGGAGGTGATTTGGTGTATCAGCGTCGACCCAGACAAGTGTCTGAATAAGATACATAGGCAGCTACGACAACTGCTGATGGAGATTGAGATGGAGATGGAGATGGTGATGGAAAAGCGAGTGACTCACAGCCAGCGCAGCTGCGTGCTTCGTCCCTTTCCTTGGACCATATGTATGTTGAGAACCATCGCCAAGGCAGCCGCGGGTGCGGCGCCACCAGGACGGGGGGTGACTCTATCAGAGGGAATTCTGCCTGCCTACCTGCCTGTCACTGGCTGACTGCTCTTGACGCTCAGTCAGTCTGGTTTTTCGACTTTGGCTGATGATGTCTACTTCACAACCCACGCGACCACGTAGTACGGCCAGCGCCCATTGTCGCCATGGTCATGATGGGTGGCGGTGGTGGTGCGGCGCAGACAGGCAGCGCTGTCGCTCGCTGGTTGCCGCGGGTACCTGCGACGTGGAAGAGTCACGAATGGGGGGTATTTTGCGTGTCTGGCCCCCAGACTGGCCATGGTTCCAGTGAACTTTGACCTTTGCAGTGACAAGTGCTTGGGACCCGAGGTCGATCGAAGATGCTGCTGAGGTCATTTCCCGCACAAGACTGGTGAGCCCAACCAGACGGGATGTTCCCTGTCCCGGACTCAACCCCCATCTAGACCCCTGCCTAGCCGTCGCGGGCCTCCGCCGAATGGGTCATTTTCTGGTCTGGTCTGCTATTTTCTGCGTGTGGCCGTCCGCACAATGCGTCAATGCCATGATAGACGACTGGATCGTCCCGTTGCGCGCTTGTTCCCGCCAAAGCGGCCCGGCTTTGCTTGGATTGATACCCCGTCCTGATCTATTTCCTCGACCCTGGCGGTCCTTCCTCATGCCCCTTTCCGGAGGAATGACAGCCAGGGGCCACGAGTCTAGGTACGCGCGCTCAGTGCCTCTTGTGGCATTCCGGTGCCTGGGCGCTTTGCCCATCGGGCATCAAGCGCGTTTCGGATGTCTCTGAAATTTCCTCTCGATATGGGCTTCGCACGCTCGCTCGGTATTCTTATTATTCTTAGCATTGGCTTGGACCATTTGCTCAAAGAGGTTTCCCGCCGTATCGTAATTTCAATCCAGGGTTGGGCTCATGCCCTGGCAAGCAGGCAAGCAGGCAAGCAAGCAAGCATGGCTAGCAACAAGCAAGCAGTCGATCCTGTTGCCGCGCACAGCTGCTGCTGCTGCGAGACAATTTTCCTCCTTGCCCTCCCAATTCTCCCGCATCACGCAAGAAAGGATCTTGTGAGCCCAGCTCGCTTGCTCATTGTTAGTGGCAAAGCGACCCCAAACATACGGTACCTGCTTTTCTCACGCAAGGGCGTGTAAGGAAGCAAGCACACAAATAACCACGTATGACAGCAAGCCCGGAAAAGGAGGGAGGGTAGAGTGGTTGAAAGGCAGGGTGTGGGCTCTTCATCCGTGCACCTCCTCCACAACGACCACCATCACGGAAGGGCGATTCTGCCTAGCCTTATTACCTCGCTCGCCTTACGAGGAGAACACACTCACACTCACACTCACACATTCTCTTCTTCTTCTTCCTTTTCTTCGACCTTCTTCCCGCACATTATATGAATACTCGCTGCTCTCTTCTCATCCAGGCGGCCTTGCATTTTCAATCAAAGCCTCGTCTTCGCTTATTGGATACGTGACAAGAAGAAACCTTTTTTGTGCGCATTCTTGCAGCTTTTGTGTGGTTGGGCAGCAACGCACTGCATTATACATACATACGTATACATATCGCACGAACCGAAACCACAGAAATCCTCAATCCTCAAGCCTGTGCTGCACGTTCTTGAGCCACTCATGCCTTCTCACCATCGCAGCTCGCCCAGCTCGGGTGGCAGCAGGAGGAACGACTCCGGTTCGTCGCCCTGTCCAGCCCGCCCTCACTCTGCTTCTCATGCTGACCCAGTACCTGCAGATGTCGAGCAGCAGCTGCGCGATGCACTGAACAAAGCCAACACAGAGCTCAACATTATCTCCGCAGAGAGAGACCGCTTCGAGACTCGCTACCTGGAGTTGAAGAAGAAGCTCGGGGACAAGGAGGCACCACTGCCCTCCATCGCCATCAGCCCGGCGGCCGCATTACCTCGCGACGTCAAGGCGCAGATTCAGTCACTCAAAAAGGACCGTGAGCGCCAGGATGAGCACATTGAAGACCTCGAGGCCAACTACAAGGCTCTGAACGAGGGCTGGGCCAAGCAGTACGCCAGCCTGGAGGAGCGACACACGGAGCTCAAGGGGCAGTACACATCGCTCGAGAGCGACTACAAGGCAATCGACAAGAAGCTCGCCGAGATGATCGACAGGTTCAACGCGCCTCAGCCGGGATCTGCCTCAGGTCCTGCCTCGGCTGCCTCGACTGGCTCCAAAGAGTCCAGCAGCCGGAGGGATGAGCGCGGTCGCACCCGAGACCACAAGGAGCGCGACAAGGAGGAGAAGCGCGAGGCCAAAGCCATGGAGAAGCGCCTCGCCAAACGTCTCGAGGCCAAGCCAGAGCCGTCCACCCCGACAAAGGAATCTCGTCCGCCCCTGACGTCTCGCCGTCGCGACAGCCACATGGGAGGGCGCTCCTCGTCCACCCACCGACACAGCCATTCGTACTCGACCAGCCAGTCTTCCCTCAACGCGTCCAACACGGCCAACATGGGCCGCAGCGTCCCGCGCACACCGAACCCGCTGAGCCCCGGTGCGGGCGGCGTGTACAGCAGCGGCAGCAGCGCCGTGTACGACGATGACCTCGAGGACGGCAATTACCATGCCCACCCGGTTCATCGGTAGCGCTTGGGCTGACCGAAAGTGACCACTGGCTTCTGGAATCGGATCCAGAACATGTGAGCACAAACATGGGCAGTTGACCGAGGGACCAACCAGGGCTGAGTCACCGCACCACACCATCATGTCTCGGCTGCCGCTGCGTCGTCCTCCCACGCACGGTCCACGGTGGAGTACCGTCCCGGCCCCTCTTCTCGAGTCCTCTTGCATAGGTACACGAGCTTTCTCATCAGTGCCTAACAGTGTCTTGATGGGGTATTCGTAACTCCGATGCATGCATGGAGGAGGACTGCCTTCGTCTTCCCTCGCAACGCTATCGGCTCGACGCTGAACACATTTGATCCGTCGCTGTTTCTCGCTGGCCCTTTGAATTCGATCTCGGGTTTTCTTTCCTTTCCTTCTCTCCGTCTTGGCTTTTTGATATACCCCCTTTCTCGCCATCAGTTTTCCCACGACACATATACCCCCTCCAGCGCTTCACACTTCACATTTTTTGGGCTTTTTCATCACGACACGATACGACACGACACGGCACGACCTCCACGCCACCATGAAGCTCTACCCATCCCTGTCCGACGACCTCGCCGCCTGGGCCGCGCAGCAGCCCGTCTTCTTCACGGCATCGGCTCCCACGCACGCACCACACATCAACGTCTCCCCCAAGGGCCAGACGTCCAGCCACCTCGCCTTCCTCACCCCCAACCGCTGCGCCTACATTGATCGCACCGGCAGCGGCTGCGAGACCATTGCGCACGCCTACGAGAATGGCCGCCTCGTCCTCATGTTCATCAGCTTCGGCGCCGCCCCGCGCATCCTCCGCCTCTTCGGTACGAGCTCCGTCGTGGAGTGGGACGACCCGCGCTTCGAGGACCTCGTGAGGACGATCAGTAAGGGTCAGCGGGATGCGTTTGACGGCGCGCGGGCGGTCGTCGTTTGTGACATCTTCCAGGTCCAGACGAGCTGTGGATACGGGGTGCCCAGGGTCAAGCAGCCGCTCTACGACCAGGATGCTGCCGCTGATGCTGCGCCCGCTAAGCAGCAACAACAACAGGCTGCGTCGGAAAAGGGGGCTGAGTGGGATGTCTTTGAGGACCGTCCCACGATGGACACCTGGGCCGCGAAAAAGGTCGAGACGGCCGCCCTGTTTGACTACCAGAAGGAAAAGAATGCATACAGCATTGACGGCTTGCCTGGTCTCAAGTCAGCGAGGCGTGACACGGGGCAGCACATGCGTCTGGTGGAGTTGCAAGCGTGGGCGGCCCGGGTCGCCAAGGAAGGCGACGCTGTTGCCGTTGGCTTTCTCGGTGCCGTCGTCCTTTTCCTTTTCCTTCGATTTGTTCTTGGGTTGCTGTAACACGGTGCCTTGCTTTGCGCGCATATAGATAGATTTGCATGTTTGTTTCTCTTGTTGACCTCGGAGGTTAAAAGAAGGTAGCAATGGCCTGGAATTCGGTATGACTAGCAATAGAACTGAAAAAGTAGGGCGCTTTTTTGAAATTTCCCTGTTCATCTTTCCTCACCTATCCATACCCCTTGATCAAATCCCAGCGCGCAATGACACTTCTCTGCTACAGAGAAGTGTTGGCGTCTTTCAGGAAACGTGCTGATCACGCGCCGAGTCCTGTGGACGCGCCCTCGTGGCGATGGCGATCGGCCAGATCACCGCTGCCGGTTGTGCGGCAAGCGGCCCCCGACTTCATGTCGGAGGTGAGCGTCAGCATTTGACAGCCGCACACTGCAAGGCGCGCTTCGCTAGTGATGCTCTTCAGGTGGACTCTGTTGTCCCCCTCTACTCGCAGCCTCATCCTCCGTTTCCTGCTGGAGCAGCGGCCGACGAGGCCTCACCTGCGGCTGCCGCCGCCTTCTCGCCAGCAGCGTTCTTGTTGCCCCCGCCGCGGCCTCGTCGACCACGACCCTGAGCTTTTTCGGCCTTGGGAGCACTCCCCTCCGCCGCTGGTGTACTCTGTTGCTGGTTCTGGGGCTTCTTCTCCTTGCGCTCCAGGACCTGCACAGTGCCCTGGCCCACGGCAACGGGGCTACCGGCGATGGCCTTGGCAAGACTCTCACGATCGGCGAAATCGACGTAGGCGAAGCCCTTGCGCTTGTCCATTTCGACAAAGGTCACAGGTCCGAATGCCTCTAGACTCTGCTTGAGGGCGGCATCCGTCACGCCCTGCGACGGGTTTGCGTGCTTGACAAAGGCGCGGGTGGACTCTTGCCCACTCGCAGGCGCCGCTTTCCGTTGCTGCGAGGCCTTTGGACCGTTCGCTTTAGTCGCTGCGGCGGAAGACTTAGCGGGTACGTTGGAATCTTCACTCGGTGTCTCGGGTTGTAGTTCAGCGGTGCCAGCCGCTCCGTCTGGCTTTTTCTTGAGAATCATGGGCGGGTTGGCCGGGTTCAACGTGGCTTGCTGTTCCGCCGCCTTGCCCTTGGCCCCGCGGGTCCTGCGGTTTTGCTGCGACTTGCCGCCAGCAGCATTGCTGTTCTTGCTGGCGCCACCGTCTGAAGAAGGGGCGGGCGAGGCAGGTCGGTTCGCAGTCGTCGCTTTGGCAGCACCCACGCTGGCGCTGCTCTCGGCGGCCTCAGCCTTGGTGTCTGTCTTGCTGTCGGCGCCAGCCTTGGCTGCCTCCTGACGCGCCTTCCTATGGGCACTACCCGGACTAAGGCCTAGGTCGCGTTGGAGCAGACGGGCGGCCGCAGCAATGCCAGCGCGGCGACTCTTGGGTCCATCATTGTTGCCAGCGCCGTTGATTTGGCCGGCAGCTGCTTTGGCAGCTTCTGCGGCCTGCTCGCTGGCAGCTTTCTTGGTCAAGATCTTGACCGGCTCCTTGGGTGCTTCGACCTTGTCTTCCTTGTTGGCCTTGCCCTTCTTCTTAGGTTGGTCGTCATCCTTGGCTGTTCCTTTGCTTTTTCCTTCGCCCTTGGCGTTTTTCTTGGCATTTTCCTTGCTCTTGGCCTTCTTCTCCTTGAGGAATTCCACGAGCGGTGTTGAAGTAACCTTGGCATCGGCCTTGTCGGATTCCTCGAATTCTGCCTCCACGTCCTTGGTCTGGACCGGGTTGGCAAGCGATTCGAGGAAAGCCTGGAACTCGGGATCCTGATCAATGGTACCCTGTCGCGAGTCCACACGCTTCTTTGCACCAGGGACCTTTTTGTAGAGGCAGAACTCGACACTCGGCGGTCCGACTAGTGAAGTGTTGGTGAAGGTGTTCTTAGCATCTTCCCAGGTCTTGGAGCGCACGGCATCATTCAGTGGCATGATATCATCCTTGCGCATGAGATGGAGATATGCACGACCTGGCGTGGGTGGCTTCGACAGACTGGGCTCCTGGTTAGCATGGCTTTCCCCGTGTTCACTGAGATCATGTCCACACACTCTTTGGAGATACCGCCGGCCACAAAGTCGAACCAGTCCACCTTGCCCTTGTCGACTTCCCATTCGGACCCAAGAATGGTCACAAACTCCTCCTCGGTCATGCCTGGCGGCAGGCGTCTCACTACCAGCTTCTCGCCGTCATTCTGCGCCTTGGACTTGGCGGGTTTCTGACCCTCTGGTTTGCCATTAGGCTCACTGGACTTGTCGCTTTGCCTCGCAGTATTGTTGGGCTTGTTGGCTGCGCCGTCTTTTCCCTACAAAAGTGAGCGTCAGCGGACGTCGAGGCCTCGACGCGTGAGTACGACGTAGGACACACCCTTGAAAAGTTAGCAGAGCGATGACGTCCGGCTTTCCCCCTTCGAGAGGATGGTTGCGGCGTGGCGGCCGACATGCTGGACGAGCAGCGACCTAGAGATGCCTCGATGACAAGGAACGTCTTCAGTGTAATGTGTCAGTCACAGGCGCAACGGACGGCGATGGCAGCTCACTTGGGGCCCACCAGGTCCCGATGAAGTCAGGAATGAGGATGTCACGTGTCACAGCAGAGACAGTGATCTGTCTTGGTGAATAGCAGCCGCCCAAAAGTGGCGAGAGATAGAGCTAATGACCATTAGATCCGTGACTATGCGCACCATCAAAGAAATCGGTACATGCGTTATTCTTATTTTGTCTTTAGCTAAGGTACCGTACAGTGGTGAGGATACCGCCCAAAGTTCCCAGTTCCGGCATTCCCAGCGCTCTCGCCCCACCATTACGCCCTGGAACGGGGGCGTGGCGGGTGGCCGCCCCATCGCTCATCAGCCACAACCTTCGCATGGCATCGAGGTTCCAGTCGGCGCCCTGCTATACGTATGGTATCTTGTCCACGACAGGACCTACACCTGCCTCGCCTCCACCTACAACCTGATCCATCCCGACGACGAGGCGGGCCCGCGTCCGAATATGACATCGACAGTACCGCGACCTGGCCCCGCGAACCTGGGGCCCAATTCAGGCCTTGATGAATGGCTCGAGGAGGCCAAGCAGTGTCACTACCTGCCCGAGAGGGTCATGAAGGAGCTATGCGAGAAGGTCAAGGAGATTTTGATGGAGGAGTCCAACATCCAGCCCGTCTCGACACCCGTCACAGTCTGCGGCGACATTCACGGCCAATTCTACGACCTACTCGAGCTCTTCCGCGTGGCGGGCGGCATGCCAGGCGAATCCAACGTCCAGGCCCCCAAGACCGCCACGACGGTGATCACCTCGGACGATATCGAGCCGCCGACCGAAATCACAAACCCCAAATTGCGCAAGAAGCTACGGTCGTCAGGAGATCCCCCCGGCGCGACAGACGTCGAGGGCGAGGACGAGGAGCGGCCGCAAACCGCCGACTCTGGCGTGGGCGTCACATCCTCACAGAGTGCGGACACGCGCTTTGTGTTCCTGGGCGACTTTGTGGACCGCGGCTACTTTAGCTTGGAGACGTTTACGCTGCTCATGTGCCTCAAGGCAAAGTAAGGCCTCGTCAACAGCCGTGTGATGAGATACAGAAGAATGATGATGGCTGACCAGCACCTCTAGATACCCCGACCGGATTGTGCTCGTCCGCGGCAACCACGAGTCCAGGCAGATCACACAAGTCTACGGATTCTACGAAGAATGTCAACAAAAGTACGGCAACGCCTCCGTCTGGAAAGCATGTTGTCACGTGTTCGATTTCCTGGTGCTGGCGGCCATTGTGGATGGGGAAGTACTGTGTGTGCACGGCGGTTTAAGTCCCGAGATTCGAACGATTGACCAGATCCGCGTGGTCGCACGCGCGCAGGAGATTCCACACGAGGGCGCGTTCTGTGACTTGGTGTGGTCCGATCCTGAAGATGTCGAGACGTGGGCTATCAGCCCGCGCGGCGCAGGGTGGCTGTTTGGCGACCAGGTGGCCAAGGAATTCAACTATGTGAACGACCTGAAGCTGATAGCGAGAGCCCATCAGTTGGTGAACGAAGGATACAAGGTGAGCTGCCATGGTCCATCTGTTTCGTATGTAATCACTGACCTCCCTCGGCAGTACCATTTCCCAGAGAACTCGGTTGTGACCGTTTGGTCGGCGCCCAACTATTGTTACCGATGCGGCAACGTCGCGTCCATCATGTCTGTCGACAAGGACCTCAGCCCCCGTTTCAGCATCTTTTCCGCGGTGCCGGACGACCAGCGACACTTGCCGGCAAGTAGGAGAGGGCCGAGCGACTACTTCCTGTGAGGCGTGTTCTGGTCGGGGGGGGGGGGGGCTTTGGCTGCCCTTTGGATTTGTTGTTGCCTTTCTTCTGCATGTAGACTAGTATAGGGTCACGATACCCCTTGATGTCTGAAACGATGGAACAGGACGGGTAGGCACGGGTTGTTTGGGTAATGAAGTACATGATTGTCATAGTGAGCTTGAGACGTGAGACTTTGCTGAAAGGCGACTCCACATTCGCAACTCCGTCCATCGGGATCTTTCCCTCCAGCGGCATCAGCCTGTCAATGAGAGTGCCCAGCGGCCTGCATCTACAGCGGGTCGATTGAAGAAGATGTGAAATCTTTACATAAGATGCCTAAGAAACAGAATCAGACGCCCGTTCACAGCGCCATGACAAGATGGCTCGATACGTCGCACCCACAGATCGCGCCCGCAGATGCCCATGAGCTACTCAGCACGGCGCCGAAGCGATTCACAATTTATGAGCCCATGGCCCTTTTACCAGCGGGCAGTTTCCTCAAACACCCATGGACGTTGCTTTCGCAGGAGGATCTCTCGAGACTGTGGCCTCTGGTGCTCCAGGAGCTCTCCAAAGCAAACGGCGTCCAGCTGTCTCACCTCGCCATCACAGAGGGCATCCCCCTTCACGAGGACGATGACGCGTCGGAGAATATTCTGCGCAGCCCGATAGGATTACGGATGCTTCATGGGGATTTCGGGCCCGCGACATCGCCAGCCACACCAGCACAGGCGGACTACGAAAAGGCACTGTGGGTGTCGACGCGCCAGAACGGCATCATCCAAACATGGGCACCTAGATGGACCATGTTCAGTCGAGGCAACGTCAAGGAGAAGGCCCGTTTGCTTGGCTTCCCAAGAGCCGAGAATGCCGACGAGTGGGCCGTGGACTTGTATGCCGGGATCGGATATTTCGTCTTCTCCTACGCCTCGCTCGGGTTCAGGGTCCTGGGCTGGGAATTGAACCCGTGGAGTGTCGAAGGGCTACGAAGGGGCGCCAGAGCCAACCGCTGGAGCGTCAGGATTGTGCAAGGCCAGGATCTGCGTCTGCCTCTCGATGCCATATTGGCTGGCAACGAGCAGATCATCATCTTCCTCGAGGACAACCAAAAGGCCCTGGGAAGGATCCGGCATATGCAACAGAGTCTAGGTGCAGCAAAGGACATTTGCCATGTCAACGGTGGGTTTCTGCCTACCAGTGAGCCCGTCTGGAAACCAGCGCTGGACATGACACGCGGGACTGCAGAGACATGGCTCCATCTGCACGAAAACGTCGGCGTGAAAGACATTGGCGCCCGGCAAGCGGAGATTCAGCAGCGCTGCGAGGACTGGGCCTCCTCAGAGCCGTCCCCGACACGGAGCGCCAGAGCCTCGCACGTCGAGCAAGTCAAGACCTTTGCACCGGGCGTGTGGCATTGCGTCTTTGATATACACATTACACGCTGAAGCTTTTTGCAAGCCAGGCCATATTGTACATGTACACACCGCATATTCTCATAGTTCCTCGTCTCACATGATATGCGCACGCGTGCGCCTACCGCTGCTGTTTCCTGAACTTGAGCGGTATGTTGGCCTCCACCACGGGGAGCCGCTCCATGGCCTCGAGCTTTTCCTCGGCCTCCTCCATCTGCTCGTGCTTCTTGAAATGCTCAATATCCTCGGGATGCGTCAGGTCCTCGAGCTTGGTGTCCTCGCCGTGGTATTTTTCCCAGTGGTGAATCTCGTACTCGTACTCGTCGTCGCCGTGGTGGCCTGGTCCCGTGCCCATGTCCGGCAGCGTCTGCCCACTCGCCACAAAGGCCAGCCACTCGGCGCCCGAGATCTCCCCGTCATTGTTCGTGTCCATGAGGCCCATGAGGGCCTCCATAATCTCCTTGCGCCGCGCATTGGGCACGTCCTTGTTCGACTCGTCCATGAGGCCGTACGTCCGGAGCAGCTCGTCGCCTTGCCATTTGCCGTCCGAGTTGTAGTCGTGCAGCGCGAAGAAGGCGCCTGCGTCCCAGCCCTCCATGTGGTGCTCCTCTGCCATGTGTTTCGTCATCCAGTTCGCGTTCTCGTCGACCTTGGGGGAGCCGCGCGCTGCGTGGTCGCCATGTGCTGCGGCCAGGCCGACGAGGGCCGTGGTGAGCAGCGTGGAGCGCATGTGGGCGGGTGTCTTTCTTTTTTTCTTCTTCTTTTCTTTTGTAGAATGTCTCGTGTGATGGGCGATGCAGTTTTGCTAGGTGAATCAGACTGTCTTCTGGATGTAGGACGGGCAATTATTAGTGTTGTCAGGGGCGACAGACAACTTCCCGATGCATGATCGGGACTTGGGAGGACCCTGGGAAATGTGGGGACAGATGCTACCTCACGGACGGAGCTTCATCCAAGCTTCTTCCATCATCAGGAAAAACACTAATCAACTGGAGCTGCTTAGAAAATCGACAATTGCTGTCCAAGATCTGCCTGTACCATCGACAAAAGAGGGGCTCCACCAGTGATATACCTCCAAGACGCGTCGAGCGCGTCGACGACATCGATCCTGCTCGCACGCCACCATCAGGAACCATGAGCCGCCAAATCGAACAAGCGCTATGGTCGCTGATGCCGACCTTTGCTTCAGATCTCCCACCGTCGCTGATCGAGCTGACCGGATCCCTGGTCGCACAATCTCGCCTCAAGGCCAGCACCCTCAAAGCTGAAGAAGAGGTCGCCCGTCTCTACGCGTGCGCCAACATTGCCTGCGATCGGTGAGCATCCCGAAAAGGCCTGCTGTGCCATGTTTCTCATGGGCGTGTAGGCTCAAAATCACCCTCGACCTTCCGCCGATCCAGCCACGGCCACCCATCGCGCCAAAGCACTACAAGAAGCTGCATGCCCATCTCGACAATGTCCTGCCGCAGTCCAGCACACCCGCGCGATCCCGTGCCGGGCGAATACGCACGCCTAGCAAAGCATCCATGGGATACGGAGTCATCGAGGTGAAAGATTCGCCGTCAAGAGGGACGCCGAGCAAAGAACAGATTCTGGCACAGTGGCGGACCGGCGATGCAGCCACACCAACGAAGCGAGGCCAGCACTCGCTGCTCAGGCCTTGGGTCAGGCCAGTCGTGAAGCGCATGTGCGCGGAGCTGCAACAGGAGAAGATGGCGCAGACAGTCTTCGCGGGTATGGAGACCATCACCTGCCCAGCGGGACGGCCGACCAAGGACGAGTGGGTGACCGACAACTACGCTGCTCTGTTCGCAGCCGTGTTCTACTGGAGCTTGATACGATTCCGGGCGCTGACGGAAGGCACCGTCATCCCCCGCGAACCGGCCTACGAGCAGAGAAGACAGATCCTCTCGCTCATGTCCCAGGCGAGGAAGACCGTGGTGCTCCCCGGCGCAGACGACGACGTATCCTGGAAAGACTGGTCGGACCTCAAGCCTCGAGACTTCAACCATGCCGTAGCGACGGTCAAGGAGCGCGCCTGGCTGGGGAGCAGTTGGTACAAGGACATTGATGACGTTGTCAAGTTTCAGAACTGGGACGAGGGCGACGACCGCGTCGATGAGGATGCTGACCTGTCGGGTCCCATCCGAGCGCGGCTCGTGGACACCATGTTGCAGGACAAGACGGACTACCTCAGCGAGACGCGCAAGGTGAACTACGAGGCGTGGAAGGCCGATGTATTGCTTCGAATGGCTCAGCGCAAAGAGGACGCGATGGACATAGATACCCAATGATCAAGACGTTTATTTACATTAGCCAATCCTCCCGGGCACATAGGGGTGGCCGGCACTCAGTCCACCATCCACGGCCCACGCCTGTCCGTTGACGTAGCTGCTCTCGTCGCTCCCCAGGAAGAGCGCCACGCGCGCAATCTCATCTGCGTGGCCACCCCTCCGCGTCGGGTTGAGCTGGCCAATCTTCTTTTCCGTACCACGAGCCCTGGCACTCTCGTACGTGGGCGCCGTCATGCCTGTCTCGATGAGGCCGGGACATATGGCGTTGACGCGCACATTTGTGCCCACCAGCTGATACGCCGTCGTCTGCGCCAAGGAAATGACGGCCGCCTTGGAAGCCGAGTATGGCGTCGAGCCAGCGTTGGAGCGCAAGCCTGCCACACTCGCCGTCCCGATGATGGACCCGGACGAAGCTGGTTTCGCGTCCGAGGTCTTTTGCATGGCGGGCGCCGCATGCTTGACGGCGAGAAACACACTCAGGGTGTTCACCTTCATGATCTGCATGAAATCCGCGTCGTCAATGTTGGTGAAGAGGGCATGCGGACCGACGATGCCCGCATTGGCAAAGAAGACGTCCAACCGCCCGTACCGTGCGAGCGCATCGTCAATGACCTCTTTCACCTTGGCCTCGTCTGACGCGTCAAACTGGCGCGTGTGGATGTCGACGGCGGGGTACAGGGCGTTGATCTCGGCCTTGTGCGCGGCGAGGTTGGAACCATCAAAGTCGCAGATGTACAGGGCCCTGGCGCCTGATTCAGCGTACTGGTGTGCCGTCGCGCGCCCGATGCCGAGCTCCGAGTTGGCACCTTTGCATGGATGTCAGTACATTGTCGACAGACAGGGCGAGTCAGGAAGAAGTACCGGTGATGATGACCACTTTGTCTTTCACACGCGGTGCGCTTGAGCCGGCGGCTACCTTGGTCATAGGCTTGAGCTCGGTGGAGGAACCAGGTGACAACTGGTCACCGAGAGCTTGAATGCGCCGCTTTGCTTGGTCTGCCATGTTGACGATTGTCTGACGGGCGCGACGAGTACTTCTGAGAGATGAACGACAACGATTGAGTTGGTGCGATCGCTCACGGACGGTGACTGGAGAATGAGAAGGAATCTGGGGTAAATCTGAATAAGAGCAGGCAGGGGGGGTCCGATCTGGAGAGAGACTGGAGATGCCGAGGCACGGAAAAGGTACATCTCGTGACGTAGTGGAGTGGGTGCGGGTCGAGGTACCTGACGAACGGTGTCGGGATCGAGCGAGAGCTTGTTTCCTCCTTGGCTTCAACGTCCCGAGGTCATGTCGAGGGTCGGATACATCCTCCGCGCTTCACCAGCTCGGATCGAGGCCGACGAACCTCGAGCGCTGGGCTGCGTCAAAGGGAGTTAGTCGTGTAGCCACGCCAAGACGAAGCTGGGCTGACGTCCAAGACGCGTCCTTGCCGTGTCCATCGGCGACAACTAACAACGGATGATTATCGCCCAGATCGGTGCCAGCTTCGTCTCAACTCTCGACCCAGGACTCTGACAAGACGAGAAAAGTCCACGTCAGGAGACTGGCCAGTCGGGCGCGCGTGTCATGAGGAGGCTCGGGCTGCCGCATCGGTGGCGCATCGGGCCTGACCGCTTCACCCGAGGACTTGCGCAAGCCTCATTGATGGACGAACCCAAAAGATCACGACTACGGACAGGAGGCGGACTAGATCGGCAGCACCAAGACTCTGTCGCCGTGGACGGACGAACAATGCGGTCCGGACGGAATGCGTGATGCGCTTGATCAAACACTCTAGGCTACAGGAACATGTTTGCTCTTCAGGGTCGAGTCTGATTGCCTCCAAGAAAGACTGGACGATGATGAAGATGAGATACGGTACCTTCAAGGCACGATGCAGCTAGATCAACTGCAGGCAGGCTCTGGACGCCGGATATTGCGTCGACTCAGGGACACTTTTTTGCCAACACGACAAGAAGGCCCGGCATATCTGAGCAAATCATGTATGTATGGTACGGTCGTCGGGCGTCCCAACTATAGAGACAGACGAGGCAACCAACCAACCAACCAACCAACCAACCCGGAGCCTTCGGGCTCAACAAGCGCGAGATTTGATCTCGCGACGGGTTCCAGATGATTGGCAGACGAGAACAAGATATACTCGGAGCGAGGCCCTCACCACGATGACAAAGTAATGACTCGACGGTGCACGACGGGTGTGTTGGTCGCACGATGTGCGCGGCCGCCGCAACGAATGGCTCCCCAGCGGACGATCCATCGGTGCGGCTTCTGGTACGACGACAGCTGCTCTGGACTGGAATAGCATGCCACGTTGCAAGGAGGTATTCTCGGCGTGCGATGGGCATGTGGGCATGTCATAGAAATGTGGGTGCCATGTCACCGCTTTTTCCACATCTTTGGACATGCTCTAGAAGTCGCTTTGATACAGCCTCAGACCTACAAAGGAGCGAAGAACTCGAGAACTCCCCTGTAGCAGCTCGACACCCAGTGTCCCGAACAGGACCCCCGAGTTCTCAGGAGAAAACTTGTCGTCCATGAACTCGCATGGCACTACTTCCCTCGTGCCACCGCGCGGCGCGCCGCATGGCATTGAAGCAATGCGTGGAAGCTATTCCCAGGCTCAATAGCGAGAAACTCGCGCTCGTCTCTTGGGCCATGACCCCCGAAAGGGGCCTCTCATGACACAATTGTCCTGCTAAGAGTAGCAACGCCCTGCGCATGGCCACGGAGATCTATCGCTGCGAGGTGGTGGCCCCGTGTGTGGACTGTGTCACATCCGTGTCTGCATGGCAAGGTGCTTCTTCCAGCCCCGTACTACTGTACGACGGCGTGCTTCCCTATCACGGAACTGTCCTGCGTGGGGAGCCCGCGGCGGCGGGAACCCGTGGAGGAGGGACGTGTATTGTTTGCACGACTGTCAAGCGACATCTAGTCTACCTACGCCCACGCGCCCGCCCGCCCATCTCCTCTCCATTATTTGTATATGGACTGACTGTCAGTGGCCTAGCTGTCGCCTTTTCAAGGTCTCACCACGGCTTCACTCTGTTTCCATCTGTTTGCGCTCGCGCTCCAGCTGATGCTGTTCGGCTGTCGAGTCCATGGCTGAAGCCGTCAACACCTCTACCTTTCAGGGCAGCTGCTATAACTGAACTACGATCCACCCCTGCTCATCACGAACTACACAAAAACAGGCGCCAATGGGCACTGAGCGATGCGCCAACCAGCCGTGGGGCTCTTTGGCGAGCAACGTTGTCGACGCCCCGAGTTGTGTTGCAGACTGTAGGCAGAGGTTCTTGGCCATACTTCTCCCAGAACGGCAACTCACAGACGACACACTCGAGCCCGTGTGCGAGCATCTTTCAAGAAAGTCTTTGTCTCTCGACGAGGCATTCTGGACATTGTACTGTTGCGATGCGCAGCTCTGTGGCGTGGACAATCTGGCGGGTCGCGGCAAGGACCGTATGTGACTATGTCTGTGTCCCAAGTTTGTTTGACACTGGCTCACGCTGTTTTATAGCCAATGTGAACTGGGTGATCAGTTCTTGTCAAAAGTGAGTTGTCAAGTCATGCTGTACTATCTTTCTTGGCTAACGGTGCCTAGTATAGGGTTTGATCACATTCTTGACCCTGGACCACCAGAGATAGATCACCCCTGTGGTTCGGCAAATCCAGTATCTCAGAGCATGGAATGTGTGACAACGGGTACGCCAGTGTCCACGGTGAAACTACAAGCTATTCTCCCGACATCACTATCGCCATTCCCGGTATCGTCGTCGACAGCACAAACCACAGAGACGTCCACACAGCCAGCGATTCGCGATCCCTCGTTAGCAGCAACTATGGATAACGACTCGTCGAGTGTTGACGCGGATTCGCCATCGCCATCAGGCTTGTCGACGGGTGTCAAGGTCACAATCGGGCTCTCCACAACCGTGGCGGCATTGCTTATAGCAGTGGCCATTTTCTTCCTCCTTCGAAGGCGACGCATGATGCCGCCCCATAGACGTCACCGATTCTTGCAGCGCGACAACTCCTCCTTCTCTACCTTGGGCTCGCCGACACCCCTAGTCTCGCCGCCGCCCGTTTCGCCTCTGGGACCAGAGGACGTGCCGCTGACTCCGCCCCCGCCGCTCAGGGAGAGGAAGATGCTGGATACGCGCAGCTCTACCAGCAGCAGCAGGAGGCCATCGGGGGTTTCCCGACCTCCTATTCTGACACCGACTCTAAGCAAGCTGGTTCCCCGATCAGAGACATTTCCGCGGGGACTATGTCCGCCGTCCGCGACGCACGGCATGGTGAACAGTGTACGATCTTCGTCTGAATCCCAAGGCGCTCTGAGCAGTCCCGCCCGCTCCTTTTGTTGTTCACCATCCAAGCCCACTAGTCTCCCTTGTTCGACACAGCGACATGGGAACATTGGTGTTGCCGTGGGCATAGTACGACACAACCCGGCGGAGGGAGTGGTGCTCGACAAGAACGCCCAGGACCTGTGTGAGCTGACGGACGAGTACGCGCGGGAGTCGAGAGACACCAGCTGGGGAAGCTGGAGGGGCGGCGGAGGGCCTGGGCGCGTGGCGAGCGAGCAGCACGTGGGTGGCAGCGTCATGCGAGAAGCGGATCTGGAGAGGCTGGGTGGTCGATATTAGCCCTTTCTTTTGCTTTTGCTTTTGCTTTTGCTTTTGCGGATAGGAAAGAGAGATAGCGGGACTATCCACGGGGGGCCTGCAGTTACATGATACCGAGGGAAGGATATAGGCGTTTTATATGCGAGATTCATCAATCAATACAGCAGTGATTTGGTCTTTTCTACGCTGAGCATCTCACATGCTAGATCCCCTTGCCCTTGAGGGACTCGACCAGGTCGCCAATGCTCTTCTCCAGCCCAATCCACTCGATGCCCAGCAACTTATTCGTCTTGCTCACATCATACGAGAACATCTCGCTATCCTTGGGCCTCTCACCCCCCTGCACACTCTCCGCGGGCAGGCGGTCCTTGAACTCGGGACACTTGCGCCGCACAATGTCCACAATCTCCCTGTGCGACATGCAGCCCGGCGTGGTGAAGAGCCTCTGGCCACCAAGCTCTGCCTTCTCCATGGCCACGACGTGCGCGCGCGCCACGTCCCGGACGTCCACCCACAGCGGCACAGCGCCCGTGTCGGGAATCTTGTCCTTCCAGCCCCCCTTGAGGAGTGTCACGATGCGCTCGTTGGAGGTGTTAATGTTCTCCAGCGTGGCGAGGTGGTGCACGACGGGCCCAAAGACAAGGGGCGGACAGACGGTGACGAGGTCAAAGGCGGGTTTCTCCCTGCCGACAAAGTCCCACGCGGCGCGCTCGGCGAGCGTCTTGCTGACGCGGTACGCCGTGGGCTTGGAGTCGTGAATGTTGTCCACGGTGGACGGGTTCCACGAGGCCTCGGTAAAGGTGTGCGTGGGGTCGGCGAACTTGGTCTCGTCCAGGATGGCCGCGAAGCTGGACGTGACGACGACGCGCCGGACGTCCTTGCCGTGGGCCTGGATGGCCCGGAGGATGCCCGTGGTGCCGTTGACGGCGGGGTCGATGAGCTCCGTTTGCGGGTCGGACCAGTGGAAGTGAAAGGGGCTGGCGGTGTGGAGGACGGCCTCGAGGCCGGGGACTTGGAGGACCTCGTTGAAGGCGTCGAGCTGGGCAATGTCCGGGACGATGTGGACGTCGAGGCGTGATGCGGCCACGGCGTCGGGGTAGGCGTCGAGGATGGCCTGACGCTTGGCGTCTGTGCGGACCGTGGTCACGACTGTGTGGTTCTTGGCGAGCAGTTGCTCGAGGCAGTGCGCTGGGCCGATCGGTCAGTGCTGGCTCTCATGGCGTGGCATGGATGGGGTTGTCTGTACCGGCGATGAAGCCTGAGCCACCTGGGGAAGTCAGTGATGAGTCTCGATGAGAGGTGGAGGGGGTGAATGTGTACCAGTGAGGAGAACTTTGGTCATGATGAGTGTGGCTGGCGCGGAATGGTTGTGCAAGTTTTCAAGTGAGGCGAGTAAATACTGGTTGCTTGGGACGATTTGTCTATGTGTACTTGTGTCTGTTTGACCTGACCATTGAGGTCATATCACATCCTAGGGTTATATCCGGCCCCTCTTCCTCTTCCCCTCCTTCATCGACGCACGTCTTCGTGGGGGGGTGTCGGGACTCGCCTCCGTCCAAGGGTGGGGCTATACAGAAGTACCCGAGTGAGCCAGCTGCAGATGAACAAAACGACTACATTGCAGACAGACAAGACTACACGATCCTCCGCCTTCTCAGAATCTCCTCGTACGACTCCATCCGCTCCGTCCGGCTCTCTAGGGTATCAAGCATCTCGTGGTGCCTCCTGTTCAGATCCTCCCACTTGTCCTTCCAGAACCTCGTTTCGTGCTTCCAGTAGCTCAGCTCCTTGACCATCTCAGACACGCGACGGCTACAGCTTCCGTCCAGTTGGCGCGCAAGGTTCCGTATCCGCGCGCGCAGGTCACACGTCTCCTCCTTGGACGCCTTGAGCTCGCGTTCCAGCTTGTCGACCTTGCATTCTAGCTTTGCGACTTCCCCTGCGTGCTTGGATGCTTGGTCGGCTGCATTGTCCAGGGAGCGGCGGAGGCTGTCATTGTCGGCGAGCAGTGCGGCGTTGGCGGCTTGTAGGTCTGGAATCACACATTGCTCCAAGCGCTGTGTCTCTGCTTGCGACGCTGCCAGACTCGCCCGCAACGCCTTGTTCTCCTCTACCAGCGCGCAGTTCTGCTCCTCCAGCGACCTCTCCCTGAGCTTGAGCGTGTTCCATTCCTCTTTGCTGACCTTGTAGTAATCTGGGCAGTAGTCGAGCTCGTAGTGGCGGTGGTGGTGCTCGCGATGGTGGTGATGCGAGCGCGAGCGCTTGAGCTTGACGAATTGCTGCTTCCCCATCGAGGACGTCTCGATGTAGTATCTTCGAGACATCTCTTTGACTGTGCAGGGCTCGACAGCGGGGACCTGGCGGCTGGCGTTTGCACCCACTTTGGCGGCGGTACTCAAGGAACTTGGGCTAGACTCGGTGGACAAGTAGCGAGTAGGCCTCGGTTGAAGATCAAAGCATGGGCTGAGATGAACTGAGAAGAGAGATATGACGGCACACAGAATCTGGCATGGGGGAAAGCGCAAGTACATGTATAGCAGCACAGGGCGTCCCTTGAACATACGGCCAGGTGCAACGAGCCTCGAGGCCATAGTCAAGGGACCAATCCGAATCAACCACTACGCCAGGTGACCAGTGAGCTCTGTGTCAGGCCTCGTCGAAAAGGCATTGTTTGACGACACCTTTGTTGGCCAGGCACTCGCCTGGGCGTCCAAGAAAACGGACAAAGGCTCAACGGGCACGAGGCGACCACCATGTGGCCTGGTCCGCATTGTCTCTTCTCAAGACAGGGCTGACCACAAGCTTGTTCTGCACAGGGCAAACAGTGGCAGCTTGCTCTTATGGAAAGGGACCCGGCAGCCAGTGGTGTCATGCCGCAAACCCACCATTGTCGTCGTTGCACCTCGAGAAGGCTGCCCATGTTCGGGTCGTGCAACAAGAGTGACCACGAGGCTGGGAAGCCTGAGCAGAATGTCTCATTGGTCACATTGTCCCAGGTCGCGTCGAGGTCGGCAGCCTTGTCGAGCAGGCGCGTGGATGACGCTGTGGTTCGGCCGTGATCCTGTCAGGGACGTGACGGCAGCTGCCGCTGTGCATCTGCACATCCCATGGGGGGATGCGCCCAAATAGACCGAGCCTTTACACTTTGGGCGGATGAGCTGCAGGAGGTCTGTCCGCGCCGGCAGACGCAGGGACATGAAGAAGGTGTCGAGCAGATGGTCGAGGATGGGTGGGTGATGGAGGTGGTGTGGGATGTCAGTTGACGAGGGTGACCAACTCATGCACTGTGCTGTAGCTTGCAGTATCAGATGTACGGAGTAGACCGTGTCCATGCCACCGGAACTGTTAGTGCTCTCACATGCACAGTGTATCTTACGCCCCTCGCACCCTCGCTCATGACAGCCTCGCATCAGCCTGCAGCTCTCAGCCACCCCTCGTGCCACACTCACAACTTCTCAGTCCATCATCGCCCATGTCCTCGTCCTTACGGATACAACACGACTTTTATCTTCTTTGCAGGGCTGCATATCGTCACTCGCGTCAGCCTAACCAACCTTGATCGCCCATCGCGCTAATGCCAGCATGATGGCCTGCCGCCCAACTCAGCATCCGCGCGTCTCTTGAGGCTAGCCCTGACTGTGTCCCTGGACACGATGGCGTATCAACGGCAGTAGACGCATCATGAACCAGTCAGGTGCGGTGATCACGCCAAATCGGGCTTCCTACAAGATAATGCCCTTTATTGTCTCTGCAACCACTAGCCAGACTGCCAGGACCAGCCGAAGCATAATAATAGTCCCTCGACCTGGAACAACGAAGCACAGACGGAATCAAACAAGGGGCCTCAGTCATCGAAAACAAAGCAAACCCCCGGTTCTACCAAGGCACCCACGGCCAGTCAAGCAAAGCCTACTCGACGACGAAACAACAGGCTATTCCGCGGACTGCCAGTACGAGGGGGCTGCGAATCGCGTCCGAGGGGGTCGTCTCGCGCCCTCTGCCTCGCCGAGTCCCTCTTGTAACTCTCGCAGCACCCGGACTCGCCGCGTCTCCTCGTCCTTTCTCTCCTGCCTTTTGAGCGCCTCCTGCAACGCATGGTCCCACTCGCCCAACGGCGTTGTCCCATTCTCCCTCCGGGTTTCTACGGGCTCGTAGCAGTACATGCACTTGCTCCCCTCCCATGGCGGCTGCGCATTGACAGCCCGATGGCAGCCGGGGACGGCACACCGCCTGTGATCAAGACAGTAGGCCCCGTCCCCGTCGCCTTCCCTCTTCCTCGCGCAGCCCGCCTCCTCGCACTCGTGGCCCTCGCAGAACGTGGCGCCCCGGTGACCGTCGCGCTCGTCCCAATCCAGGATGCGCATCCGGCCGCACGCGCTCGCCTCGCACTTGCACTTCCGGCACAGGTCATGTCCAGGCGCTTTGGCGTTCGTACACGTGCGCCTCATGCACAGGTGCCGTATGCAGAAGCTAGTGCCGGAGACGACGGGCGCGCCACAGGGACCGGAGCCCCTGCCACTGACGCTGCAAACGCCATGAAAGTCTGCCTGTGGTCAGCGACATGCCACGGCTCGGGATTCTGCGTCGGCCACAAAACCCACGTCTCTCGCATTGGTCTTGTGTCGTTCCACTCAGGACGAACCGTCGTCCACTGCAGCCTGGCTCGCGACACAGGCCGTGAGTGCGGCATACGCCGTCCGTCTCTCCTGTGGCCTCCTCCCCGCAGCCGGCCACCGAGCAGCGGTGGTATTCACAGTACTTGACGCCTGCCTTCTGTATCCGGCACCGGGGGGACTGACACGTATGCTCCGCGCAGTAGCGGCCCGCCCCTCTCTCGTTCCCGCAGTCCTCCGTACAGCATCGATGCTCACGGCAGAAGCGTGTCCCATCCCCCTTGGGCCGATCACACCCAGGGTGCGCACAGTCCTGCGTCACAAAGGGAGCACACGCAGCCGCACGGCCGCCACGGCCAGACACTTGAGCCTCGCGAGATGACGAGCGCTCTCCTGTCTGCACGGGGCAGCGCCACTCGCAGCACAACCTGGCGTGGCAGCAGTGACATAGACCACGACAGCAGCGCGAGGGGGTTTCAACGTGTCGGCATCGCTCGCTGTGACAGTCTCCCGCCGTGCATAAATCTACTCCCCTTAGTATCTCCGTTCCGCGCAATCGCGCAGAAGAGGACTTGTACTCACGGAGGTCAACGCAGAAAGACCACTCCATGGGATCGCCATCCCGCACCGTGTTGGTACATTGCACGCCTAGATCCATGCCTTTGCATTGAAGATCTGTTTCCTCAGCCTCAACTTTGAACTCGCCCTTTGTTTTCACTCTGGGGGTCCCAACTCACGTTCCTTGCAGTATCGTCCGTTTCTGGGCAGTTTGGCAGTATAACACATGCGCCCCCCCTCCACCATACGACAGCAATGCCACTCGCAGTAGATACTCTTCCACAGCTGCCCATCTATGTAGTCAGCGGCGCACTTGTTGTTGCACACCGTTCTCGGCGCCTGGCACCGTCCTGGCTTGTGCTGTGGTCTGTAGGGCTGTGGTGGTGGTGGTGGTGGTGGTGGTGGTGGTGGATAGGGAAGTCGAGGGCCTGGGCCAGGTCGTCGTCCCTTGTTCACGTTCATGCTCATGTCTACCTAGCGTGCTCCTGAATGTAAGGTCAAATTCATGGAAGAGGGAGGACAAGGAGGGGAAAGGGAGAGGACGACAGATGACATGGAGACATGGGACGGCCGGCGGTGGTGATACTTGCTTCGCCCTTTCGAAAAGCGGCGAGGCAATTGGTTCGCAAGCCCGTAGCGAATCGAGGCGTGAGACAAGGAGGCGGCTCTTTGACTATCGTCTTCCTGGGATGCCACGGCAGGATGCATGCCAGGTCGCTTGTACAGCAGGGATATGATCCATCTCCGAGGAACCTAGCGAGCCTAGCGAGCCAACTAATGTCCTGCCACGCTGTGCCCGTCGGGTTACGAAACTTTCAAGTCATGTCGGAATAGTAATCATGTTACCGTATCGATGTCAGTACAGCCGTCAACAACGCCTCTAACCCTACTACTCCGTGATTCTCTTTTTGATCCCAATCGTTTCGCCGTTACAGTTCAATGGTATCGTGGCCTTCCCTTTTTATTTGTAGCACCCTGTCACAACGCCGGCAGAATCGAAAAACTCCCTCCCTCTCTACTTACCCAAATAACGTTTTGTGTGAACGAGAAAAACAGAAAGGCGTACGGACACTGTGTGTATACGTGGTGGCCCTGTAGCCTCGTGTCGCCGGCCAATACCAGCGGTGCATGAAGAGGCGACGTGCATGATAATGGCGGTGACACGACCTACGCCCTGCCCGGGGGCATCAACAATGTCAGGGGGCCGTGTAGCCTACGTCATGGCCTGCAAAAGGTCATTCGACTCGGCTTTGAGTTCGTTGGCTATCGCCTGCTCGAGACTGGCAAAATCAAACTCGAATTCCATGCCCGGAGAGGGTTCACGTTCAGCCGCCGTTATGGGCACACTCGATGCTTCTGGCTCTGGCGCCAGGGTGACCTCTGGAGCGGCGTTCGGGGCCGCTGCTTGTGGCGACGGCGACGGCGCCGGATTTGACGTTGATGTTGTCGTTGTCGCCGCCGCTGGCTGCGGCGGTGTCGGCTGCTGAGGTATGTGCGGCACGTGCGTAGTCGTAGCTGCTGGTGATTGCTGCACTTGTGACACGTGCGGCCTTTGCGACGCCTCCTGCTGTGGCTGCTCCGATTGTGGTACCGATGCTGGCGGCTGAGACGGGGCTGCAGTCCCTGCGCCCTGGGTCGCGTGCTGTCCGGCGCTCCCCGCCGGCGGCTGCTGTGCCTGACCACCAGCCTGACGGGCCGCGGACAGCGCCGGTTGGGCGCCAGGGCCGGGCGACTGGTGCGCAGAGCCGGGCGCAGAGTTGTTCGCGGACGACGGGGCGGTCGCCCGGGGCGGCGAGGGATACGTGGAACCAGGTACAGCAGTCTGCGGCAGGGGCGGTGTTTGCTGGGGCCGGCTCGCTTGCTGAGCTGGTGCTGTGTGACTATGCTGCGTCGTGGGTCGGCTCTGTGGAGGCTGTTGCACGAGCGGTTGGTGCCCATAAGGACCAACGTGTTGATGAGCAGTTTGTGGTAGCTGCACTTGCACAGCATTTTGCGTGCCATGTTGGCCTGGGGCTTGTGGTTGAGGCCGTGGCACCTGGGGTGGGAGTTGGGTCTGCGTCCGTTGCGTTGCCTGTGGAAGCTGTGCTTGACTACCAGCAGCAGCAGTGGCCGGGGCGGTTGATGCTGTCGTCGTCTGTGGGACTTGGCCGGGGGGCCGACTACTTCCCGTCGCAGCAGCGAGATGCGCCGCGGCTGCTGCTTGAGCGGGTGTCATCATGCCAGCACCAGCAGAGCCATTGACGCTGTGCTGCGGTGGGCTCTGCAAGCTCCCGTTGGGCCTGCTTGGGACCTCCTCTGACGTCCTCCGGGCCTTCTCCTCCGCTTCTTTCCGCGCGGCCTGGGTGGGCGCCCTGGTCTTGAGCTCGCCGGTGACGGTGTTTAGGTAGAAGGGCATCTCGGAGTTGGTCTTGAGGAAGAATAGCTTCAAGTTGCGCGCCTTGTCCTTTAACTGGACTTGTGTCCGGTCCTTCAGAACATCGCTAATGGTCCCGTGTGCGCCGTAGAGTCCAAGGATCTGGCTCCAATGGGGGCCTTTGACTCGATCCAGCCCTTCCATCAGCGCTTTCTCTTCCTCCTGAGACCACGGCCGTCTGGCCGAATGGACACCTTCCCGTCGTGCCGGATTGCTCACTCTGGACAGTGCAGATTGACGTGCCATCTCGTACAGCACAGCACTGGAGTGCGTCTGGTTAGGCGGTAGCCCGTTGGCATCGACAGTCTGTTGAGTCAGCGGCTGCTGGTCCCGTGATGCTTGTGGGAAGGAGGCGTAATATGTTGGCTGGGACGGTGTTTGTTGCTGAGGATGTTGATGGCTTGGCTGCTGAGCATGCGCCTGTGGCTGGGGCTGGGCCTGCTGTGGTTGCTGCGCTTGCTGGTGGTGAAGATGTTGTTGCTGTGGCTGGTGATGTTGGTTTTGTTGTTGGTGGTGGTGGTGTTGTTGTTGTTGCTGCAGTTGCTGCTGCTGCTGTAGTTGCTGCTGTAGTTGCTGTTGTTGTTGATGATGTTGTTGATGATGTTGCTGCTGCTGCTGCTGCTGCTGCTGCTGATGTTGTTGTTGCTGGTTTTGTTGTTGTTGATGCTGCTGTTGCTGGGTACTCAGGAACTGTGCTTGCGCCGCCATGCTCTCCGCTGTGCTCATGGGCACCGTGGGCTGGTAAGGGTTGGCAGACATGCCCTGGAGTGTCGTCTTGACATACTCAGAGGTGCTCTCCGCAACCAAAGCCTCGAGAGCGGCCAAGTCCAAACTGCCGGTGTTGCTCTTAGGTTCTTCCGAGTTGGCAGCACCGTTGACAGCCTCAGCCGCTTGCTGCTCAGTCTGCTGTGGCGGGGCCTCCTGGTTCTCGCCTTCGGTGCTAGCCAAGGGCTCGTCCACGAGATTGTCCGCAGCCCGGTCGAACATGGCTTGCATTTCCATCTCGAGGGCGGCCAGGTCATGAGCCTCCATCTCTTCCTGCTCGTACTCGGGCATAGTAAACCCAAACTTCTCGCCAAACTCTCGACTAGCTTCAAGCTGATTATTGACATAGTGGCTGTAGTCCTTCAGGATGTCCCGGATAGGGTATTTCTCTGTTTCACATGTAAGCGATGAAGAAGAAAGATCAGATGGGATGGAAGCTTACCCGCCAGATCTGTCGCTGGGAGCAACTGGCGGACGTCGTCCATCCGTTTCCGCAACATGTTGGTCACCGTCAAGTCGCCATTACTTAACCCGTCCATAATGTTGTTCTCGTTCAAAAGATCCTCCACACCTTCCAGATAGATCGCATGCAGCTCGTCCTCGGACAGAGTCTGGTCTTCCTTGAGCTGCAATGTTTGGATGGCCCGTTGCGTCTTCAAGCCCACCATGACCTTGGCCACGGCCTTGGGAAACCCGAGAATCTCGTCACGGAAAATGAGTGGCAGCTGCTCGCTGGCTTGTCGCAGTGATTCGGGTGTGCCCTCAACCAGCCACGCCGCCAGCTGCGCTAAGTTCGCAAACTGGAAGATCTTGCCGGCGTCTCTAGAGTCGAGATGGTGCATTTCCACGAGCAGGACGGGGCCAGCGGTATACGTTCCACGCAGCGCCTCGAGTGATTTCTGAAGGTGTCGGTATCGGCAGCATTGCTGCGACTCGGGGTCCCGCAGGGTGGCGGAGAGCTCGTCGAACGGGCGGTGGGTCAGAATCAGGAGCATCATGAGGGCCTGCCTTTTGTTAGTGCTGCGCCGTGAATTCTCGCTGGCGTACTGACCAAGTGGCCGAGCGGCTGGAGGCACTGGTTCTGGGCGAACCTCTCTGGCTCTGCGTGGAAATTGATGGGCGCCAGCTGTTGGTGGCTTGCTCCCAGTCCGAATCCGTCATCGCTGTAGCCATTGATGAGCGCGTCGCCGCCCGAGTCATTCTGGAACTGCTGCAATATGTCTTCGATGCTCGAAAGCGCATGGGCCTGATCAAAGTCGCCCGCACCAGCGTCGTCGCCGTCGTCGTCGTCAGCATATGCGTGAGGCGAAGTAGCGCACGACTCGTGAGGTAGGGGGTGATCGTGGGCAGGGAGGTGGATGGCGCCGTTCGTCAAACTCGATGCATCGAAGGCCTGTTGGAGGGCAGTGGCGGTGGCAGTGGCGGCCAGCGAGGTTGGTGACGGTGCTGCTGTCGCTTCCACGGCGGAATTGGCAGGCGCGGCTTCCGCTTCCAGCTTGGCATGGTCGGATGACAGCTGCTCTGCGCCAGCTGTATCCGGAAGTACGACAGAGGACTGTTGAGGGCTATGCTCGGCCTTGAGACGTTTTGCTCGTTGTGCATCCTCGAGGGCGGTATGCTGTGCGTCTTCTTCAATGGGTCGCTTGGTGCCGGCATCGGGGACCGAAAAGTCAAAGTGGTCAACGGGGTGAGGTTCTTGCTTTATATCTGTTGGTCTCGACGTTAGCCAGGGATCACGACGTTGCCCACGGGGGCCGGCGCAATTGATGTCGCATCTTGTTGTGGTGGGCTGGAGGGGGGCGATGCGGGACAAGACCGGTGGTGCATCGAATCGTATCGGCACCGGTATCGATTGACGACGTACTTGTTGGCGTAGCGGTTACTGCTGCTGCTGCTGCTGCGGGCGCGGCAGCGCTTGGCTGAGCCGGCGCTGCCTCGTCCATGATATCAGTCGCCTCGAGTAGGTGAGCGGGAGTACCATCTGGCTGTTGGGGGGGTTGGAGTGAGGCTGCTGCGACGTCTCGGGATGCTGCTGGATTTCGTGGAATGGGACGGTGGCTGCTGCTGCTGCCATTGCCCGTCGGTCGACAAAAAAAAGGTGGAGGGACGGCCGATAAGATAGGCAGAATTTTGATGGCACCGGCCACCTTGCGTGTCTTCTAGTCTAGTCTCCTTGTCTCTTTGAACCCTCCCGCTGCTGGGGAACACTCAACTTGCAAGGTGAAATAATAGATCAAGACGAACAACAAAATTCACTGTCTAGATTGAAGCGGCGCAGCGTTCATTCTTGCGACATTGAGGTCTGATATCCTCACGCCGAAGGCTGTGGGCGGTCGATGGAAAATTTTGTGGACTCTTGTTATCGATAAGGCGATCGTACACTAGATCGTCCGTTCGCTTTGATCCAGACATACGATACCCAGTAGTCAAGGTCACCCCCCCTCCCTCATGGATTCAAGATTCAATATCTGGCAGTGGTACCATTTCTCCGATACACTCTACAACACCCATGTTCTCGACCACTACAACCAGACAGTGACGCCCAGTACGGCCGCGATCAGAGTGGCGCACATGGCCATGGTCTGACCACGACCGCCGCTCGAGTCCGCGTCTTCAGTTTCCTCACTCCCCGCATCCCCAGTCGCTGTGCCTGTCTCCTCCTCATCACTCTCCCCAGTCGCTGTGCCCGACTCCTCCTCCTCATCACTATCCCCTGTCGTGGACGCCTCGCTCCCGGAGGAAGACGTCTTGGTCGAGTCTCCCTGCGACTCCGACGCGGTGGACATGGCGGCTGCGAGCTCAGCGTACGCGGTGACGGTCTCATCCAGCCTGGGCAGCCGTACGTCGCCGTCAACCTGCCACCAGCCGCCCTCTGTGGACGTCGGACAGTCACGGGTGGACACGTGGTCCGGGTCGTAGTCGTCGCGGCTGACTCCCGTCGGGTTGTTGCTCGCCCACTTGGTCTTGAGGTTCTCAAAGTCGGGCGACACGGGCGTCGGCGTGCCCTTGCGCGTCCAGTTGTCAAAGACGGTCGCGTCGTTCTTGCTGGGGTCTCCCACGGGCGGGCCGTACGAGATGATGCCGTAGTTGTTCTCCTCCTGGATCCACTCGTAGATGATGGCGCCGCTCCAGTCGTCCACCATGTGCTCGCCAAAGATGGCGTCCATGTCCTCCCAGAGCCGGGGCCCGGGCACGTTGCAGCCCGTCTCGGAGAAGAAGATGGGTACGGGGAAGTCCTTGGCGTGCTCTTGCAGCGGCGCGTACGCCTCCTCGTACGTGCTGGGGTCGCACCACGCGTACGAGTTGAGCCCAAAGAACTCGACCGTCTCGGATGCGTTGCCGCCGCAGGTCAGGTAGTCCTGCAGCATCGGCCTCAGCTCCACAATGTCCGCCGCCGTGTAGCCGATGGGGATCTTGCGGTACCCCTTGTCTTCACGGTACGCGCGCATGTCGCGCACAGCCGCCTTGAGGAAGGGAGCGCCGGGCGAGTCCTCCTTGGCCGCAATGTCCTCGTTCCCGACGAAGAAGGCGAGCACATTGTCGTATCCCTGGAACTCATCCATCACCTTGGCGAACCGCTTATACTGGCGGGTGCTCCAGACCTGGTTGGACTTTTGGCGGCAGGTTAGCACACGCGCGCGAAAACGAGGGTCAGTCACGGTCGGGGGGTTGGCTTACAGGTAAAATGTACGTGTCGAACGTGTCGAGGTCAATGAGCAGGTAGATGCCCGCGTCCGCAAACACCTTCATGCAGCCGTCATGGTCGGCGTCGTCGTCGACATGGTAGACGCGCAGAGCATTGGTTCCCAGCTCCTTCATCAACTCGGCATCGCGACGACACTGGTCGGTGTCGATGAGAGGGTCGTCTGGGCGGAGTTGGTACGACACGCCTAGCTCGTCAGTCTTGGAACATGTACGCGTGGTAGACACCAGGCAGCGTGTGACTGACCTTTTAGAAAGAATTGGCTGCCATCCTTGCGGAAGAACTTGTTGCCCTTCACCTCAATGGGGTCAATGGCCGACGTCGTGGCCGCCAGGGCGAGGATCGCGCCGCAAGAAGACCAGCGCATCGTGAAGGGTATCGACTAGGGAATGAACGAGAGCAATGACGAGGACCAGGCCTGGGGCGCGCGCCCTCGAGCGGACCACCCACACATTATAAAGAGCAGACAAGTGAGCCGCAAGCGTGCAGAGTGGATGGATGGCTGCAGGCACCTACGTATGTATGTGCCAAACAATTAATTAAATGACCCAAAACCTGTATCCTGGGTCGTACTGAAGGCGGCCAAGCTTGAAATACGGTTAAGAAACCCCGGCGCGTGGGTAACACGGGAGGATATATGGGGGCAGCGAGAGCCGCCAAGAGCCCCAAGACCCAAGAGGTCCGAGGCAAACAGTTTTGTTGGACTGTTGGCTTGCTCCGGCCTGTGGATCTCTGCCCATCAACCCTCTTGGCGCATCAGCAAGATTCAACGTCGTCAATTGAAGCGTTGTTGACACTCGTTACTCTCGAACACTTGACGCGGGATCCCTGCTGAATGTCGCATAAAGGATGGGCATCGAGATGGCTCGTCCGTGCAACCGAAATGAGCAAGAGGACCAACTTATCAAGGCTCTCCCAATCCTTCAAGTTGAGCATCCTGGGAAGTGGGATCCAGGATGGATGCGATGGTCATTCATTCATTCATTCATTCATCTTCCTCGTCTATCAGATCAAACGTGCATAATAATGCAGCACCGCCACCACCACACATGTCAACTGCCGCTACATGCACTCTCCAATTCAATGTGTCATCAAGGAGTCGGGCGCCAATAGCGCGAGATGTCTTGGGCAAAGTATTAAATAAGCTTTTATATCACGCGGGGAGCCGCCTGCTCGTAGTAGTAGTATTGGAAACACCAAGCCTGCCTGCATCGTCCGTCCGTTCATCCATCCATCCATCCATCCATGTCATTGTACTCGTTCATCCATCATCAATACACACACGCCTATCCCGAAGTAGTACCAAAACCCCATTCGCCGGGCTGAATGAGAACATGAATAAGAGCAGTGTTCAAGAAACCCTACACACAAGACATCCTCAGTGCGCCCCCGCGTACAAGGAAGACGACGGCGGCCCGTTTGCACCACTCATGTAGCCCTGGGTCCTCCATCCATTGCGGAGATCTATCGGCGACCGGATCGGCTGGGGCATACTCATCCCCCGACCAGTGCCAGCATACTCGCTGCTCCGCTCGCTGCTGCCCGTCGTCGTGCTGCCGCTCGTTCGACTCGCCTCGGAATACCCGCTGCTCCTCCTGTCGAGCAAGGGGGGTGGACTCCCGCCTGGCTCCGCAAAGTCGTACGACTGCGTCTGGTACAGCGCGGGCGGTACTGGCTGCTGTTGCTGTTGCTGCGGCTGCGGACGCAGACTCATCTGTGCAAAGGCGTGGTGCGGGATGACATGCCTCGCGGCCTGCTGCTGGCCCTCGTATCGATGCACGCAGTGCGGCTCCGCGATCCCGCAGTGGTCGCGTAGGACATCGTACGTGCGTCGCTGCACCTCAAGCGCCGACGGCCGCTCAAACGGGTTGGCGGCCAGCATCTCGGCGACAATGTGCAGCATGGGCGTGAAGCCGCGGAACACGTGGGCGCCGTCGTGCCGCGTCGTCGCGCTCCGGCTCTCGGCCGCCTTGCGCGCGGCGTCCTTGGCCAGGCTCGTCATCCACTCCTCCACCTGGCCGAGGTTCTTGTGGAAGGACGTGTCGAGGACGGCGCCGCCGCGGCCGCCCTTTTTCAGCTTGGCCGAGCGGAAGCTGGCAAACTTGCTGGTGGAGCGCTTGAGGAGGAACGAGAGAAGCTCGAGGATGATGCAGCCCAGCGAGAAAATGTCGGCCTGCTGCGATGGAGTCGGCGTAGAGAGCTGGGCGTGGGGATTGGTGCTGTAGAAGCCATTGTGTTGCTCGGGCGACACGGACAGCGAGGCCAGCACGGTCTTGCGCGTGGGCGGGCTGCCCGGTCCCGATGGCTGAAACCATTGTTCGGGGGCGGCGTAGTCGTACCATTCCCGGTCAAAGGTCGTCTTCTCCCCCTTGCCAGACGATGCGTCGGGGCTGAGTCGCGCCGGATCGACGAGGAAGATGTGGTGCTTGTTGGTGAAAAGGATGGCCGACGGTTTGATGTAGCAGTGCGAGCGACTTGTGACATGCAGGGAGCACATGGTGTCCACGAGGCAGAGGATCCAGTTCATAATTATCTCCCTCCGGTCCTTCTTGGGGAGCCCTTTGTACGCCGAGGGCGTGCCCCCGAGGAAGGTCTTGAGGCTGTATTCGCTGATGGGGGTGAGGAGGACGTACCCGTACCCTTGGTGGGTGTACGAGCCCCAATACGACACCATGTGTTCGCTCTGGATGGTCTTGATGATGCTGACCATTTCCAGGAACTCGGCCATGGGCATGGAGCCCGGTGCCTTGCCCAGCGTGTACCTCCTGCGCGTGAAGACGCCGCCGGGGATGTTGGGCAGCCTGACCTTGTCGACGTGATGGCCCTTTGTGGGCAGGGGGGGCACCCGTTCGACGACATCAATGGGCACCTGTTCGCTCTCCTCGTAGGTTTGATGCTCACCCTGTCCAATGGTCTTGAGGATGTACTGACCCTGGCGCTGCTGGAACTTGCGGTTCACCCGGTCGTTGTTGACCTCCATCAGCGACAGGCGCTCAATCTCCTCGAGGGAGAGCGGCAGCTCCTCGTCGTCCCAGCCATCGTCGATAATGCCAAAGATCTGGTCCGGCACGCCGACGTCCACCAGGATCAGGAACAGCTTCTTCGCGCCGCTCTGTATGGCTTCCAGGTACGTCCTCTCGGTGAGGGCCTCGGCGGTAAACCCCACGGGTCGGTCTAGCTGGTCGGCCTCATCACCAACGAGGTGCTGGACGATGAAGGCCCTGGTGACGGTGGCATCGATGCGCTCCGGAGTCCACCATTGTCCCATGGTCGGTGGGCGCACGCAGCTCACTCAGTATGAGGTGAAGGCATGTCAGTCGTGCCGGATGAGATCCGACAGGCGTATGTGTGGTCCAGCTGGGTGCACCGGTGCGACACCCTCGACGTTGGTGAGTGGGTGATGTGAGTAGACACGCTCGTGGCAGGAAGTGGTTGGCACAGAGCAACAAGTGGCCGTAAACAAGGGCAATCCTGCCGGTCAAGAGGGTGAGATCGTGTGCTCACTATAAGGTATGCCTGTTGAAGGACGGAAGGCCCTCCTTATCTGGGAAATTTCCAGCCCACGCCGTCGGCCCCGGTGATGGGGCGATGGAGGGGGGTCATGATTGGCGGGGAGGGCCATCAACGGGCGCTGATAAGGATAGGACTTCCCATTTGAACCTCGTCCAGCCATCCTGCCTGTCCTCATTCAGACGCTCTCCCCAAAGCCACGCCGTTTTCCCATTTGTCTCTCTGCATGTCGCCGCGTGCTTTGGCCTCTCGGTGGGTCGCGGTGGCCAGCACCTCTCACCTATTCCCCGTAGCAGAGTAGATAAGGTAACTGTCAATGTAGATCCGCCACGCGACCAGACTTTGCCCGACGCAGCACACACGTATAGGACCTATATGTAGACACGACCGACCACGTCCCAGGCTTCCAGCGACCAAAATCTCATCGACTGCTGGCCATCGTCATAAGCACATGTTCCTTCTAGCGTCGGCGCGCACAAGTTCGTCCCCGATCCATCTCTGCGGGCGCTCGAGGTGGGGTTGGGAATCATATCATGCCACCACCACGGCACCATTGCCCGCTGTGACAATACTTCTCCGGCGTCCATGTCGTCTTCTCGGTTGTCGACGGCTAGCGAGCCGGCCCATGCCTCCAGCAGGGGAAAATGCACATATGCAGAATACCCCAGAAGGCCGACACGAGAACTGCGTGCTTACACGAGACGCTCCAGGGTACTCTGGATCCGCCCGCACCGACTGGATGCTGTAATACGTAGCGGCCGTTCAGCCATGCCAGCGCCCGCACAGCTGCAGCGGCACGTTGCCTGCCAGCGGGGTGGTCAGTGGCCGGAAATGCCAGTTTGCACAGGTGGCTTGACAGTTTGACTACGTACGAACCGCCATGCGGTATACCTATCATGAAGCAGAGCGCCCCTACGTTCGTCTGACATTGGGTGTTGTGTTCGCAGTGCCATCATCAGAGCCTCAGAGGGAATGACGTCACCGCTCTACTACGGGCGACAACCGACGTGCAAGGATGGAAGGGGGACACTCAAGATTCAAGGATGACCACAAACTTGATGGCTCATTTAACGTGCTTCATGAATCGACCTACAAGATATGACCACCCTAAGCGGATGAGCCACCCGCCGCGAACCACCGAGGGAAGAGACCAAGCAAATGCCCTACGTCGCTCACCTAAATCAAGCCATCTTGGCCCCCTGAGTAGCCAACCTATCCGCCGCAATGTTCCCCGGATCACTGGCATGCCCCTTTACCCATTTGAACATGACCAGGGCGCCCATCTCCCTCTTGTCGGCCATGAGATCCAGAATCTTCTCCACGAGATCTCTGTTCTTGACCGACTCGCCCTTGGACGTCTGCCAGCCCCGGGCCTTCCACCCCACAGACCACTCCGTCACGCACTTGATCGAGTAGGCGCTGTCGGAGAAGATCTGCACCGACGCGTCGCGGGGAGCGAGCTCGAGGGCGCGCTGGATCGCCGTCAGCTCCGCGCGCTGGTTCGTTTGCAGAGGACCCTGCAGCCGTTCCGACAGGTTTCGCTCGTCTCCGTTGCCGAACCACACGCCCACGCCGGCGCGGGCTCCGACCTTGCCGTTCGACGACGAGGCCCCGTCCGTGTAGATTGGAATGACATCTCCGTTGTGTGTGAGCGTGTCGTCGCGCTTGGCCTGGGCGCTGGTCTCCTCCTCGGTGTTGGCATTGGTCTCAGACTCGGACTTGAGCGCCAGGTTCACGTCCGCGCCCAGGGCGTCAGTCGCAGCCTTGTTGCCATGGGCAATGATGTACTCGACCGCCTCCTGCTTGGTGAAGAACTTCTTGTACTTGGGGCCCTTGGTGCCCTTGATCGCCTCGCTCGCTTCGGCCCAGTCCGTGTAGATGCCTGTCGGCTCGCCGACAGCTACGGCGTAGTACTTTGACGGTGTATCCTTGGAAGCGGCCACGTGCTTCCCGGCAGCCCAGGCCTTTGCGTCGCTCAGTGAGGAGAACTTCTTGTCTGCTTCGCCGTCAGTGCCATCCTCTCGTACTCTACGTTGCCCTGCACTCACAATGCGCTCCCTTGAAACCCCACGTCTGCTTCGTACATTCTGCCCACGTCTTGTATACGCCAGGAACATGGCCTGCCCGCACGGCGTAGAATTTGGCCTCTTCCGTCTTGTCTGTCTTGCGTTTCTTCGTGTCCTGCCCCGCGTCTGCGGAGGACGACCCCTCATGCGCGGCCTCTGCGCGCCTCTTGCGTGCCATCGCCGGCATGCTGGAGCGTAGGGTCGGGAGAAGTGTCGATATGGCTGTGGCGGCTAGTGGGTTGGATGTGGAAAATGAGGACGAGAAATGGGACCAGGTTCCTCTCGTCACATATTTAACTGTCGTCAAGTACGTCGGGCGATGGCGCAAGGGGAGATGCCAGAGGGCCGTCGTCCTGGTCTGCGACAGGACCTTGCGTCAGCGCACCCTTTGTTGATGTGGGAACAAAGGGACCTACCGGGCGCACGAGCAGGTGCTGGCGGATGCAGAGACGATCGTAATCAAGGAGTCAATGATTCCGCATGGCGCTCAAATTGAAGCTGGTCTGAAGCGCGAGAGCGCAACGCAACCGCCTCTTGTTCTTGCAGTTGCCTTGTTGAGTGCTGGTTGTACCGGGGACGACTGGCCTCTTCTGGTGGGGCCACAAACAGCTGCACATGCACAAATTGAGCTTGTTTCATGGTCATTGACGCAAACGTGTTTTATAGTCCCTTGTTTCTCAAAAAAGGCTACAGAGCCCTTAAGAGAACATTGAAGTGCCACTCGCTATTTCGCTCTTCGATCCTTTCCATAGTATGCGTGGACAAAGTCACGTGACTTTGGCCTGGCGCGTCTGAGCTACCCAGTGAGAGCCTGACCTAACGTATAAGGAGTGCCTTGCCACAGGGAGTCACAAGCGCTCCTATGAAGTACAGAGGAATTGGAGTTGAAGTAAGAACCGTTCTTCGAGTTATAGTACCACCAAGCACCATGTCAACTCTGCCAAAACACAATGTACCTCTTTCAAAGACCTAACACTGTGAACTATGGCTGACAGCTGAGGGCTGTCTATCCCTTCAATCCCCGATACGTATGGATGCCAAGAATAACAGTAACAGTATCCACACCGCCTGTTGCAAGTACAGCCTTGTGCCTTCTCTTGTCGCGCTGTCGATGTGGTCGACAGGTCGTGGGGCCCAGCCGCGCGGGACGGCACAGTCTCATTCGGACCTGGGAGGTGGTAATCCTAAACATGAGTAGTTGGCGAGATTGGCGGCAGCTCGAGCAAACTGTCGCCTTCCCATTCCCAGGCGAGCAAGCTCCAGTTGAGCTCACGCCTCCAAAACAGTCCCAACCCTCGTCCACCTCCGTCCGGACGATCATCAGAGCTTAGCCCCCCCGTCCCGGCAATGTGTTTGCCGAACACGACTTTGCCCATGCGCGAGTGAAGCAGCCCCATGGAGCATTGAACACAAGGTTCGTGGGTTATGTACATTTCCAACGCGTGGCACAGATAACCGTCCTTGTTGGGATGCTCCTGCTCGTAGCAAGCTCGCTCCAAAGGGATCAGGGGCTGATCCTGGAACGCGTCGTACTCCAAGTTGGGAATATTCAGCGGTAGGCCGTTGCCCTTTCGTTCGTGTCGCACAAGCTTCTGTGCTACCATGCTCATAGCACGGAGGACCGCGTGCGTCATGGGTAGGCCCGCATCCGAGAGGCCGTTGGGCTCCTGGTGCCAACGGGCGTCTGCGGCCAGAGCTACCAGGGACGAGCCTTCGTCATCTCTTTGGACAATCACACAGCCTATCGCCTCGCCAATGCCGGCTGCTCGTCCCTGCTGTGCTACCTCGTGAGCGAGGGCCATCCACAGCGAGGCCGAGTCCTTGATCTCGTCGCTACCTCTGGCGAAGACACTTGGGTGGGGTCCCAGAGGATTATTCTTGCGGTAGACAGTGGGCCAGAACTGTGCCGACCACATGGCCGCTTGTATCTGGGAGGTCGGTGCCAGTAAGGGGATGGGAATGGCAGCGAGGAACAGCTCCTCTTCGATGCCCTCAACGCGCGCCAAGGCCTTGACAAGCTCGTCTCTAGAGAACTCCTTGACCTCCCCAACGATGATATAAATCCAATTCGACTTGGCGGTATGGATCTGACGCCCCGCTGGGCTGTCGTTCATGAATTGTGTTTTGAGGTGAGCGGGAAGGTCTGTTGGCTTTGCACATCGACGTAGGTGAGTAAGGTTGTTAGCTTTACTTTCGCCGTGCATACTACGTAGAGCTCTGGGCCAGTTAGCATCATCTTTATGATAGACGGCGGTGGACAAGCTTACTCAAGTACGACGTTAGCGGACTTTGTTGGCGCTCGTGTGATCAAAGCTTGCACGATCGTGTGGTCTTGGCGAACTTCCTGCGTAGTCTTGAGCGGTATCAAGACGCCTTGCTTCAGGTGTTGAGGACTCAGAGCGTCTGTAATGGGGTTCGGGAGGACGCGCCGACGCAGTTTCGGGTCCTTGTGAGGTTCAGGCGGCGCATTGTCTTGAGGTTCGCCATCCTTCAGGTCGGTGGGTTCAGTTTGTCCAGAGGGCCCGTTACCGAGTTGACCTTTGGCGGGAACCAGGTTGTTCGGATCCTGATTCTCCTTGCCCACTGCGGCTGTCGCGGTCGCCATAGTGATCGGGAGGTGATCAAGAAGCGATGTAACGCCCGCCTTTGGTTTTGAAACAAGATCGCTTGCTCGGTGGAACAGACCAGAGTGTAAACTCAATGTGCCAATGGGGGTGAAGATTGATAGAAGAGGCCGAAGGTTGTGATCCAAAGATGGTATCCTAGCCGCGTCCCAGGCAGCCGCTGCCGTCTGACCTGTCGCGAACGACCTATTTCGCCGGTCCAGAGTTTGAGAGCTATTCCCGTGACGGGGATAGAGGTTGTGGAGAGGAATGGGGTTGGGTTCTGCACAGCTGGGCAGGCGCAGACTTGATTCGAGGCAGGCACTGGCTGTGTGGCATGGAAGAATAATGGGCGGTAAAGACAACTTTTTAGGGCAGTCTTGCCTGTTGTCTCTTTCTGGGTAGCAGGTGGCCTGGAAAAGTGAAGTGGAGGCAGTCGGTGGCTTGCGATACGTTTGTGCTGGTGTTTCCTGAGGAAGGAGCCAACAAGGCTACAAGGTGTCTAACGACGATTGAATGGCTGTGACGGAAGGGTGAGTGGGAGGCAAAGCACGAATGCGGGATAAGGGGAGGCTCACCTGAAGGTGAAGAATGAGAGTTTACTTGAGGGCCCAGGCAAATGAGTTCAAACTTGTTGGTGACTGTGAAGTTTTTCGGTGGTACAAAGTGCAAACACAGGAGATGCGTGCGTGCTGGGCAATAATTTCTGGCAAACCCTGGTAATCTTGAAGCTGGCAATCTGAGTGCCTCGAGTGACTCATCAGATTGGCTGCATAGTAGTAGTCAGTTTGACTGCGATCTCGTAAATTTGCATCCCGAAACGCAATTGGGCTCCATCATGATAAAGCAAGGCTTGTGAGCTTCTTGAAGTGAGGTCGGAGCGTGTTACTGCTGCTAGTGCTAGTGATGGCCCCGCATACTACTATTTTGAGCCTAGTCTGATCAACAGCGTGTGAGTTTGGAGTAGTTAATTGGCTTGGTGATTCTCCATACCCTACACACCGAAAGCTGAAGTTGATTATCAGCATGAGGCAACGTAATATCGATGGGATTATCAAGTCTAGAGTTAAGGAGACCCTTTGAGTTTCGAGTTTCTTTTCCTCTTTTCTGTGAACATGCGGGTGTCGCTCAAAGCATCGCAAGTTTTACACCATATTCCAGTCCAAGCATCGAAATATATCCCCTTTTAAAAAGGCTATTACGCCTTCTTGCAAGTTTACGACACCTCAAGAATCCAACGTCGACGTTGAGCATGTCTTTTTTACCGAATGTCCGATCCCATGACACAAAAGCGGTATCTTACTCAGCTCACAAAGAGGCTGGTGGTATCCTCTGGGTTGTCATCCTGATGCTCGTTCCTCGCCATAGCCACCCCCCGCCGAACAAGGTGCCGTGCGAGAAAGATGAGTTATAGCTTGGTGATGCTCATTGGAATCCATGGATATCATCTATGCCAAAACCGCAGGATAGCGAGTTCGCCCAGTCATTGAGCACCCCGTTGATCTCGTCCTTCTACGCCACCTCTTCTATTATATTTTCTGGACTTTTGATCCTGAACAAGAAATTCTACAGTAGACCGTCGACGCCCACACGTATTGAGAACTTGCCGCCAGGTCGCTGTTCGCTAGAGACGAGCATGTTTGCTATACTCTACTGATCAATTGCAAAAATACTCTCGTGGCAGGCGGCCATTTCCAGGTCTAGTGAAGGCCGCATCGACCGGGGAGAAGTCTGCCATGAGCAGCTAGGAGTATGTGACCACTCTGGCTTGTAGTCGAAGGTACATTCCAGGAGATGCCTCGCAGTCGAAGGCGAGAGGGTTGCTTTCTGGGCAGCAGACAGGTGACGAGCGATGTCTGCCCAGTGTAGTGTCGTCCTGCGTGAATGACAATTGATTGTCGGCGTTTTCAGATGCTGCTGTTGTGCAAGGAATGCGCTCGTTCTGATGCATCCGTACACAGAACCGAGAGGCTGTTCCCAACGATGGGCAAGGCTACGCTTTGCAACTCGCGCAGACCTTGTCCTCGTGATGGCTGAATGCGTTCTTCTACACCGGGTGACCCTTGGGGCAGTGAAACGACCCCAATCCGAAGCTGTTGGGGGTCGCGCATAGCACACACACACTTAGGCACATGTACGTTGCTGTGGGCTGCGTCTCCCGAGTCAACAAGCGAGCTACACCAGCCGTGCCTTTGATGTGGCCGCATGGACAAACCTCACCACCCACGGCGAACGCCCTTGTGCGTTGCGGCAGAAGAGGATATCGTGGGGGCAGTGGCTTCGGATGCAACATTGAGGCGTCCTACTTGGGACGCGGGCGGGTTGCGCGCCTCGCTTCCGTGGCCATTCTCAGTCACATTGCTTGATGCGCAAGCACCGGACCAAGCTGAGGGGATGGGGTGGTGACTGGCGAGGAGACAGTGCTGCGGCACCCGATGACGTGGGAGGTAAGCCGCGACACGGCGTCCATCTGCAATATGATCAAGGCGCGGCAGGATTCAGGAATCCAGACGGAAATGTGGATATCCGTGCCATGCGCCGGCCCTCGGAAGGTAGACTGCGCAGTGCGGAGAAGCATTTTTGATTTTGGGGTTTCACAGTCAACAGTGAAATTGAGCGACATCGGGGCTCCAAAAGCTCATGTGTATGTGTGACATTGCGTCGGTGTTCACTTCAAGTCGAGGCCTTTGCAGAGACCAACACGTCGTCCAACCAGTCGTATGGGTTATTGGTATATGGCTGAGTGTTGTCTATTGAGGCTCTTCAACATCACTGAGCCTCATCTTTCCCGAGCGAACGAGCAGGACGTGCGAATACAGCAGTGGTAGCCGCTGTATGTAGGGTTTTCTCCAAACCCCGCTGAAACAGATTCAGCATGTCAAATCTGGTTGTCAACGTTGGTTATCGCCAGGAGGGGACTCGCCGCTCGTTTCGGGGGTGAATAGTTTGAGTCAAAAGGAATAGTCAACCAAATTACGGATACGGCCCTTGTATACTAGACTTCCCCGCACTTGAGGGGAACTCACGCAAGCGCCGTTGCCGGCTGCGACTTCCTCTCCAAGTAATAAGGGGGTATAGTTTGTACTTGTACCATAGTACTGTAGGTATCAATGAACCTCAATTGGTACCTGGGGCTTGCCTATGCTCTCGCTGGAGTTGTAAGCACAAAAACGACTTTGAACGTTTGAAGGCGCACAGAACGACGGTGCTTACTTTTGCCCCCTGCGCAGTGATCATAGTTTCAGTGATGGTGGTTGCAGGTACACTCGGGCCAACGCCTCAGGCTGCTCTCCTGTACGTGCTTTTACCCAGTAGATCGCGCCTAGTTTCAGCAATGATTCGTTTGCGGCGAAATTGGGGGTGCTCCAGTCAGGCGGCGCGGAGACCGGTGGCCGTTCTGAAAAAGTGTGTAAGAAGATATGGTAAAGCCTCACACGGGACATTCTGCCGCCTGCCTGTGCTTCCGCACATATCAAGGCACGTAAATATCTGGGCAGGCAGGTCCCCTTTGTAGAGACCGAGTTCATCTTCTCTGATTCTGTAGTCTCGTCTGCCAACTTCCGCCTTCTGGTCTTTTCCTTGTCCATCGAAACTCCATTTCGCAGAGTGTAGCGAGACACGAGCGGGATTCGGGCCATCGGCCGAGTCGCATTCGAGTCAGAACAACAAACCTCCTGAATACCGGGCATCCGCCAGACTCTCTCCGCCTTGAAGTTCATTTACTTCTGCTCATCGTCCACCGCCGCAAATTGACCGAAAAGCTTCCACACAGTCCGCCTAATTGACATTGCGTCACAAAGGTACGCACAGGTTTTCTCGCTCCTTTGCGGCGACATCGTCTGATGCGACCGCTTGACAGAGTTCAGCCTCGTTGCACATCTGCGTCTTCTGACTCTGCTGGGAGGAAACCTACGAATAGCGAATCCGACATCGCACACGCAGTGGCTGGCTGCGCAGCACAGGCTGCAGCCAGCATACCTGCCCTCCCACCCACCTGCCGGGCCCCTGCACTGCGCAGCACGCCCTATTCAGGGTCTTGCCCCTGCTAGCCTGCTGAACCCCTGTCGGTCAAGAGCTTCTGACCAATCACGCGCGGCTATTTGACTTGTTGAGTGAGGGCCGTACATAGAGCGGTACCTTCGACACCCGCTTTGACGCACCAAGCTCACAGGTACCGGTCCACAAGCGCACCCTGACCTCATCGAGCCCTCGGCGCGACTAGACTAGACCCAAAAGAAAGATGCCTTCCACGGTCTTACTCCAAGGTGTGTGAATTCCCTTTTGCGAGATATTAGGTTGGGTCCGGCTGGCCAACAAACACCACGCTCCTTCCATTCCATCCCTCTATTTTACATTTTTGTTTTCTCAATAATCTCGTCCAACCTCGCTTTCAACTTTCACGATACAGTACCACTTACTACCTGACACCTCCTTGCGACGCTATCCTTGTCGCCACATCACTGAACAGCTCTTCCAGATTTCTCCTTCCCCAAAGCCAAGCAGTCAGCGCTGGCGAAGAAGACTGTCATGAGTGGCCACCTCGGTCAAAATCCGTCTAAGCCCTCCTCGCCTTCTAAGACCTTCGAATCTTCCGAACAACATGGCTTTCTTCCGCCTCCCGCGGTGATTACCTCTCATCCACAGCAACTCCAGCCAGCCATGGCGTCTGCGATGCGCGCCACCAGCGGCAGCGCAATACACGACCTCACCGAAACGCCGAACGCGCGCAGCGTCAACTCTACAGCGCCCAGTTCGCCTCGCATGTGAGCGTCCTTCCCCCTAGGACGATGCTGTGTCACTCTTATGCACACACCGTCGAATTTTAACGGACTGCGCTGACAATAGCTCTCACAGTCCTCCTCTGCGTCAAAACTCCGGTACACAGACGCCTCGAGTGCGTCCACACGCGACAACGCTGAACATCCCGGGCATGACCCGTTCCAAGGTGTCACCGGACGGCCGAATTCCCCAACGCGACGTGGCGGCCAAACTGGTCATTGTCATGGTCGGTCTTCCAGCACGGGGAAAGTCATACATTACCAAGAAGTTGCAGCGCTACCTTTCCTGGCAACAACACGAGTCGCGAATTTTCAACGTCGGTAATCGGAGACGTATCGCCACTGGAAGAAAGGCTTCTGTGCATCCCAAGCTTGCACCAGAGCGAGCATGTCTCGACCCGCCTGTCGAGGCTGCGGCTATACTTCTCAATGGCCTCCCGCGATCCAACGGCTCGTCAGCGTTCGCCGAGCCACCAGGGTTTGATCTGAATGGGCGTTTCAACAGGGAAGAAAAGAGAAAGACGCAAGATGCAGAAATGCATGAGGAAGAGGATGAGGACCAATCTGCTCAGTTTTTTGATCCTAAGAACGAGAAAGCTGCCGCCATGCGGGAGCAGGTGGCAATGGATACGCTGGACGAGCTGCTCGACTATCTCCTGGACGGAGGTGGCTCGGTAGGGATTCTCGACGCCACTAACAGCACCATTGCTCGCCGCCAGCGCATTGTGGACCACGTGAAGGAGCGGGAGCCGAAACTTGGCATCCTGTTTATTGAGAGTATTTGCACCGACGAGACCCTGCTCGAGGCCAACATGCGCCTCAAGCTATCTGGACCAGACTACCGTGATAAGGATCCGGTCAAATCTCTTGCTGATTTCAAGGCCCGTGTCGAAGCCTACGCCAGCGCTTACGAGGAGCTGGGCGAGTATGAGGAAAAACGGGATTTTCAGTACATCCAGATGGTTGACGTCGGCCGCAAGCTCATTCAGCACCGATTGACTGGATTTCTCAGCAACGGGATTGCAACCTATCTTGGTAGCTTCAATCTCTCGCCCCGCCAGATCTGGATTACTCGCCACGGCCAAAGTATGGATAATGAGCTTGGCAACTTGGGTGGTAACTCGCCGCTGACCGAGCGAGGGCACTGCTACGGCCAAGCGTTGTACAGGTTCATCACAATGAAGCGCCAAGAATGGCTTATTGAGCAGAAGAACAAGCTCGCACAGGCATCCTTCCCACCGGTTCCTGGCGACAACACTCCCCCATATCCGGACAGCAACCGTGAACTAGACGAGAAGAACTTTTGCGTATGGACTTCCATGCTCCGGCGCAGTGTGGAGACTGCTGAATACTTTGATGCCGACGACGACTACGACGTCAAGAATTGGGAGATGCTCAACGAACTGAATACGGGCCAGTTCGAAGGCATGACCTATGCAGAGATTGCAAAGAAGTATCCGCAGGAGTACAAAAAACGAGCTGCCGACAAGCTCAACTACATCTACCCTGGCGTGGGCGGCGAGGGCTACCTCCAGGTTATCAGCCGGTTGCGAGACATGGTGCGCGAAGTTGAACGCATCACCGACCACGTCCTCATTGTGGGGCACCGATCTGTCTGCCGTGTGCTCATGGCTTACTTTATGGACCTCACACGGGAGGACATCACCGACATGGATGTCCCTCTTGGTATGCTGTACGCGATTGAGCCTAAGCCGTACGGCATTGCCTTCCACGCCTATCGCTACAATGAGGAGCTGAGCACCTTCGACGAGCTCCCCAACTACAAGCCACAGAAGGCTGCCCGTGGCAGCGTCTAAATTGTGCCGATATCCCGCATCCCCCCAATCTTTTGACATGACTATTGTACACACGACAGCGGATTTTGACACCACGAATAAGACGGCGTTGAACGGAATTGATACCAGTGGACACACCCGGCACATGCGAGTACCGGGGGTCCAAATGTCTTGCTTTGTTCATTGCTTTTTTTTTCTTTTTCTTTTTTTTTCTTTTTGCTTTTCATGATTTCGTACGTGAGCGCGACGGAACAAGGGCGTACATACGGATGGCGGCGTTTGGATCGATTTGTTGAGTCTAATGAGACGAAACGGCCGATGGAGTACGTTCTGATTGTTTGTAATTCAGGAGGGATCTGGAGTTGCACCTCTCATCTCCTGACACTATGGCGGCCATCTCGCCGACGAATGGACCGATGGAGTTTTTGCATTTCTGTTCGACAGTCACAGCACAGGCGTTTGGAAGACGGAGTGGCTCCCTCCAGAGGACTCAAAAGGGCGACTATAGAGATGATTTGTACCCCCAACGCCAGGAACTGAGTGACAAGTCTAATGAACACTGGATAAACCAATTGTGGAATGACAGAGGTTGATTAAACCATATCTGCCTGAGTAATGTGACCCTAACCGAACGCCATGCCATGCAGTTGATAACACTGTCTGTTCCCGCACATCCATTCTACTTCTCCTTTGCCAGGATCATCTTTTCTCTCTCACTCTTCCTCCGCTCGAATTGCTTCTTGGAATGCCTGCGCTCATTCTCCTCCTTCCTCTTGATGCTCTTGATCTCCTGGCCCTTGATTTCGGCGGCCTTCTTCACCACCTTGGGGACATGCCTGTGCCTCTTGATGCGTCGAATCTCGGGCATGTGCTCGTAGCGCTTGGTCAGTGCGTCGCTGTACTCCAGGGCCTGTCGTTGCCTGGCGGTCTTGACGCCCTCACGCGACGATGCGTTGGCCCTCCAGAGACGGATGTTGCCGTCGTCGGAGCCGGAGAGAACGTAGCGGGCATCCGGTGTCCACTTGGCTGCCATGACGCGCTGCATGCGCTTGGTGTGGTACACGTCTCGCGAGTGGCCGCGGTCCCTGTTCCACAGGCGCACGGTGCGGTCCCACGAAGCGGAGACGAGTTCCTCGCCAGTGGGGGAGAACTCGACGTCCATGACGGCCGCGACGTGGTCCTTAAACACGTTGCGCGCGCGATCCATCTTGCGCATATCAAAGAGGTACATATTGTGGTCCTCGCTTGCGCAGACAAAGTTGAAGGCTTCCATGGGTGACCAGGCAATGTGATTGGCAGCAAAGGTGAGAATCGTCTTGGCGACGGGCGTCGATGTGCGGAGGTCGTAGATGACCAGAGAGCGGTCGTTGGAGCAGGACGCCAGCACCGACGTCTCGACCTGGTTGAAAGCCACGTTTGTGATAGTGTCGGTGGCCGTGGGCCACTTGAGAACCTCTGGGGCCGCGGTGTGGCGCTCGAGGTCGTAGATGGACACCACACTCGAGGCGGCAGCAAAGGCGTTCTTGGACCGGTGGTGCGAGAGGGATGTGAATGCACCTGCGCCGAGCCAGGACGAGATCGGGGCCGAGCCGCTCTTTGTGTTGTAAGGGTCGTAGAGCTTGATTGATCGGTCCGCGGCGCATGTCAGTAGTTTCTGATCGCGTGTCCATTCCAAGCCCTTGACAATGTTCTCGTGTGCTGTGCCCGACCATATTTCCTCCGTCCGGTCGGTCAGGTCCCATACCTTGACCACGCCATCACCACTGCCGCTTGCAAATCGTTCCACGGAGTTGGGGTCTTTTGCGATGGAGTACACACCATCCACGTGTCCGCGACCGAGTTGTCCGATGAAGGGTGCTGCGTGCATGCGTTCCAGCTTCACGGCTGTCAGGGCGCGCTGGTACTCGCGTGCTCGTTCGAATGGGTGCAGCGCTGAGTCAAGGTTTCGAGGCACCTTCGCAGCGGCGGAGCCAGGGGGCTGATGCTCCGAAATGGAGCGACTGAGAGCCTTGATCTTCATGGCGGCGATGAGATTCGTCTGTCTTGTGAAGGCTCTCGACAAGTGTGGCTTCAATGTCCAGTGCTACTGATTGATGGCGGGGATTTTTTTTTCTTATCGGGCTTGGGAATCATGGAGATAAGGCATGATGAATAAGCAGTGCAGTTTGTGCCGCTAATGCAAGGGTGGGTCAGTTTTGTGCAGGATTGCGAATATGCTCCCAGACCACATCTCTACCTACAACTTACGAAGCTTTCAACTCTTGCTTGCCGATTCACGCACGCTTCTGGACGTTATCAAACAATCGAATCCAACTCCACACGCCCATCTGCAAGACCAGTGTATAGAACCGCCCCAACGAGAGACGCAGGACGAGCGCAGACAACGCGCTCCTTTCGCTAGGCACGCGCCAGTGCGCGCGCAACCTTCAGCATGGATGACTATGATATGATGGACGGGGCAGGCGACCAGCCTCAGGTCAAGATCTCAGGCGTATGAACCATCGGTGTTATTGTCTGTTCATTGCCTCTGACACCAGATTCAGGCCGACTCTACGCGCGTCGAGTTCCAGCTCTCCAAGACAAATCTTTCCTTTGCCAACTCGATCCGTCGCATCATCCAAGCCGAAGTGCCCACAATCGCCATCGACCTTGTCGAGGTCGAGGTCAACTCCTCCGTTCTCGCTGACGAGTTCATCGCCCATCGTCTGGGACTCATCCCGCTCGACTCCTCGACTGCGAATGAGCTCAACTTCACCCGTGACTGCGACTGCGAGCAGTACTGCGAACAATGCAGCGTGACGCTCACACTCAACGCCAAGTGCCAAAGTGACGAGATTATGAAGGTGTACGCCAGCGATCTTGTGGTTGACGGGCGGCATTCGAGCAACGTGGGGAAGCCGGTCATCACGGACCCTGATGGCTTGGGGTGTCTGATTGCCAAGCTTCGACGGGATCAGGAGCTGCGCTTGACATGTATTGCGAAGAAGGGTATCGCAAAGGAACACTCCAAATGGATGCCAACCTCGGCGGTTGGTTTCGAGTATGACCCGCACAACAAGCTGGCGCACACCGATCTTTGGTTTGAGAATGACACGGACCCCGCGGCGGAGTGGTGAGTGGTCGCTCAATGAACTCTTTTTGAAGAGTTCACAGACTGACAAGACCAGGCCCAAGAGCAAATACGCCGACTGGGAAGATCCGCCACAAGAGGGCGAACCATTCGACTATGATGCGACGCCGAACAAGTTCTACTTCGAGGTAGAAACAGCAGGTGGCATGCAGCCCAACCAGATTGTCATGTCCGGCATCGACGCGCTTATCTGGAAGCTCGGTGGCCTCTTGGTGGGTCTTGGCGTCAGAGAACCAGAAAGGGAAGCAGGCGCTGGCGGCTACGACGGCCCTCGTAGTCCGGACATGAACATGGACGGCGGGACGACGCCTTGGGGTCAGGATGGATACCAAACAGCCTACGGAGGCGGGGGCCAGACTGCGTACGGCGGTGGCGGTATGACTTCGTATGGTGGCGGCTATCAGACAGCATACGGTGGCAGGACTGACTATCAAGGCTCGAGCTGGCAATGAGCGGGGCGACACAGAGATATCTAGAAGAGAAAGAGGAATCAGCAGCATGAAATTCGTCTCAAGGGTGTTTATGAACGGGGAAAAGCAGAGCACATTTGGTAATCAAGGGGCGTTGAGAAGATAGCGCAAGCTTCAATTGAATCTGCTGTTTCGCAATAGCCCAAGCATGTACCTCGTCTATATCCGTCTATATGAAGGTGATAAGCAGAAAGAAAGCGTGGGCACAGAATCTAGATAACACCCACAACGCCGTGAAATGACAAATGCCTGACGACAACCGTCTGTCCGTCTATGCAAAAAATGCACATGTGCGCTTTAAACGGCCTTCTCATCATGACCTTGCACCTTTCTGTACATCTTACGGTGCATTTCCAGGAAAACAAATGTGCAAATGGTGTGTCTAAACTCGTCAGTATCGGTGTCGCGGATGGTGTAGGGAAAAGGTACTCACGGCCCGAGGCGTAGGAAACTGGGCACCCATCCCTTGAACACCCATCGGATGCCCTCCTGTTTTGAGATATCGGAGATGATGCCTGCAATGCCCTGCTTCCCACTGGCCGACATGACCCTGGTCTTAATCACGTCAATGGGGCTCGTCGCTGTCGCGGCCACCAGTCCAGCCAAGAAGCTTGCCGAGAAGTGTGTTGTCAAATTGTCCTTGAGCGGCGTATAGTCGAGGAGCATCCGCTTAAACACGTCGTAGCTGGCCAGTTGACTGGCCGTCATGACCGCGGCACGCGACGAGTTGGGCAGCCACCCGCGGAACCAGGAGGAGAAACCCTCCTCCCTGGCCATGCGCACCATGCCGTCGGCTGCGTGCTTGTAATTCCTCCTCTGCTCGGCCGGCAGCGAAGGGTCGTGCTGCATGCGAACGTTGAGCACGTCCGCAAAATTGCCCGCTATGCCACCAATGAACCCTGACGTCGACGCCATGGCGATTAGCAAGGGGAACGAGGGGTCCGAAGTGCCCGAACGAGCTTTCAACTCCTCGTATATGCCGAAGCGAGCGGTGGAGTAGGTGATTTGACGAAGAAGCGAAGCCGAGAGGCCATTGTACAGCCCCAGCACGCCGTCACTCTTGACGATGTTGACGAACGTGCCACTCATGTTCTTGGGTGCATCTGCCGTTCGCGTTTGCAAGCGAACCTACGTCGTCCGTCAGTACACGATCGCATGTGCGCTCACCAGCCTGCGTGCCGCGGCCATACCTTTACTGCAAGACGTTAGCCAGGTTCCGTGAATTGAGACGAAATGAACATACCAAGATCAAGAGGATGAGTGACGCAGGCGGCCATGCTGCTGGCACTCCCGCCGAACCAGAAGGGATACCGGATCGCCGACTGCTTCTTGCGCTGCTCGCGCTTCTCAACCTTGAGTGCCGCCTTGGGCGAATGGTCTGCTGTGGATGTGCTCATAGCGACGGCGGGTCCGTCAAGTCGGCTCGTCCGCTTCAATTGGCAAGCTCAAAGAAGTGCGCCATGCGAGAACTTCGTCTGGATGTGCAGAGCATAGGTAAGAGGAGCAGAGGCGCTTGGGGAGGTATTGGCGCACGAAGACGTAACGTCCTTGGCGTCTTCGGAATTGGAGAAAATATGACGATTTTACGTTGATTCGGTTCGGCGCGGGAGGAAGTTTGTCTGGCACCCGAAGCATGCCGCCAAGTATGCCTACCCTGCAGTTGGAGCGTCTCCAAATTATTCATGAAGCTTTCTTGCAGCGACGACACTGAGGGCTGCAAAGCACCGCGAACACCACATACAGGTTCTCCTCGACACTATTTCTACCTGGGCACCCGACGGTCCGCCCGTGTGCCAGCGATTTGGGCGACAATGAGGACCCAATTGGCGAGCGTGCGCCTATTGACGACGGGCGTCTCGCGAGGCGCGCTGCGAATTCGACCAGCGTATGCTTCACGAGCCTACTACTCCTCGGATCACAAGAAGAGCATTACCATCCAAGGCGCTGCCTACGAGACCGATCCGCAATGGTTCAACGTCCCATCTGCCGTGGCGGATGCCACATCGCGGCAGCTTCACCTCCAGAAAGATCACCCCATATCGATCACTCGTCAAATCATCGAATCATCGTTTCCGATACCGACGTTTAAGTACCACAGAACATTATCGCCCGTGGTCAGCACATACCAGAATTTTGACTCGCTCGGCTTTCCCAAAGATCACGTCGGGCGGGCGAAGAGCGACACATATTACATCAACGAGACGACTTTGCTCAGGACGCACACCAGTGCGCATCAAGCAGACACGTTCAGGGCCGACGAGAGTGATGGCTACCTGATTGCCGCAGATGTCTATCGGCGAGACGCTATTGACGCCTCGCACTACCCAGTATTTCACCAGATGGAGGGCGCCATGTCGTGGGACCGGACAAAGGTGCCGGATGGGGACGTTGCCAAAGCGGTGTGGAAGGACGTTGAGAAGCTGCCGAAACACAATATCAAAGTCGAGGACCCGCAGCCCGCGTGGAACGACAAGACGAACCCAATCCAGGACAAGCATCATTTGGTAGCCGAGGTGGAGGCAATTGGCTCCCATCTCAAGCGGTCGTTGGAAGCCATGGTCGTGGACCTGTTCACGCGGGCCAAGAGCGCGGCTCTCAAGGCGAACCCCGATTTCGTGGATGAACCGCTGCAGATGCGTTGGGTAGAGGCCTACTTCCCCTTCACCAGCCCGTCCTGGGAGCTAGAGGTGTACTACGCGGGCGACTGGCTGGAAGTGCTCGGGTGTGGTGTTGTCAAGCAGGAACTCTATATCAACGCTGGCGTGCCACACAAGCTTGGCTGGGCATTCGGCCTGGGCATTGATCGATTGGCGATGCTGCTGTTCAAAATTCCAGACATTCGACTTTTCTGGTCCCAAGATCCACGGTTCCTATCGCAGTTCACGGGCGTATCTGACTCACCGTCGTCCCTGAGTCGGTTTGTGCCATTCTCAAAGTACCCGCCGGCCCTGAGGGATGTGTCTTTCTGGCTGCCCAAGGATCGCGACTTCCACGAGAATGACTTTATGGAGGTGATACGGTCGATCGGGGGCGATGCCGTGGAGGAGGTCAAACTCTTTGACAGCTTCACGCACCCCAAGACCGGGGAGCAGAGTCGAGCGTACAACGTTGTGTACAGGAGCTGGGACCGGACTTTCACCAAAGAAGAGGCGAATGAGCTCCATGAGCAGGTCAGAGCGCAATTGATTGAAAAGCTTGGCCTGCGGATGCGGTAGCACTGCCCCAATGTACGAGTAGGGGTGTCACGATGTATCATCAACCTGTTTAAGAGTACGTATTGTTAGATCGAGGAGGCCTACTGAAGCATTGGAGTTGCGGGGTCGCCATGTACATTATTGAATGGGAGTCACCAGAAGTCTATTCGTACTCGCCCGGATGCTTGTTGTGGTTGTCCCAGCATCAGCGATACTCTTTGTTTTGGCCAGCCCCCTTTTTCGCCATGGCAGCAACCGGGTTAGCCAAAACTGACAACTAGGCGCGCTATCCAGAGGCCTCGCGAAAGGATTGAAAGCTCTGTACTTACTGCAAATCCCTGCCAGAGACGAGTCACCAAGCTTCACCGCTTTGGGAAATCTCCATTAGCCTAGAAATGAAGTTGCTCAGCCACGATGTGTTGCCTCCACTCAGACAGCCAAGGTCTGGGGGAAGGAGGAATGCATAGGTGCGGAGAGCAGCTAACAACCCCTCAGGAGTTTTTTTTGGATTCTGAACAACAGTTCAGCAAGAAGCAAGAGATGCGAGCAAAATCATCTGGGCCGGAGGAAGTGTAAAGGTTGGTGCACGACCTGAGGGATTGTAAAAGCTTAGCTGAGCCTCGGTATTCACACGTCAAAGCCAGGCACAACATGGAGAATGACGGGGTAGCCACGCAGTAGACTGATACGCAGACTGCAGTCCCGTGTGGGCGACCCGACGCTCCTAATCTGAATCGGTTGAAAGCCGAAAGACGGAGGCAGTTAAGCATAGCTCCTTAGTGAGTTTGATATCCGCCTGCCTGCATGCATGCACCGAGCGGTACAGACATCAATTGCAGCAGGGCTCTTACGAGCTTGTCATACTGTGGCTGAGGTCCCCGTCTCCAGGCTTGCTACAAGTGTCATCTTAGACATCAACCTGAATCGCATCGCCATCGTGCTTAGGCGGCAGGCTGAAGCATCATCCGGGAGGAGATGAACTGGTGACGTCGCATTAGCTCTTGAGCCAGACATATGTCTGCAGCTAGGCTGGCTGCTAATTACTCGTCAACCGCGCCTGGTGATGCGGCCAGGTGCGAGATACGCCGCATTATCCGTACGTAGAGTGACGTCCTTTGCCAAGACTGAGATCAAAGGGTGCGTGACGGATTCTGCCATTGGCAGTGACAGTGGATCCAGTACAAAGAGCAAGGTCACGGTGCTTCGGGCTTCAGCTTGCGGAAAAGACGCTGAGGCGTGGCTGAGCTTTCTGCCAGTCTGTACGGCATGACCCTGTTTGCAGTTGCTGGTGCGCAGGGACAATCAATGCCTGAACAAGTAATACGTAAAGCCCATGCCATTCTAGAAGTGACGGCGACAAGTTGATCAAAGCGCAAACGGACGGCCAGACATGGACACAGCCTCGTATGACTTCTCAGTGGCCAGGCCAGACTCTCCAGGGACTGATACGGCGCCTCCGGGGGGACTTGAGGCGCGCCTCCTTGAGTGGGTCGACGAATGGCTGAGCCCAGCCGGATTGGCTGGCGCAGCGTGTCTCGCCTCTTGGCTTCTGTCCGTCGCGACACTGCCGCCTCCAACCGCCAGCCCCTCCATCCGTTGTCCGGAAGGTATCTTATAGCCACGACTTCATCCTATCCTTCCAATTTCCTTTCTCATACAACTGCTTCTAACCCTCTGACCCATCCTCGAGAAACATATACAACAGTCGCCCGTTTGTAAAGTGCAGCATCATACGTTGCTTCCACGAAAGTATATCTCGGAACTTCAGCACGCAGCCGGCGTCTATCTGACACACACCACAATCAATCATGGAGCCCACAGCAACAAGACCCTCGCGCTCCTCGTCTTCCGGATCGCGCAAATCCGACCTCTCCCTCGATCTGTCAAATTTGCCTCCTCTACAACCGCCGACGCCCCCTTCCAATACACTGCTCCTGACGAACCTCGACAACGTCGCCATCTTCACCCCCGATAACCTCGCCACCATCCGCAACCTAATCTCCGCCTCGGCCTTCATCCACGCATTCGCCCCTCTCAAGTCGTTTAGGAGGATAGTCGTATCCTTTTTCGATGTGGAAAGCGCCATCAAAGTCAGGAAATTGTGGGATGGCGAGATGATCCTTGGCGAGAAGTGCAAAATCTACTTTGGTATGGACACGCCCATCAAGACCAAGGACGAGCATCTTGCTCTCCCCGACGCCGGTAAACTCTTCTTCATCAGCCCCCCTCCGAGCCCCCCACACGGCTGGGAGATGAAGATGGAGGATGCGCCGAATAAACTCGTCCACGCAGACGACTTGGCTGCTGCGCTGTCCAAATTGCACCACCACGCGCCGCCCCAGGCCGATGACACTCCTGTTCACGAGTCGCCCGTGACGCCTGATGGCGGTGTCCCCAAAATGAGGAGTCGGAGCTCGACGTTGATCTACCAACCTGAGCAGAAGGACAGCCCGCATATGCCCGCTGTCGTCGTGGAAGACATGACTGACGACCTGGAGCTCAAGGATGAGAAACCAATTCTGGCTCACACGGCGCGGCCGCCCGTGGAGCTGATGCATGATGCCTAGGTGTGCGCACCGCTGTGTCTATTTTGTGCTGGCGTTTGGAATGGAGATGGCTGCCATGGAGCATTCCGGACTGGAGTTTGAGTTCACCAACAGGAAAAGAGCATCAATCGTTGTACATTAGTCTCGTTCTCTCGGGTATTACGGTTCATAGCGTTGCGCAAACTGGGTTACAATGGCAATATAATGATGGAAACATCCAATCCGTCCCATTACCTCCCGTCCAAACAACCTCTGGTGAATTCCACACGCCAGATAGATTTGATCTTTTCACAACAGTCCCTGAAGACCTTGCTCGCCAGGCCTCGCGAGCTCGCCCAGTCTACGCGCTGCAATCTTCTTCCACGGATACAGGAGATTACTAACCAACAGCAACGCCATAAGCACCATGAGCGTGGCTATTACGGTCTTGATACTTCGCATTGGCGAACCGCTTGGGCCAAAGACCGACATCTCGGTCATCTTACCGATGGCCGGTGTATATTGGAACTCAAACTTGGAAGAGTGACCAATGCCGCCCAGATGTTGGGACCGGACCATTTCGTGGGCGTAGGCGATGAATCTCTGCAACGTTGCTGGTCAGCGACGTGTGGCATCAAAAGGGGCCAATGGCACAATACCGCATCTCTCCGACGCTGCCTCGTGTCGGGCAGATATCCATAGATTATTCTCGTGCTCATGAGCAGCAGACACTGCACCCCCGCCAAACAGCAATAATACAAGCTTGGACGGTCAATGTGCAGAGTCGCAGCCAATGCATCACCGTTGACGCGGTATGCCAGAGCCACGAGGTACTCCCTACTGGCGTACAGCGGAGGCACGTTGACCTGCGCCGTGAGAATGTTGTTGGCTATGATCCGTGAGTTTCTGGATGGATCGAGCTCCGACTTCACCACAGGCTCCATCATGGCCTTGGCTCGCTCGGGCGTGTCCATCCACCCGACAGGTGTGCCCATAACTTAGCCGATCCAGCGCCACAGGGCCAGGTAATCTGTAATCTGCCGCTCGCTGAGAAAGATGCCCTATCTGGTCAGTGAGAGGTACACTAGCGCGGTCGAGTGCGCGTCAATGGTGCCGTTTTGGTGCAAGTCGTAGATAGACACACCCCATTTCGTAGTGTCGTAGTATCCCGGCCTTTCCTTGGCCAGCTGTATGATACGACAGCGGACCGTGGCGTGAAGCAGACGCACGCGGACGGAGGAAACGTAGCCACTGCCGCCGGGCTTGACGACATCGAGAGACTCGATACATTCGATAAAGTGCTGTGAGGTCTCGAGGAGTCGACGGCGAGTCACGTTGACGCCGAAGCCGCCGGTGCGGGCTAGGGGTTCGACGACACGCCAGGCTGGCATGCCCCCGAGTAGGGAGTTGAGGAGAAGCTGCGTATGCTTGTCAATTCTGACGATGGCGATACTGTGGACTACGTAGCTTACACCAAGAATAGCTTGCCCATGGTACCGTTTGATGACTCGTTGTCCTCGTTCTATCTGCTCCCAATCCACCCAGTCCGGGATATCGGTTATCTCATGGTAGAGCTTGTTCAAGATTGCGTCCTTCTCACAGTGCTCGAGGAGAAGTCCGTATAGATCCCTCTGGCCCATGGGGCATTCCTGTCCATTGTTTTGAACAGGGGGCGAGAAGGAGTCGATTCTGACAATGGTCTCAGATGCGAGCGTATCATAGGTATAGACTCTTCCGGAGCTCAAAGGCATCGGGATGCTGGGCCGTTCAGATGAACTTGTGGCCGTAGGTCTCGCCTGCCGTACCAAGGTCTTGATTGGGAAGACACATTGTGCAGTGAAGCCAAGTAAGGAGATAGTATCAAGGTATATGAGACTTGAGTTGCCAGTTCTTGTTCATAAAGTACAGGAACGTGGAAGAACCGGGGCTCAAACACTCCGGCTCTGATCTACCACTGCTTTCGACATGTTCGCGACATGCTGTTGCAAAACGTCAATATCCTTTCACAAGTCGTTTGCCTCGTGCATGTGAGAGTGATACGGTCTGGAAGGACATCACCCGTGAACTGTCAATAAGACACCATTGCCAAAAGAAGCATAGACAATGCCCCGAGCTGAGGAATCTGCAGCCAGATAGCACCACAAGGCTACACGTCAACTGCACAGTTGGCATACGTGTAAGCTAGTCTGATTGCAACCGACAGCGAAGTGGTTTCCGCTTCAGGTTTGTAACATGCATATCATTCTGGCCGAGGCGGGGGGACAGTCTAAACAGCAGCGAAGCGGCTTTTCATTTGGATACTAATACTTGTATAAAGCTTCGTGTTCGCGTTCGTGTTCGTATTGCACTTTGAAAGCCATGTTGAGCCCCTTTAGCCGAATGCGATGCTGATTAGAGACTATTTGAAGCTCATTGACACCGCCGATCGGGAAGCCCCTTGGTGGCCTCTTCATGTTCGCCCTCGCTTGGGGCATCCGAGATACAATCGCTATTCCTGGACTGGTCTAGCCTGTCATCAGCTTCCACTAGAAGCATGAGCCTGAGGCGGTCCCTCTCAGCTTCTTCAAAAGAGGGCTGGCGATATATTAGAGTAAAGAGCTGAGTACAATATGGCAAGATGAGTGACCTTCAACTACCAGAAGGTGCCATGCACTTGCGGGCTTTCACAAAATCTCACGAGTGGTTGGTCCTTGGTGGCTGCTGCGTGTCTGAGCTAGAGGCATGGATCGGTGATACGGCACACATGCTTGACAGCCATCGACGTCGTTTGACCAGTTGTAGCGGGAGGATCATGGCAGACGGGAGCTGATGGGCGGGAGAATGTGGGGGATGCGACTGTTCCGTGGGAGAGGGAAAGTAAGACCCGACTCAGACGTGATGTACGGTTCCGTTTGAATCTTATGGAACGTATGGGCCGGCAATTCGACTGTGAACTTGAATGTCTGCGTGGTGTCGTTGCGTCGTCGACTAGTCAGTATCCTGGAGGCCCGTGGGCCGTGAAAGCACATGACATGCTTATAGTAACCGGAATGGAACGTACCTTGCACAGGGCCCGGGGATATGGTTCTGCCGAGCCGGTTTGCCCCACTTCGCGCCGTTTCGGTGGACCCTGCGTGTGAGACGCGCTCGACCCGTCGACATTTTCCTGGAAGGCTACCTGCATCTTCTTGGCTGGCCCAGGCAATACGATCATGGGCTGCGCTTGTCGAGCAGTACCGCTGCGGTCTTTTATCACTGGTCTCGCTCAGGTGCATCAAGTGCAGACACCGTTTACGACCGTCGTCCCGCGAGTTCGACAAGCAGTGATCACACGACAATTCAGGAGCACGAGACCATGGTGGAGCGACGCGCAGGCTCCGGCACCCCCCAGGGAAGAAGCACACGCAAAGCAAGACGACAATGATGGAGCAGAGTTGCATGACGAGCTGCCGACGAACATCACATTCGAGCGCGCCCAAGTAGAGGATGCCGCCAGCGACAGGCACCAGACCCAGACGAGCAAGACGGAGGACAGCCCGATTGATGCGGATAATGAAGACGTCGCACCGAGTTCCGAGCATTTTGATCCGTCATCTGCATCGCGCAATCGTCAAACCGCGCGGACACCAACTACAAACCGTAAACTTTGGCAGAAAGACCCGCCGCCAAAGCCCGAACCTCTTCCACCTTGGCTCGCCAAGCGCCCGCCCCCGGAGCCGAAGCAACTGCCCAGCTGGCGCGTCCAAAAGGAGGCTCTCAAAGAGAAGTTCCCAGAAGGTTGGGCGCCTCGCAAGAGGCTGTCTCCCGACGCCATGGCAGGCATCCGGGCCTTAAACGCCCAGTTTCCGGACCGCTACACATCGGCCACCCTAGCCGAACGCTTTGAGGTGTCACCCGAAGCGATCAGACGCATTCTCAAGTCGAAATGGCAGCCTAGCACCGAGGAGGAAGAGTCTAGAAACTCGCGATGGCACAAGCGCGGCATCAGCGTCTGGGAGCGCAAGGCCGCCCTGGGTATCAAGCCACCCAAGAAGTGGCGCCAGGAGGGCGTACGGCAGAGCGACGAGTACCTGGCCCGGAGGAAATATGCCATCAAGAAGGAGCAGGAGATTGACCAGGAGGAGCGAGCTGCCTACCGTGCATACCTTGACTCGAAGAAGGAGAAGCCGTGAGGCCTTGTATCATATGTATATTGGTGTGGTTGCATTCAAGCATTGCAAGGCGTTTCATCTCATCTCTGGGACTCTATAAAGGACGTGAAATACCATAGAGGGCATCTTGCGCCATTATTTTAATCGAATCATGAAAAATTGAGAGACAACATGTCGTGGCGCCGACTGGAGGTGCTCCACCAAATGCAACGCCGCCGTTAGGGGCTCACCTCAAACCAGGGGTAACAGAACCTCACACCTCCATCGTTTTAACCGGTGGTAATACATAATCAAGATATTTCCTTCTCTCTGCGGTTCCGTTCAACTTAAATTTCTTGCGATTACAAAGGCCGCGCATCATGGCGCGACGACCGAGGGGAGACGATGCCTGGCTTGCGCCGATTTCGATTGACATGTTCGTCCGCGTGGCAGTGACAACAGTCTTCCACCCTTTTGTCACAGCTCTCGTGCCGCTTTGCCTCCGCGCCAGGACGTACCCATGGACCTCGACATCCATGATCGTCTCCATAGTGTGGGCGGCGTTCATCTCATTACTTTGGACCTTGTCCCTCATCAACCGGCACATCGCGTACGGTACCAAGCGCGAGGTTGACCTGAGCGAGGAGATTGTAGTCGTCACGGGCGGGGCAGGTGGTCTGGGCGGTCTTCTGGCTGAGGTGTATGGGATGCGAGGAGCGAGCGTGGCTGTGTTGGATGTTGCCGACGCCAGCGACGGTGAAGCCCGTGGGGTATCGTACTACAAGTGCGACGTGGGCGATCAGGATGAACTAAGCAAAGTGGCGGCTCAAATCGAGCAAGATGTGAGTACCCTGCGTGGCATCCAACGATCAAAGACTGATACAGACATCTAGCTTGGCACACCTACCATCCTGATCAACAACGCAGCCGTCGTGCGCGGCAAGTCGCTGCTGTCTCTGCAGCCTGCGCAGATTGAGTCCTCGCTCAAGACAAATCTGCTAGCCCCTTTTCTCACGATCCGTACCTTCTTGCCCGGCATGATCAGGAGCGCAACGGGGGGCACGATTGTGAACATCAGCTCCGTCATCGGCACCCTGGGCGCCGCCCAGTTGACAGACTACGCGGCAGCCAAGGCTGGCATCACGGCCTTGCACAAGTCGCTGACGGCAGAGCTGAGGAGCTCGCACCCCAACGTCAAGTTACTGCTTGTCACGCCAGGGCAGCTCACGACGCCGCTGTTCTATGGCGTAGAATCGCCCAGCTCATTCTTTGCGCCCGTGGTGGAGCCTGTCGACGTGGTCAAGGAGATTGTGGCAGCGGTGGAAAGCGGGAAAGGGGGCATGATCGGGACACCGCTGTACGCGAGGTGGGTGGACTGGTACAATGTCCTGCCAGTAGGTGTACAGGTGCTGGCGAGGTGGATAGCTGGTGTCGACCGCGGAATGCAGACGTTCAAGGGCCGAGAGGGTATGAAGAGCGACAAGGAGCTGTAGGCGCAGGCGCCTCGCAATGCTTGGTAATAGCTTCCTGCTGACTGAATACGACAATTCTTGGCTACTTAGGTCACAGAATAATACAATTTTCCAAGCTCCGTACTAGCGGCCCAGAGCGTGTATTCCCATCCAGCACGTGTGACGTGCGGCTATGCTGAACGATGCGGATCTACGGCTATGCAACACATGTACTCGTCAACCAAGAGATTGCTAGTTCAGACTTGAAATCTGATAAAAAGAAACAATTTTCGCATGCTGGCGCAAACTGTCCCCGCAAGCCAGCCGTGTAGGTTTGGAGCTTATGGGACTATACCTATACATATATGTTTCACCGGAACGGCCACTACATCTGGGCTTTGGTGGTCAAGTCACCTCGCCGGATTTCTCTTTTTTTTTTTCAATTTTTTTTTTTTCAATACTAGGTAGTATGAGATGGAGTTGCTGCTGAACAGAGGATGAATCTAGTTAAGACTTATTAGTCTCGTACGTTCATGTTCTTTCCTTTCCCACCTTTGTGAGACTTCCAAGTTCATCTCCGTCGCGGCTGATAATCAAGGCAAAGTCCCCGCAGGGACGCTAGCGATAGTGGCTGCAGGGCAGCAGATATTAGCCATCTTGGTGGTGTCCTTCAAGGTAGCCGGACCGAGACGACCTGAGTTTGCATGTAATAAATCACACTGTGTCCATGGTATTGCCAACAGTGGTATGTCTCGAGAATTTCCCGTATCAGAGATTCTGGACAAGCCCAATCTACTTTTCGCGGCTGGACATGCGTACATTCATGCTTATCGTGCATCGAGATTCATGAAGGTCGTTATGGCTGGCGCTTTTGGACGAAAGCCACTTGGACCTTATCTGTGCATCCGATGCTACTCTCGGTAGCGACAAGGACATGATTTGCGGTCCGAAGTGTATAGCCAGTGTCCGTACGGACTTTCCATGCAAGCGCCATGATCCATTAATTTCAATGTCTATTTCGAGGATCTGCGGATCTGCGGCTCGTTGGAAGTTGGAAGTTGGAAGTTGGAGGATCGAGACCTGGCAGCTTGCCCTGGTCTACGTGAGAGGGGTTCTCGGAATACTGCAGGCTGCAGGTTCCAGAAGCGCAAGTTCCTCAAGGCCGCCTGTGACGAGGTAGCACCAGAGCTGTCGTTATCTGCCATTCACTGGAAGCGTGCGTATACTGGTAGTCAGCGGCCAGCCGGTATTTGTGGCCTTGACTCTTGAGCCAGCGCAGTGACTAGTCTAGTCTGGTGCGAGCCACGTAAACTGAAAGTCCATTAAGGTAGATCATCGACAATTTCCAATATTCGTACAGTGCAGGGCACATCTCAAATCGCTTTCGAGAGCTTTTGTGATGGCACAAGGCGACGTTGGTCGAGTCGAATCAACAATGGCTGGTGAGTCCTGAATCATGTACCGTATCGCGAGAGGTTGGTGGGGATCTCGACACGCCGGTATGGAAACGTCCCACACGCGATACTAGGAATTGTGCGACGCAATGCCAATGACGCGGGCGAGCATTCGCGGCCTTTCTTTTTGGACTTCAGAGCGCCATTCGGATCTCCTCGGGCGCTATCCAAGTCAGCCCTTGATACGTTACGTGTTGGCAGCTAACCCTACCCAGGGGCAATGATGTTGCTTTTTGGCCGCGCCAGGCTTAGAACGCTAATCGTCGCTCTTTTTGGTACCTGCGAAGAAACAGCGGTGCATGCTGTGCTACGTGCGCGCAGCAGAATCCCGCCCGTCCCGCCGTCGTCTGGCAGAGCGTTGCATGCTCCTTTGTACAACAGAGCAGGTCAAGTTAAGGTGACTGGAGGCCTTCTTCTTGTTTGACTTCTTTTTGGTCGAGAGAATACATGGTAGATCCTGGGCCGCTACAAGTGCAGCCACGTACAGCCACCCCACCTGCGAATCGTGCAGCGCAGCCAATCGTACGGCGCCAATTCACTGACGGCCCTCCACTCACCGGGTCCCGCGCTCTCCACCTTCGCCCAGCCGGGACGAGAGACTGGAGCCTTCACAGTCACTGGAGTGCAAAGACCTGAGTCCTGGCCAATCCAGCCCAGCCCACTCACTGAGGACACAAACTTGGATTGCGTGCCTTGCGGCAGATCACTAGAGGTACTTTTCGTCTGTACCTCCTCCGTACTTACCTACCTATCCTCAAACACCACATACTCCTCACACAGGCCGGCCTGAATGACGATCACGACGACAGCATACCTTACTATCGAGCGAGCCACATGCCTTGGTCCCTTGTATCGCCATCAATCGTTCCTACCGTCGAGTTCTGCCCTGTAGCAGCCACCGACATCGCGTGCCTACCGACCTGGGTCAACGACTCTTCTGCACCCGCCATCAATCCTTCTCGTACAGACAAATTCACTGCGAGCAGCTCTTTCACAACGCACCATTTGCCTTCATTCTCAATTATACTTATTGCTGCTCGACGGACTCGCTTTCCACTTCAGCGTTGCCCACGCCCATCGCATTTGCAACTCAACAAAATCCCCACTTGGCGACAGGGCACCAGAGCAGCCGCTCACGTGGTCGAGCCAAACTCCCAACAACGGCGAACGACACGACGCGACATATCGCAACCCCCGAAACAGTTCCGTTGCATTCAAGCCAGGATTCGGCCAGGCAGGCATCTAGGAGGAATCGCTAGGGCACTCGTAGTATGTCGCTGGCCGCAGGCAGAGGCGGCTATGGCCCTATGATCGCAGACGACGAAGATCCGATCATGTCGAATGCCACCTCGATGCGCGACGACGACCTGTTCGATGATCTGATTGACTATTCCGGGGCTAGTCCAGATACGCTTCAGCGACTCGATACCGCACGTAAAGACGAAGGACGCGAAGCAGAATTCGCGTATCAGAAATCCCCAGAAAGTCCTTATCACGAGTACTCCGACGATTCAGCCGGTTCCCTGTCACGGCAAGAGGGCAAGAAAACCGCTTCCCGGGAATGGTCGCCCCAGGCGATGGAAGAAGGCGACCTCGCCATGCTCGACTTTTCAACAGACGTTCAGCTTAACCATGAACCCGGCCATGCCGCGATCGAGCCTCCATCTTCTCACCCAAAGACATTCGAGGAACTCTTCATTCAAGACCAAAACTCCGATAAGATGAGTGGAGAGCACAAGACTGCCCCCTCCTGGATGAACGAGACACCGACGACAACGTCCAATAGCGGCGCAGCCAAGGCCGGGCACCTCTCTCCCCCCTATCGGTCATCCTTCCGCGACATCTTCGGCTCGGAGTCCAGAGATTCTACACCAAGCTCGGGGATCAGTCCCATCTACAACACACCCTCCCCCGGGGGACAGCCGAGCGATGTGAAACGGTCCGTCTCACCCAATGCCAGTCGGAAAAAGTCGCCCAACGGCCAAGATTTCATGCCAGCTGAGCCAACGCTGCTCCAACAGAATTCCAATTCCCTGGCACAATATTCAGTTCCCATATCAGAGCCAGTCGCTATGCCTCATCAGTTTACTCAGGGATTGAATGGGTTTGGGGGACCCCAACAGATGCAGTTTCCCCAGCTTGCGTTGCCAGCCGTCCCAAGAGCCCCAATGCCTCTGCCTCAGCAAGCAACTCGCTATCAATTGATCGTTCCGGGGAGTCCACGCAAGTCACGAGTGGAGACACAGATACCTTTGAAGCTTGTCCTGGTGCCAGCACCGCCTGGGGTGACAAAGATCCATCTGCCTCATGCTCAGATTGCGAAGCCAAAGCTGCAGACGCGACCCGCGCCGCCCAAGAATCCGAACATGCTTGAACTCACCACGTCCGTTGTGTGTACTAGCGCTATGCGGCAGGCGGACTTGAAAGAGATGGCATTGGCTCGGGCCCGCACGAATGGCCCCGATCACCTGGCCCCTGAGAATGAAGATAACAAAAACTCTGCACAACAATATGGCGCCGAGGTGCGAATATGCGAAAACTGTATGAAGCGGGAGAAGAAGCGAGCCGAGCGCAAGAAAGTCAAGAATCCAGAGGAAGAACAGGCATGGTTATCGGACCAAGTCCATCGCGTTCTTGTCTTCAATGGCCACGAAGTCAAGGATTGGGAAAAGACGACACACATGGACGGGTATGTCGACGCCCTCAAGCTCGAGGTCCCCATACGCATCGCGTGCTATTGCCGGCATCATGGGGAGAAGATGGGGTTCAACATCATCTTCACCCTCAAAGACTACCAGGGCAATGTTGTGACGCAAGCAATGTCCGATGCGATCATGATCACGGACGATCACAAGACTATTGCGGCAGGCAACGAGCCGCAGCAGTCGGAGCCAAGCTTGGGCGCCGACGGCTTCTATCCCCTGGCATCGGCCGAGTCTATCCCTACCCGAACAGCGCAACCTTCAATGGCGAATGGCCCATCTGCGCCTCTCAACCCACTCGCTGTACCTGCTCCCGCTGGTTCAAGCAGTGCCAATCGCGGGACAGGAAAGACAAACAATCAGCGGCCAGGCCGATCTCGTCCAGCCTCGCCCGTGCGCGATGGTCCGACGGCCAAGAAGCGAAAGTCAAGTTCGAGCTCGGGGAAGATACCAAAGGGCCTGGTCATGACGCCCAGACATCAGCATCCACAACAGCCGCCGCCGCCGCCGACCGCAAATGCAGGACAGGCGACCGGAGCAAATGGCGTGCAGCCTCAGCGCTCAGCTCCTACTTCACCCTTCGACCCGTCACTGGGGAACTTACCTGTGCAAGAGACCGCTTTCCCGCCAGTCAACAATACCAGCCCGCCGTCCATGCAACAGTCGCAGCATGATTTTGCCACATACTCCCCATCCTCCACCGAGACCCTCGGGTTCGGTGAAAGCCATCGCTCTAGCGTGGACAGCATGGTTCGACCGCCCCTGTATTCCGCTCCACAATCTCACCAACCCAGCCGCGCACCGAGCCCCGGCTCGATGATGTTCAATGGGCTACGAGCGCCCCACCAGAACCACCAGAACGATTTTAGCCAAATCATGATAGAGAACGCGTTTGGCGTCACGACTCCTCGCACGCGTGACAATGGCGCTCCCGTTATCAACAAGATCTTGCCGCAGGAAGGACCAATCGAAGGCGGGACGGAGGTCACCCTGCTGGGCAGCAACTTCCAGAATGGCATGGCTGTCTACTTTGGCACCACGCCGGCGGTGACAACAACGTGGTGGGGAACCAGTGCCGTTGTTTGCATGACACCGGCAACCAACAACCCCGGTCCTGTTCCTGTCATCTGCCAGGCAGGCCCTGCGCACGAACAAGAGTGGAGGAACAAAGTCCCGCCCATGTTCAAGTACGTCGACAGCTCAGAGACGCAACTGATGCGCCTGGCTCTGCAATGTATTGGCGGGAAGATGACGGGGCAGGAATGTGATCCCACGCATATCGCGCGTTCGATCCTGCATCAGCACACTGGACCACAAGGCGCAGGCCAGTCTGGTGGGCCTTCCCCATCGAGCGGCGGTGCCGGCAACATGTACAGTCGCGGCGCCAACGACGGTGACACGGAACAACAGCTGCTCAAGTGCCTCGATGTGATCGATCTGGACGACAGCCCCTACTCGGCAGACTTTGAAATCAAGACCTCCAGCGGCCAGACGATGTTGCACTTGGCCTGCTCTCGCGGCTATCTCCGCTTCACTGCCGCTCTGCTGGCGAGGGGGGCCAACCCCAACGAACTGGATCACGGCCACTGCACGCCCTTGTTCCACGCTTCACTGCGCGGTCATCAAGAAGTTGTGAAGCGGCTTCTGCTTGCTGGCGCCGGCCCCAGAGTACGCAACAAGGGAGGCGTCACGCCTCTAGAAGTTGCTGCCACCGACGAGATCGCGGAAATGATGAGGTTTCACGGCCCCGTGCGCTCTGCCAGCGGCGATTTCTCACACAGCAGGCCCACCAGCCGGGCCAGCAGTGTGAGCTCGCTCCGGTCGCTGATCGAGCCTATGAGCAGGATCACGAGCCACGCTCGCTATTCAGGGGAGGAGAGTCCTGAGTATACTACTGGCGACTTTGAGGACGAAGATCCCGACGAGAATGTCTACATGGACATGCGTCGACCCAGCCTCCGGAAAGCCGATCTGCTCAACCATGTTCCGAGGCCTGATCTGCGGACGGACGCGGAGGCTGCCCACCCAGCCCCTGGCACGCTTGCTGATCTCAAGGAGCAGTTCCAGCAGCAGCTGAACCAGCTGCAGCAGACAATGGCCCTGCATCTGCAGAACCTGCCTCATCTGCCCCAGATGCCCCATATGCCCGCGCTCCCCGGGATGGCAGGCTTACCTGATTACCAAGCCTACTTCCAACAGGCCCCCCTGATGCGACGCATGACACAATATATGCCTGGAAGGAACGGCAACCGACCAGGGTCGCCGGATGGATCCTCCAGCCCCAAGATGGATCACAAGTGGTGGGATCTTTCAGCCTTGATGAACCCCAGCGCTGCTGCTCTCCCGCCGCCGGCCTACGAGGAGATCTTCCCCGTGCCGAACGTGGACGAGAAGATGGCCGCTGCTGCGGGCGCTGCTGCGGAGATGGAGGCTGACGAAAAGTGCACGGCGCTGTACGATCAGCCATCATCTTCCTCTGCCGCTGCGGCTACGGCTACGGCTGCCACGACGACCACCGCTGACGATTCTACCGCTCTCGAGCCAACTGCTGCAGAGAGGGCAGAGCTGCCAAGCGTCCTCAAGATCGGGCGTAAGAACGACATGACGAAAGAGCAGCAGGAGCACCTGCTCCGCGCGAGGGAAGAAAAGCTGAAGAGGATCAGCGCCGACCGCAATTTGTTCTTCATCTGGGTGAGTCCCATCAACTCCGTGTGTGTTGACGCCCACTGACAGTCTTTCCAGATTCCCCTTCTTGTGCTCGCAGTATGCGCCATGCTGTACAGTTCATTCCCTGGGCTGTTTGGTGCTGTGGCTAACTTGGGCATGCTCGGTGCCCGCAAGGCCGCCGGTGCCACCGCCAGGCTCGCTACCAGCATCAGGCGCGAGGACCGGGTGATCGAAACTTGATCTGTGCTGCTCACATGTATTTTCGTAAGACAGCGACCATGACCACCGCTTCCTTCATTCCGCGGCGGGTCCATGTCACTGGCCACGAGGTCGCTTTTGCATTGTTTCGGCGTATACTGGTGTTAATGGTATGGCACACGTGTCGATGGGTGTATGAGACGCGATACCGGGCGTTGGTCCCTAGTAGCTAGAGAGACTATTCAGTTCATTTTGTTTGTTTTCACTCCCTGCTTGGCGAGGGGGTTGTGTTTTGGATTACCTCCGGGGGCTTCTCTCTGTGTAGCGTTTGCTCCCATTCAAAGATTGACGATCCTCTTTTACGATAGACACGATACCAGGGTTATTGAGATGACGCCCGAATCCATTTATTTGATCGAATTCACGCCCGAGTCCCATCTTGTGCAGAAGTAGTAGGGTTTTTTCAATACATCGCGCCATGTTCTGTTTGTCCATCATATATGTCTGTACATTTCATTCATGAGTCATTGCGAGAAGCCCTTTCTCGTCATCGAGTCCCAATTTCCCCCCTTAAACGCCCATACGAGAAAGCAAGCAAGCTACCAGGAAGAAACAACCAGCCCATCAATGAGCAGCCCTTCTAAGACCCCTCCACGGCCCGTCATTCTCCCTATCCTCCCCATACGTAAACTTGGGCGGTATGTCGGGGACGCCCGGTATGCCCTCGTTGATGCTAGGCTTGACCCGCAACACCCTGCCGCCATGGTCCGCCGCGCTCCTTCTGGGTCGCAGCACGCGCACGGGCGCTGCCGTTGTCATCGTCGTGTCGTCCTGCTGCGGCTGCTGGTGGGGGCCGATGCGGGTGAGTATGTCACTAAAATTACGCCTCGAGGCACCACGCTCCGGCACGGGGACGGGGGGGTTGCTACCCTTCAGTACACGCTTCGTGAGCTTGTTGGGCTCCCGGCCTTGCTGCTGCTGCTGCTGCTGCTGTAGTTCCATGGCGGCGGTGCGTGCGTTGCTAAAGGAGCGTGCCTGGGCGAGACGTGTCGACGAGCGAAGTTTTGGCATCGCAATGTCCCGAGAGGAACCTGCCTTGCGGAGTTTCTTGTTGGAGAGGGGGATGGGTTCGTCGTCGTCGAGGGTGGCGGCGCGCTTGGTGCCGCGCGACGAGGCGCTGGCTGGCGAGTGGACAGGTGACGCCGTAGGGGGCGCGCGGAGATGATGGGGATGTTGCTGTGCGGTGGATGGTGTCGTTGGGCGCTGGGGGAGAGGCCAGACTGGGTCTGTGCCTGGTGCTGGCTGGCGCGTCGACTGGATGGCGTGGGAGGCAAAGAAGCCGGACGCCATGAGGTTTTGGTAGTTTGCGTAGATTTCCTCCTTGGTTGGCCGGTCGTCGTTGGGCGACGGTTCCCTCTTGTCCGCTGGAGGGACGGCTGCTGCGGCCAGCGCAGGCTCCTTGTCTCTCTTTATGCGGAATTTGTCACGGACGCCTTCCCATACTTGTCCCAGAAGCTGTTTGCTCCCTCGCTTCGTCGCGGTACCTGGTGCTGGTGACTGCTGCTCGTGCTGCTGGTCGATGCTGTGGATGGTCGTCACGAGCGTAGGCTTTGCGAACTCGTCGATTTCCATCTGCGATGCGCCAATATACTGCAAAGGGGGCGCCGTGGATGTGCGGTCGTTCATGGAGCCCTCGAGGAACCGGCTGCGACTCGGTGGTCGAGGGGGCTTCGCGTGTCGGGTCTGTGCCATGGCCGTGGTCGACTGAATGCTGGTCGAGATACTTGACGGAGAGATGATGAGATGAGATGGGAGAATCGTAGCTTTGTGAATATGGAATTGACAAAACTTGAGTTGGGCTGCCGTCTATGATATGTGTGCAGTAATAGATAGATAGGTAAGAAGCACATGAATTCAGGGAGGGCAGTGTTGAACTCCCCATGACCAGTCACCACAGCAACCGCGGAATTTCATCCACCACGTCGCCCCTGTCTAATTATGCCAAGCTCGCTTCACCGTTTTAATAGACACAATTGACCAGAGGGTACGTAATCTGAATTTAAAACTGCTTGACAAAAAGAGGCAGTGACTGCTGCTCGTGTCGCAGCTGTCTCGGGGCCTCGACTTCATACGTAGTGCCAAACGCTTACGAGCTGCCAAGGCGATCCATCATTAACGTGAGTACAAACAATACAGCCCCTCTCCTTTCTCAAGCGATGAGGTTACGTAGACGGAAACCTCCAACCCATGAGATTATAAGTCAAAAAAGAAAGACGTGAAATAAAATGAGAATATGAAGAATGAGATGAGGCGATTGAATGAGTGTGTATCGTCGGCTTCGTTGCCATGAGTTTGACGTCCAGAGAAAGAAAAGGAAAAGAGAAGATGCAAAAAAAAGAAAAAAATTGGTGATGCGCCATGTCGCACATATGTAGACGACGCAGAATTTCGATGCGCACGATGCCGAAGTGCCTGCAAGGCCGCCAAACAAAAACCACCAAAACGCCGTCCCTTGATCCCGTTCATGTATACTATCAGGTATCATGCGCAGTGCTCCCGAAAACTTCAAACCGCTTATTGTACCAGAATCCGCAAGTCGCGTCTCTACAAGAAATCTCTACAAAAGATCCTGCTCAAAGCCAGTGAGCAAACTGAGCTTGCTCGACATATCCGTCGGCCCGTGAGAAATGGCCCGTGTCATGAGCGTAGCGAAGGCGATGTTGGCCACCAAAGTGTGGATCAAGTTGACGCGAGCCGTTCCTTACGGCCCGGTCATCCGTAGTGAAGACATGCTCGTGTTTTCGCTTGCCACCCGTGTACATCTGTTCCGGCTCAGGGTAAGGTCCAATCTGCGCCTCGATGGGCGGCGATACGAGGTGGGAAATCTTGATAGGATGCGGTGGCGCTGACGGGTGTGGTTGTAACGGCGCGAGTCCGCGGTCTTGCGAGTAGGGCGCTGTTGGGCGATTGTGTACGTCGGCGTCTCGAGGCGACGACATGGCCACCGAGGGCGAGGAGGGAACGTAGTTGCCGGACGGGCGACGGGCCTTGGAGTCCACGGATGCGCGTGGGATGTTGCGCATGGGCGTGAACCCGTAGTCTTCGTGTTTGATGTAGGGCTGGTCCTCCGCCTTGATGTACTGGCCATCTTGTGAGAAAGGCCCCGATGGTGAGATTGGCGCGGAAGCAAGGTGGGTGAACTGCCGGGACGCCGCATAGGGGTAAGGCGACTGGGGAGGTGGCGCCGCCGAGAGAGCAGGAGCCCCCGGAGGCCGACGTGATCGAGCGGACGCAGACTGAGGAGTCTGAGGCTCCGCGGACTCTCGATCGCCGCCGCCGCCGCCGCCGGCCTTGTCGCGCCTCCTCATCCTCACGTCCCGCCGAATGCGCACTCGGCAACCCTGTTCGGCAAAATCGCGGCTGAGCTCGGTGCTACTCCTGAGTCCGGGAAACTTCTTGGCGCTGTAGACGTGGAACCCGTTGGTCTTGACGTCCATGCGCCAATCGACGCCCGGTGTGAACGAGCCCGCCGTCTGCTCCATGTCCATGTCTTCCGGGTTCTTGGTCGTCTCGTACAGGCTGAAGCTGAGGTGGTACTGGCCCTCGTGCCGGACGGAGAGGTCTGGGAAGATGAAGTAGCCCGCCTGCCTGGGGCGGTCGAGGTACGCCATGCCCGAGGCCGGCACGCCAGTCAGCACCGGAGGGTTGGGGTTGGCCATGCCACGACCAGTGACAATCTTGCGGTCATGCTCGAGGCTGGCGTAGAGGAAGAACTGGGCGGCGTAGTCAAAGGTGATATCCTGGCCGCGCTCCCACGAGTCGCCCTCCCTAATCCGCAGCTCGACGACCGGTGGCGGGTCGACGGGGCGCCTGTCGCTGTTGGCCTTGTTCCCGGAGCCGCACGCACGAGCGCGCTCGGGCTGCTGCAATATGGCCAGCTTGTAGAGGAGCTTGCGGTTGCCTCTGGTGATGCGTACAATGTCGGCTTCGGCGGGTCGCATGCTGGCGGACTGCGTCTGTAGCGTGCCCACGTTGGGGAAGGACATGGTGGCGGGTCTCGCAGGTACGTCAATGGCGCGAGGGCGTGTTCCTGAAGGGGAGCGAATGTCAGCTATATGACGCTGACGGCACGCGTCGGGACAAGAAAATCAATGGCGGTGAGTGACAAGCGCCCTGGCATGGAAAGACAAACGTGGGTAGCCGGAGTCAAACCTTCCGGGAATGGGTTCGAGGAATGACAGCCCAGGTGCTTGGGATGGCACGGGAATGATAGTGAGACGAAGTCCCAGGACGACCGGCATGCACTAACCTGGAATCTTGCGATGCGACGAAGCGCTGCGTCTTGGAGACTGCTTCGAGATAGGCAGTGTTTCGCCTTGTCTCAAAGAGCGATGGGATGAATGAGGCGCGGTGGTGATGATGGTGGTGGTGGTGGTGGTGGTCGTCGTCGTCGTCGTCGTCGTCGTTCTCGTCCTCGGAAATGTGTCCGTCCACCAGCAAACGGAGCAAGACAAGAAGATGTCGAGGCCGAGCAGGGGATTTTGAAGAGAGGCTGTGATAATCCAGGTAGATGTACCGCGCCTCGAGTCCCGCGTCCGTTGACTGGGAAGTCCAGTCGCTCCCAAGAAAGGTTATGATGAGGGTTGAGGAAGGACTGGATTGGATTGAATGGAGAGAGCGACGACCGCCCGAGTAACTGGGAGTCGTGAGCGAGTGCACACGGAGGGACTACGGAGTACGTAGACGGGCACTCCAGGCATTGGGCCGCCCATGGGTGGGTGGATGGAACATGGGTTGGCGTGGACTGGACTGGACAGGGGAGAAGGACTGGGCACACGGGCCACCCACTGACCTGGTTGAGGTCCCATTGGAGCATTCGATCCCTGGACGCCAGCTGCAGTCCCTGGAGTGACCCGCCCACGGTATCTTTCCGCCTTTGGCTGCAGGAATCGCACTGTGCCGAGGTGGGTACTGCACGCGCTGGAAGGCCCAACCCAGTCATATCCAGTCGCAGGTGCTGGAAGCCTGGAACCAGTGGTACGGTGCGCACGCCTACATGTACTTTACTCGAATCTCACGTAGCATCGGGGCCTGGCCCCCAGTGTGGTCTGACCAGGACCGGCCGCCTGGGCGTGTGGAAGAACACTGTGCTAGCCTCGGCTGGTGGCACCGTAATTGGTTGGGCGTAGCGAACGAAACGACTGACTCGACAAGTGTTTCTGCCCTTGTCGGTAGCTGAAACTGGACATGATGACCACTTATCACAGAAGCCATGGACGAGGGCAGCTCAGATTCGAGAATTTGCTCGTCGTCTTCATTCTTCCTTTGACCCAGCGGCCTGCACTCGTACGGAGCAAGGTGCAGAGTGACGTGACGCATGGTGTGCCTGCCCGCCGTGGACAGTGCTTGGGCGACTGTCCCAGGGCCTCCAGACACCGGCCAGTCTCTCAAAACATCATGGACAGATGCCTGTCGTGCATGCTGCAGCGGAACTGCAGCAGTGCAGCCAGCATATGCGGCAGCCAGCCACAGCGTGCGTCGACGACACGGACTGCTGGTACAATTGTTAGGGTCATCCTTGTGAATGGGGACGTGGACATGGACATGAATTTGCAGCCAGAGGACATCCCACCAGGAGACGGCCCCGCCAAGGTGCCAGCCTGAGGCTACTCCTTGGCAGAGGTGCGAGGCGCTCCAGTCCCTCGGAGTCTGCGATTGTCATGACTCGGAGTTGATGGCTCGATTTGGCTACCTTAACCTTTCGGACCGCGCATCTCGCCATTGGAGGTTCATCTGCCCCCTCTCGCTGTACGATCAATTTGTGCAGAACTACACGTATACGTACGTACGTACGTACGTGGCGTGGCAGAGCGTCTCTCCTTTTCACTTCTCACGGGGCGTCTTGCCGCCGCAGGTGGCTGCCGGACAGAAACCGCGCTTCAACCGCTTGCAGGCATCTCTGCGGGCCCACAATGGTCCCCAATCCAGATAAGCGAGGTCATAGTGTGCTGGGCTCCGTGGCAGACGGCCAATGATCGCGGAGAGACGCCCGTTTGAATCGGACGGGCACTGTGCGGCCAGAACTGGGGCCGCCCGCTTCACAGACTCACAGTGAGGTTGCCTGCCTCTTGTCGGTGAGGAGTGATTTTCCTGTGCGAGTGCCGACTGACTATGTATGTACGTATGTACTCATTAAAAATAACAGTACTCCGTATCCGTATATGAAGTAGCTCTCTCGGCCTCGGTGACGCTTTGCGTTGCTCATGGGCAACTCATGATGACTATGCATGGACGACTAGAGCCAATCACCGGTCTGTCTTCCAAAGTCCAGGCTCCAGGCTCCAGGAGTCAGTCCTGTCAGCCTGGCCGCCCAGGAGCTCGGGTCCGACCCAGGCGACCCTCCCATACGCCGTACGTACTCAGGCAGGCCGCAAGGTATCATCACTGCATCATCTCACCCAAGGGCGTTCCACGCTCCTGGTCGGAGCACCCTGGCAGGCGGCTATGTCCAGCCAATGCAACAGGCAACGTCTCGACGTTAAACATTGATTGATGCTTCCATGTCAGCAGAAGATCGATCCTCTGCGCTGTGGCCGACACCAGCCGTGCCAGCGGCTACTACTCCGGACTATCCACAGGTGACATTCCAGCAGCGTCCAGTCGCTCATGGCATGTTGCTCGGTCTTTCACCACTCGCCAACGCACTGGAATGCGTCTGGTTACCACGAGATTCGACCTGACGTCCCCGCATACCTGTGGTGAGAGGCTCTCCCAAGATGCCTCGAGTCCCCTGATTGTCTGCTTCCGTGTGGCTCGCCCGCCTGCAATCAGTCAGTCAGTCAGTCAGGCTGGCCGCTGGCTGGCCCTGCATTGCAAACTTTATTGATGCGAGGTCTCTTCAAAATGGGATCCCGCATGCGGCAGCCACCCCCCCCCCCCCGCGCTGAAGGTCTCAATTCGTCCATCCCTCACGGCGCATGGCACATGTCGTGTCCGGTTTCCTGTCCGTGGCCCTGGGTGCACTCATCAATGCACTGAACCCACGGGCTTGGTTGGTCCCTACTGCCAGGCCTTCCAGTCGTCTGGTACGACCGGCGTTATGGCTCACAAAAGGCCGATCCGCACTGCCACACACACCCGTGGTGATGGGAGGCGATGCCCTCCTGTCTTCGTCACCGATCTCCGTGCCGCTGTCAGTGCGCAGAGCCTCGTCGCCTTTAGCCTCGAGCCTGAGTTCATTTTTTTCCGCACTTGCATCTCGCTTACGACGATTCTGGAACAGGATAGGTTCTCGGTGTGTCAGCGCCACATGCCCACAGCTGCAGAGCCACTACGCTCATCCTGTCCCAGTGACTTGGGCAAGATACTCCATATACGCAGTCTCTACGTATGCGGCTCCTCCTCCTCAGGGTCTAGGTTCTCGGGGCTGCGAACACCTGTTCCAGGTTGTCTCACCGCGGGGCGGGCGCTCGCTCGGCTGACGTCTGTCTCGGACGACGTGGGGCTTGGGTTGGACAGGTGCACGGGAATTTATTAGATCGTGCGCGGACAGAGCACGTTCCAGTCCTGTGAGTCCTGTCCCGTGCCCTGCCGTGTGGCGGAAACCGCATGCTTGTCTAACCATGTCTCAGACAGGCAGAAAGGCAGGCACTTGTCGTTGCCTCGTGGGGCAGGGCCACCATCTTCACTCTGCATTCCTCGGACAAAGATTAAGCAACGCATGGTCTCACGTGTGGAAGCGGTGTGATGGCCACATAGCTTTCCGTCTCACCATCTATCTATCTGGCTGATTTACTTGGTGGGAAAAAAGTAAGTGAGTCGAAAGTTGCATATGCAAACGACATGTGACAGCTATATGTATGGACGTAGTGATATACGTACTCCTTGCAGCTCTACGCACGCACGCGTAGTTGATGTGATGAGACGAACAAGCACGTATACAGTCCCCGTTCGAACACTACCAATAATACTTTGTATACATGCATTAGGTTCCTGGCCCAGCAACAACTCATACTAGCTAGGCTCGACTCTTAAGGACACGGCCTTCCAAGTGCGATCCCATTAATAGGCGTGAAACGCAGGTATTTGAATTGCCGTCAGCGCTTCCTTGGACCGCTCTTTAATGTCCAGATCCCGCGTCTCGCCTCTGATTTCTTCGAGCCGCCCAGTGAACCCAAACTCCTTCAACTCAGACGCGCGAGTCTTGGCCTCCTCGAATGTGGACCGTTCGTCAAACTCCATCAGGTTCATTGCCAGGTGGCATATACCCAGGCGAACCTGCTTGTCCCTGGTGCTTTGTTGGATGACAGCTTGCAGCAGCTCCCTCTGCGACATGACGAGTTGTCGATGCTCATTGTCGCTACCTGCTATGTGGACGAGCACGTGGATGACGGCCGCGATGATTTGCGGCTGCGGATAGACAACCCGCGAATCGCGACCAGAGCCAGGGTTGCGCCGGGAGAAGGGCTGCATGTGTCTCGGGCGGAGTTTGGCCTTCAAAACTCCAAAGAACCGGTCTTCCCCAATCACCCTGAGGAGGTGATCAATCATTGAGCTCATGTCGTCAGACGTATAAGCATACGCAGTGCTCGGCGGTCGCCCAATCATATTCCTGATGAGATCGAGCGCCTGCTCCTGGACCGCAATGTCGTTGTTACGCGCTTTGCGTGCAGGATTCAGCTCCCTATCCCGTACCTGGGCGAGTTGGTCTTCCGCCGCGCGCATCCGAGAAGATCCCGAGGCATCAAGCACCACAAAGTCGCCGTCGACACCACTGAACCAACGATGCTGATGACCCATCCGGGCCTCTTCGTCATCCTCCTCCTCCCCCTCCTCCCCCTCTTCATCATCATCGTCTTCTTCCTCCTCCATATCGTCCTCAGCCTGTGCGCGGTTGTCGTTGTTGAAGCGGGAAAGGTCGTCATCAGGGTCGTTGTGAATCAGCTCCATCAGCCACGCTGGCTGCAACTCGCGGAGGCACTCCTTCTTCCGGTCGGGACCCAGTGCATCAACCAGATGCTTGAGGGCCCAGAGGGCGCTGAGTCGAAGTTCAGGGTCCTGGGCGTGAGCATGTTCACACAGCACGCCCATGACGCCGGCTTCGACCAGTGGCTGCAGCATGTATTAGCTCTGCATGGCATTCAATCGAAAGATGGACTACTTACCTCGCAGACCGGGCTCGCATCTACAACCAGGTTTGTGATCGCCGCCGTTGCCGGGATGGCCACGCACAGCTGTGGATGCTTCACCAACTCGAGGATACGGAAACCAACTCCGTGATCCACAAGCGCCGTTCGCAGGGAGCTTAGGGACCGAGAGATTGTTCTGATCACATGGCATGCACCGATGAGAACGCCGAGAGAGTTTCGTCCGTATCCCGGCGTAATCGTCGACGCCCGTCTCGAGCCTTCGGAGTTGCTGTGCTTGGCTTGATCTTTCGCAGCTGACGGTGGTGGCTGTGGCTTCTGGGGATATTCAGTCAAAGACTCTGTCACATAAGGCAGAAAGTCTTCGGCAATGAACGCCTTACGATACTCCTCCTTTCCTGAAGCCAGTGCCGCAACGGCTTTCAGCGCGCCCTCCCGAATTCGGATCAAATGCGCAATACGAGGGTCTTGCCCTTGGTCTCCCAGTTGTGTTTTCGGAGAGTCAGTCTCGACGTCCATGTCGCCATCTGGGTAAGGTGTCCATAAGCCCGGTTCTTGAAGAACTTCGGGAGGGGTATACGACAACTTTAGCAGTCTTGTGAGTACCGACACAGCTTTGCATTTGGAGGCGACCCTTTGCAAGTGCTCCGAGTCTAGAATCAACCGCGCCAGGACCACGGGACCTTGCTCGAGGATCTGACGCTGCTTCGCTTGTGTTGCAACTCCCACTGTTGCTGGTTTCTCCATGGCGTTCGCAATCATGTTGACCACAAGTGGCACAACGAGCAGCCCAATGCTCGCTTCTCGAATAGTTGAGTTGCCCAATCCTGCTCGATAAAGCAGCGCAAGTAGCGATGCCGCCACCAGCCGCTCCTCCTCTTGGCGAGACCGCACGAGATGCACTAGCCACGGCAGGAGAGGGCTCTCCGGCTGATCTTGACTTGTGTGCGTCCCAATCGCAATGTCCACGGCTCCTCTGCCAAGGCCATTACGAGCGGTTATTCCTCCACTGAAGGAAGCTAGAGGTACTGCGGGCAAGGCGTACTCTAGAGGCGACAAATCCATATTCTCGCTGTCATCCTCGACGGGGTAACCCAACAGCGCTCGGCTTGTGTTCAACCACTTTGGGGCCGGGAACGGAAGAACAGGAAAGACAGCCAGGATCGCAGGCGTAAGAGTGAGGCGGACTGCACGGTACTTGGACTCCCCGACTATGGCGGCAATGGCTTGCAGTACCGGGTCCAGCTTTGCGCTCAACGGGGCTGCCGCGGGAAAAGCCTCGAACAGCCCGTCTCGCTTTGCTGCTTCGACAGCGCCTGGGACTGCTGAGCCATCAGCGACCGCAAAGCTCGCTAGGCGCAGAGCAAGAACGTCCAATGTGCCGCTCATGGTCAGTGCTTGCTGCTGTTTTTCTTCCTTGCATAGTTTCGATATCAAGTTGCAGGCCGCTTCTATCTGTCCTTGAATAATATGGTTGTCCGTCGATCCTGTGAGGATCGCGTTGAAAGATTCGAAATAGGGCGCCACCAGGATCTCTTCGGCGAGTAATTGAGTATTGTGCGGTGATGAGGGCGTGGCCAGGAGCGAAGACTCCACGACCCCTTCCAGAACGCGCAGCGCCGCGAGAACAATTCTCCCCGGATTCGCATAAGGACATATTTTTGCTAGAACCTCTGGTAAGGCGTCGCTGGCAACTACGGGTGCGAGAAACGCGGGGCCCCCTGTATTGTAATCAGCACGTCTTCGTATGTGCCGCGATTCCATGATTCCATACCATTGGCGAAGCTAGCCAAGCACTGCAGAGCTTGAAGCTGCGCGTCGTCTTCAGCTGTGAAAGGCCGCGAGGAAAACCGCCTGTGCTTTGATTTCCCATTCAGCTTTGACGAGCCTTTGTCGGCTTCAATGGTGCGGACAATTGGCTCCAAGACCCCAAGGCCGATCCATTGCTCCTTTTTCTGGACGTGGCCAACCGCATCGTTCTTCAGGGCCCTCAGCGCAGCGGCTTGCTCAGTGGTCGTGCGGGCAGCCCGAAGCTGGCCTAGTATGGGAGGATCATGAGAGCGTGCCATGAGTTCTGAATCGTGCTAGTTTGTCGTCTCAGTGGCAGAGTAGGCTACGTTAAGAATAGAGGTATTCGTAAAAGTAATTGCTTCGCTGGAGGGCGGAAGTCGGGAGTCGGAACGCGGCGACAAATCCGGAAGCGCCCATGCGGAGAAGGCCCAAGGCGGTTAATAATTCGTGCAGCGCAATTCCAAGATTATCTTCGATTCTCGAGGATGGTGCGCATCAATAACCGTGGTTATGATGATGGTCGGAAACCACCGCGCATTAATGAGTGTGATCAGGACGTAGACGCCGGATGGCGTCACGTTGTGAAGGAACCTTAAACTACCTAGCTCATGGATCTTATCGGTCTTATCGCAGCATGCCTTATCGATACCCATTTCCGTTGCCGCTGCGAGCAGCACATTTGAATGTTTACTGGGTCAAGGTACCGAACATCATATACCGTGTAATGGTTCGTGTCTCGTCTCACCCTCTCTTAAATCTCAAGAATATCTTTCAGTATAATCATGGCAACTAGAAGGCCCCAAGCCCTAAATGACCCGCCCCTTGTCTCCGCTATAGCGAGACTAACGTCACAGTATCGATCCGTCATGCCCATTGATGGAGATGGCCCAACCAAAGCATCAAAAGATCCAAGCTGTAGCACCGCGCCTCTTTCTGGCTGGGCACCAGTGTGGCCGACGGTCTCGGTCTGCTCGATAATGAGACAATTGACTGATTCTCTCTTTCCGTGGCCCTCTGGTCCTGTTATCTGCACGGACTTGTGCAATCCCAGCCCATTTGCGTCGCACTTAGTTCACGAACTCAACTACTTCTAGTTACGAGATTAAACGTTTTCGATCGATACTACTTGTTCTAGGCTATTCCACCGGCATGCACCACCTCGCAAGGCCAGTCATCTTTCACTCAGTCAAATGACGGAGCAGAAGACGTCGATGACCTTGGTCGACGTCGACCACTCCTTGGCACTCCGAGCCTTTGCCCAATCAAGGCTGCTAAAGGTGCTCCCCACAGCATGATTTATGGGGCTCTCACGGCTGCCTCTTCGAGTGCTGCCGGCTTGCATATACCAAATGACCCTTCGTGTGCCAAATAAGTATCACGGGGGTGTTCCTGCAGATAGTCTGATGCCAGACATGTCTACGTGAAAGGTTGCTGTCACCACGTCCGCGAGGCCATCTCTGCAGCAAATGCTTAAAGTACACCTTGGAGCGAGCTCCTGGACTTACACGGCACATACCACTCCCTCCAGCTTACAATATGTCTTTTGAAAGATCCTTTGATTGGGGAGCACAGCTCCTCTACGGTTGTAAGCTTGACTTGAAGACTCTCCTTGATGAAGGCTAATCAGTCATTGTAGTCCCTTTCGAGTCGCACCAACAAATCTCAATACCGGATCCGTCAACCTGGGCGCAGCCACTGCACAGTGACTTCCTCGGACAAGCTGTATTCGAAAACATCGTCAGTCACCATGTTATGTCTCAAACGGCCCCTCAAAACTTTAATGCGAGTGCCTGGACCACGGATTATGCTTCCCCTCCTGACCATGGACCAGAATGGAGGTTCCCGCCTACGAACCTGAGATCAGGCAGCTTTGATTCAAACCAGAAGCAAGCTGCAGCCAACTCCACGAACTATCTACCTCAGCGCCGAACTCCACGCGCCCAAAGCTACTCCCAGCCATCGGGAAAAGTCGCCAAAGCTCGCGCTTCTTTCTTGCCAAAGCAGTCACCACCCTCAAAACGTACTACGTCAAGGTCAGCTCCAGCACACAAGGCAAGGCGGCAAAGTGTGCCTCTTGGACAAGTCTGCTATCAGCGCTGGGATGAGTTTCTGGAGCAAAGTCGCCAAGGACAAGAGAAAGGGCTTGCAGTAAATACCTCCTTGCACGATCCTATACATTGTCAGGACGTGGATTCTTGGGCAAGCGATGTTCAATGGGGCTCAGACGAGAGATTTCAAAACAAAAATCCTCAGTCTCAAGCATCCAGTGTTGACAGCCAGCTTGAGCTGGCTCGATATAAAGAATTGGTCGTCTGCAACGCGTTCCGGATCGACGAAGCCGAATCGAGCATCGAGATCCGAATTCCGAGCAACATTCTGCTCTCGCAGCGCGAAGATTTTGTCGAATATCAAAGGCCGCCAAGATCGACGGACGGACTTGATATATCTTCCCAGAAAAGCCCCTACTCCATGGATTCAGAAGACGGATCCATTGCCACGCAATCAGACCGGAAAAGTGTGAAACCTCACCCACAGAGAGTGCGGCCACCACGAAAGGCCATGCCGGAGGAGAAGAGACGACAGAATCACATTCGCTCGGAACAGCGGCGCCGGTCAAGGGTAGAAGAGCTATACGTTGATCTCCGTAGTCTTGTTCCTACTTTGAGCGAAGCACGCTACACAAAGAGCACGACGCTGGAACTAACAGCAGAGTGGGTGAAGGATCTGTCTCGAGGAAACGAGGCTTTGCGGCAGCAGCTTGCTAGGTTCCAAGGGGCAAGGGCTGAGTGCGCCACCTAAGTTAGTAGTGCCTATATTGAATGGCTACAAACAAGAACCAGAATAAGGTCACTCAAGGCTCACACACACTCATGCTCTGAAGTGAGCCAGGCTTCCCAGGTCGCTGTCTTGCATGCAGGCCTAGACAAATCTCGAGGGATTGTTGCATTGACGTGGTCGACGTCGCCCAACTCACAATGCTTGGCAGTTCACATGAGATAGTACGTGTGTGTTTCACAGGCAGGAGAACATGAACTCAGGAGCAACGTACCCCACAGTTACCCCAGATTGTCGAAAGCTCCGTAATACCCCACATCAGTCATTTTCCCTTTGTACACGTACTGCGCGGCTGCGCCCCTCTTCTTGATTAAACCAACAGCGATGCCCACTACGTACCGAGTTCTTTTCTGCCACCAGCTCCGCATGTGATTCATGCCATACCGACACAACCTCGAATCACTACGCAATGACAAAGGAAAAGCCGACTCCACCGCGGCGGACACGTAGTGATGCGCAGCTGGCCCAAAAACGACAGAGCGATCGCGTCACGCATCGTCACAATCGTGCAGAGGCAAAACAGCGCATGCTCAAGGTCGAGAGGGATGTGGAGAACACTGCGCAGCGCATTGCCAACATTGAGAGCAGCGTGACATCTCTCCGTGACGATCTTCGCGCTATTCTCTACCAGTTGCATCAGGGCCAGGCGCCTGGTAGCGCAGTGTCCCGGTCCGATTCCCACCAGCAATATGCGCCTCAACAAGCCTCCACCCAAGCAGTGAGTTTATGCTTTTTTGGCACTGACATGGCTCAGTCATGAGACGACGGTACAGAAGTGCTGACTGCCAGTTCACGGGAGTTTCCGGACCACTGAACACGCACCCCGTCAACCAGCAACCATCCCCCGCTGACGCACAGAGACCACAGACGCTCAGCGCCTCGTATCCACATGCCGGGCTACAGGTCGAGTGTCGCTGCGGCAGAGAGCACAAAGCGCGAAGCGAATGCGCCGAGTACTCCAGCTTTGCCTTGCTGTACCATCAAACGCAGGCTGCTTTGCGCGAGAGCCCCGCGATCAATGAACCCTTGCCGCGGAACCCAGCCTTGGAGGATCTACTCTCTCGTCCCAAGAGTGACAATGGTCTGGCACTGGGCTTAGGATCCATGATTCGGCATTTCAACATGGCCAACGTCGAAACGCATCTGGGCTTCATTTTCCTTGCCTATCGGTTCATGCGGGTGAGTCGAGCTTATCACCGCTGCCAATATTTGTGTTCGAAGCTTACGCGGCACAGTGGCGATTACATCCAGACGAGGCATCTCTAGAAGATGTGCCAGAGTGGCTGCGCTTGACATCCGTTCAAGAATCGACACTACATCCTCTCATCATCGACTACATACCTTGGCCGACTTTACGCGACTATCTCTGCCTCAATCAGCGCCAAGACGACAGACACAACGCAGAACTGTATATGAGATCGTTCCGGCTCAAGTGGCCCAGCTCTCAGCAGCTTTTGTCCTTGAATGTCTCGGGCAAAGTGACTCTCCATCCCGACTTCGAAAACGTGGTGTGTGATATCAACAACTGGACAATGGGCTCCCCTTGGACAGATGTCTTTCCTTACTTGCATATGCATGTCGGCCTCTGAAGACTGCAAGAGATGATCTGGGGCGCAGAACTAACCAAGTCTTGCTGTGCTTCAATCAGGATCCCCGAGGCCTCGCTTGGTGCACAAAAGAGGCTGCGTTGTGATCCTCTTCGGGCATAACTGTGCGGTTTGGTTGCCGTCGTGGCAGAAGTGGACACGGCCCTAGACGTTTGAACACCTCATCATCTTAGCACCAATTACAGTTGTCCATAATTTCTTGATTGCATTACGCCCCAAGATCCGCTTCAGAGAAGCAGCCCAATTCAAGCGGCCATAGTCGCTCAATTTGCCAGCTAGTGGTGACATGTAGGGTAGGGCGACCACGTGTGGCCACGTGTGGCCGGCCATCCCATCAAGGCAATGAGCCTGCGCACCTGGATGGATGCATCACGAACAAAGGACAGCCGTTGGACCTCTGCATGTTTCCAGGCTTGGAATTAAACTCAACGCTGGCTGGGGGCAGGCATGCAGGCGCATGGTCCCCGTAGCAAACAGAAATCCATGCTGAGAGGCACGGGGCACAGCGGCCGGCTGCCATTGGACGCCCACCTGACTGTATGAGTATGCGCGTTCATAGAAGTATGCCTGTCAAAAGGGCCAGGAATTCCACTCTGGAGAATCGATGACGGAAATCCCTGCCAGATATACTGATAACGAGATTGATGGCATTGTTGCGATTCGGATGCCTCCAAAGTTCAATTGCAAGCCATGCCAGGCAGGGGTTTCACGAATCCCACAGCGCTGGAATAATGGCCAGTTCGGGTCCATTCGGCTTTCCAACGGTGCGGCGAACTTTTCTCCCTCCACAGCCACACCACCGCGGACCGTCAATCAGAAGATTGTGGTTAATCGCCGCTCTACCACTCCATCTCCTCGCCCTGTCCTTGAATCGAAGAAAAGCGAGCTTTGTACATTCCATCCGCCCGCGGTCGCCATGACTGGCGGTGATCATGCGCTGGCGGCTTAGACCAGCAGCAGCACCATGTTGAAAACATCACCGTCGCCAGTTCTCACCAGCACCTCCGTTCGCAACGCCAGCACCAGCGCCTCGCCAGTCTCGAGCTTCCGCAATGCCCACCAGAGGCAGGCGCAACATACCCACGTCCCTCAACCGCCACATGCCCCTGGTCGAGATCTCACACTATCGGCCGCGACAGCCCCGCCGATCTCGCGTCACCGCAACAGTTCTTCGACGATGGCGACGGCCTCTGCGTCCGCCACAACGTCCAGCCCGCGCGGTGCCTCCATAAAGTCGCCCGTCACATTGCACTCCGGGCGCAAAGGCGACGACGAGCATACTGGCGGGTCCGGTCCCGTTGCTGCCCACCCTTCGACCTCCGAGTCGACCTTGGATCTTCCACCATCCCCTCGCCCGCAGACTACGGACACACCGGCGGCGCCTGCACCCGCGAAAACAGCCACGACACCATCGCAGGCACACCTAAGACCGGCTGAAAGCACGGGATCAACACCTTTGTCTCCCAACAAGCGTCGAGCGTCACCGGGTCCCCTCCCTGACGTCACATCCTCGCCTGCGGCCCATGCCATACCAAAGCAGCACGAGTCTCCCTCATCGACGAAGCGCGCAAAGCCAGAGCAGGATGCGCCGAAAACATTACCTCTCAAATATGAGCATTGCGCGGTGGATGATTTGGTCGAGCTGATAGCACACATGTTGACGGAACTGATTACGACAAACGATCACATACAAATGCAGAGCGGACGTCTTACGCGCTTTCACTCGAGGTTGGTCGGACGACCAGATGCTGGAATGTACGGTTGCTGACTTTTTCTAGATCCCCTCCCGGTATATCGGTGCGCGATTACCTACACCGACTCGCCCGGCATGCGACTTTGATACCGCCCATCCTCCTCTCAATGGTGTATTATATTGATCGACTCTGTGCCATGTATCCCGAGTTTACGATTAACACTCTCACGGTCCACCGCTACCTGATAACAGCAGCTACGGTGGCTGCCAAGGGGCTCTCAGACGCTTTCTGGAACAATGCAACGTACGCCCGGGTCGGCGGAGTGCGGTTACAGGAATTGAAACTACTAGAGCTCGAATTCCTGCACAGGGTCGATTGGAGAATTGTACCCAACCCCGAGGTTCTCGTCGCGTATTACAACGGTTTGGTGGAGCGGAACCCGCGTTACACCTTGGAAACTGAGGAACAGGCCGACGGCGAGTAGGATGAGGCCGGCACAATCGCCACTTAGGAGACGTCGCCGATGGAGTACGCAATGATGTGTTTTGGGGTGACGTGAGCTTAAAGTTGCGGGCTCTACTAAGGATTACGACTGCATTACAGTAATAGGCGTTTAGGATATTTGCAAAGATGGGCTTTCTTTTCATAGAGGCATGGACGGCAAATGGGCCAGCAATACGGTCGTTGCATAGCAAATGAGATATCTTCTGATACGAAGTACTCATTGAAACATGATGTGGTGTGATGATTCAAGTTCGTTGCCGCACGATGCGACAATTCCAGAGCCTTGAGGACTTGCCGAGGCCCAAGCCGGCATGAAATAAGAACCTTCTTTCGGAAATATGTGCTAGAGTCTTGGATTGTATACATGTATACGGTGATAACAGGCAACCTTCTACCAGGTACCAAGGCGTGGTGTTGGTCTTGGTCCGTAATTACCCGATAAACTCCCGCCGCAGAACATCCACGGAGCTTCCACGACTTCACAAACCTCCAATCGACTGTCTCTGCCGCTTCGAGATTCCATGACCTAAGCTAGGCGCAGTCATCTCGCACAATCTCGCCATGCGTCTCTCGAGTCTCCTCCCGGGGCTTTGCGCCGCGACTCTAGCCCTGGCCGTCCCGCGGACCGCCCAGATCTACGTCCAGCCCATTCTCACCTCCACAGCATCGCCTGTTCCGCTCGCCGAGGTCGCCTACGATCCATTCTCTCCCGACGTCGCCCAAATCGTCACCTACGAGCATCCCGAACTGCCCGCAGAATCCAGCCTTGTTCGCGTCGGTCTCTACGACCCCAAGTCTGACACCTGGCTCGCAGGCACGACAGTTGCCTCCACGGAGAACTTTGCAAAGGGCTACTCCCCGAACATTCTTCTCACGGTAGACCGGATCGGCGGCAATGTTATCAGCGCGGCAGTAAAGGGCGTGGCGATTGACGCCGGGCAGACGCGGGATTTTGGGCCCAAAGCCGTCGTTGTCGTTGAGAGCATGGGCAAGCAACCGGAGCTGAACAAACCGATCGTGCTCTCGCCCGAGGGCAAGAAGGTGGAGGAGGTCGAGAAAACATTTTTGCAAAAGTACGTTTCCCCTACATTTGGGAGGGGCAAGGGGGAGCGGGCAGCAGCTAACACGGTGCAGGTACTGGTATCTACTGGCAATTGGAGCTTTCCTCCTGATCAGTGGAGGTGGAGGCGGCTCATAGACGACGGCAATAATATCATTGTGGCAATCGCGCAGACTCTGCCTGAGTGACTTGTGACACTGACTGCTTTGGTTGTCGTAGGTCTTTGGAGCAGCGGAATGCCACCGCGAAAGCTGGATCGTCTGCTGAGGCTACGGTACAGGCCGAACTCACCGGCCTCGCGCTGTTTTCAGAGCGACTATCAGGCAGTATACACCTGCGGCGACACATTGTTGCACAGCTAGGCGCATGTTCTTGTCGATGACATTGTAGCTGCCTGCCCCTCCTCAAATAGTCATGCCGCGCCGTGGCAGACGAGGAATGCTTCGAAACACCGTGACCACGACAACGACAATGCTTGTCAAACAGTCACGCATAATCCGTGGTTGCAAATTGACACTATATACTGTATCTGATTCCAATTGTTTACAAACGTAACGAAAGACACGTGATTCATGCGATGCGATCGTGAAGTGAGGGGGCGCTAGTCTGAAACAGGCCTACCTTAGATTTGTTGCTTCTAACATTCGTCCCACGCAGCTACCGCCGGAAGCTTCCTCACTTCTTCTTCTGCGCCAACTCACGACCCAGCTCTCATCTCAGACCCATCACATTTACCTAGATCCAGACCGCACCTCCTCACATCTTACAACTAGCTATCTCACACAAACTCTCATAATGGCCGATAGCATTCAGGACCCCAACGCTCCTCAAGATGTCGCTGAGGGCAAGGGCAAGGGCGTTGCCCAGGACCAGCCCCAAGATGTTCACGCCGATGACCGCATGGACGACGATGACGATGATGACGACGAGGACTCTGGCGAAGAGGTAACGTTTTGAACAACAATTAACTTTCACATTGAAGCTAATGCATAATAACAGGACAACCTAGAAGGTACATGATTCCCAGTCTGCCCTGCTTGGTGTTTACTAACAATAGCACAGAGGCTGAGCCTGAGGACCGGTCTCACCTGGACACCAGCAACATCATCTCTGGCGAGCGCCCCAAGGAGGAGACCGACTGGGTCCAGAAGAACCAGGAGCTCGGCGACGACGCTGATGAAGAAGAAGACGACGATGACTACCAGCCCCCTGACACGGAGATGTCCGGCTAAGCTGTCGCTCCAGTGCTATATGCGGGAAACAAAAAGCCTAATCTGGACTGCTTTGGATCGCAAACGTGAGGACAAGGCCGAAAAAAATGCTGCGTAGGACGCTTTCGCTATGAGGGGATCATAGCGCTTCTGCACAGGGATTTTCATGATGAGACGAGGAACAACTTGGAAGCATCACATCGTATTTCTACAAAATATTGGAAAACGGAATGATACGGATGATTTCATTACTTGAATGCCTCCCCGCTGCCTGTCTCTTTGTGCTGTTTCAATATATTTCGTTGACATTGGAGTGGTGCTAGAGAGGCACATTGTTAGATGGGCGCTCAGACGCGTTGTGTGACGCGCCTTCTACTCTGGCTTGTATAACGGCCTACCCTACAAACAACCCTCACTCTCGTCGATCACACGAAAAACCCGAGATCAATAAAGATTCGGTAATAGTGTAAGCAATTGCAGAAAGCCAATGCCGCAGTGCATTGGGAAACCCAATATCATATCTCAACGTCGTCCAAGTATCTGGATTAACGCGTGTAGTCCCCCGGCGCTCCAGATAGTTTACCCCCTAACTACCGCAGATGCAATGTAAACAAGTCCCTTTCTAGAGGACGCGCATGGCGATAAGACGAACCACAAGAACCAAGCTTCTGAATAAATGTAAGAAGCAGGTGCTCTTTTAAGTCCAAGATACTCATGATGGTATTTTACTATGAAGCTATATATGGCCTTCATGACTTCAATACTGCCTGGGCAGGGGTTCAAAGCGCGCTAAAAGGAATCGGGTTTGGAGGGGGACATACAACCCAACACCGTTTTCAAAACAAACAGGTATGCTATTTTGAAAGCCCCGAGGTAGCATCAAATGAATGACTATATCGATCTTGATCCCCGTCACAGCCTAAAAGCGTCAGGCATTATGTGTGTTGTCGAGACTGAGCGATCTAGAGCCACGTGACGATGCCATCAGTGGCGCATTCGCCCCAGCGAGTCTCGAATCGCATCTCGAAAAAAGACCACCTCGCATCCCTGGCATCATCGCCAAAAGGGGTACTCGCATGCACATCTCCCCAATCGGATCCCCTTAGTTTTCTTTCAACACTTGACGGTTTCGTCGCGTTCAGAGGTCCGCATCAGCCATGTCGCAAAGGTTTGATTGCCGTCCGTGGTGAAGGAAGAAGCGACCCAACGCTAACAAAGAGTAACAGATTCGGCACCTCGTCCCTCCACCAGCGTGATCCGCGGTCACAACTCTTTGCGGGCTACACGGGCGATCGCCACTCATCACCACGAGCGACACCGTCCCCAAGCAGTGGCGGGTACGGCTACCCCAGCGGCTCATACAATAATGGCTCCTCGTTGGGAGTGAACGATCCCAGCAGAGGCGGCTTCCGCTCCGCAACACCGAATAAGAAGGGGCAGTACAGCGATGCAGTGCTCAACGAACTGGAAAGCCAGAACGACTCGCAGGTGGCTGGTATACTGGGCAAGGTGCGGGTGTTGAAAGATGTAGGTGTCCCGGTACCTGTATAGCGTATCTGAGATGGGAATTTGCCGCTGACAGCGACAGATGACGAGTGCCATTGGCGAGGAGATTCGCGACAGCTCAGCTCTGGCGGATAAGATGAACGACACATTTGACTCTACACGCATACGACTACGAGGAACGATGAACAGAATGCTGGTCATGGCGCAACGGAGCGGGATCCCATGGAAGGTCTGGCTGGGGTTCTTCGTCATGGTGATTCTCATTTTCATGTACGTCTGGCTGTTCTAGTTGTGGACACAGCGGGTGGTTACTCGGTGCATTACTGGCCGGCGTTTGATTGACACACTTCCTCCCCTTGGGCGGTTCTCTGCTTGAGAAATTCACGTATCACGGCGAGCGCAAAACTACAAACATACTATCCTAATGATGCATATACGCCGAATTGCGTTCACATTGCCTGTACTCTGGGGGTATCTATGTTCTCTCCGCGACGCGAAACCTCTTTAAGTGACGTCGCCTCAGCCATACCGCGCACGTCGAGCTTCTGCGGGGCTGCTATCCATGAAGCTGCTCTCATCCTGTGATAGAATTCCGCTGATGTCCATACTGAGCCGGGACGCTCCCAAAGTGCCCACGCCCCTCATCGTCGGCGACTGTGGTTCGGCCATCCGGACTGTCCTCGGTGCGAAGTCATCACTGTCATCTTCTTCGTCATCCACGTCCTCCTCCCCTTCTTGCTGCTCCTCTTCGGCCGCATCGTCCGAAAGCGGCTCATTCTCACTACTGCTGAGCTCAGCCTCTGAGTCTGTATGTTCATAGCCGCCGAAGCTGTGCTCTGCCTCGGGAATGTCATCGTCCAGATCTGCATCCATGCCCAAGTCTGCATCATCGTCTGCCTCCACACCGACGAGATCCTCTTCGTCGAGCATGTGCCCTTCTAGGTTTTCCTGCACCTCCTCCTGACCACCGTACATATCGTCACCATCGGGGTCCCCGCGTATCAGCGCTTCGCGGTAGGCATCGTCGGTCATACGCATGCGGGCCGCAATCAGGTCGTTTTGACGCTCTTCGCGGAGCGCTTCCTCATCCAGTGCGGGATATTCCTCCTCGCCTTGTTCACTGCTTTGGTCGGACGCTTCCTCCTCTGACACATCCTCATCGTCATCGTCCATCATGAAGTCCTCGCCAGCTTCTGGAACCTCATCGTCAAGATCTGCCGCGCCGTCAAGCTGCACGTCATCCATCTCGCCCTCGGGCCCTTCTGTTCCCTCTGCAGCTGCGAGTTCTTGCTGGAGGGCCTCCCGACGCATAGCCTCGGCATGCTCTTCTTGCTCGCGCTTCTCCTCGCGCAACTGGTGGAGGGTCTTGGGCACGCCAGGCGGCTTCATCCAGGTGGTGCCAAAATTGGCGACATTGAGTCGTCGGCGCGCATGGTAGCGTTCATCGAACGCGAGCTGATGGAGCGGCGATCTTTCGATCAGGGCTTGGTTGCGATGCCGCGACGATTGGTGGTGTTGATTGGGATTGGGTTGGTCGGATGGAGCGTCGGGCAAGGCTAGAGGAGTCCTGGACGAGGTATACCATAGAGAGTGTGACTGCAAGCTGTTAGACTAGCCGAGTGCTTGGGGTTTGAAATGCGAACGTCTCGAGGTGTGAAATCAGGCAGCGTGCCGAACATTGGGGATGTTGGCCTAGGGATTGTATCTTTGAGTTGTCGCGACTGGAGCGCGTTGGAGCTCTGAGGTCACTGATAATCTGATGGTGGGGCATGACATTGGCTTCAGAGGTGGCCGTCAACACCTGCACTCTTCCGGCCAGCGGACTCATATTTCTTCTCAACAAAGACTCTCAAAAAATAAGGTTCTGAAGACGGGGTGAGTCTACTTAAGACGCGCGCGCTATGCTGTGAGATAGTGCCCAGGCTATGGCCGTGGTTTTGCTTTATTTGTGCAAACCGAACTGATCCCTACAAGCCGATGCTGGACGTCAAGCCTTGCATTTTACCGTGTGTTGAGGAAACCATTATTCCGTAAAGTTACTCGAGTATCTCTCTTTCCAATCTTCAAACATCCGCGCAGAGGGGCTTGTTTCTTCAAAGTCCAGAAGCAGGGCTGTGCGCACTAAGATCAAGACTCACGAAGACACTACGACTGGAGTCGTGTGTGCACTGCACGGTATGCATCATATCGCTGCCTGCAGGGCTTCAGGGCTCTGGTCGTGAGCCAGTTTAGGTTCTCCAAGTCCCGCGAGTGGAAAGTAGGGGTCTTATAACAGCTCATTCGTGGTCTTAGCAGCGGGCGTCTCGACGACTCCACTGCCTTTGATGTTGCTTTCAACTACCCGTGTCTCGAGGGACCTCGAGTATATTGCCGTTGAAAACGCTGGCTATTTGGCCGTCGCACGATCTGGTTCATCACTCCGGTCATTTGGTGAGCATCAATAGGTACCCTTGACCACCATTGAGACCAGCCCAACATGTATCAGTGCCTTGGATCGATATGTATGCTGCCTAGCAACGGGAGATATCCCAATTCAGGTACAAAGCCACTGCTGCTGTTCATAGGAAACCAACCAGGGGCGTGAACTTTCGACCTTCATAGGAAGCCTTCGAATATCTGCTGTGGGATATAGACGGAGACTTTCTGCCTGGGCGTGAGCTGTGCCTCAAGCACTTTGACGCAATACCGTCACCGATTGCAATCACTATACTGGTTGTAATACTGAGCCGAGACGTATCACAGAGGCGAGGATGAGTTTTTGTCGGTGATTTGCGACTAAACTACCTAGTGATGCCAGAACAGGGACAACGACCAAGGAAGAAGACTGAAGGGGAGTCTCTGCCGGTGTCCGACGACAACGACGCAATCCCCGTAGCACTAGCAAGATCTATTAACGTAGCAGGTATGGACGTTTCCTAGCTACGCTCGACACATCAATCTTACAGCTTCAAGTGGTATATTACTGTACGTCTAGTCGGGAGAAACTTTGCGAGGGTGTAACACCGAGTGTAGCTGTGTACTTCTTGTTTTCTCTCGATTTTACCAATTGTCGCAAATATCATGTTCGGTAGTATCCTCAAAGAAAAAAATCTAGGGAATGGCTTCGACAGTAGAGTCGTGATCTGGTGCTCTGTAAGGCCCAACTCTGCGCTGAAGAAGTCTCAACTTGGTGTCTGAATGCCAGAGGTGTCTCGCCATTCAATTTGGATCGGGTCATCTCGGGTGTGTGTCAGCCGCTAACATGTGCAAAGTACGAGTATACCACTAGCTTAGTTTCCGCCCATCGGCCCACTGGCGGCGGTGTGCTCCGCCATGTGAACCATAGGGGTCCGGTCAGACTCATTAGTAATGGCACATGGCAAGCATAGCGCTCGGGGACTATCGGGGCGCGCGACAAGATGTGGAAGCAGCTCCGCAGGCCGACCTCGGAAATATAGGACGGACGGAGTCTAATCATCATGCCAAATTAGGAGGAGCGCACAAGGTTGAAAGCTCATCCATCGAGAGGGGCATTCGTAACCGCCTGTCTTTAATTTGCGCACTGCGTTTCGCATGGCCAAAGAGAAATGTCACGGGCGACTGAAGGCAAGATTGACAAGTCTGGAGTTTTAAGTACCCTGGTCCGGTTTTGCATTGTGACCTCCACACTATGCGATCGCCCTACCCTCGAACGGGGTTGTAGAGTTTGAAATTAATAAATACATTCAGACAAGGTACAGTACTTACTCGTAGACAGGGTACCAGCCAGGCGACAGACATGTGATTTGTGAATTAATTCGCCAGCCAATTGGGGGAAGAAATGTGACGTTTGAGCCATTACTCCCGTTGCAATTCTCATCCATCTTGCGGCTGCCCTGCGTGATGCGAGAGCGTCAAGGCACGAGCAACACGCAGCTGCCTGCCACCACCTCAATCTTCTTCCGCTTCATCGGCATTTCGACCACGCCTGGTGGACTACAACCATCGTCTGTAAGGCATGTCTGTCTGGGTCGAACCCTCCGTCCAAGACTGCAAGCCAAGGGCGAGTGCCAGCCGGCGATCCACCGATGCACCTCGCTAGTGTTTAGATCCGGCCCCATGCGCAGATAAGGATTCTCCAGGGTTGCAGAGGCGGCCCTGATTGGCTCAATGCCATTGTTTCTTGATGTCGATTTTTTGACATGTTCGAGACAGGGACCCTGCGGATTACCCCGAGTCAAGGGTCGGGAATTTGCTACGTAGCAGATCGTTTCTCAGGACAGCCGCACTAATTCATGGCTCGTTCTGCATGTTGCTGCTTTGCTCGTGCGCGGAGTGCCATTGGACGGCCTTGCTGCTCCTACCCGACGTTGTTCGCTTGAATGAGTCTTTTTTTTCTCTTGCGCGTTCGAGTTGTGTGGATTTGCTGACGATGATGCTGTGACTTTTAATATGCAACGCATGTTCGTCACAGACTCAGCTTGAGCAACACAGCACCGGCAATATTTTCAACATTTTTAGCGACTTACACGACCTCAAAATCAATCGCAGCTCCAGATCTATTAATGCGACAGCACCCAATGGGCTGGAGTCCAGTGTGGGAATTGTGGAGGAACTGGCCTCTTTCGGGCTCTTGGAGGTCGAACACCGACATGCCCACGCCCACGGCTCCGTCGGAGTGCATTGCCTACGTCAAGACCACCGGGGTCAGCGCGACATCGGAGAAGGCCACTCGTCGTTTATTAGCAAAAGAAGGCCATTTATTGGCTTGCATAAAGAGAAGCACCATGTTCTCCATGTGCAGTGGAGTGACGGCGTGAATGAAGGTGGGGGTGCTACCCCCCTGCCGCTGCAGGTTGCAGCATGCATGCGGAGGTCGAGAGTCCTGGATGCACGCTGTCGAACCGGCGAGATTTCTGTTACAATCAACATATTGGCAATGGTATAACATCTCAGGCTGGTAAGCGGACAACTTGGCGCTGTAATCAGCTGTATGAGACACCGACGAAGGCTCATGAACCCTTGTCACTTGATTTGTGGCTGAGACTTAGGGTAGGGAAGACTCTTAGGCAGAGCAAAGTCCTGAAGCGGATCGGAGGATGGATAAATGCGTGCAGGCAGATGTCAAATTCCCATGTCGTGCCACCAAGACACAGGCGACATCGTACAAGGGATCTAAATATTCGAGACGAAGTTTGCCTCTTGTCATCACAACGTACGTATACTCGTAGGAGTCGGCGCGAGCGCATCCGAAGGGAAATCCCTCCGTTCATCGGCGAGTGAATGCCAGTGCAACGCGGTCAGGCACATCGGCCTTGAGCTGATTGGTGCCTGTCGCACGTAGGCTCGAGTTCTTGCCGGTCCAGGACCTGCGCGCCGTGGCCTGTTTGCGGCGTTTTCAGGTAAATCAGCTCCAGGCGAGCGAAGCGCAATTAATCTTGGCCGCTAAAACAGAGCCGCGGTCAGTTGTCCTCAATTCAGCCTGCTGGCTACGTACGTCCCGCAGGAAAGCCCCCCACCCCATGTCTCGCCTTGTCCCAGTCTCCAACAACACCCGCTTGAACGTTGTTGACAGAAAAACTGAGGCTAATAGGAGAACCCGTCCCCGACTTGCTCGCTGCCACACGCCAGTGTTAAACAAATGTAGAAAAAATATGCTATCTTTTCTGGTTGTCAAAACCTATTAGGTGCTACAAGCGAACCGTAGCAACAAAAGGACAGCGAAATGCAATTGACTGCCGCAGTGCGTATGATTCCGACGAGTAGGTGGCTCTAGGCTACCTATAACACAATTAGACTCCACCCCATCTACTCCGTGGTGACATTTAGACTAGACGCTCGGCTCGCCTCCTCCAAGATCCCCTACGTGGTCTTGGCACGTCGAGGCTGGCTGGTTGAGTTGCAAGGTGGGCAGACAAGTCCCTCGTTCCGAAATAAAAACGAAGCCAACGCCCACTCCCACCCTCCGCCTGGCCTTTTTTCCTTTCCTGCTCCCCCCTCTCTCAATAGCTGTTTTCACTCCCCTTGAAATCCGAAGCCATTGCCACGATACCCCATAGAAGGCTCTGACCGAGGGACCGAAGCAGCCTGGTAAGTGATGTGACATTCTCATGACAACTTCCCCCGCGACACCACGCAGCCAAGGCTATATCACAAACGACACGAATGGGAGGCAACGACGATACCGAGCACAACAGAAAGAGACAAGCGACCACACTCGCGCTTGTCTGTCGATTCCCAATCTGTCGAGAACTTTGGCTCTGCGCTGCCGCTGCATTTGGCCGCCTGGCAGCTTGCGGTCATCGTGCAGCATGCTCTGCATGATTCTGCGCTCCGTCCTCTGTGCCACCCTCGCCGTCAACTAGCGCATGCACGCAGACCATAAGGAAAAGGAGCGCACGAGGGCAGAATTCTGAACAGTCTGCGTCTCAAAAGCAAAGTGAATTGGCTCTAGTTCATCGCTCTTTCCTCCTGGTTGTGCGTGCGCGACTGGCGAGCCCAGGCTTTGGCTTGTGAAATAGAGGGGCATCGTGGGGCAGCGAATCCGGAGCCATGCATTTGCGGTTTCCAAAAAAATTATGGGCGGAACGAAAATGGAGGCTCAGGGTTGCCCAAGCTTCTTGCAGCTCCCCCCCACTTTCCCGATGGGGGGCAATCGCCTCATGCCAATCAACGCCTCGCTCAAGCCAGTCCGCGCCAGAGTCTCTCGCTTCATTAAACTGCCCGCCTCTGGACAAGACTTCCTATTCTCTCCGTTTCGGCCACCTTTTGCTTCATTCTTCGCATCTCAATTTCATCGAGGACCGCTCGCTGACTAACATCTCTTAGCTTAGCGATCGAGCGGCCTTTTGCTGCTCTTGCCGGTATAACCCGAATACCGCGCCCTCACATCACACGAAGAATCGTCAACTACGCAACACCCCCACCCTCCTCACCACTACCCCCACCTCCTCCCTAGGCGCCCACAAAGCCTCGCCTAGCATGGGCCTGAACGAGGATTTCGACGACCGACAGATTCACCTCGAGGCTGAGAAAGAAGAATACACGCCATATGAGTATCAGACCGAGAACAATGGGTCTTGGGCTGGTGCCCTGCCCGTGAAGCAGGGTCTTTACGACCCCTCGTTTGAGAAAGATGCTTGCGGTGTCGGCTTCGCCTGCCACATGAAGGGCAAGGCCAGCCACAAGATTGTCAGCGATGGTGAGTACATGTTCCCTCTCGCCACTGTCTAGAACTAACGTCAAACAGCTCGCAACCTGCTGTGCAACATGACCCATCGTGGTGCCGTGGGTTCGGATGCACGAGACGGTGATGGCGCCGGCGTCATGACTTCGATCCCCCACCGCTTCTTCATCAAGAACTTTGAAAAGGAGCAAGACATCAAACTCCCGCCCCAAGGCCAGTACGCCGTGGGTAACTTGTTCTTCAAGCCCGACGCGGAGACCTTTGTTGAGTCAAAGAGGCAGCTGGAAGATGTTGCCGAGTCGTTGGGCCTTCGAGTCCTGGGATGGCGCCAGCCCCCCGTCGACTCGACCCTCCTGGGTCCCGCCGCCAAGTCGCGCGAGCCCATCATCGCACAACCCTTTGTTGTCCTCGCTTCGGCCTATGGAACCGGCGTGGTCCCAGAGAACACCGATCCCGAGAAGTTCGACGAGAGGCACTTTGAGCGCCAGCTGTACGTGTTGCGGAAACGTGCCACGCACACCATTGGTCTCCAGAACTGGTTCTACATCTGCTCCCTGTCGAACAAGAACATTGTCTACAAGGGTCAGCTATCCCCCGTCCAGGTTTACTCCTACTACCACGATCTTGTCAACGCCGACTATGAGGGTCACTTTGCCCTTGTGCACTCGCGTTTCTCTACCAACACATTCCCATCGTGGGACCGCGCGCAGCCCCTGCGCTGGGCCGCTCACAATGGTGAGATCAACACACTGCGAGGCAACAAGAACTGGATGCGCGCCCGAGAGGGTGTCATGAACTCAGACGTCTTCAAGGAGGAGCTTGAGCAGCTGTATCCTATTGTTGAGGATGGCGGCTCTGACTCGGCCGCCTTCGACAACGTGCTCGAGCTGCTCACCATCAACGGTGTTCTTTCACTGCCTGAGGCTGTCATGCTCATGGTTCCCGAGGCGTGGCAAGGCAACGATGACATGGATCCCAAGAAGGCTGCCTTCTACGAGTGGGCTGCCTGCCAGATGGAGCCTTGGGATGGCCCAGCTCTGTTCACCTTTGCTGATGGTCGGTTCTGCGGTGCCAATCTGGACCGCAATGGTCTGCGCCCTTGCCGTTTCTACGTCATGGACGACGACCGCATCGTTTGCGCTTCCGAAGTTGGAACCATCCCCATTGAGCCCGAGCGCGTCATCCAGAAGGGTCGTCTCCAGCCCGGGCGCATGTTGCTTGTCGACACGCAAGCTGGTCGAATGATTGACGACAAGGAGCTCAAGGATGCTGTTGCCAGCCGTCACGACTTCCGCACATGGCTCGATAACCAGCTGATTACTATGCCCAAGGTTCTCGAGAAAATGTCTAGCTCCATGGACGTCGCTGCCAAACTCGATGACAACGTCATTCAGGAGGACCCTCTCTTGCTGTCTTTCGGTTACACTCACGAGCAGGTCAGCCTGTTGCTCGGCCCCATGGCCAATGACGAAAAGGAGGCCCTTGGTTCTATGGGCAATGACGGCCCTCTTGCCTGCTTGACCCAGGCTCCCCGTCTCCTCTATGACTATTTCCGCCAGCTCTTCGCCCAGGTCACCAACCCTCCCATCGACCCGATCCGTGAGTCCATTGTGATGTCTCTCGAGTGCTACGTCGGTCCCCAGGGCAACCTGCTCGAGATGGATGCAGGTCAGTGTGGTCGTCTGCTGCTGCCCAGCCCCGTCCTCTCCATTCCCGAGTTCAACTCGATCAAGAATATGGCCTCTGTCTGGCCCGAGTGGACTGTAAAGACGATTGACCTGACCTTCCCCAAGGTGGAGGGTGTTGAGGGTTACATCAAGCACCTTGATCAGATCTGCAAGGAGGCCGATGCCGCCATCGAGGCTCGCGACCGCGTTATTGTCCTCTCTGACCGTAACACCTCGGCTGACCGAGTCCCTGTTTCCGCCGTCCTGGCTTCCGGTATGGTGCACCACCACTTGGTTGCCAACAAATGGCGTTCCATGGCTGCTCTGGTTGTTGAGACTGCCGAAGCTCGTGAAGTCCACCACATGTGTGTTCTTCTCGGCTATGGCGCTGATGCTGTCAACCCTTACCTCGCTATGGAGTGCATTCTGAAGCTGAACCGTGAGGGTCTTGCCAAGAGGCCACTCGACGACGAGTCACTGATTCGCAACTACAAGCACTCTTGTGACGGCGGTATCCTCAAGGTCATGAGCAAGATGGGTATCTCCACCCTAGCTTCATACAAGGGCGCTCAGATCTTCGAGATTCTGGGACTCGATGACGACGTTGTTGAGCGTTGCTTCCGCGGTACCGCGTCTCGCATCAGGGGCATGACCTACGAGCTCATTGCTCAAGATGCGTTCCGTTTCCACGAGCGTGGTTTCCCTACACGTTCCACTGTCAATATCAAGGGCCTTCCCGAGTCTGGCGAGTATCACTGGCGTGACGGCGGTGAGCCGCACATCAACGATCCTACTTCGATCGCCAATATCCAGGATGCTGTCCGCACTAAGAACGATAAGTCCTACGAGGCATACTCGCGTTCTGAGTACGAGCAAATCAAGTCTTGCACGCTCCGCGGTATGTTGGACTTCAAGTTTGAGGATCGGGAGGCCATTCCCATTGACCAGGTTGAGCCTTGGACCGAGATTGTTCGTCGTTTCTGCACGGGTGCCATGTCCTACGGTTCCATTTCTATGGAGTCCCACTCCACTCTTGCCGTTGCCATGAACCGTCTCGGAGGCAAGTCCAACACCGGTGAAGGTGGTGAGGATCCTGAGCGCTCTGAGCGCATGGCCAACGGCGACACGATGCGCTCTGCTATTAAGCAAGTTGCATCTGGTCGTTTTGGTGTCACAGCTGCCTATCTTGCGGACTCTGATGAGCTCCAGATCAAGATGGCCCAGGGTGCCAAGCCCGGTGAAGGTGGCGAGCTGCCTGGCCACAAGGTCTCCAAGTCCATTGCTCGCACCCGTCACTCCACGCCCGGTGTTGGTCTGATTTCGCCCCCTCCTCACCACGACATCTACTCCATTGAGGATCTGAAGCAGCTCATTTACGATCTCAAGTGCTCCAGCCCCCGATCGCGCGTTTCCGTCAAGCTCGTATCTGAGGTTGGTGTTGGTATTGTCGCCTCTGGTGTCGCCAAGGCCAAGGCCGACCACATCCTGATTGCGGGTCACGACGGTGGTACCGGTGCCTCGCGCTGGACTGGTATCAAATACGCCGGTCTCCCATGGGAGCTGGGTCTTGCCGAGACTCACCAGACTCTGGTTCTCAACGATCTCCGTGGCCGTGTCGTCGTGCAGACCGATGGTCAGCTGAAGACAGGCCGTGATGTCGCCATTGCTTGTCTGCTTGGTGCTGAGGAATGGGGTTTCGCTACCGCTCCTCTCATCGCCATGGGCTGTGTTTTCATGAGGAAGTGCCACTTGAACACCTGCCCTGTCGGTATTGCCACTCAGGACCCTGACCTGCGTAAGAAGTTTGAGGGAACACCCGAGCATGTCATCAACTTCTTCTACTACGTTGCCAACGAGCTCCGTGCCATCATGGCCCAGCTTGGTTTCCGCACCATCAACGAGATGGTTGGTCATGTCGAGGTCCTCAAGATGCGCGACGACCTCCGCACCAACAAGACTCAGAACATTGACCTGTCACTGCTCCTGACGCCTGCTCACAAGCTTCGCCCTGGCGTCGCCACTTTCAATGTTCGCAAGCAGGATCACAAGCTCTATGTCCGCCTGGACAACAAGCTCATCTCTGAAGCCGAATTGACCCTCGACAAGGGCCTGCCCTCGCGCATTGAGTGCGACATCGTCAACACTGATCGTGCCATGGGCACTTCGTTGTCTTACCAGATTGCGAAGCGCTATGGCGAGGCTGGTCTGCCATTGGATACCGTGCACGTCAATATCAAGGGATCCGCTGGTCAATCCTTTGGTGCTTTCCTGTCACCTGGTGTGACCCTGGAGCTTGAGGGTGATGCCAACGATTACGTCGGCAAGGGTCTCTCAGGTGGTCGCTTGATCGTCTACCCTCCCCGCTCTGCCGTTTTCAAGGCTGAGGACAACGTCATTATCGGCAACGTCTGTCTGTACGGTGCGACAAGCGGTACCTGCTTCTTCCGTGGTGTTGCTGCTGAGCGCTTCGCTGTCCGCAACTCCGGTGCCACAGCTGTCGTTGAAGGTCTCGGTGACCACGGCTGCGAGTACATGACCGGTGGCCGCATTCTCTGCTTGGGCAGTACGGGCCGCAATTTTGCGGCCGGTATGTCTGGAGGTATTGCATACATCCTAGATGTCGATCGCACTTTCCAGGGCAAGCTCAACACGGAGATGGTGGAGGCCGGACCTCTGGATGATCCTGTCGAGATCGCCTTTGTCCGTGGTCTGATTGAGGATCACCACCACTACACTGGTTCCGAGCTTGCTGCCCGTATCCTTGTCGACTTCAACCGTGCACTGCCACGCTTCGTCAAGGTCCTTCCCGTCGACTACAAGCGCGTCCTCGAGCAGGAGGCTGCCGAGGCTGCCGAGGCTAAGCGTGCCGAATATAACCTTCCTGTCGTCTCCGGCGTTCACCAGAAGAAGGATTCCGAGAAGGCTGCCAAGCTCCAGGATCTCGAAGAGGCGGTCGGTGACAGCGCTGTCGAGAAGAAGCGCGCCCTTGTCCTCGACAAGACCAAAGGCTTCAAGATGTACGCTCGTCGTTCCGAGAAATACCGTGCTGCTGCCACTCGTACCAAGGACTGGGCCGAGCTGAGTTCGCGTCTCAATGAGGATGAGCTCAAATACCAGTCTGCTCGTTGCATGGACTGCGGTGTTCCGTTCTGTCAGTCCGAAACTGGATGCCCGATCTCCAACATCATCCCCAAATGGAACGAATTAGTGTTCCAGGGCCAGTGGAAAGACGCTCTCAACCGTCTTTTGATGACCAACAATTTCCCCGAGTTCACTGGTCGTGTCTGCCCTGCTCCCTGCGAAGGTGCTTGCGTCCTGGGCATCAACGAGGACCCCGTCGGCATCAAGTCCATCGAGTGCGCCATCATCGACCGTGGTTTCGAAATGGGCTGGATGGTTCCCACTCCTCCCCCGGTACGCACTAGCAAGAACATTGCCATCATTGGTTCTGGTCCTGCTGGTCTTGCCTGCGCCGACCAGCTCAACCGCGCCGGCCACACGGTCACTGTGTACGAGCGGGCCGACCGCCTGGGTGGTCTTTTGATGTACGGTATTCCCAACATGAAACTTGACAAGCGCATTGTCAAGCGTCGTACCGATTTTATGGCTGCCGAGGGCGTGAAGTTCGTCACTGGCGTTGCCATTGGCGAAGACGGCCAAGAGTCGCTGGCTGACCTCCGTGGCAAGAACGACGCCGTTGTCATTGCCACGGGTGCCACTGTTGCCCGTGACCTGCCTATCAAGGGTCGTGAGCTCGAGGGCATCCACTTTGCCATGGAGTTCTTGCACAAGAACACCAAGTCTCTCCTCGACTCTGAGCTGGCAGACAACACATACATCTCTGCCAAGGACAAGAATGTTGTTGTCATTGGCGGTGGTGACACAGGTAACGATTGTATCGGTACTTCTGTCCGTCACGGGGCCAAGTCTGTGACCAACTTTGAGCTGCTGCCTCAGCCTCCCCCGGAGCGTGCCAGTGACAACCCCTGGCCCCAGTGGCCTCGCGTTTATCGTGTGGACTACGGTCACTCTGAAGTGCGCCAACACACCGGCAAGGACCCTCGTGAATACTGCATCATGTCCGAGGAGTTTGTCGACGACGGCAGCGGCAAGGTGAAGGGTATCAACACCATCCGCGTCGAGTGGACTCGCTCGCCCACTGGTGGATGGGACATGAAGAAGGTCGAGGGCTCGCAAGAATTCTTCCCTGCCGAACTTGTCTTCCTCTCCATGGGTTTCCTCGGCCCCGAGGCTCGCGTCTTGGGTGACGAGATTGAGAAGGATGCTCGCAAGAACGTGAAGACTGCGCCTGGCAAGTACGCCACAAACATTGACGGAGTCTTCGCCGCTGGCGACGCCCGCCGTGGCCAGTCGCTGATTGTCTGGTAAGTCAAGACGTTTGCCTTCAGCATCCAATGTACTAATGAGACACAGGGGTATCAACGAAGGCCGCATGGCTGCCCGCGAGGTTGACTTGTATCTGGAGAAGAGCACCAACCTTCCTGTCACTGGTGGTATCGTCAAGCGCACCGCGCAGGAGATTTTCCACCAGGTCGAGGCTCAGGCACATGCTCAGGCTTTGGCTGCCTAGGGAAATTCTCTCTGACAAAGTTATTGAGATTATTCCTGTACACATCTTGGTCTGTCGAGCGTGGAGTTTGCTAAGTGGGGCCGGGTCTGTTATGATACCATAGACTGGATGATGATGGCCACGACGATTTTGGAAAAGGGTATTGCAATGTTTGGGTTATTGTAGTTTTGGATACTCATGTCTATATGCTTTATGAACATATTTATACTACGTTTGTCACTGAGCTTGTTGGCTTCAAGTTGAATTTCGAGACTGCTGCAAAGCTTTCCCGGATGGCCTGTTCTAATATGTCCATGCTTTGTCCAAATCGCCAATACGTGTTCTGTCGCTTGAGTGAATACTTATTAGTTACTTATACATGGAGGTGGTTCGAGCATTCCTCCTCCCAATTGCCAATGACTGCTTGCGGGAAGCCGCGTTAGCGTCTGTGCCATGCAGCGATTATTGTCGTATGTGAATTGTCTTATAAGATTTCAGTGATCTAATTACTAATCAATACGTTTAGGCGACCATGAGTGAATACTCAAACCAGATCTAGAGCTTGAGTCTCGCCGGGAGAAAAATATTGTGATGGTTAGGGTCGGAAAACCACGAGCTGCGTCATTTATGACTTTCACGTGCTAAGGCTTGACAGATGATAGGTCAATTGGGCCAATTGCGCGGTGCAAGCTCTGCGCGCCTACCCGGAACCTGCAGCAGCGGCTTGATGCGATGTGGGGGCCTTCCAGACTCCAGTAGCAGCCTCGTGAAGGCTTGCCTGCCTACCTCGCTTTCCTCACCTCGTCTCGCAGCATCACTCGAGGCCAGTCGTCAATCCGTGGCCGCTCATCGAGCTCTTTTATCGAGAAATACCATAGCAAATCGAGCAAGCCATACATCAAATACCGCTCGCCCAGCATGCGTTTCGGCAAGCGTCTCAGGGAAGCTATCTATGCTCCCTGGAAGGACAAGTACATCGACTACGCGAAACTCAAGAGCCTCCTGCGCGAGGACCAATCGGACGATGACGGGACGCCTTGGACCGAAGAGGACGAGCAGCGCTTCTGTGATGAGATATTCAGCAACCAGCTCGAAAAGGTCGCTCAGTTCCAGCAGGAGCGCTTCGACGCCCTTCGCCAGCGCGTGGACAGCACCTTTGAGAAGCTCAAGGAGCTGGCTCCCGCCGAGGCGGACCAGCCTCTGCCAAAAAAGGGCGACATTTCGGCGCAGCGACTCAAGGAGCTGCAGGCGGAGCTCGACAGTATCACCGACGAGGTCAACCAGCTGAAGAAGTACAGCAACATCAACTACACTGGGTTCCTCAAGATTGTCAAGAAGCACGACCGCAAGCGGGGCGACCGATACCGGGTGCGTCCCACGATGCAGATCAGCCTAGCCAAGAGGCCCTTCAACTCGGAGCAGGGCTACGCGCCGCTGGTCAACAAGCTGTCCATCATGTACTTTGCCATTCGTCAGCAGCGCGAGGAAGGTGGCGAAGCGCCGCTCGACTTGGGCTCGCAGCAGGAGACGCTCAACGGCGAGAAATACACTGCTCACAAATGTATGTGCTCGAAACTTGAGAAAGGAGACAGTCTCGCTGACCAGCACGAACAACAGTCTGGATCCACCCCGACAATCTGCTCGAGGTCAAGACGCTGATCCTCCGCCACCTACCCTCCCTCGTATACAGCGACAACAGCGCCAAGGAAAGCGACGACAACGATACCCCCGCAGTCACCTCGCTGTACTGCGACAGCAAAGACTTTGCCCTCTACTCGGGCAAGGTCGACCGGGAGTCCGAGGCTTCCTCTCTCCGCCTGCGGTGGTACGGCCAGCTCAGCAACTGTCCCGTCATCTACATTGAAAAAAAGACGGTCGACGCCAGCGGGAATAGCCACGAGTCCAAGTTCACTATCAAGGACAAGTGGGTGAAGCCCTTCCTCGAGGGCGAGTACTCGATGGAGCGCTCTGTCCAGAAGATGGAGAGGCAGGGGCGTCCCCAGGAGGACATTGCGGACTTCAAAGCGGCCGTGTCGACGATCCAGGACTTTGTCAAGGAGAAGAAGCTCTCGCCTCTGATCCGGGCCAACTACGTCCGGACGGCCTTCCAGAAACCCACCGACGACCGTGTCCGCATTCTCATCGACACCGACCTGGCCTTTATCCGCGAGGACACGCTTGACAAGGACCGTCCGTGCCGCGACCCCAAGGAATGGCACCGCACCGACATTGACAGCAGCAACATGAGCTATCCCTTCTCCAACATCAACCACGGCGAAGTCTCCAAGTTCCCGTACGCCGTGCTGGAGCTGAAGCTTAAGGAGGACGGCTCGCGCAAACGCCCGACCTGGGTGCAAGACTTGATGGCGTCCCATCTGGTGCACCCAGTGCCGCGGTTCTCCAAGTTTGTGCACGGTGTGGCGTCCCTCTTTGAGGACTACGTCAACAGCCTGCCGTTCTGGCTGAGCGATCTCGGCAGGGATATCCGCAAGGACCCCCAGCAGGCGTTTGAGGACGAGGAGCAGCGGCGCGCGCAGCAGGCGGATGATGTCCAGGCCGTCGGCAGCCTGATTGGGACCAAGTCGGGGTCCTACAAGATGGCGCAGAGCTCGCCGCTGGGCAAGTCGTACCTGTCCGACCGGATGGCGGCCGAAGCCAAGGCCAAGGCCACGCAGAGGCCCCAGCAGTCCATCAGCGAGGAGGTCGGCGAGAGCAGCGGCGCGGGTGAGGCGTCACAGGAAGGGGAGCAGTCTCGTGGGTACGGGACGCTGTCGTCTGTGCTCCCCAGCTTCTCGCTGTCCAAGTACTCCTCGGCCAGGCGCGGGCAGTCCAGCGGTAAGTTGCCCGAGGGCGTCGTCAAGCCGACGGAGTGGATCAAGAACTCTGGCGAGCTCAAGGTCGAGCCCAAGGTGTGGCTTGCCAACGAGCGGACGTTCCTCAAGTGGCAGCACATTTGCATCCTGCAGGGCAGCCTGGCCCTCGCCCTGTACTCGGCGGCCGGCGAGAGCTCGTTGGCCGAGATTATGGGCGTCGTCTACACCCTGATTGCGGCCTTTGCGGGCTTTTGGGGGTACTCGATGCTGCGCGTGCGGCGCGGCATGATCCTGGAGAGGAGCGGCAAGGACTTTGACAACATGATCGGGCCCATGGTGATCAGCGCAGCGCTCATGGCGGCGTTGGTCCTCAATTTCATCTTCCAGGTAAGATCGCAACGGTGTCACATGAACACCGGACGCATTGCTAATGAATCGCAGTACCAGAATGCTATCAAGAAATGGAGGGAGCACGAGGAGGAGCATGGGGCTGCCGAAGCCAGTGGTTTCATGGACGAGCTCAAGTAGTGATTGATTGCCAGCCACCAGACGATCCCAGCCTTCCTCAATATATCTACCTTTTATTAGCTGTTAGAATGGCGGCCAGCCGGTATTCGGAATACTTTTGCATATAGACAGCATTGCCTCACTGAATGTCAGTTGTGAACGTCTGTCAGCCGCCATTCGACTCGTTTGCCGTATTGAATCGCGTCCTCGTCCGCCTCACTTGTTGCCAGCGTTCATTCGATGCCTTTTGACTGGAAAAAAACGGTCTGCAGGAGAGGCGAGCGTATGCATGCTGCTCTGCTGCACGGCTGCCCTATCAACATTGCGCTGGCACGTCGGTGTCTGGGCCCATTGTCATCCATCACCTGCTGCTTGTTTTCCTGCATCTTGCATGCAAGCTGGGACCTCGCTCCATCGTCGAGTCCCGAGGCTGCTCATTGCGCACCGCGCAGACAGTTCGCTACCGGTATCTCCAAATCATCGACTCGTCTTCTTCACCTTGATTCGATTGCCCCGCCAAGGGCCAAGGGCTCCGCCTACAAGTCGGTGTCACAGACTCACAGTCACCAAGAGCAGCCTCGTCCCACTGCAAGGGAAACTATCCTATTTACGACGCGCGCGCCCTTAGTTAGCTCGGTGCTACCATACATTACCTGATCACCTTGCCTTTGAGGGTTGTGGCTGAGTTCTGTTTTATCCCAGAGCAGCACCTCGCAACCTCACGCACCTCACATCACCTTCTACCTGTTTGCGTCGGAACAGACCAACTTGGATGCGGAGCAAACCAGGAGGCGTCGTGGGCGTCGCTTGCTGATGAGAAGAGAGACAAGTAGTAATCAGATTGGCACACCCGCCTCGCCGTCTCGCCGTACAGATGGAGGCGCCTCTGCAGAGCCAGACACCGCCTGCTGGGCCCTTGACACCCACACCCGCCGATGAGAAGAAGAGGAGCTTCTGGGGAGGTTTGCTGCGGAGGGTGAGCACGCCGAGCACCAAGCCCCCACGGCAGGTGAGTCGGTCTACTTTCTTCACAATTCTAAGCCTTTTATTCCCTTTCTTTTTTTGCGCCAAGCGACGCGTGCTGATGAGGAAAGCAGCCGCTGAGGGAGCCCAGACGGATCAGCGATCCACCACCGCGAAGGGAGCGACGGCGGTCTTTTACGCATGAGACTCTCGCAGGACCGTCGCGACGTGCGACCGCACAGCCGCGGGAGCCGCAGAACGGACAGAACGGACAGAACGGACAGCACGGACAGCACGGACAGCACGAACACCAGGCGGATGAGCCAAGGCAGGAGAACGAGGCCCCGCGCTCGAGGAAGAGTCGAGGGAAGCGACCGGCGGTCGAGAATGGACACCGGACACCGTCGCCTGCAACACTCACGACATGGCCGCCCGCGGGCGTGCCAGAGCACGAGGACCTCACGCCGCGTCAGGCCGCCGCTTGGATAGTGCGTGGTGCGCCGATATTCAAGGGCCACAAGAGGGCCATACCGCATATGCCAGAGCAATACTACGCCCTGTACACGACGACGAGCGGCAACCGAGATGCGGGGAGGGATGGCGCGGACGACCACGATTCCATGACACAGCTCATGTCTCTACGATTGCAGGGCAAGGAGAAGGCGCAGTTTCCGTGGGAGACGCTGGAACAGCCAAGCTACGCATTCCACTACGGGTACTTGGGCGGCACCATCACCTTGAACCAGTGGATGTGCGTGGCCAGCGCCCTGCCGCCTACGATTGCACTGCGAGATTCAGGCATCGACCCACGACCCATGGATCTGCACAAGATCTTTGAACGGCTGCGAGAGCTGCGCGCCGGGTTGGAAGACGACGACCCAGACCTACTCTACAAGATCTTATACAGGAGGATACTCCGCGACCCGGACCGCATCCTGCACCCGCACAAGTCCCTGGATAAACAGATCACAGACCTCATCCTCGTCCTCTCGCGCCCGGACTGGATCGACCTGAGCAATCCGCGCAACCACGTCGTGACTCGGTACATCTTCGACAACGGGCAGGAAGGATTCGAGGAGACGTACAGAAAGTTCTTCCACCAGGTCCTCCTGAGCTTGGAGCTGGACATGCGGATCCAGAGCGACCAGCACGGCGAGTGGGCCAAGGAGAAACTGCTGGCGCAGATGCCGCCCATCATCCTGTGGGACCTGGCGCTGGCGCGGCGGTGGAAGGAGAATGTGCGTGTCGAGCAGGCGGGCAGGACACCGGGCGAGGTGCAGCTACGCTACAAACTGAAGAAACGGCAGGTCAGGCTGCTGAAACGGTTCGCGCAGACGATGAAGTGGCCCAATCTGCACGAGACCCTAGAGACGTTGAGGAGGAAGGACAAGGAATTCGCCCTCGACGACATCAGCTCGGACGCATATGCCTTCTTTAGCGGTCTTGTCATGCCAGGCGTAGGTCTTGCGGTCTTCCTTGCAAACAGGTGAAACTGACGTGCCTAGCCCACCTTTCCCTTCTTGATCATGAACACGCTCCTCGACCTGGACCCGGATCCCGCCACGGACGAGCTCGCTCTGCTCACGCACACGCATCCGAACTGCGGGTTTCAGTACCGCAGTAGCTACACGTACTGGTCAGCGAGCTGCATCGTCGGCAAAGTCCTCGCGCCCACGTGTCACTCCCTCGCGGGATGGGTCGGCCCAGCACGACCAACGCCTGACCTTGCGCGCTCCCAGATTGCGCGTATCCGCACGAGGAAACCACGCCAGAGGCCGCGGGTGGAAGATATCGAGAGCATGCAGGAGCGCTCCGAACCACTCGGTCCAGAGGCCGAGGTGTACCCTGTCCAGGAATTCCAGCTGGACCGCGTGGATGCGGAGGACGTTGACATTGTGCGCATCGAAACCCTGGGTCTGCGCGCGGCGGCGACCGCGGTCGGGGAGGGCGAGCGAATGAATGGCCCTCGGACGTTCGACGCGACGCTCCAGTTTGCGATTGACGGTACGTCCTGGCCTCTGCGGCTCATGTTCGACGTCTCCTTTGTGTCGGCCTGTCCCTGCAGTGATGGTCCGCACCCTCTCTTCTTCGACTATGCATATCACAAGATCTTTGTGGAGGACATTATGGAGATACAGGACTGGGGCGGCGTGTACAGACCCAACGCCGCGAAGCGCAGCATCGAGGACGAGGAGAAGGTGCTCGCTGTGCAGGCCCTGGGCGTCCAGGACAATGAGGTCCTGGCGAGGGCATGGTGTGCCCACTGGGGGCTCAGTGCGGTTGTGGCGGACGTACGGCGGACGTGGTGAGTTTTGCGCAAAAGTCTTGGGGGAGAAAGTGAAGCTAACGTAAAAACAGCATGTCGTGCGCCATTCGTGAGGCGTATGCCGCGACGTTGACAGTCGTCATTCTCGTCGAGGGCCAGACGGGCGACGACGACGATGACAGGGTGGACAACTGATGACGGCGCGTGGTCACAAGGGTCTCCCTCAATGTTCTTCTTGTCATAATGGGGAATCCTCTCTTCCCTTTCCTCACCATGGGAATTGGTGTTTACGGTGATGGTGTCGTGGTGGCGAAAGGGCGGTCTGTCCAGTTTTGCCACTTGTACCAAGCAAGCGAGCCAGTCAATTGATGAAATGAATTACGATGCATGCATGCATATTGAAAACGGTGAACGTTTGATACTCCCAACAAATTGGTGGTGGTGGTGAAGGTTGTGGAATGTCGAGTTCTGCCCTGGTCGAGACCCCCCACGGGACAGGCAGCAGCGCGATGCGGAGGTTTTATCCCTTAATTTTTATTTTTTTAATTTCTAATTTATTTTCGGGTTTCTCTTTTGCAAAGACTGGAAGGACTGGTAGCTTGTGTGGTCTGCTGTACATTGTGCTACGTATTGGGTGGACATGGTGGCGTCGAGAAAAGATCGCGAGATGGCCGGCGGTGTGGTTTCGGGCGTTTCCAGAGGTGAAGCTTTGTTCTGGTTTAGTGTCCGTCATCCGAACGGCCATCTCCCTCCGAGGCAGGAGCGACTGGAGCTCTTTCTTCATGCCAGTGTTCGCTATATCGATGGAGGTAAATTCATTACCAGTTGCACAGACCATGATCACTGCCGCGAAGTCACTTGCCGACCGTTGGACACGGTAGATGGCAAGTTCTGGTCAAGCAGCAAGTGGACAGGACGCTGCTCCGTACTCCGCACTACCCCTGCGACCTGGCAGCGGGGAGCTTTGCCCCCGCGGACCTCTGGGCGGGGCCACACAGCTCGCCACTTTTCCACGAGCCTGCTCGGTCTGATCCGAGCAGCATGCAGAGGTGGTGACTGCGATTTGAATTATGCGACGGGTGGTGTCAGCCAACCCACTCGACTACGCGAGCGTACCGAACCGCGCATGTGTCATTGATATTCGTATCTGAGGCCTGATGGCCAGTGGGTGTAGCCTGTTTTCAGGTCTTGGGATTCTCGGGGACTGGAGGGCGCGTCCCCGCGCGCCATGCAGACGGCCAAACCTGACCATATCGATGATGAAGGTCCAAGCTCCAACAGACTGGATGTAAGACACAACCTCGACGTTAGCACAGATTCAGACATGCTGAGTTGTGTCCACGGCAGCAGTGCAGCTCTTTGCTGCGATGTATGCATGGGAGCAACGGCGGAGTCGACATCTGGACGCTGTGGCGAGCACGGGGCGAGAATGGCTCGCCAACGGCCGGCCTGCATCGACATGGGGGGGCATGCATATACCAAAGGAAAAGCCGGGCAGTTGGATCAAAGAAGACCACGAAGCGATCGTTTGGCCATCTTTCTGGTCCCTGCGCTCAGCAAGTTGCTGAGCTTTCGACAACATCTGTCCGGAGACGGTGGGAGACAGACATCGAGTGGAGGGGGGGAAACGGTGGGGTATAGGGGATCGCGCGCCCTGCACGCAGCCCCCCGGGCCCTGGAGCCAGCAAAGGCAATGGTGGGTAAGAAGATACCTTAGTGGTGGGGTATGATGCGGAAGTGGGGGTTGGCTGGTCACCTTTGTTGCCTCCAGACTGCTTCCAGTCCTGTCCTCCATCGACTTGGAATGTCCAGCTCGAATCTCCTGCTCCTCAACGTACTACAGCCCATCCCATCTTCTACGCACGCACACCACCCTCTTGCTTCTGTCTTATCATTTCCCACGGACCAAGAGACCGCTGTCCCTCCACGGACCACAGACTGTCAACAGCCTTTCTTACGCAATACCCCCATCTTCAACATGTCCTCCGGAGTTCCTACTCCTCGCCGCCAGGGCAGCCAGATCGACTCGCCCGGCGTCCGGACGCCGCGTCGTCAGGGCAGCCAGTACGAGACCGGTGGTGTCCGGACGCCTCGCCGCCAGGGCAGCATGTACGAGTATAACAAGCCCATCAAGCCATTGGAGTGAGTGTCCCTCTTCACAACCCCCCCAGCGCGCTCATTGCTTCAAAGGTGCCTGTGTACTAACCAATGGCTCCAATGGATAGGCCGCCCAATGTCCTCGACCACTACATCGGTATCGACGTCGGTACCGGCTCAGCCCGCGCTTGCATCATTGACGAGGCTGGCGACATCAAGGCCCTGGCTGCCGAGGACATCAAGCTCTGGAAGCCCGAAGTCGGTTACTACGAACAGTCCACCACAGACATCTGGCACTGCATTTGTCAGTGCGTCCGACGCGTCGTGGGCGAGGCGGCCATTGACCCGGACTCGATCAAGGGCATCGGCTTCGATGCTACCTGCTCACTCGCCGTTTTCCACACAGACACTGACGAGCCTGTCACCGTGACGGGGCCCGATTTCTGGAACGATGGCGAGGATCGCAACGTCATCCTTTGGCTCGACCACCGCCCCGAGGAGGAGACGGACAAGATCAACGCCACCAACCACAAGCTGCTCAAGTACGTCGGCGGCAAGATGAGCATTGAGATGGAGATCCCCAAGGCCCTGTGGCTGAAGAACAACATGCCCCCCGAGCTCTTTGAGAAGTGCAAGTTCTACGACTTGACGGATGCGCTGACCCACCTGGCCACCGGCAACGAGGTGCGCAGCTTCTGCAGCACCGTCTGCAAGCAAGGGTACGTGCCCGTCGGCGTCGAGGGCAGTGAGAAGGGCTGGCAGGAGGACTTTTTCGAGGAGATTGGTCTGGGCGACTTGGCCCAGGACAACTTTAAGCGCATGGGTGGTGTGCACGGCGTGGTATGTTGCGTCAGGGCTCTCGTCCAACCCAGATGATCATGCTGACTTTCATCTCATAGAACGGCAAGTATGCCAGTGCTGGTGACCATATTGGCGGGCTGTGCCGCACTGCTGCTCTCCAACTCGGTTTGCCCGTGGGCATCCCCGTGGGCAGTGGCGTCATTGACGCCTATGCTGGATGGGTCGGTACTGTTGGCGCCAAGGTCAAGCTGACCGGCGATGAGCTCAACCCTGATCAACCCCACAACGATGTCTCCCAGGCATTCTCGCGCCTGGCAGCCGTTGCTGGCACCTCCACCTGCCACTTGGCCATGTCGAGGAACCCCGTGTTTGTCCCCGGTGTCTGGGGCCCTTACCGAGATGTGGTTCTGCCCGAGTTCTGGATGGCCGAGGGAGGTCAGTCGGCGACGGGTGAACTGCTGCGCCACGTGCTCGACATCCACCCAGCCTACAGCGAGACCCTCGCCCTCGCGCGCGCCGAGGACAAGCACATCTACGATTTTATGAACTCCCACCTCGAGTACATGCGCGAGCAGAGGGGCGCGCCTACCATCTCGTACATGGCACGCCACTACTTCTTCTACGGTGACTTTTGGGGCAACCGCTCCCCCATCTCGGACGCAAGCATGCGTGGCGCCATGATCGGCATCGACAGCGACAAGAGCACCGACAACATGGCCATGTGGTACTATGCCACCATGGAGTTTATCGCCATGCAGACGCGCCAGATCATTGAGCAGATGAACAAGGCCGGCCACCAGATCTCGTCCATCTTCATGTCGGGCTCGCAATGCCAGAACCCCATCCTGATGGATCTCATCTCCACCATTTGCCAGATGCCCGTCCTGATTCCTCGCTACGTCCACGCCGCCGTCGTCCACGGCGCGGCCATGCTCGGTGCCAAGGCGGCGAGTCACGCCTGGGCCCTGAGCGTGCCTGGTGCTGAGTCCGAGACGCTGTGGAGCATCATGGATCGCATGAGCAAGACCGGTCGCGTCGTCGAGCCCGGTCGGAACAAGAAGGAGAAGGCTCTTTTTGATGCCAAGTATGAGGTCTTCCTCGAGCTGTGCAACAGCCAGCAGGCCTTCCGCAGCAAGGTTGACAAGGCTGTCGATAGCTGGGAGGTCGAGGCGCCTTCAGCTGAGTGATGTGGCGGGACAGAGCGTAAAAGATATATAATGTAATACATGATGACGATTGAGAATTTGACAGAAATGAGGACAAAGTAAGGTTCATGGGCCTAAGAATGAGTGATTTGAGAAGAAGTGATCCAAAAAGCAAACAAAAAAAGCCGTTGACTGAGGACGTTCTTTGGTTGCTGGGACGTGAGTGCAGTGCCCCGTTGTGATTGGCCAGAGCTGCTCTAGCAAACAAACCACCTCCAAATTTCCAATCCAGAGCTTTCAGCAAACGCGCTCCATTGAACATTTGATCGCGACCGCGACGCCTGCCATTGCTCGCTTTCACCTTCCTTCCATCGACGTCTCCTCGACGAAACGAAAAGTCGCTCGTCATGTTCGGCTCGACGTCCAATTCCGGAGGAGGAGGTCTCTTTGGCGGTGCCAACCAGAACAAACCGGCCACTGGCGGTGGTGGTCTCTTTGGCGGCAATGCCACGGGTAATACAGCGCCAGCAAGCAGCACTGGAGGAAGCCTCTTTGGATCCAGTCAGAATCAGACGCAGGTCAATACGCAGGCTAACACTGGGCTTCCACGCTCCAACTTTCTGAATTCGCAGAGCCAGAACCAGAACCAGAACCAAGGCTCGACCAGTCTGTTTGGTCAGACTGCGCAAAACCCACAGACACCCAGTCTCTTTGGTCAATCGACACAAACCCAACAACAACCATCATCACAGCCGACGACGAGCCTCTTTGGCGCTTCGACAAATAATAACACCACCTTGGGCTCCTCCATGGCGCAACCGAGCAACCAGAACAACAACTTCTCAAGCCTCAACCAGTCCCAGCAGCCGTCCAATGGCCTCCGCGCTTCGACAATGGTATCGGGTGGTGGTGAGCCGCAGCCTGCGGGTGCCTACTTTGACAGCCTCCTCGCCAAGAGCCAGAAGGCAGGTGGTGAGGGCAAGAGCAATATGGAGGACCTCCCCAGCCTCGAGCTCGGCCTGGGTGACCTGCGTCATCGCCTGCGCAAACTCCAGTCGAAACCGAGCGAGCGAACCCTCGACGGCAAGGCGCACTATCTGCTCGCCGGCTCGGGCGTCGACCCTCGCGCCGCCCTTAGCGGGCTGAATGTCAAGAGTGGCGCGCCGGTGGATCGTGTCGCTCACGCGCCGAGTGAGGTCGACGTCGACACATACCTCTCGAATCTGCAGACCAAGACCACGCTGGACATGATCGCCGACGGGCTCGAGCGCTCCGCCAGGGACTTTGACAACTTTCTCGAGGATAACGTGACGATGGAGTGGGATGCGCAGAGGAAGCGCATCTACGAACACTTTGGGATCACGCCACGGGAGGACAGTGGCGCCAGCCGCGAGTCACAGGCCGGCTTCGGACGGTCGTCCCGGCGTAGCAAGGGTCCCGGCGGTATGTCCAAGGCCGGGAGGAGCAGCATGTTTGGCAAGTCGGCTGCACGCTCCGTCATCGGCGCCCCCAGCCGGGTTGGAACGCATACGGCTGGCTTTGCCGACGTGGAGAGATCTGTCGCTGACGCAGGTCCTTCGGCCACCCGGGCCATGGACGATCGGGCCACCCGTGACAAGCAGGCGAAGCTCGCCGAGAAGGTGCGCAACCTCAACGCCTGTCGTCTCTCGGATCGACCATACCCCATCCTGGCGGAGCTGGCCGACGTGACGAGGAAGTCCACCGAGTCGCATGCTGCGCACGTCCACGAAGCGTACCTCGCCATGGCGGAGATTGTCAACGAGATCCCCGACGCGGTGACGTTTGTGAACAACACCACGGCCAAGGAGCGCCAGTACGCGGAGCGGTACCTGGACCCCGACACCAACTCGCAAAACGCGGTCAACATGAGGAAGCAGGTTCTCAAGGGCGCCAATCGGTTCTTGGAGACGCAATTCCTGCGCGAGGTGGAGGCTCTCATTGCAAAGCACCCGCATGAGGCAAAGCTGGGGGGTATGCCCACCATCACCAGCAAGATCAAGGCGTACGTTCGTCTCCGGGCGGCGAGAAAGGACCTGGTGCCGGACGGCGTCGAGCCCACCTCCATGGAGGTCAAGCAAGAAGGGGGCCACATGGAGCGAGAGTACGTCTGGGCGGTGGCGTTCTACCTCCTCCGCTCCGGCCACGTCCAACAAGCGTCCGAGTACTTTAGGAACAATTGGGAGATGTTTAAGAGCCTAGACCTAGGGTTCCCGCTGTTCGTGGCCAGCTACGCCACGAGTGCCGACAGGCGACTCAGCAGCAAGAAGGCGTCGGTGGACTGCGCGAAGCACTACGCCAACCTGCTCAAGAACAAGGACATGGTGGATCCCTTCCGGCTGGCGTGCTACAAGGTGGTCGGCCGTGTCGACCTGAGCGACCGCAACCTCGACGGTCTGAACACGGACATCAACGACTGGATCTGGCTGCAGTTCAACCTGGCGCGCGAGACGGACAAGACCATTGAGATGGCGGGCGAGTCGTACGGTCTGGCCGAGGTGCAGACGACGATTCGCGAGATTGGCCAGAAGCACTTCCCCAAGGGGCCTGGCGAGAACAACAACGGCAGCTTTGGCATGTACTTTTACCTCCAGCTGCTCTGCGGCCTGTTTGAGGATGCGGTCGCCTACCTGTACCTCTTCTCGTACGTGGACGCGGTCCACTTTGGTCTCGCGCTGGCGTTCTATGGACTGCTGCGCTCCAGCGATGCCATGTCCGAGTCCAACGACTTGAGGACGTACAGCACCAAGAGCCTGCCGCAGATCAACTTTGGGCGGATGCTCGGGTACTACACGCGTGACTTCCGGGCCGCCGACGTGGTCTCTGCGGTGGACTACCTCACGCTCATCTGCCTCAACAGCGATCTCGGCGGTGAGGCGGGGCGACGCCACTCGGAGCTCTGCCACGAATCGTTGCGGGAGCTCGTCCTCGAGACGAGGGAGTACAGCAGGCTCATTGCCGACATTCGACCAGACGGTCGCCGCATCCGCGGCGTCATTGAGGAACGGGGGCGACTCATCGACATTGACGGTGAGGAGCAGTTTGTCAACACGGTCACGCTGCAGGCGGCCAGCTTTGCGGACGAGAATGGCCGGACGACGGACGCAGTGCTGCTCTACCACCTTGCGGGCGAATACGATACCGTCGTGGCCATTGTCAGTCGTGCCCTGAGCGAGGCGATTGCGCAGGAGATTGGCGAGGATCCCATGCGCCTCATGCCCGTCAAGCCACGCGCCGTGGGCGACGCCGAGGCACCACCCGGCAGCAGCCTGAGCCTCGCGGCCATTGACGACCCTGTCGAGCTGGCGAGGACGATGATGCAAATCTACGATCAGGATGCCATGTACTCGAACAGGATCATGGGCCCGACGAGGGAGGCGTGCCACGTGCTCCTGCGGATGAGCACAATCAAGACGGGCATGGAGCATGGACAGTGGGCCAACTGTCTGGATGTGAGTTCCCTTCTCGTTTCCCCTTGATCGACCGCAGCAGAGGACTAACACGGACAACACAGGCGATCCGCGAACTTGAGATCCTCCCTCTCCAGGCCCGGGGCGACCCGAGCGCCATCCGCGCCTACGCCGCCAAGTTCACCGGCCTGCCGCAGCCGGTGGCGATCAACGTGCCCAACCTGCTGCTCTGGACGATTGCGTGCTGCACCCGCCAGCGCGCGTCGCTCTCCCGGGACGGGCAGTACAGCGGGAACGAGGGCACCAAGCGGCAGATTCTCGAGCAGCTGCGGCAGATCACGCTTGACCTGACGACGTACACGAGCCAGCTCAAGTACAGGTTCCCGCCGCACCTGCACGAGGCACTGGCGCGGGCGTCGGCTGTTGATATCCCGTGAGACATGGCGTGGGAAGAAAGGAGGCGGACTGCAGTCCAGTCTCGATGGACATTGGAATCATGAAAGACGGACACGAGCATATGTAGACGACACTTGAAGTGATGCAGCTCAATCCAAATCTTGCTCTGTGTCTTGATGTCAATGTCAATCAATGTACGGATACTGTCAGTCAATCAGGCAGTCATGTGACCTGTTGTCCCGACGGAAACGGCGGGCAGGTGCGAAGGGCCCAGGGCCCAGGCCCAGGCAACAAGTAGGCCGCACGGACCCCAGCCTCCCTCACCCCCCTCCCCCCCGCTCATGACTCGGTCCTCCCTGTTGCGACCCAAATGCTCTGAATCATTCTGTGCGCGCGCGAGCGCGTCCACCTTGATTTTTCCCACTCTTCTGTCCTGCCCTGGCCTGTCCCCTTGAACGACGTCCGTCCCACTCGAAGCCTCCAGTCGCTTGCTTGGGCCTATTATTGTATCTGCCTGCCTGCCTGCCTGCCTGCCTGCGCGCGCACCTGGGCCACCCTACCCCGGGACGTTGCATCCTTTTGCTGCTGACGCGAGGGCGTTGATTGGCAATCGGGGGCGTTTCCCCCTCGAGCGCTGTGAGCGTCGCGTGAGATAGGCGCAGACCACTAGTGCGGTCGTAGTCAATTGAGATTGAGAAACGTACCCGCTGGGCCGCTGTTGATCTCTGTCGGAAGCAGAGTGGGTTCCCACCCACAAGAACCAGCCTACCGGCGTCGCGGCTGGAGTATCCGTGGACCGTACCCTGCCTGCTCTGTCGTTATCTCATATCTCCTATCTGTCATCCCCGGAAAAACAAAGGGCAAGCAAGGGCAGGCAGGTCATGGCCCCGGGGCCCGAGGATGTGCTGGCCGAGCCCAGTCCAGGCGGTGATTCGGTCGTCAGCAGCAAGCGTGATCATTCACCCCCTCCCTCTGGCGATGCCGCCAGCAAGAAGAAGAAGACCACGGCCGGCGCGGGGAGTCGTGGCGTGGCCAATCTGACGCCGGAGCAGTTGGCCAAGAAGAGGGAAAATGGTGAGTGGCCCTCCGCTCACATACTGAGCAAATGGACTGGACTGACATGCAAGCACAGACCGTGAGGCCCAGCGGAATATCAGGCGCAGGACAAAGGAGCAGATTGAGACCCTTGAACGGCAGATTCAGGAGCTGCAGAGTCAGCAGCCATACCAGGAGCTCATGGCCATGAAGAGAGCCAAGGAGGCCGTCGAGAAGGAGAATGCCGATATGAAGGCCCGCCTGCGCAGCATCGCCCTCGATCTCCAAGGTATCGTCGGAACGCCAGATCTCCCACGTCCGTATGCCTCGCCGGCCCCTCCGTCCGGGCCCGTGCATGCCACCACGCCAGCGAGCACGACATCGTCTGGCAGCGCAGAGCTTCACTCGTGGCAGACGCAGGCGCACCAGAGCGAGCAGGCCAAGATGCAACTACAGCAGCAGAGGCACGACATGCGCCATGGCCTGGACATGGGGCCCGAACGGCTAGGACTCGACTTCCTCCTGGGTCAGAACCAACGGCCGCCCAAGATCCAGACGGGCGTGAACGGGGCGCAGGACACGGCGCGGTGGCAGCATATCCCCATGAAGCACGACTGGACGGACGTGCGGAATGACCAGGCCCTCCGAGGACGAGGCGCGAGTGCCGGCACCCAGCTCTGGGAACCGTCCAAGTCGAGGGAGTCGAGCGTCGGCGCACCATCGACGAGCACAACGCATGCGCATCGACCAGCGGTGAGTGACGCTTCTCCAAGGGCACTGACGCCGCCGTGGGCGATGCAGATCAAGAATTGCGGACCTACGTGCCCGCTCGACTCGATCCTGCTCGACTTCTTGGGGGAACGGAGACAGAGGGCAGCCGAGGGGTTGCCTGCTCAAGAGGTCGTCGGCCCTCGCTACCCGTCCGTCTCGTCCTTGCTCAACCCGGCACACAGCGCAATGTCCCACCCCCTTTCAAAAGTCTTCACGGACATACTCTCCACGTTCCCCGACATATCCACGTTGCCCGAAAGAGTCGGTGTCCTCTACATCATGTTCCTCCTCATGCGGTGGCAGATCTCGCCGACGCAGGAGAACTTTGACCGCCTCCCGCCCTGGGTCCGGCCACAGCCTGCGCAGCTTCAGTACGCGCATCCCGCGTGGATCGATCACCTGCCCTGGCCGGCCATGCGAGAGAAGCTGGCCAAGGTGTACACGCCCCACGACTATCACTTTGAAAATTTCTTTATCCCCTTCACGACCACGATACGCGTCGGTTGGGGATACGAGGAGACGGACACTCTCCTACAGAACCCCGACAGCGAGGAACTCATGGTCAACCCTGTGTTCGAGCGCCATCTGAGGAATCTGGACAACTGGTCGCTGGGAGAGCCGTTTGCCAAGGCGTTCCCGGGGTTGATCGAGACGTGCAGGATTGACTACTCGGTCAAAGGGGCGAAGACGCGCCTGTGAAGAGGAAGGTTGGGGGGGCAGACTTGTAATGATTCACTGTACATATCCCCACGCGGCTGGGCACGGTCGAGGGAAAAGGGAAAAGGGAAAAGGGGTCTATATCGTAAATACGGGGTGGGCAGTCGGCGTTCCGGATGTACATTTCAACTGAAAAACATTGGTTGGTTGATGCTTGGCTGGCGCATGATCTTGATTAAGTTTCGTTCCCTGGACCACGAAGACTACTTACTACTGTACGCGTAGGACCGAGCGGCCATGCCCATCCCGAGCCAGAGCTCATCGCCGTGAAACGCAATCTCTTTCGCGCGGAGTGTCACGTTGTCGAGCGCAGGACACTTCACCCTCTTGCCGCTGGCCAACGAGTACAGCCCGAGGCCCGCGCCATGCGACGCAGCGACCACGCCCAGCTCCGTCGAGACGTCCATGCCCACGTCCAGGTGCACCTCATTCCTAAAATCCTCCATCCGTACCAGAGGCCAGTCTCGCCTGCTAAAGCGGAGGTCATACACCGCCAGGGTTGACTCAAGCCCCGACACCAAGACTTGATGCTCGTTCAGGCTGCACACCTTGGCCACCGCACTCGGCATCCGTATACCCTTCCATCCGCCCTCGCGCAGGTCCGTCATCCACAGCTTGGCCTTGCGTCCGCCAGCGAACACAATGTTTGGTTGTTCTTTCTGGGCATCCACGGCGTATACGTCTGTGGGCGGCCCCTGCTCTCCTTCTTTACCCGACAGGATGCGCATGCTGTCTTGCACGAAAACCTGTACGACTCCTTGGTTCGTGCCGAGGAAGGCAAGCGTACCGTCTAAGGAAGACGGCAGCAAAGCATTGGTGCACCACTCGCTCAACACCCGATGCCGCATCGAGAGCTGCTGGTAGGAAGGCGCTAACGCATTGTCAGTCAAGTCTGCTGAGGCACTCCCAAAAGAGGAAACCACTCACTCTCCCCTGGTAGCCAGTTCCCCCTGGCATCTCTCGACGGCACAAACGTCGTCAGCGAACACTGATCCATCCCCGTTGCGGGGGCGACCAGCATCCGCCCCGAGGCCTCGTGATACCGAACCTTGGACACACCCGGCGTTGGCACTTGTTCTCTCCGTAACCGTGCTTGGTGTCGTCCATCGACATGCACGCCCGCAAGTTCCGTCTCCAAGGTTGCTATGTTGCATCAGCCCACAGATCTCACTCTCCCTCCATCTCAACGATCGAACTCACACGCATAAAGTACCCTCTTCCCCACAGGCCCAGCAACGCAAAAGGACTCCACGCCTGCGCCGTCCCCTCGCTCGCGGCCAAACGTCGTCTTCCTGGATACGTCCAACTCACCAGCCCACACACCTGCGCGCACGTCTCGTGCCCTGGATCCATGTGGCCCACTCAGTTCCCTCTCCAACACGCCGTAGAGGGGATTCTCAAAGTATAGACATCGCTGCACATTCCGCCTCGTTTCGTGGGTGCGCCTCCTGGCGGCCTTAGAGATCTGGTCTTGCGTCTTGCGTCGCTTGACAGCGTCAGTCGACCATGCCGCGGAGCTGGGTGCCGTATGGTTCTTTTCAATCTTAAAGTACTTTTTCTTCTCGGGATCTATGTCCTGGTTAGAGAAGGGCAAAACAATCAAGAGGATCGCGACTGACCAAAGTAGTACCCTGGTATTTGCATGGGCATTCTGTCGGACACCTCAGAAACAGTCAGGAATACAATTGTCTGTAGCTAGGAGGTTGCACTATCCGCTCTTGGAGCCCGTAAATGGATGTCAATTCGAGCAAAGGAGATTGAAGTGAATGAATAGTTGTGCGCGACAAGATTTATTTCATCGACCTTGAAGTCACACAAGCCTATCACGTGACGACGACATGAGGAGCTTGTATCAACTACCAAGTACCCATACCACCCACGGCAGCCATCTGACTCTGCAGCATCTTTCGTTCAGGTATTCAACACATGTTGCAAACATCACCAGACACGTCAGGTTTATTATTATTTTCTCTTTGTATTGAATTAATTGTCTCTGTGGCCTAAGACATGGATGAAATGACAAGCGTCTACACCTCAGGCACTCCTGACGCTTCCCACCCAAATGTACGATTCTTTACGATGCAAAATTTGGACAAAATGAAAGGAAAACGACCGGTGATCGGCACGAGAGGGTATAGCGCCATCTATTGGGCCTTCTCGTGCTGGGTCGAGACGCGCTGGAGAGAGACGACTGGGGCATGTTAGTGGATGCAGATGCAGGACGGAAAAATAGGGGTACATACCAAAGTCCTCAAGCGAGCGCTGCTTCTGGTTGCGCTTGGGCGACTTGCCGTGCATGAGGTTGTCGAAGCCTGTGGATCCCTGCATGAAGTAGTAGAGACCACCCATGATGGCGAAGACACCGAAGGAGAAGATCCAGATACGGACCACACCGACAATGTTGACACGGTGACGGTAGCCACGGAACCAACCGAAGACAGCGAAGAGGGTGGCGAGGATGTCGACGGCCAGAATGGCGCCGGTGAGTTGCCACGAGGGGATGGAGGACCAGAAGGGACCGTTGGCACGGGTGATGAAGATCAGCCAATTCTCGGTGAGGGAGATCTCGAGGAAGAGAACCATGTCAATGTCACCACGGTTCTGAGTGATACCGGCGTTCTCGCCACCAACGTAGAGGGTGGTCAAGCAGATCCAGGAACCAACGGCCAGGACCAAGCCGAGCAGAACGGACATGCCCCAGAGCTTGGGCAGGTTCCACTTGACGGGAGTCTGCGAGAAGGGAGCGTTGTCGTAGGCAATGGCCAGGGTGGCGATATCGGCGAAAATGGCGATAAAGACAATGAGGTTGAGGTTGAGGGAGCGGTCGAGGATGGCGATCCAGAGGCCGAGGAAGATCTCCATGTGCAGCGACAGGGCGATACGGTAGACGACATACGAGTACATGCGGTGGAAGATTTGGCGGGAAGTCTTGAGGGCATCAATGATGGCACCGAGACCAGGGGCAAGGAAGACGATATCGGCAGCGGAGCGGGCAGCGTCGGACGAACCCTCGACGGCAATACCAGTATCGGCCTTCTTCAGCGAGGGAGCATCGTTGACACCGTCACCAGTCATAGCAACCAGGTAGCCACGCTGCTGCAGGATCTCGACGACAGAGTACTTGTGCTGGGGGAAGACCTCGGCGAAACCATCGGCAGCCTCGACGAAATCGTAGACCTCGGAACCGGGCATGTCACCACCACCACCGAGACCAAGGCGCTCAGCGTTATAGACGTTGGTACCGAGACCGAGTTGGCGGGAAGTTTCACGGGCAATGCCGACAGCGTCACCAGTGAGCATCTTGATGGAGAGACCGAGCTTCTTGGCCTCGTTGATAGTGCGAGCAGTGTCGTGACGGGGAGGGTCGAGGCAGGGCATGATACCGAGAATCTCCCAGGCACCCTCACCACGCTTACGGGCGACACCGAGCGAACGGAAACCACGGGTAGCGAACTCGGCGACACAGTTCTTGTAGGCCTTGTCAACGTCCTCGGGGATAGGGTGGTCCTCCTCGACGGTCTTGAGAACGAACAGAGGAGCACCCTTGACGCAGACGATGCGCTCGCCCTGGGGAGACTGGACAACGGCCTGGACCTTTTTGGAGACAGGGTCGAAGGGGTGGAACTCGAGAACCTGGTACTTGGACAGGACTGACTTGGCGCGGGGGTAGAACTTGAGGGACTTGAGGAAGGCCTTGTCGATGGCGTCAATACCCTTCTTCTTGCGCGAGGCAGCGAGACAGGCAGTGAGCATGAGGTCATCGGGCTCGACACCGGCGACGGTGAAGGGCTCAGCCAAGGAGAGCTTGTTCTTGGTCAGGGTACCGGTCTTATCAGAGCACAGAATCTCGACACCAGCGAGGGACTCGATAGCAGAGAGCTTCTGGACAATGGCCTGCTTCTTGGCGAGGTAGGCGGCACCGACAGCCATGGTGGTGGTGACGACAGCGGGAAGACCGACGGGTACACCAACAATAGTAATACCGAGGGTAAATTTAAGGATCTTGACAATGCCGTTGGAGCGGTAGAACGAAGCCACCCAGACGACGAGGAGGGTGAGGACGACGAGGATGAGCAGAATCGTACCGATGCCGTTGAGCACCTCAGTAAAGTGACCGGTGCCACCAGCAGACTGGGAGACGAGGGCAGCTGCGCGACCAACGAAAGTATTATCACCAGTGGCGGTGATAATGATGAAGCACTCACCACGCTTCACAGCGGAGGAGGCAAAGCAGTTGTCACCCTTGTGCTTGTCGACGGCGAGCGACTCACCGGTCAGGGCAGACTGGTCAACCTGGAGGAAGGCATCCTCAGTGACGATACGACCATCAGCGGGGATGATGGTACCCTCCTCAACCTGGAGGATATCACCGGGAACGACTTCGGGGGCCTCGATCTCCTTTAGTGTGCCATCACGGAGGACGACAGCCTTGAGGGCGAGGGTCTTCTTGAGTTCGTCGACGATGGAGCCGGCCTGGTATTCCTGGAAGAAACCGACACAGGCGTTGAGCAAGAGCAGAGCGCAAATGACACCGAAATCGACCCAATCCTCGAGACCGGCAGCAAGGACAGCGGCAGCCTATAGTGGAGATTGTCAGCCAAGCCTGTTCGTATAAACAACAATGAGCGAGTAATGAGCGAAAAGCGATCCCGATGTGACCGGCATGCCGATCAGCGCGTGAATGCGAGCGCGAAGCGAGCAAAAAGTGCGCGACTGCGACGGATCCACCACGTAGCGCCAAGCCCGTGCCGATGCCCGTCAAAGGTGGATGCATCGAGACCCGGAGGGAACGTCAGGAATCAAGAGGCAGCCCATGGATTGGCCAACGGCATACACCATTTGCTCATGTGGGTCACAGAGCAATCTCGCACCAAAACCACGCAGCAAGTAAGGCTGGCCGCTGTACACGACAATGGCCGTCCAACAAACGCGCTGTTGTGTGGTGTTTTAGGTTTGTGCGAGGGAAGGTGTGTGTGCATGTCTGCCTGAATGCCATGCGGCGAAACAAACAGGTAGAATAGAGTGGATGGCGGAAGAGTGACATACCTCCATAACGAACTGGATAGGACCAATGAAGAAACCGAGGAACTTAAGGAGGAGGTTCTCCTTCTCCTCCTTCATCTGGTTGAGACCGTACTTCTTGCGACGGGCGGTGACCTCAGATTCGGTGAGACCAACGCGCGAGTCGGTCTGGAGCATGTCCTCGGGGACGGTGCGGCCGCCGCCGGGGTTGACGTCCTCGTCCTCCTCCTCGAACTGATGACCATCTTCAGACTCGAGGTCCTCAATGAGAGCATCCATGTCCTCGTCTTCCTCCTCTTCCTCGGCAGGCTTGGAAGCCTTCGGGGGAATGGCGCCGCCCTCGGCGGCAGCAGTCGAGTCGTGGTGGGGGGCATCGTGGGCGCGCTTCTCGTCAAAGCCGCCAGACTCGATGTTGGTGTCCAGCGCAGGAGCGCCGGTCGCCTTGGGATCAGCCATGACGCGGTGAGGTAGGCCAAGCAAAATCGGTATTAAGTGAGAGTGAGTATGTTGCTGGTGTCGGCTTTTTTCTCGTCTGCTGTAAAACAATGGACAAGAGGGGCGAGGGCGAGAGGGGGAGTGTCGAGCACCGCACGAAGAGAGTTGGGTGTCGCTACAAGCACAGCATTCGTGGGTGAAGAAGAAGAAGGGAAGAGAGAGAGAGAAAAGCTCGTGAGTGAGGGTGGGAAGAGTATTTCAATGGAAGGTGCGGCCTGGCCGTACACGCGGTGGATGCTACGCCAAAAACAGCGCGACCTATTCCAGTTGGGCGACACAGGTGAGGCAGATGTACCGATTTAGTAGTGAGCAAGTGAACGGCGTCTCACTTACTCTGCGCTCACTGCGCCTGTCAGAACGTTTCGAGTACATGGCCGCTACTGGGCCCCACGACGGTGCCGATTGACCGCGAGCGCCGACAGGGCTCGCAGCTCCATACATACGTACTCTGGGGCAGCAATTCTCGCGCTCCAAAAACGCTGGGGTCATCCATCCATTTCCGACGTGATTCTTGAGCCGGTACCTGTGCCTGCCGTAGGGACGAGCAGAAGATCTCCCCACTGTATGAATTGGCTGCCTCTTGGGACTGTGCACCACTCCAATCCTGTCTCTCTTCCGGTCTGCATCCACCAGTCGATGACCACCCGAGGTCACCACCAACACCAAGAAAGTCTAGATTGACTTTGCACCTAGGGCAGCACGATTAAGCTTAAGGCCCGTCGCACGCGAGACAGCTCGAGGTAACGGTGCAAGCGAGTTCATCTGTCCGCGAGATCATCGTTGAGCAACTGAAGTCCGCCTACGTCATGCGAAATCTGGTTGGACGCTTAGTGAGAACCGGTCAAATCCTTATCGGCATCTTGACAGCCGTGTCAGTCAGTCAGTTTGACTGAAGAGCGAGAGCGATGGACGGCAAGGCCGGCTGCAGATTAGCCAGGACCCGCACTGTCTCTGGCGCGCTGGGACGTGGGAGACGGCACTGGGAGACAAGGCGTTTGCACCTGCCACTTGGGCCCCGAGCACAGAAGGTGGACACTGTGCGGGACATCCACTCCAGTCCTGCATTCGGCCCTTGGCTACTGTCACACAGGCGACTGTATCCGTACTCGGGTACATTCGTACTGCGTGTCTACGGAACTTGTTCTTGACGAGGTAAACAAGAGTTCAACAGCGCATTGACTCGCACGGAAGCATCACCAGGAAAGTGGAAGGAGCAATCCAGCGGTGCAATGGAGCGGTCTGACGCACAGCAACGTGTCCCCAGCATCTCCTGGACACTCTGGTGGTCAAGGTCATGGACTATGCACTGGATCTGCGACGACTTGAGGCTGTTTCCCGTTGGCTCACAATTGAAGGTCTCACGAGGCACATCGTCATCCCCATTATCCTTGCTGCACTCCATCGCTCGCCCGCACTGCAGGCAGACACAGCAGCGGGTACGTACAGCACAAGTACCCTGACGGGATGACCGCAAGCTGCACATCGCCCGTCGTTGGCGCCTCATCGCACGCTCCCTAGTGGGCCTGCCAAATTCCCACCTACCCGACTTTTTGTCCATTGCTGAAGGGCGCTGTTTTCGATTTTCCTGCTCATATCCAGCCAGTCACACCCTGCCCGGCTCTTCTCTCGCTGGCTTGCCTTGCCCATCCCACTCTTTTCTTGCCTGGCCTCTCATGCGCGCGCCGACTCGCGAATTCGCGCTCACGGGCGATCAGTGCGCGAATCGCCCACACTGTGCCTCCCGCGCGGAATGCCCACCAGACACCCAGTGTGCGCCAGGACGTAGCAGGACCTCGGGAGCACCCAGCACCCACATCTTCAGCTCTTTTCGCTCGACACGCTGAGGCATTTTCAACAACCGGCGAACGGCTCTGGAGCGCCGAGCGCATCTGGGCTGAGGAAATTCTGAGGATTGACCGCCAGTGGGCCAATGACGCCACTGCTAAACCCAAGACCGCCTTTTGGGCCCTCATGACCCCCATCCTCTCGTCTCGAGTCTCTCGAGTCCAACCGCCCCAGTCCTTTGAGGATGAGGCCCGTCGGTATCAGCAGACTGATACTAGCTGCTCTGCATATTTGTTGGTCCATGTTGTTAGTTGCCATCCGTTCAAGCACTCCCGCGGGCGAGCGCCTCGCTCCCAGGCTCCCGTCTTACCAGCCCTGCCCTGTGATTGATGAGGCAGATGATGATTCGTACGTCCGCACATGCAAGCTTAAAGATGATCACCTCCCGGAAGCAACCTTTGTGCTAGCGATGCCTTCGGTGGGTGACCAGGGGTGCCTGCGTTGTCGCGCGGCGCAGACTCGTAGCGTCACTGCTGATGCCGAAGGTCGAGAGAGAGTTCACTTGAGGCTATCGTAGCTGGAAACGGCGATTAAAGTTGCAGGTTGGCCCAACACGGTCTCGAATCGCACATGTTCCACTCTTGACCTTGTGAATATCCAGAAGACGGTAGCGCCCTGTCTTCCATGCGCAAGCTCTTGCGGTAGCAGGTCTTGATCGCAGAGTCAACGTGGCATGCCGTCACCGATATACTGGCAGAGTGTCTTGGCTCTCTTGACCCGGCAGAACCTACACCCTGTCGTGAAGTGAGGGGAAGCCAACAACCATGATCGCCCGCGTGGAACAATATTCAGAGCATCTTCCCCAGACAGGCGCTTGCCAGCCCCTTCTCACAATTATTACCCTAAGCCGGTTCGTTTTCGAGACGTGCCCAGCTGAGGCACGGCGACGATCTTTCTCTCCTCTTCACGTACGGACATCGACCGAAAGCATGTGGCAGACTCAGTGCCGTTCTCTAATGAGACATTCTCGACCAGAAAAGGCTCCCATTAGCCGATCGTCATGCTGTTCTTACGCGAGGAGTGGCATTGCGAACACGTAACATTCCAGCCCAAATTTTCAGCAAGTCGAACACGAACAAGGCAAACTCCATCAACAATATGATAATAACAATAACAACAACGCTGTCCGTAAACAATAAGCAACAAGACACGAGCCAATCACGACGAGGGCATTTCCCAACTGAGTAAGTGAAGCCAGTGTGGGACGGATCACAGAGCTGGCTGCAGCGACTTCGTGGGGAGCGGGAACAAGTACGTGGGCCCCCTCCTTCTTACTTGAGCGACAAATCAATCGATTTGATAAATAGCATGGTTCTATTACCTCAGACAATTACAGGCGCGCGGTAAGTCACTAGCGACCGCCTTTGCACGCTGATGAAGGCGTGGCCTCCCACTGCATGCTGCATACAGGTTAGCTGTCACAGCACGTCAAGCGCCCTTGCCTCTCGCTTCACCGACAGACCAAAACGGTCCTAGCATGGACTGCACGGTACGTGCATGATGCAGTGACACTACGTAGAAGCAGGTGGATCGGCAAAAGCTTCTGGAATCATCATGGAATTTTCCAACAGGCACGGCCGCGTCTCACGAGGTGGCGAGGCGAAATCAACTTGCAAGTCACACCTCCAGTCGTTGGATGCACAGTGTGTCTTGTCCGGCTTCCGCAGATTCCGCAATACGCGGCAGCCTCGGGTGGTTCGTTTCGTTGACACGACTCTCACTCAGAAATTTGAGTCTGCGCTGTGATTAGAGGCCCGTGATCTGAAGAGACTCCTTGCTTCCGTGCCGAGGTTTCCTCGTCGACGGCGTTGGCGAGAGAGAGATACGTACTGCGCAGTCAAGTTTCCGAGATTAATGACGCTTGCCGTGATAATAAGAGCCATTATTCAATAGTATTATTATTCAGGTGCTAATGCGTACAGTCGATCCATGCTTCTCGAATGCGCAAATACAGGATTATTCGACAACCATCGGGCCTCCCGCAGCGGGTGGAGAGTGCCCCCGTCTGGAAACCCTCCATCCAAAACAATTTATCTGCTCGAGATTCGAGCCGCAGACAAAGGGTCGCGCATATTTGCCTCAAATTTAGAACGAGGTCCAGATCTGCGCCCAGCTGTACGTGCGACGACCTTTTGAGCCGGTGAGCGACTTTCGGACAGCTGCACAGGTGCAATACGTACCTAGGTGCGTAGGGAAAGACATGCAGCTGCCTAAGTCGTCATCGCCCTCGTTCTCAGCCCGCCGATCACATTATTATATGCCTCTCTGCTTCGAAATCGACCAGGTCCAGATCGCTGGACTGGTTCGTCGCACTTGTACGGATATGCAAGTGGGTGCAGCAAAGCCCCATCAAAGCCTCAAAGGGTCGAAGAACGGACCCTCCTCCAGATTTTTGTCCGCTGCGACGCATGAGGAAATATGGATACGTAGGACAGGAGGCTCCTCCCTCTGCAATCTGCATGAAGGGTTTCCGATGTCTGCCGCCGATGCTGCCGAGCGGTGGGTTTCGCAGAGGCATTTATTTCCTTCGCCCTCACTTTTCCTGACGAGCCTCGCGCTCGCGTTCAGGTCTACGATGAACAAGTACCTACTATTAATAGTTTACGGTCCATGGGCAAAACGCCAGCGGTTATACAGACATGGTAGTGCACACGTGCGTGACTTGACACTCATCTTCTCCCTCTACGTACCAAGTGGTAAACAGCTTGAGAACAGTCGAGATGGCATCGCCGTCATGGGGCCATCGAGTTGTTGTCGTCGTCTAATCGGCCCCTTGGCAATAAGACTTGAACATTCGTTCGCTCTCGTGAAGTACCTAAGGCAGTCACTCCGTAGTGCAAGAGCTCACTGTGTCCTACGGGTGGACCGATCCCGCCTGCCGCATAAGCGCTCCGAGCCCATTTACGCATTAGGAAAGACACTCTCCGGTCGCTCTGGCCGGCAATTGCTGATCCGAGTTGACTGTTAGCTCTCTTTCTCTCCTTTTTTTCACTCATGTCGGCTTCTAGCTTCCGTTTGCTGCGGTGTTTTGTTGCACGGACGTGCGTGCGTGCTTGGCTAACATTGCGCCTACTTTCCCTCCCGATAACACAGGGCAATCATCAATGTGAATGGTGAGGCAGCTTGCTTCCGATTCGTCTGGCTGGACGATTCATGTACGTACGAAAGTGATGACCGAATGCAAATTTGCTGCAGCAACACCGGCAAACACAGGCCGGACTTGGCGCCAACACCGCTGACAAGTCCGTTTCGTCCCCGGTCTAACACCGCCGGAACCCACACGGCCAGCACCGTGACGGCCAGCGTGTCCCAGTCCTCGGCGCGTACAGGACATGTTCATTTCTAGATTCCCACCGATTGTTTCGTCAACACGAGGTCAAGCCCTGGAGGCTCTGACGCCTTCGGCACCGGCACGGGAAACGCATATTTTCCTGTCTCGTGCCAAGTCAGCCTCTGACGTTTTTTCTCGAGAGTCAACCGATCCATTTCTCCCCATCGCCAAGCCGCGCGTGGGCAATCGCCTCGTGCCGCTCTGCCGAGCGCGTTCGTGGGTCCCCCCTGGCCCCCTAATAAGCCACAACGTCAGGACTGAGGCCTGTGTTCCCCGGAGAATAATGCCTTGGCGACGCGCCCGTGCTCCTTCCCCATCTGCCACATCCCGGAACTGGAGACGGACAAACCTCTATCCGAAAAGATAAATGTCATGATGATGCGTGCGAGGGTAGGTGAACACGTGCCTCCTCAACGCGAAGCAGGCCACCTTGAGGCTGAGTTTTAGACACCGCTATTAGAGTTGTTGTTAAGCTTGATTGTCACCGGCTTGCACGACGCCAGCCTACATGTAATAATGTAGGCCGCTCAATTCCATCGCACCACGACTCTATGTGGACTGATTGCACTTGGAAACATAAGAGGCCATCGCTAGTGTGAGGGCTTGGCTTATCGATGGTCTGCCAGAGATTTGGCAGAGCTGCTGGCACTGTGTCGGGGGGGGGCTAGCTGCGTGACTGACTGGCTGAATGCTGCACAGAGAGCTCAGATTACCGCAGGTAGCAAACCACAGCGACGGTCGTCTTGGAGCTATACAAGCCGGACCGTTCACAGTGGGTATCAAAAGATGTATACCGGAGACGAGGATCCGCGCGGGAGGCCGCAGTCTAGAGGCTTGGCAGGGATATCACCAGAACGGCTCCTTCAGGCTGCCTCTTGAACATAAACAGAGCCTGGACCGACATCGTCTGTACTCGCTGCGTTTTGGAAAATTAGCGTCTCACAGGTCACCAGAGGCCTCCGTTAATACATTCCGCCCGGTATAGTTGACATATCGGGGCGCGCCGTCTGTTTCAAAAGACAGTGACCAGGGGTGCTTTCAAGTTTCTTTGCTGCTTTCTTCCTCTAGAAGCGGCTCGGGTTTTAATTATTAATAGGTGCTCTTTTGCGTTCAGTTTCCGTGCAAGGGCAGCCGTCGGCGAATGGACGCGGTGGCCCTCTTCAAACTTGCCGGAGATCGCATCCTGTCGACCCATTCCTGGTGCGCTGGTCTAATTGGACTGGCATGACGATCCTGGCTGCGGCCACCAACAGCTGCCATCAATTTCATTCAGTCTACGTCCATAGGTGCGTCCCGATTCATTCTTTTTTTCCTGGGGACATGGCAATCGTCTTGCTGGAAGGATCGCCATGCGCTTCTCGCTGACATTGGCTGGGACTTCGGCCTGCTGCACCTCATCACCTGACGCCGGCCAAAGCGGTTGCTTGCGAGACGCGCTGCAGCGGCGTGTCGGAGCTGGGGAATCCTTGTGGGTGCTGGCTCGAGAAGACGTCATGAATACAATGCCTTCGAGTGTACAATTCGAACATGGATGCGCTGCGGAGGATATACAATATTCGATCCAGCCTCCCGGTCAGCCTGTCAATGACAACGCCGTTCACGCCCATATCATTCTGACGCGTATTCTTTTACTGTGCACGTCAGAAGTTCCCAACGCGATGTGTTCATACATG